TTAAATGTAGGAGATTTGACAAAAACAGGGACGGAGTCAAAAATACATCCTAACAAGAACAACCTCCAGAACAATACAGTGTCATTTAGTCTCTCACCCTCGCTCAGACACAGACAGTCTTCCGAGATCAAACTTTTCTATCACCCTTTTTTATTTACTGCTCCGATCCAACACAGCTGTGGAGATCGGCTTCAATAGCTTGGCGGCAGACCCATGAGAAACTTGTAAGTGAGAGAGGAGAGAAGTAAAACCTTATCCAGCTGTACCTTGCTCTGTCAGCTTGTTATAACCAGGGAGTGTTGAGATCTGCTTATGCCGACGTAAAGATATGAAGGATTAGTTCACTATAGTTTACACCTATGAACCTAAATCTACAAATGCAGTCGAGAAAGAGGAGTTTAAATCTGGTCTGAGAAGAAACAGATCTCAGGTTGTAAAAATCTGCCCTCTTGCACCTGTAAAGCTCAGCCACAGTATATATGCTGCTGGTAAATCCAAAGCCTACTCCTACAATTTTACAAAGATGGAATTTCAAAATAAAGCTTGTTAGTTGTTTTAACATGAAAAGCCTAGGTATAAGTATAACCAGTCTGATTTCAGTCCAATTTCTCCTCAGCTTCGTAGGTTGATTTAATTTCTAGTACATTATGGTAATTCAAAAGCATGTGTTATGGTCCAAAAGGCAAAATCCACAAAAATCACTGGGGCAAAAGCACAGGGAGTAACAGGGGACACAAGCATACGCATCTACATACAGCAGACAATGAACCAACCAGGACAGAGGGGAAGACAGAGACTACATACACACTGGTTAACGAGCAACAGGTGTGGCAAACGAGACACAGGTGAAACTCGTTAGTGATTAACGAAGGAGGGAAAACCGGACTTGAAACACAAGGAATCAACTACTACAAAATAAAATACGAAACATTCAAAACCGATCTAAAGATTAAAACACAAAGAACAGGAGGGAAGCCGGGTCAAACACAAACTGAAAACTCACAAAGACAGGATCACAGGAACAATAGAGAACAGAAACACTCGGAAGAATCACAAAGAAACTAGACTCAAATAACAAAACCAAGGAAAACTAAATGAACAGAACATGTCATGACAGCATGGTCTACATTCAGGATATTCTTGCACCATATGAGAAGGCTCCTGCTGTGATTTAAACTTTGCGATCAACTATGTATGTAGTGATTGACGGTTTTTGTATTGTAGGTGTTGATGCATAAAAAAAAGATAAATTTGATCATCAAAAATCAGCAGGTGGAGATTTTTTTGCGGGAAGAAACTGCTGAAACCAAGACTACTTTGTCCACATGAGGTTCCAAAATTAATACAAACCAAAAGTTCCTTACAGTAGCTTAAATGCAGAATTAAAAACAGAACAAAGACTAAGAAGATAAATTCAGATGCACAGGTATCTTGGGATAAACTCCTCACTGACCTGTGATGTGTTTGTGTTTTATACCTGTCCTGCCCTTCTCATCCCTCCGCTTTGCGTTTAAAAGTCAATTTCCTCATCCGCTGATCTCATTCACTGCAAGGATTGATTTGCTCTCCTAATTTGATTCCACAGTAATTTAATAAATCCCCCCAAAATGACATCAGTCTTCCATTCACCTTTGAGAGAAACCTTCATTAGAAACGTTAATGAGTAATTATTCTTTTATTTCTGGATTAACGTGGCCGGCATGAATATAATGATAGCAGATTTGAGCTTCAGAAAATTAATTTCATATCAGCACAACTGCATGCAAACGAGAGTATAATTTGTTTTCATCCCGTTAGCATGAAGCTGTCTTATCTAGCCTGCAGGAGACTGCAATTAACCTCTGATGTCCTCTCTGCAGCATGCAGGTCTTACACAATGACGTGAGCTTTAATGCATGATGATTTGCAGATGGAAAGTGATCAGATCCCATGAGGATCTGTAAAGGAATGTGATGGAGGTGGTGATTATTCACATCTACAAGCGAACAATATCACTTTCAAATCATAAATCATTCAAAGAAAATAGACCCTCTTTAAAGCTGAGCAATTATCGGCATGGAGACAGGAAAAGGAAAGATGGGACCCTCCTGCTATTTTGGTGATTGGTCATCTCCAAGGTTCATAGTCCTGACAACACAAGCTTAGTCATGAGTGAAAACCACGCTCTGCTGCCATCTAGTGACTTACTGCAGTATTATCTAAAGCCAAACTTGTTTCATGAAGCTCTGATCTATGTCTGCTGCAAAATTTATTTAGTGGTTCCTCCTTGTGGCCAAGCAAGGTCAGTGCTGTTCTTAACTAAATTTTCACTTACCTGCTGTTTACAGGTTTAGTCTTGTGGAGTGGCATGAGCAAACTGCATGGCCAGCTTGCCATATACATGTGATTTATACCACAACAACAGAGTTGGGTGTCAGGAAGAGGTGACTGCGGTCTTTACTTTCAGCAAGTTCAACTCTGGGGTAATTCAGGTACCTATCAGGTGCGAACTTGCCGTACAAATGTGTCTGAAAATGGTTTAAAAAGAACAATTGTCTTCATTTAACGGACAATATGGAGGAAAGGAAAGGTTATCTCCCTGTTGAGCGTCACTAGTCTGGCTAAGGTGCCCAGAACAGAACTCCATTTAACCTCTACAGTGTTTTGGGAGCGTTTGTCCTGCTTCTGCAGCTGCGATGAAGCCCCTTCACTCCTTGTTGAGATTAATAGCAGGCACACATGGGGGCCATTAATGTTGAAAAGCCACTGCCCCACCTCTTCCTCAGTGCTATCCTGGGAGCCACAACCTCCATAATGGCACCACTCTCTGAATTAATGGTGCTAACCAGCAGAATGAAAAAAAAAGTGATTTTAATTATAGGGCCTTGGTGATACCAGAGAGGGGAACTGTGAGAGGGAGGCGGGGAAACCTTTTGTGCCTTAGCTGAGCTAAATGGTTAGCTATTTTTAGAATTAATATTCAGAAGATCTGTCTAATGTTTTCTTTTTAATCCACAATGATATATATATTTTTCCCATTTACTATGCAGTTTAGGTATCTAGAATACTATTCTCTCAGGAACCACTGCTATTCATTCATTCTGCCATGCTATTGTGTTTTGTATGTATTGATTATGAATAACAAAGACCTGGATAAGTTTTGTTTTGATCATATTTAATAATAATTAATAAATTAATAATTAATTTAATTAAAAAAAGTGTTGACTACCAAGTGTAGACTTAGCTTTTTTGGCTAAGATCTGAACACTGTTGCACCAATAAGAGCCTAAAATGTGAAATAAAACATACCTCTCATAACTCATGACACTGACTGGAGGTGTGTCCCAAATCGCATACTTCCAGACTAAATACTAAATAAAATTTTGAGTATACTCCACTCAAAATGGAAAAAAGTATGGATAGCATGTGAAAAACTGAGAATGCCAAAGTACCCGGATGACGTACTCAAATCGGTCAAGTTAATAGTTTCTTTCTGGTTTTAAATGCTTAACTTGAAAATAGTTTATCTTTAGTTACCGAGTTCCAAATATTTAATATGTAAATAGGGTATCTTTAGTTTTCTTGTTCTAAATTTTTTATATGTATATAGTTTGTTATTTTTCTGCTATGCACAATAAATGTTCAGACATGAGGCAAATTGCGTTGTCATCTCCTGTGAGTGTGCCGCACGGCGGTATGCAATTTGGGACAGCACTGCACCGTCGAAACTCGCGCACTGCACGATTGAGTACATAGTTTGCTTAGTATACTGAATTTGAAAAATGTAAGTATTTAGTATGGAAGTATGTGATTTGTGCAGTAAATCCAAAAAAAGTTTAAATTCTTTAAAAGTCTGCATCTTTTAGTTTTTGTGTCATCCGTGGTATTATTTGTTGTGCTTTTTTTAAACTCTTTACCTTGCAGCTATTTGTTAGACCAAATGGACAGAGACAAGACTCTGTCATGTTTTGGACTTACTAGTGTTGTTGTTTGTATACATAAAAGGCTTTCCTGAAAATATTAAAAGATTAGCTACCATTGATGAGTCAAACATACGAAAAGGAATAATAAATTTAAGGGTGGGACAAAGGAAAAAAGCAATCAGACCCCCAAATTATTTTTATCACCAGTTCCTTGGTTCACTTGCTCTGATTTCTTCCTCTCTAAGCCTATTACAGCTCCCCCTGTTGCCTTGGAGACCCCTACACAGTGAACATCAGTAGCCCCTATGCTCCAAACTTTGTGGTTAAGCTGTCCGTTTTTTTGTGTTTTGGCCTGATATGCAAAAAGAACTTATCCCACAGCTGATGACTGTCAACATTTTTGATAATATGATTTCAAATAAAGTGTTAAAATTAAAGGAAACGTGACCAAAAATCACAAAAATGTGGGGTCTTCATGACATGTCATGCTCTAACAGTAGATGCCTTTTAAGTCCTGCAGGGGGCAGAGGAGACAGCCGGTCAATTGAGCATCCACTTCACCTGAAACCCAAGACGCACCTCTTAAAGAGAGTCACTTGCAATCAGAAAGCCTCCATTTAATTACAACACACAGGAAATTACCGAGTGAATGGGTCAGGCGCTGATAAGAGGCTGAGCCCCGGGGATGACAGCTCCCGAAACCTGAGCAGACCCCATCTCAAAGCCGACTTATCACAAAGGCCGGGCCTGGAAGCCTGACGATCTGATTGTACTGTCATCCAGATTCATAATTAATATATTTATCAAATTAATCGCTGAAAAGAGCCCCAGCCTCCAGAACAGTAGGCAGATTCATTTGCCACTGGCTCGGCTTACCGCTAATAACAGTGTTGTCAGTGAAATGGGCCCCGGAGTGAGCTGATGCCCCAGACCTCATGACAGACAAATTGCTCATCTGTGTAGAGATGATATGGGGAATTTAGAGAGTGGAAGAAAGAAAAAATGTCATTGTTTAGTGACAACCACAATTGCATCTTTGTTTTTTGAATTATGAGTGCCAAGCTGGAGTGACATGAAAGAAACTTCATCTGTTTGGGAAGAGAAGAAAACACCCTGCTGTTATACCTCTGGTTTTACAAATCACTCATCAAGGGGACGCCATGTGTTGTTCAAGTTTGGATTCTTCATGTTTTTTTACCCAAATTTTACAAAATGGGGCTCATATTTGGTACATCAGCACTATCGTAAGTGTGTTTTCTAGTTTTACACGCAACATGATAGTCAACTATAAAAGAAACAAATATTAGAGTTTATGTTTTAGTATTATTTGACCCCACCAAAAACTACTTCCTGCAACTCAACTGCTGCCAAGCAACGCATAAACATTTCTTTATTTGAGTCTGGTGATATGGGAGATTCTGAGATACTAGACTGTTCAACTAATAGAGGAAAATCTGAGTAAGATTTGAGTCCTACTCTGTACATTAAAGAAAAAGAAATCTCATGTAGTGATTTGTTATTACTGTTGAGTGCTAAATGATTCTTGATAGTCGACACTTTCTTCACTAAATACATCATGTCACTCATTGTTCAGAGCCAATTACAAGTCAGGCACATATGTTTCAATTAGAGCTGTAATGAGAATCTTTTAGGTTACTGTGTGAGGGTGAAGAGGCCCTCTTTTTGTCTCCTGGATTTCCAGCTGGGCCCCTGAAAAGAATGAAAGGGGCCATTATCATTGGTCATCAAACCGAGTCATTGGTGATTGGGAATCAGTGGAGATGGATGCAGAAAATAGGGATAGTCTTTTTAACTCTCTGCAGGAACCAAATTTAATTTTATTTAATGTGATTTAGTGTCTCTTTGTAATCTAAATAGGTAAAATAACATACTGTGTAGCCTAGGTGTTTTATCTTTAGTTACTATCTCATTGGCTGTGTACTGGCAAATAAATAAATAAAAAAAACATTTACCGAATTAAATATTTGGAATTACAGTGAAACCAACTATTTTAGAGGGCTTGTACTTATATAAGGACATTGATGAAAAACATGTTTGATATTTATTGTTTCCAAAAACAAAACTCACCAAAAAACACATTTTTCAAGTATGTTATTAGAAACTATATTAATACATTTGCCTACATTTTACTGTATCTAACCAGTGCTCAAAATATGTGGACTATGAACATGTGCATAATTGTCATTATGCAGGTTTATTCACAACAAACTCCAATTTCGTTGGGTTTAAGCCTGCATTATGACAATTAATGGTATTCTATTCTATGTTGCAAAAACCTGTCAAAGATTTTCTTTCAAGACACTACAGGCAGGTTAAGACCAAGTGGTCACCTCTAGTCTTTAAAAATTAAGCTAAATTAAAAATTGACGGGCTGCAGTTCCTTGAGTGTCCACTTGAGGGTGTCTACAAAAGCCAAGACATCGCCATAGACACCCATGGAAAAATGCCAATTTACAGTAAAATTCTTCAGAGTCTGGTATAAAAAATATTTTTAGTCTGGGTTGTTCATTTTTTTATTCTTAAGAGGAGTGTAACTTTGTGTCCAACATTTACCCACCAAAGAGCGATCAGAAACTTCCTTTTTAACAGGCAGAAGCCATCAGCAGGACCAGACACATTGGTGAATGACCATCTGTCTAAGCTGGTTAGGCCTATAAATTGGAAAAGACAGAGAGAGCAAAACAGAAATAGACCAAATAAAGGACAGACGAGATGAACACGCAGCACAGAAAATAACAGCAGATAACAATAAGGAACAAGCACTAGAAAACCACCTTTGCAGGGCTCCCTAATATGTAATCTTCTCTTGTTTACTTTGTAATAATGTTGTTTTAACATGTTGTCCTCCTCAGTACTTACACAGTCGGTGTTTATGCTGTCTGTCAGCAGCTAGTTCAGGTCCTCCTCCACTAAAAGAGCATGGCTGGTTCAGCTCTGCGGGCTGAATGGAGCCACTCTTCACTGCCAACAGCTGCACCGGGCAGGTAGCACGGGCTTTTCAGAGGGGCCAGCCTGCATCAATCAACTTAGTTTGAGGGCCCTCTCTGTAATTGCCAACTATTAGAATATGTGGCATGAGGGGTTCAGCATAATTTTCAAACACAGAGAAATGGCACCAAGGCCTCCTCTCAAACTCAGTGATAATTGAACAATTAAACTTTAGCATACAAATTACCTCTTCATTTGGCAGAACTAATTACAGAGGTAGGCTCGGCACAAAGAAGGCTCCCCGAGGTCAATGCCAAAACTGATTTTCATACTTTGGGGCTTCATTGTGTGACAGGTTTAGGACCATTATTGGCTATTTGTGACTTTAGCGATCACCAAAAAAAAAGAAGAAAAACCTTTCAAAAAGTATTTCTCGACTATTTTTGCAATTTTAGTACCCATGCTTCGGCGGGTAAAATAGTCGCACAATTTTCAGGTGACTCAGACTCGGGAATATTTTCAGACCATTAACTACAGGTCATCCAGCTGCAAACCCTTTAAACATCTCCAACAGGCAGGATTTGAATCACCCAGTTTGATTGGGGCAGTTAAGCTCATCATACCCTTCACTGTAAAATGCTAATCCTCCCCCGAAACGAATGGACAAGAATCCTCAGAGAGCATATGGAGAATCTCTCGTATTAATAATTCAAAGGAAATGAGCAAAAATTAGTGAGCAGAGCATCAGCGATGTCATGGAGCCATTACTCCTGCAAATGAGATATTTAATTTGTAAGATTTAAAATGGAAATATGGTCAGGATGAGAATTTATTAACCCCCTCTTTTTTCACGGTACTTGAAACTGAATATTATCAGTCTAATTCTTACAAATACATGAAATTTATGCCTCTATCATCCACTAGATTATGCCTGTTTCTTACTCTCCCTACCTAGACCTTTAATCAATATTATTCTAGACCCCCAAGAATGAACTCTAATGCCTAACTACTCTTTAGAGGGAACCTAAAGCCCACTGGCAAACCTCCACAAAGACATTTAAGCTCTCCAGGTGCATTAAGTGCAAAAAAGAGGCTAATGCTGGTAATGGCGGGATTCAGGAAGCTCTTGGAGCATTGAGAGAACCTAAAGAAGGATGGTTATCCATTAAAAAGGGGGCTGAAGACAACAGCACAGGTTTCCCAGCAGCAGTAATTGCACCAAAATAAGCAGAAACCTTCCTCCAATGAGTATTCTGCTCCTAAGAGGACATACAGAGGTGCAGTGTGTGCTGCACAAACACGCCCTCATGGCAATATTTGATGCTAAAAACTCAGAGATGAGACAAATATGAATTCGATATCCACTCCGACCGAAAAAGGCCAAACTAGGAGCATGACGCACATTTAATATATAAACTGGGTGCTCATATACAGAAAACATTTGCAAGTTCCCATACAAGAAGATAATACGAGCTGATAGGTGGAGGCAGGAGATGAAAATGATTGCAAATGTATGATGAGGTGGTGATTGTAGACAATATTAAACTACACAAAGAAGCTTTTGTTCCTGAATTCCTGCAGCAGTTCAGCCAGTATTGCCTCTGCTTTAATTTAATATCTATTTATTTTACTCCATTGTGTGGGTTTTATTGAGGTTGCGCCTGCTTTATCGCCCCGATCTCACCCAGAAGTGAAGGTCAGGAGAGGCAGAGTGCCTCTGTTTATTGGCTTCCATTGAACCCATATGAGCTGATTTGGCTATCCGCTCCTGATATTAAGTTCTTTCATGGTATTTTCTGCAATCCGGATATTGTTTATCACCACATTGAGATATTCAGTGTGTATTTACTGCTGAATTAAATATTCTTCATCACTTTTGTAATATCCTCTTTGTACAGACCTATGCAGGATGTTGGACAGAGGCTCAACTTCTTGGCTGAATATCTACAAGTTAAGAGGGAAATAACCTCAGTATGTATTTCAGCAGTGTCCCTGCTTATGTAAAGAATAGAATAGAATAGAATAGAATAGACTGGTATAGAATAGAATAGAATAGAATAGAATAGAATAGAATAGAATAGAATAGAATAGTATAGACTAGAATAGCAAAAACAGAATAGACTGGTATAGACTAGGATAGAATAGAACTAGACTAGAAGAGAAGAGAAGAGAAGAGAATTGAATAATATAGAACAGGATAGAACTGAATAGGATAGAATAGAATAAGATAGGGTAGGATAGAAAATAATAGAATAGAATAAGAAAATTGAATTGATTGGTATAGAATAGGATAGAATGGGATGAAATAGAATAGAGTAGAATTGAAACGAACAGGATAGAACTGAATAGGATAGAACTTAATAAGGTAGAATAGAACTGAAAAGGATAGAAAATGATAGAACAGAATAGAATAGAATAGAAAAATTTGGATGCATAGCTCTGTGAATATGATCAACCTATCAAAAGAGGACATTTTTAAATCCATGCTCACGAGTTAATTCATAACCTTAGCAACAATGGTTAAGAAACAGTCACACTAAGGCATACTTAATCAGCCTTGCTGTTCTCCAGCTGCAGTTCATATCACATGATTTTTATTAGCGATTGAAGGGCTTTGATTTTTTTTCATTCCTTAGCTTTTTTTGTAGTTATGAGACAATTGTTTAAACTGTATGAGCTGATGAAAATCATGTGATGTGATCAAACACTTCAGATCAGCTGCTTCGTGGACCTCAGTGAGGATTTTTTTCATTGTGCTTTAGTATTTGTGGCCTAAACAAACTTTATCAGAATAGGTTGTTCTGTTCTACCTGTAGGGGAGAGTGGGGTAAGTTGAGCCAAAGGGTAAGTTGAGCCACCCCCTGTAGCTTGGAAATGGTAAAATAAATTGATCATGTGACCAAATGTTTAGGAGATGGACATCAATTCATGAAGTCTGTGAAGGTTAGAAGCACATGGGTGAAGGGGTTAGACATTTATTTACAAAAAACATTTTTCACTCTTGAAAGTGAATTTATTCTGTCATAAGTTTGATTAGAATTGTGTCACTTAAAGGCATTCTCATCTTCAAATGGCTTTTTACAAAACAGCTTTTTAGCAGTTATATGCAATAATAACAATAAAAAGAATTATTGTACCAGTTGAATAGTGTATAATAGATAAAAATACATATGAATGTGAAGAAGTGACTGTTATTTAGGGAGAGAGAAGGTGAGGGAGGGCAGGGGTGGAGAGTCAGGGGGTAGTAGGGTTACGGCTCAACTTAACCCGTGTATGGGGTAAGTAGTACAGATAGTTTTGGCATGCTATATTATCAAGACAGTTATGTTTACACTCATTCTGTTGGTTTGCAGGGATGAACAACATCTTGAAATATATGCAGATACACTAGTTACAGACAAAACTATGGTTGACTTGAAATATGGAAACTGTCTCATCCTATCCCACTCTCCCCTATAAGGTGTCAATATAGAGGGTCAGGTGATGCATCACATGAAAATAGTACAGATAGTTCCCAGAATGCATCATTACACCACAGCAGGGCAGACTGACTTACGCTTCGTGACGTCACGTCTCTCCGGACGTAACATGATGCTGCGGATGGTGCACGTGGTCTGTTGTTTACTTCTTCCAGGAACGTCGGAGGCGCCGAGAGGAGAGAGAGGGGGGGAGGGAGGAAGAAGAAGAGGAGGAGGAGGGGGCGCTGATATTGTGAAACACTTTTTTTCCAGGATAGAGTTACATTAGTCAGCATTTGTCCAGAGAGGTTATCGTGAGTATGTTGAGCTGAATTTCCTCCGTTTTTTCCCCTCTTGAAAAAGGCTCTTCAAACAGCGCGAGACTTCAACAGTACGTATTGTTTTGGTTTCAGAGCAGCTGGAGTTCAGCACAGCAGTGTTTGTGTCTTTGCTCTTTGTTTCCCCTCACAGGGTCCCTCAGTTCAAGTTCAAGCGTTCAAGTGCTGTCAACAAAGCTTTAAAGCCTGAATGTAGCTGTTGGTATGCTCTCTGGGGGGATTGTCGAGCATGACAGGGCTGAAGCGAGAGAAAATACTGATTTTACAGTGAATCTGTGCAGATAGAAACTAGAGTCAGATGAAAAACAAGTTTGGTTGAGCCAGTGTAGGTTGTCAGTTTTGTTTGTCTTTATATCTGAGAGTGTATTTAACTTGACTGCTTTGCATTTCAAGCTTCCAGCATATTTTTAAACTACTCTTTTTTAAAGTACCTAGTCAGCTGTCGTTTTGTTGTCCTCTCCTCCAGTTTACAACCAGAATGCCTCAGCTTGGAAACCTGTTAACCCAGTTTCATCTCACCTCCAAACCTTCAGAAAGTTCAGGCCAGAGCCCACAACTTTCACCAACACTCCCTGAGTTTTTACAACATGTCAGGTATGTACCTTGTAAGCACTTTTATTGAACATCTATAAGACTTGTCCTTTAACTCTGTAGTATCCAGGTAGTTTTAGTATCTTTTAGCTGTTATCTACTTTGTTTCAAGGGAGGGAGCTGTTTGAGAAACACTTTACAGCTAACCCATCATATATCAATGTTCTCAATGCTTTATGAATAACCCGCAACACAATGTGTACATGTAATGGAATTGTGCAATACCAATTGACGGAATGTATGGTAGATATGCGTGTGTGTTTGTGTTTTATTATTGTAGTATTTATTACTGTGTATGTGTTTTATTACTTTAGTGTTAATTTTTTATTTATGCACTGACCGTCTGGCACTATTAAATTTCTTTGTACTTGTTACAATGACAATAAAGGACTATTCTATTCTATTCTTTTCTTTTTTGTTCTGTTTTGTTGAATGTTTTACAGCATTGAAGTTGCCAAATGAAGTCAACCACTAAACTTAATGGTTCTTTAGACTCTCTCTTTAGATCACACACACAGACTAACCCAATATTTCTTATTCTGTTGAATCAATACTGCAGGAAATTCACCGGCTTAAAGAATGAAGATGTTTACTGCAACTTGCGCATCCCTGACCAGTCTAAAACCAACAAAGATGACATCAACATCGTACTCCTCACAGGTTGGTAGTGATGTGTTGGTCGCGAACGATTCGTTCAAAAGAACCGAATCTTTTAAGTGAACGTACTGAACCGATTCACTTTCTTGAGTGATTCGTTTGTTTCTCACTTCAGTTGAGCTGAAGTGAGAAACAGCATAGCCAGGCCAGCAGGCGGCAAACGAGGGACCACATGCACCGATGCCTGAATCACTTGGTGAACCAATCATGGTTTGCGAGGGAACAGTGCATGTTCAGTGTGAATTCTGCTAAAGGTTCAGTGAACGAATCACTGAGCCCAATTTACTGAGCAGACCTGGTAAAAAGCATACCATAGGACAGTACACTTAAAACACCATGACCTATAAACAAGTTCATTTTTACAGACCTGTTTGCCAAAGCAACACAGCCAAACGCTCTGGTCGCAGGGTTCTCCCGCCAAGCGCTCAATGATTCGGTGATTCGGTGAACGAATCTTTTGAATGAATCTTTTTAGTGAACTGATCCTAGTGATTCAGTACATCTAAAAGAACTGCCGTGCCCATCACTACAGGTTGGTTCGCAGAAAAAAAGTTTTATGTCTTTACTTCTCTAGCTTCAAAGCGTCATTGCGTACAGATAACAGGTTTAAGCTAACTGTTCCAAAAGTTAACCCTACAGCATTCAATCATCCGTGGATTTGCTATTTTAAGATATCACTATATTACTATATCAAGTTGTTTTATGTACTAGCACAGTCTATCAATATGTTTTCATGATATTTGGCACAAGCACCACACAAGACGGGACATACTGTGATAAAAAATGTGATTATTTTGCATACGAAACTGCAGAAAAGACCGAGCTAATCTGTCAACATGCTACTCTCGACTCTGTAAACCTTGACTCTATGTGATTTTTCTTTTCCTTTAACAAAGGCCATGGGATCTTCTGTGTAGACGTGAAATCCTGGAGAGGTGCAGTGTCTGTTCAAAACCAAAACTGGCAAATAAAAGTGAAAGAACAGGACCAAAACTTTACCAACACCTGTGTCGAGCAGACTGAAGATCCCCTCAAAGCTATTATGGTAAGAAAAAGACCCATTTTACTGACATCTTGAAATACCAACATGAAAACCTAAATGTCAAACTGCCTGGCACACTTGTGTCTAAGGTCCAATCAATTGTCCAGCACATTGTTTTCATCCTAATCTCTACCGGGTTAAGAGATTCTGAGTCACCATAACAATTTATATGGAAATTTCAAACACTGCAGGGCTTCCTAAACTTCCCGAGTGCACACTCTTCAGCTGGAAGGACTTAATTATTTTCACTGGGTTGTGTGTGTGTGGGGTGCTGAAGCAGGCAGGTGCCTAAACACAGCTGTCACCTTATGTGCTCATTCATTCATTTACATCTCTAAAGATGTGAAATTTTAACACGCAGCTTGGCTTAAGAGCCTGATGGCAAACACACATTGAATCATGTAAATAGTTAAATTGGACATATTAACTTCATTAGTCGGCAAGAGCAGAAACAGCTTATCCAGTTTAGCATTAATACTGTTAGAGGATGGCCCCAATTAGAAATCAAAACCCATAAAACCCCACTTGTATTCTTCCAACTGAATAAAGAATAATTCAAGTTCTTGTTTTTTAAGTACCTGCAGAAACATTTCTCCTTGTTTTATCAGTCTCTCAGGCTTGAGCCAGCCAGCCAGCAATGCAATGCAAAAGAACAAGAAATCTCTCTCCCGCCTCCAACTAATTCAGAATGCAGCAGCTCGGCTTTTAACTGGTTTTAGTAGACGGCATCACATCACTCCAATTTTAGCCTCCCTGGCTTCCTGTCAGTTTTAGAATTGATTTTAAGATTTTATTGATTACTTTTAAAGCACTCAAAGGACTCGCTCCGAGCTACATTTCAGAGTGTTTAATACCTTATGAGCCAACTCGCAGCCTCAGATCCTCTAGCGAAGGCCTCCTGGTCGTTCCAAAGTTGAGGCTCAAAACTAAAGGTGATAGAGCTTCCTCCATCAGAGCTCCTCGACTTTTGAACGACCTGCCGGAGGAGATAAGGTGTGCAGAGACAGTCACTTCTTTTAAGTCAAATTTAAAAACTCACTTTTACGGACTCGCTTTTATGTGATGCTGTCTTTTCTCTTTTTTCTTTTATCTCTTTTACCTCTATCTTATTTCAACTTACTATTCTCTTAGCCTTTGTTTTACTTATAATCTTTTCTTAGTTTACCTTTTAGGCCCTTTATTGATTTTATTGTTTTTTCCTGCTCATTTTTATTATTCCATTTTATCACTAATATTACCATCATTATCATTTTATTATGATTTTATTATCATTATTAAAGTTGTCTTTTTATATGTACTATCCTGTTTCCTGCTTTCTGCCCCCCTTTTTTTATTACACTTCTTCTTCTGACCTATTTTATGTTTTTATTTTGGTCCTCATGGTCTCACTTTATTTTGTAGGTTTCTTGTATTGTCTGGGTTTCTTATGAAAGATGAAATTGGCCTTCAATACGGAGGCCTTGTTTTTAACTGAGCTTTTGTTTTTATTTGTTTTTATTTCCTTGTGCTGATGTTCTGTGCTTTGCAACTGTTTGTCAAAGCACTTTGTAAACTCCTGTTTTTAAAAGTGCTACAAAAAAATAGTTATTATATCATTATTATTATTATTACTATTAATGAGCCAATCAAAACACTTTTGATGTTTAATTCTAACTGTTATTTCATTTGTCAAGTCAGGTCAAGTCAATGTTTATTTATTAAGCACCTTTAAAAGACAGCAGTCAAATAAAGTGCTGTACCTGGGATAAATAAAAGAGGTAAATAAATAGATAACAATAAAAAAAAATTAAAACAGTGGAATAAAATACAGTCAGTAAAAGAAGAAAAGCTACAGTGTGTGGGTCTTTAAAGATGATTTAAAAGACTCTAAGGTCTGTGAGGCTCTAATATGGACAGGTAAACTGGTTCACAGTCTAGGGGCAACAGCTGAAAAGGCCCTGTTACCTCTAGACTTGAGTCTGGTTTTGGGGACGCTCAACAGTAACTGGTCAGAGGACCTTAAGGCTCTGGCTGGAGAGTGGTGCAAGACCATTGAGGGCTTTAAAAACGATTAAAAGAATTTTAAAATCAATACCGAAGCGGACTGGGAGCCAGAAAATTTGCTAATTTTCCTTAGATGTGTTGTTTTTAAATATTCAGGCATGCTGGATGTTAAAAAAAAAAAGTTTGATGGCAGAACTTTTTTTCTTTTCTTCGAAGAAAAACTTTGAATGACCTTATGTTAAAAATCTGTAATTATTAATTCAACCAGTAGCTGCTCAAAGAAAAGTTATTAAGACTTCACAGCAGAGCAGACAGTCAACATGAGCTGACTCTCCCTTTCTAGACCAAGACTGCAAACTTGTGTGGCCATCTAAAGAGGAGTGGAGTGCCAGTGCGCCAAAGCCTCTTCTTCCCCAGAGTCATCTTCCTCTCTCCGGACTGTGAACTGGATGAAGAGCTGAGGAAGAGGAGGGAGCTGGTCTCCCACAGCCAGATAGAGGACTTCCTCAGATCCTTCAGGGAAGGTTACATGGCCTGGATTTCAGATGCACTGACTCCGTCCTGGCTCTCAGGTAAGTAAAGTAACACTTGAAGGGGTTTTGATGTAAGGGTTTAATACATTGATTATCTGTATTTGTATTTTCTTGATCATAAAAAGACATGAATGTAGAATTCAGTCCATGTCATGGGTGTCAAAAATCTCCTTATGGGAGTTTTAATAAAAACAAATCTACTTCAAGAGGCCTTCAAGCTGAAATACTTGAATTCCTCTTATTTTGCTAGCTTGTGTTTCCTTGTTCTCTAGGTCATCTGTCCTATAAGCAGATGGAATCAGTGCGGGGGGTCCTGAGGGGGGTAGGAACGTGGGATCTGATGCGGCTCCACTGTGGCGAGCAGCTGAAAGGGGACTACCGGGGCTGCCAGTACATCGCTCTTGACCGACGGGAGACGGACACGCTCGAGTTTTCCAGAGTCAAGACCCTGTCAGCTGATTCGCTGTGGTCCCTGCTGGGACACACTCCTCAGGTCAGTCCACAGCTCCAAATCAGTTAATGAGAGTTAAAGAACTAAAGCCAAAGACCAGTAGGTGGCAGTAGTACTTTAGGGCTGCTTCATACAGCTTTTAGTTATTTTTATCCATGAATAACAAAGGTTTGATTTTAGCTCAAGACCGTAAAACATGTCAGCAACTCTGCTGTTATTTTACAGTTTTTTGGTCTATGATTATTTAAAAATGTGAGTTTGTTTTCAGGGGAAAAATGATTAAATAATTAAGTTCAATTTAGGAATTCAGTTAAGAAAAATTCTCAATTGACAACACCTCAGTGAAATCACTCACAATTATAAGCTGAGTCTGATTTATTAAAGGCTTAACTGTTGGATTTAATGTGGTTCTTTTCAGAAAATCTACCCGAAAGCAGACTTTTTCAAGTGACACTTGTATGATGCGGCTTTAAAATCATTTTCCCTTTTCTCCCTGTCTTAATTACTGCCTAATCTCTCCAGTTTTTTATTGAGGTAAGTCATTCAAGCTCCCCGCAGAGAGACTCATTAGCTGCTTGAACTAAGGCTAACAAGGTCTGAAAAGCTTTTTCTGGGTCCTTTTTTAAGATTCATTTGATTACAAAATAATTAATCAAATTGATTAATTAGTGTCAGGCTTCTTCGGGGTGGTATAAACTGTTTGCTGAATTCAGAGCGATCAGGATATTTGCATAACAAACTTTTGACCAGCATATTAAACCAAAAGCCTTTAAGATTATACAAACTTGTTTATTGGCGCTCCAGTGCTGCTAGTTCTAGAAATGTTTAAGTAGATGTCATACACACACGAGTCATGGCTCTCAAGGTCCAGCAAGTGCGACCCTTACAGATTTCACACCCGCCCTCTGCAACCCAAACACTCTGGGCTTTCCTTACCGACTCCACTCAGGCTTTTCGTTCGCCCTCCGCCTCCCCCGTCCTCCCCCCAAACTTCCAGACTGTATGCACTTCCCCTCTCGCCTCCAGCAGCTGTGTATTTGATACATGACCCGACAATCATTAAGCAGACTGCAGCGGGCCCTTTCTGGCCAGAGGGGACACACTCGGGGACAACATAATTTACCATTATAAGATATATTTGTAAATGGAGGCAATGTGAGGGGACCTTGTACTCCTCAAGAAGAATTTAGCCTAAATATGATGGTGTTAGCCACTTGACAGGCCTATATGTGTATTTAATGAACAATGTCCAGAAATAATTTGTGTATTTATGTTTAAAACTTGAGGATTTTGCCACCTTAGACATAAAAAAAGATCTTTGCACGTGTGCGGCAGCTGCCAGGGGAAACTCAGGGGATGTGCGGAGAAACCTGATCACTCCCTGAGGCATATTTTCAGTGTCCAGAAATAATGCATGCTTTTGATTTGTTACTTGTAAACACACAGGGGTAAAAAGATCCGAGATACGACCCGAAGATTCACTCAGTGAGGCATCTGTCGGGTTGTGAGAGGTGGCACCAGATGCGAGCACAAAGCTACAGCGGAGGTGTGTTTTCTGCGAGCTGAGTCGATTACTCTGCAGAGAACGGGGTGTGTGCGTGTCCCCAAAGTGGAGAATGATTGAGTAGAGTGGCTGTAATTTATTAATTATGCTCTATATTCTTAGACCACGGTTCTGGCTTCATTCAATTTGTATGGATTGAGGGGGTAATTATGTGTGTGTGTATGAGCGAGGCTGTGCGCAGAACTGCGTGTGTGTATGTGTGAGGTAGAGAGCTCTTTTCATGTCATAATTTCAAGTGCAGGCAACTTATATTGTTCATCTTCATGTCTCTTAAATTTGACTGTTTCATGAGCTCTTTGCACCAGAAATGATGAGGTTTATTCAGGGGGAGCAGAATCGAAGCCCCTGTGTTTCAGCGCTTCATAGATCGTCTGCTAATTGCATAGCTGCGAGAACAACAATCTTGACTACACTCGCCAGTCAGCTGATTATTCGAACCAACAACACCAGCTTAAAAAAAAAAAAAAAAAAGATCCCGGCAAATTCACTGACAACATCTCTGCAAACAAATAATCAGACCTCAGTTACCAGAGATACGTCTCGTCTCCCTGACTGGCTACAGATTCCACATGGATTCAAGCTTGTTAATTTAACTCCACGATGACATTCCTCCCTGTTTGTTCGTCTCCCAGGCTGCACGCATCACGGGCCTGTAATGGACAAGGCTGGTGCGCCTTGTGCCGAGCACAGAAAAGGCGGAGAGGGGAGACATCAACCGCTTTGTGGTGATAATGAATGGAGGCACACAAAAGGACAGGCGCTGGCCATTTACAAAGCCTGCAAATTCTACTGCCTAAATAGATAATACTGACAGACAGTGTGGCTTTTTGCCCTCTTTTTATGTTGAGAAGAAAGAATCAAGCCATTTAAAGAAAATATATTCAGGGACCATTTCTGTTAATTATTAGACGGACATTAAAACGTTGTAAAAGAGGGCAGAGTCCTCGTCGATAGAAGGAAAAAAGGTATTTTGGTAAACAAAAAAATTGGCATGAATTATCTGTTTTGACGGAATAAACACATTTTTCTTATTTTCCAAAAGAAAACTGGAAAAACACTTAAAAGTTGTGCAACAAAAATAAAACATGTCGAACTTTTAAGCAACAAAGTTTCCTGTTCTTTCAGGTTAACTTTAACTCAACTTTCTAGACTGGTAATTTCTATCCCGTAGATGAGTTTCAAAGAAAGTTTGAAGTGGAATTTCCCAGAAAAAAAAAAAAAGCTCTATTAGTCGTATAGCTTTTATCAACCGAAATGAAAATCGTGGGGAAATTACCAGGATGTTCAGATTTCTGTAATTGCAGCGTTGCTCTTGAAAAGGAAACTGGAATTGGAAATAATTTGCACCCAAGTGTGTGTAGGAAGCTACAGAGGAAAGCTAACCATGCAATTACACATTCGAAGAGTGCTGCAGAATCACAAGTGTTAGTAATGAACTAGTGAAGACACCGGCACTTATATGGTGGAAGGCAATGATAAAAGCTGCCTTGTAATAGCGTGTGATTAAACTTGATAAAAATCTATTTTTTCACTCGAGCACTAAGCCGCTGTGGAGAGTCCCGTGGAGAGATTCTGCATCCGTCAATTTGAGGATGACTCAATGTGTTTCCTCCAAATTCATCACCCAGCATGCAATAGCAGTCACTGTTAAGAGCTCTTCACATGCTCTTTTGTTAATTTAGTTAAACATCAACCCGCAGAGTTCATGTTTTACACATTCCTACTTAACACAGGTAGAGATTGAGTTTTCTGTAAATTTGAATACATGTTTAAAATAAAGCTCCAAACCATTAATATTCATTACTAAATAATTTCTTTGAATGTGGAATGAGCTGTCTACACCCACAGAAGATCACTCTGCATCAGTAAATCAACAGCTGAACGGGTCGTTAAAAGTGATCCAGCATTTGTTGTCGTCGTAATAATCTTTTTTTATTGTTGGAAAAGGTTAATCACGACATTAAGACTGTATTTAAAAACATTTGGAGCCAATACTCAAACTGATAATCAACATGGTGCGTCTTATTCAGTTTTTATATCCTTTTTTTTTGGAAATAATAGAATTTGTAAGAATAATCTATTCGAGCAGTGGTGCGTGTTGGTTTTGGCGCCCCCTGTGGACAAAACAGCCCCTTGTGTCTTTGCTGATTTATGCTGCATTCGAGTTACATCACAAGTCAGATGTCGGAGCTGAAAATGACGTCACACCTGAGTTACCAGCGTTTCAGTTACCAACTTGGAAAAAAGCAAAATCGGAGGCGGAAACAAGATGGCTACATGTACATGTACGAAAGTTATTTTAGTACTTGCCTTGTCCTTGTTATATTCAGACTCAGGTGTGACGTCATTTTCAGCTCCGACATCTGATTTCCTGAGGTAACTCGAACGCAGCATAAATCGGCAAAGACACAAGGGGCTGTTTTGTCCACAGGGGGCGCCAAAACCAAAGCATCTGATTTTCCGAGGTAACTGAAACGCAGCATTAGTCTTGGACTCAAATAAATGGCGTGTTTTTACAAAATTCTCCCGCTGCTTTATTTTAACAGTGTAACATGACATATTGGTAATCTTAAAAACAGCAACAGTACATAATGGAGTCTACCCACTACAAGTTTCAAACATAAAAAATAACCATATAAAAGAAGCCGATCTTGATGCTCTTGTGCGCCATAAAGAGGCATCAACATTCATTTTAGTCAGTATCAAAACCAGCCAAAAACTCTCCACAGGAGCTTTAAGTGTCTTATTTTGGCACTTTTCACGAGTTTTTAGTTGAAAAATTCACAGTGAAAGCAGAATATCATTAGATATTGATTTAAACAGTGTTGAAAAATGTGTAAATCATTTTATTCTCAGAGCTTTTTGCCTTGTTTGATACTAACTTTGATTTTTTAGTTGATTGTGGCATAAAAATGATATTTTGTTGGTCTTTTTGAAACTCATGACCCTGTTTTCTCACATTTTAAAAACTATAATTACAGCCCCATCAAAAAGCAGTCACTGATTATACTGACTTATTGGCCAGACTTTTATTATCACTCATTTAATACCTCGATTAGACAATATAGGCATCATTCAGTCTTTTCTTTCCTATTAGTGATTGTCCCACGTCATCCACTTTGGCATCAGATACTCGGTTCAGTATTTATAGGAAACTTTCTTTGGTCACAAGCCAAGATGTTAATTTTATCTGTAAAGCTGGGCTATTTGTTTTTGAGATACAGGATATTACAGTGATCCCCACAGTATAGGCAGTGAGATATGATCAATAGGGATTCATGAATAATGAAGAGGCCGAGTGGAGCAGAGACACTTAATTACAGTTTCAAAAGCCATTCCCGTTAATTGAGGAGAATAAAGGTGCTGAAGTGGACTCGACGGCAACATTAGAATTTTTTATATCAGGTTCCTTTTATTCAATGAATTATACGACAAAAACCTCCACTAGCAGTCGGCGAATTCTCCCTGTTTTCTCAGTGAATCATTCTGTGTTTGACTTCTATTATTGTAGTTTATTTAGTGCGCTCGGTCCATTTCCTGTGACCACCTGCGAGCAGGGTTTCGTTCTTTTAATGCAAAGTCTAGTATGCTGCATGTCCAGACAGAGCGAGTGCAGCAGATCCAGTACGTAATTGACAGCGCTGCCATCTGTTACAGTTATGTGAAATTATGGATAAACTAGTTAACAGACACTTTGTCCCATTGTCTGTTGTTTTGATAATCACCCTTAATAACGGACTGCATCAATATGGTCTTTAAACCCGATTTGGGACTTAATGGAGTCAGATGGGGGCAGTCAGTGTATGCTCAGGGGGGTAATGCTGTTAGAGATGTTTGTAAAGAGCAAATTAAATCAGTCATAGATTGTGCCCTCTCAAGTCAGCCAGACGACCAGACCCATTGAGGAGAAAAAGGAGGGGGATTCATATTTTAAAGCTCTCGCAGAAAATGCACTTATGCGGATGGAAATAAAGTCAGAGATGGGTGAATGGAAGTAAATGGTTATTGCAGAGGGTCTAATGGCTTCCTGTTAGCCGGCGCGGGACGGTTAGACGCAGAGATGTGGCTATTTAGAACTTAACCAGCCATCTTTAACATTCATGACTTTAGACAAATGTGGTTACTGACGCATACGGCTATGTCACCAAACCGGAGTTTAGGCATCTTAATGGACGTGGGCAGCCTACTTCCTTTTCAAAATATCTCATTGGATCTTATTTTAGGAAATTTGTCAAGAAATTTGAATTTGATGCCATTTCCACCTATTACATCCAATTGAGTCCTTCATTTTCGACTTGGGATAAGGTTTATCTCTGCGTTTGTTGGGTCAGTGAGGCTCATATTAGGTGTTATTGGATGTTTAAAGAAAAAAATTAGACAGTCACATTTAGAAGGATTTTGGGTTTTGCAGTCAAGCTCATGTGAGAGTTTATGCAGGGTGTATAGAAATACTTGTTTTAAATTTTATTAGGCAGTAATTGAACTGATCTGTACTCAACAAGACAAAATGGCTATCTTCAGTTACCTTCCTGTCAAACTTCTTGTCATCAGTCTAATATCACTTTCGAGGACTGAAACTATGCAATGATCTGGATGTATCTCTAAAATCAATATTATCCTTCAAATCCTTAAAAATATCATTGAAATCTCATCTAATCATGTCTTAAACACGTCATTAACTGTTATGTTCATGTTTCTTTTCTTTTTATGTATACTTATATATTTTCTATCTCTGATTGGGCTGGTTGATGATTAGTCTATGTTCTGTTTATGACAGTTTGTATATGTTTTGACCTTTCCCTAATCATTGTATGAAAAAAAGATGCATCCCGGGAGGAAGCGAGAAGACTGATACAACAGCAGACTGACTGTTTTTCAGTTCTGATTAGACACTAGTGTTGAGATGACTGTCTGTCATGATAGCATGTACTGAGTCGGGGCCAGTACCAGATAAGAACATTAAACTATAATCCATAAACGTAAAGTAACAACCGAGACCTAATGGTGCTGTGACAGCAAAGCGATTGCGTTTGAGACAGTGAAAATACATATGGTATGTTGTATCCGAACAGGTTAGCTTACGAGCTAAAGTTACTTAGCACAGATGAAAGTTAAAACAAAGACGTTTAGCAAACTGTTCAAGCACACAAACCATCGTCATATGAGATATCCGACGCTATGACTCTCTACAAACTAGCCTTCAGGTCGTCATCTTTGTAATGTTTGTGTCTTTTATCAAAAAGCACTCTGTTCTCCGACACGTAAACAATCAGCCGGTCGGCCATGTTGGATATACCGGTGAATCAGACGTCACAACAACACGAAATCTGATTGGTCAGAAGTGGACAAACAGTATGCGAAACTTCAGAAAAATCGATGTGACACGAAAAAATAAATGCTGATGTGAACGCTTGTATTGACAGGATACGGGTTCGAAAAAAATATTGACGTCCAAAATAATCACATGAAAAAAGCGCTCCCGGTGTGAAAGGACCTTTAAACTGTACAGCCGCCTTTAAAAAAATGAGTAAATGGAATCACTGATAATCCAGTTATTCACACTCTGACTCAACAGGTAGTTGATTTATTCACACAGCGAGCCAAACCACCAGTGTTTACCTAATTGCCTCGTTAAAGCCAGAAGCAGCTACAGCAAACCTCTTTTGCTGCGATTTAATTACATTTGGCTTGTTTACAAAGATTTTCGGTGCGCCAGAGGTGTGTTACTCAGTGTTCCTCCCGGTGTGTGTGTCTGCTAAGACACAGCGAGGAACAAAGAGCCCGTCGTCTGAAGCCGGTGTGGCGTTACGCTCACTCAGAGTTCACCTGAAACACTGCACCCATGGCTCCAGGTAACAGGCCCCTCTGAGTGATACCCCACCGGGATTCTTTGACTTTATCAGGGAGGAGAATCTGAACTTTTTGAATGGCAATACACACAGGTGGTGACACGTCCATACCAATTACACAGCTCCTCACATCATTCATGTTTGTCAGACCACTCAGACCTTGAACTACAAATAATTTTGTTTACAAGTAGAAAAGTTTTGCTCAGTATCTTAAATCTTAACATTTCTTGGAACGATTTAAAGAAACAGGCAGAGAAAGTGTGTCATGGAAGACCCTGCAGCTAGAAGAGGAGGAAACAGTTGAGATAGCTATCAGCTATTTGTACAGAGATTTCTTTGAGAGAGCGAGTCGTCCTCTTGAGTTTAAGAGGTTAGAAGGTCAACAGTGAACCACAGGCAGGATTTATGACTATTAGCAGACCGTAAATAAGGAGTAACAGAGTTTGTCTGCTTGAAATGTGAGGAGTGATGTCATTCAAACGACTCCCCTGACACAGAAAGTGAGAGGCAGATCAGAGGTAGACTACGTTAGGTGAGCTTTCAGCCCTTTGTGTGACACCCAGCCTTAGCCTCGAGGATCCTGTATTAGCCATGAAGTGTTAAACAGACACATTCAGGCCTGTCTGTGCTTGGATTAGTCAAGATCGTCTCATACTTTTGAACATTTCACAGTCTGAAGTGAGATTTCTTTATCTAAAACTTGTCAAAGATTTGCTCATCTTAAAGATGCAGTTTGCACTCAAAAATGACATTGTTTTGTCTCACCAGGAGCTGTTGTACACTTTGTTCTTTGCTGTAATTTAGATACACACACTTGCTTTAAGTGGATAAGGAGCTGTGACAGATCCTGTACCTGGCTCAGCACCTGGCAGGCAGGCTGTCTAGACCGCACAGGACTCCCTTCTTTGAGTTAATGCCAAAAACAGCCACGTACTTTCCCGGCGGATTGGAAAGCTTTGCCAATGTCTGTAGCATTTGATTCTTTTGGTTTAAAGTTTCACGACACGGAGAGGATCAGTTTGTGTAATACATGGCTGTTTTTTGCTGAAGTAAGACAAAGTTTCAGCCCTAATCCTTCTTTTTTGACCAAAGAAATCCAGAGGTTTTTGAAAACTGTAGAAAACAGCTGTTATATACCGTATTTTTCGCACTATAAGGCGCACTTAAAATCCTTTTGGACTGTCAGAGCACTGCAGCTACCGTAGCCTCGCAGAGTTAATGCGCTTTATAATCCAGTGCGCCTTATGTATGAAAATAGATGCAAATAGATGCGTTCATTGATGGTGGGCTTTATAATCAGGTGCGCCTTATAGTGCGAAAAATACGGTAAGGTGTAATGTAAAGTGAGCAGGGGGTTATGCAAATTAGAATATCGACAAGGGGAGCAAGACCGGCCCGAAACTCTTTTATGTTTAGCATTTTAACAAATGTCACTAGAATATCAGTGGCCGCACTTTTGCCATTGACTAGTCGCTGTGACGAGGTTTCGACCAATTAGAATCGAGTATTTCACACTTATGGATACTTATAGAAGATTTTTGGAGTGTGTTTTGTCTTTTTAAAGGTGTACTTAGTCTCTGTGAGTGTCTTTAAATCCGTAATCTTCATGCACTGACCAGGAGTCGCGCTCTTGATCTTGTCGTCTCCTGCCGTACAATGATAATAAAGGCTGTCCGTCCAATTTTAATTACTGCAGTGTATAAACGTGCAAACTGCAACACTTAAAACATCTGTGTGCATCAGATCAGATAACATTGCCTTGTGTTACATCAGAGTAGTCATACAAAACTTATGTTTTTTGTAGTTGCTTTATGTCTGTTTTCTTCAATTTGGTTGATGTCTCTTTCACTCAGCTCGTTGAATGTTAACATCCTTATCTAATTATTAATTTGAATAGTTGTTTCCAAAAGTTTGAAGATAAAACTTAATGTGAAAAATGATTGTTCTTGCAAAACGATGGATGATTTGAATGTAGGAGCTGATTTCTGAGCAGCTTCTGTTAAAAAAGGCAGTTTAAAGAATCATAAAGCTTTGATTTTCCACATAGGTATTATTCGGTCTTTTATTAAATAGCTTTTTACCTCAGATTGTGTATAAAGTTGGAGCTGTTTTAGCTCTACCGTGATAAAAGTCCTCATCTCTGCTCTCATTATATAAGGTAATTGTTCATAACGTGGTTCTGATTTGTTCGTCTTTTTGTTTGTCTCTGCGTCTCTCTGCCACCAGCTGTCATGAAGCTATTTTTTTCATGCATCTGAAATTAACAGACACTCATTCTGAAGTGTCTGAAGCTATTGTAATACAAGCCATGTGGCATCCGGCCAAGGCTGCAATATAAGACACAATTGTTGCGTTTTTTCCCCCCTCTCTCTTTTTTCCTGTTTTAATGCACAGTAATAAGTAAGTAAATGCTGCAAAGATGTGTGTCTAAAATCGCGGCGGCCTTTGTTGAAGATAATTAGGTTAGCAGCAAGAGCGTGCAGGTGCTGAGGGTGTGCTGTGCGCTCGTGTTGTGTTATCGACTTGCTCGTATTCGCAGGCTGTCAGGGGTGTCGCACTTCCCATCAGCCCCAAAGCTCAGCAACCTCTTCACTATTAAAATGATCACTTTCAATAGCAGACAAAGGAAAGAGGGAACATATCTAGTGCAGGGTATTTTCCCCACCTCTAATGCTTATCTGCCTTTTGATGTCGGCGTAATAAAAGGCCTATTGGGCTTCCACAATGACCTGCAAAATGGACAAGAGCCGATATACTGGGCTCTGACTGTCGCTACCATTAACTAAAAGGCCCAGACATTATGGAGAGCCGGGGATGAAAGAACATGGAAAAAAAATAATAATTGAAAAATTGCCTAATGCTAAAGTGAAAGAAAATGGAACTGTGAAAAGGCACTGTAATATTCTGTTATCCCCTGTAAATGCAGCCAAACAAGAGCTGCAGCAAGGCATTCTTTTTGAAATGGATGTGGTTCAATTACCTGCATGTCTAAATCTAGTTAAGGCTTCCATTGTCAGGCTCAAACAGAACAGGCAGTTTTGATGTAGTGTTAAAGCGTATTATGCCCTACAACCTACATAGAATCAAGAGAGCTGTGACTCCATTCAAGGCGTGGAGGAGAATTAAAACAGCTCACATTGAAAACAAGGTTAATTTAATATTTATCCGGATTCAGACGTCCAATTTGGATTACTGTGGAACAAAGAGGTACACGATTTCTGCACAGTAGCAGGAAAACTGTGACTGTTTTTTTAAGGCTATACTGATGCGCCAAAAACAACTGATTCCTTTCACCAGGTTAGACATTTCACCTGATTAAAAACACAAAATGGTATGATCCTGCTGGAAGATTTATCGATTAAATGATCAATTGAAAGAGGAAATTAATCACTTGTTGTACGTGTGTGTGAATGTGGCCTGTGTTCAAAAAATAAGGAACAAATTTGAAATTGGAGTCAAACGAAGAAAGTAATTTGTGATCATTAATTTGTAATACTAATATAATCAATGTGATCATCTGATTACTCATTTATAATCACATTTAATCATTTAATATGCAACTTGTATTGCAAATTTAAGAAGGCAAGGTATCAATAGAGGGCATTTGTTTTTAAATCAGTCAATTAAAAAGTTGTTTTGTTGTTTAGGATACATTAAAACTGTACTAAGTACTCCATTAACTACTTAAATACTGAAATTTTCCTTTCTTTTGTTTACATTTTGCTCTGTATTGTATTGTATCTTAGCTATTGTATTATATTTAATTTATTGTACTTTTATTCTGGGTACTAATTTCATACCACAGCCTGTCAGAGTTGTAGGGTATGACAAATAAAGGTCCTTAAATCCATTTAAATGAGAATTCACAGGCTAGAAAACTAACCCTAGCTATTTCAATGCTTTTATATCTTTATATATGTATATATTTATAATTACTAAGTACTAATGCAACTAATTATTACTATTAGGTGTTGGTGGGACCCCCAGTTTCACTCCGTTCCTCTCATAACAAAGCACGGTCAATAGGATGAGACTGGTTTAGGCAGAATCATATGTGTGGTGGCCAAAGGTGAAAGTCATGAATGTCAGTTTAGCTCCAGCCAGACCTCAGGAGGTCTCACTCAGGTTGGAGACCTCTACAAGAGCTCTCAATACTCTTGAATCTCTACTTTCTCTCTGCAGGTAACTGTTAAAATGTACAAGCGGGGCTCTCAGGGCTGGCTGGGTAAATCCCTCAACGCCACTACCACCATCCCTTCCAACACCTCTGTGATCTTCAGGGTCGGCGGGGAAGAGGCGGACGCCCAATTCCCGGCGAGCAGCGTTCACAGTATCGCACTCAGCGTATGATGAGAAAGCCATCACAACAAACCAAACATGATTTCACCGAGTGCCTTTTACGATGCGAATGTTTGTATTTTGTTTGACTTCACTGATCACATAAGTGCTGATAACCTTTTATTGGTCAAAACAAAACAAAGAAATCTAATTTTTCCGATTTTCCCTGATTTTCTGACCCTCAACGGCAATATTATGCTAATGAAGATGCTTTCAGATAATTATCCTGATTAACTTTCTCTTGTTTTGGATTTCTAGGGCTGGCCCACACTTTACACCAGCCATTAATTAATCATTATGTCAGCTGATTGTGCCATATCGGTTCAAGCTTCAAGTGTTTAATGTGTTAATTGTGGTGGTTAAAAACTGGCAGCCTCTGGCGCAGGAAGAGCTCGGCTTGTTACTGCGCGTACTGGTTCAATGGGCAGTGATTTACGGTCTGTTTGGATGGTGTAACTGTAAGGTGCTTTATTAATATGCTCCACCACCACGCAGAAGAGATGATAACATATTCAGGAGTGCTCGGGCACAGCCACCAGCACCATTCATAACTGTGTCTGAGTCACTTTCCATCAGTTACTGGGCTCACAGCTGCGCTAACAGCTAGCAATTGTATTTGCTGTGCCTGGTAGTGGCTAAAATGAAGTTATTTCCATTAAGATATCAGTGCCTTTAGCTAATGCAATAGAAGGAGCTCTCTGTGTCGATGGTATCTTTTCACATGGCATCTCTCTACCTGAAACATCATTACACTGTACTCAAGCTCCTCACTTTTTCAAACCTCTGTTTTACTGTTTTACCCGAGGGCGGGTTGTTTGAACAGGGCTGTGTTTTTAGCAGGAGGTAGGTGTGCATTTTTAGGACTCCGGTTGTTTACAGGTCTCAGTCAACTGTGCTTGAATTTTAAACACTTTTCTCAAAACTATTGACCTTTTACATTTAAACCTCATTTTAATGCATCTTAAAGAGTCTTCAGGAACTTTTGATGAGTATCTGAAAAGTTAGCATAAGGACAGTTTTTTGGGTACGTGTAATTTTGAAATGAAGTGGTTTACTTTGAGTGTATGTTAATGAGTGTTTTGTATTTTGTTTTATATATTTTTTTCTTTTAAAAAAACTTAAAGCACTTTCAGCATTAAGCCATCTTAAGAAACCTGAGTATTAACGCTTTTCTGTGGATTGATTTCAGCATGGTCGTGTGATTCGGTGGTGTTTTTCTGGTTATGGTATTATTGTGTGTTTTTTATGTTTACATGTATTGGTAATATTTGGTGTCCTAATAAAAAAGACTTAAAGCTTTTCACGGGTTTGCACATCTTTGTTACCTGCCTACCAACTAAACATGCAAACAGTTGACCTCAAGCATTGATCCTCAAGTTATTTATTGATTTTAAAAGGATTTATTCAAGCAGCCAAAAAAAAGTTCCTTGAATTCTGAGATTGTTGTACCTCTATCACAACGGTGGTCTTATCAGCCAACTAGCAGGTCAGATTAACATTAGATTTTAATTTATGCTAAAGTTTTAGCCTGCATTACTGCCATAAGAATCACATAAACTTTAAATTTCAATTCAAAGTTTAATGTGATTCTTAATTTCCTGTAATTTTTCCTCATTCAACCAGTCCTGTAACACTGTCAAAGCCCATATTATATTGTGTTTTGTGTCTGTTTTCTTCAATTTAGTTGATGTCTCCCTCACTCAGCTCCTTGTATGTTAACATTCTAAGCTAGTTTTGTCACAGTTTCTTTACTTTTGCCTATTTTTTCTGTCGTTGATTGGTTTGTCAAAGCGCCAAACTCCTTGATATGACTCGTCGTCATGTGATCTTGTTGTCCACAGAAGAAGTCAGGACCAATCAAAATCAATGGCCAGGTGGTTAGTAAAATAGCTGGTTATCAATCACCAATATTCATCGTTTTAGTTGCTTTTAAGCCCATTTTCTTCAAAGACTCATTTAAGAGATGGAGGATATCCATCAACAGCTCTCTCTGCCCTTTGAAAGCATGTCGCACGTCCCCCGGCAAGGTAAAAGACTGGATATTAGGAATGGATGACTGGCCAAGGGGACAATGTGAGCTCTGTTAGGCAGTGTGGTGGCGGGAGGGAGGAGAAGCAGAGCGGAAATGCACATGGAGATCAGACCAGAACATCGTGTGACAAGGTAACAAGGTAAACTGATCCAGGCTGCAATTCCTCTGGAAAGTGAATCAATGAGGGTTCTGTGAAAATGGAAATCCTCCCGGATATTGAGTCAGCTTGGATCTATACCACAATAGAATCATGCGTTTCTTTATTAGCAGTAAACAAATACACCATATGACCTACAGCCAGGTGTTCTAACTGCTGGACTTTACATGGGTTAAAATGAATAATCACTTAATTAGCTTTAGTAGCTGGAAGTAAAACTAAACATCTTGACCCTGCAGGGACACTTAAACACCTAGGCGAGCAAATGGTTTTTGAGATATCTACCTGGGACATCTTTCCTTCACCTCATTTTTTTGCCAGAGCATAAAATACAGTACTAATGCTTACATAAAGGTGTAGATCGATTGGAGCTAAATGCCTGCATCAGATTATGCTAACAGGCTAATATTTTTGCTAACGGTTAGCATGCTTTGGCACTAACTCAAAGTGAAGATTCAAGACAACTATGTCACCAGTTTCCCTGGTATTTTGTCACGCTTGGAGGCATTAAACCAGTCAAGATTTTACCTTTTTTTCATAGTGGCGGTTAACTCACGAATATAGCAAAAACACTTAAATTGTAGTTGTCCATACATGTCATCAAATATGAATAAAGTGATGCTGAATGGTGTTTGTTCACAAAGTCTACACACCATGAATAACTGGTGTACATTTTCTTGGCAATCTTGTTGGTTTTGACAATGGTAGTTGACTTATATTATATTTTAGGGTGACCATATTTTGACTTCCCAAAAAGGGGACACGACTATGCGGGGGCGGAGTCACAGAGTTGCACAAAGTTAATTTTGAGAGTTTTTCGTGTCGTTTCAAGTGTCTGCGCTTCTAACTCAGTAACACTACGTGACACAAAATCAAGTGTCTGATAATTTAAGCTGTCGTACAAAACTGCAGACACTTGAAGAATTTTACAAACTTCCCTGGACAAAGCCGGACAAGCCCGGACAGCCCCCCAAAAAGAGGACATATGGTCACCCTTGTATATTTTTACATTTGTTCAGTCATGCTGCTAATATTTAACAGCAAGAAACTATTTAACAAGTTAATCTGAATTGTTATAATGAAAATTCACACTAGACAAACTTTTCTCAGCAATGCTTTCTTACTGTTCCTATCATGATGATTTATGTGCAAATGATAAAATTTTTGGAGAATTAGAGCTGCTACAATGAGTTTGTATGTTAAAAAAATTACATGAAATTTATATTATTGCCTTTTCATGATGTTCATAAGCAAACTAAGCCGTTACAAATGTGCTTTTGGATTTTTAGGTGGTGAATTTTAATCTCTGAAATCATTGGGATGGGGTAGGTGTCAACTGAGCAGCCGGAGAAGCAGACAGGTATTTACAACATTCACATTTAAAGATACATTTGACGACCAAAAGTCATACTTTTTGTAAAAATTCATGGTTCAAGCATGCAGAGGACAAGATAAGCAAAGCCTGCTTTGTTCACAGGGGTGCCAAAAATGACATAAATCAAAAGTTCCTCACAGGATATTTGATGCTAAAAAGAGGGGATGTGATTATGATTGCCAGCTTATAGGCTTCCTGCAGGGTTATTCACTAGATAAGCTAAGGAGAGGAGAAATGATGAGAGAAATTGAAATAAAATATGTCCAATGCCCGCTGCAGCTGTATTTTGGCTTCTTGATGGAGGTGTAATATTAATACACAACCGGTGTATGTAGCCACTGGCAGGGACAAGGAGTGACAATTTGTTATGGATATATATATAAAAAGGGGTCACAGGGAAGCAGCTTAGTATGCACCGGTGACTATATAAAGAGCTCTGAATGTGAATACTTCACTTACATCAATACAGGATCCGTGAATAAAAACATACTGTAACTGAATTACACCTGAAAAGTAAGATAGCCGATGTTTCCTGAGACCTTTAGCTGCAGTATTCATGTAAAGCTGATGTATCAGAGGGTTAAGAGTGCTTATGAGAAAGAAAATGCGCCGAGGGACTATTGTGAAATATCTTTTAATGCATTTTTCAGCAGGACAAGGTGTAATTGTGGGGAAAACATAACGACAAGCTACATTTTTACAGGCTTTTAAACAACTACTACAATGTGATGATGAAAGGAGGCAGGCTGTCCCTCTGATGCCCACAAACCTCTTTTCTGTGACCGCTACTTTACTGAACAGCATCAAAGCTTTCAGAGTGTAAAAGCAGAGGGATTCAGAAGAGATTAAATGTTTTTCCACCTCTTGCAGATGTTCAAAATTAAGTAGGGTATTCAAAAGTATCATTAAGACTCTATTAAAGGTGTGGTATTAATACACTTCAGTCTTCAACAAAAAAAGGAGACGATTTCATTGTGCGCTGACAAAAAAATTAAATAAATGGACAGGAGTAACAACAGGCTGTGGGCTGCAGAAATTAGCCGGTTTTGAATCAACTCTGAAAAGCTGCACACTTGTAAAAAGCCACGGCACAACAAAAGAAACACAGGAGTGAATGAAATGAAGCTTCCTTGCCAATTACTGTTGCGAGCGTGGCCGCGGAGGGGCTTTTTGTGCTTCACACAAGCAGTCTTTTCTCCCCTTGTCCCCGGCTATTGAGAGGGATACATTAGCCAGGCGGGATGGAGGGATGGATGGATGGAGGGGTGGGATGGAGTGGAGAGGAGCAGAGCGGAGCGTTGGCTGTCGCACAGCTCACTTCACGCCTGGTGTTACAGACCTCTTTTATGACTTCACTCACAGTGCGCGCATGGAACGTGATTTTCGCTGTCATTTTCTCCCTCCTTTTTAAGACTGACAAAAATCCAGAAATGTAAAAAAAAAAAAAAATGCTCACTTGTATTTTGCATAGAGTGTGATGACATTCGTGTGTACTTAAATTTCTCTTTGTGTTGAAATAATGTGCTTTTTGCTTTCTTTTTACCAGAAAGAAACATATGAGTGATTAAATTAGCGCTTCCTGTGTACTTATCTATTTGTCCTGTAGGCCTGTGTGTGTAAGTAGTGTTTCTTTACTTTGAATAACTGTATAGAAATTATTAGACCTCTGGTTGGTTATCTTGTTTTGTTAGAGACATCAGTATTTTTCTAAGGTTGTTTTATAACCAGCTCAATTCTCCTCACAGGAGCTTAATGCCATCATCTCAAGATCCAGTTATTTTCATTTTCTTCTCTGAATAAAATAAACAAGCGTGTGGGAGGCTGGTTTAGCTAAGTGGTTAAATAAAGTGCCCTATAACCAGAGTTCAAATCCAACCTGCAGCCACTTTTTCCAGCGTCCCATTAACCCTCCTCCTGTGTTTGGGTCTGCACCGACCCGTTTTTGATTTTAAAGGCTTATAAGAAATACTTAAACAAGTTTTTTTGCATCGAGACTTTTTGACTTTGTCAGGAACCTCTAGTTCAACAAAATCAAAATAAAAAAATTTAATTGACTAAATTATAAAATGCTCTTATTAAAATTATGGCGTGTTAGGGTTGCTGTTGAGTGCACTGTCAGGCACCACACTGACAGTCAGATCCTCTTCCAATCAAGTGAGATTTAGGAAATTCTCCTTTTGCCATGATTTTTCCTGCACAAAAAACAGCCTCAGGTATGTCCAGACATGTGAGATCAGTTCAGTATAGATGTCTGTGTGAGGGTATACTGATAATGAAGGTAACTAAGAGATGAGAACCAAACTGGATGATAGAGAATTGTTTTTAGTGTAATTTACAGCTGATTTAAGACAGGGGTCAAAACCGACCCTTAAAAGCTAACACAAAATTTAAGGTTGCTCTATTGGTTTTTAAAGCTCTTAATGGCTTTGGCCCTTCTTATCCATCTTCTTATCTATCTTCTTATCTGATCTTCTTTTACCTTTTGAGCCAGGTCGAGCCCTCAGGTCCTCAGGAAGTTCTCTGTTAACATTACCCAAAGTTAAAATCAAGACATACGGTGAGGCATCTTTTATTACTACTATTACTAAATAAAGACTGATTGATTGATTGATGATAGTGAAAACAGTCAATCTATAATCCATCTTGTTCTTTAACAAATAAAAAAATTGCTCTTTAGACTAACACAGCTTAAAATATTTTGTATTGCTGAAAAAAGTTAAATCTGGGTTTGTGTCTCTGATGTGACGCCAATGGGTGACATAACTGCGATTACATCCATGCTGTAAACAATCTATACACTGAATGGCTGAAACTGCAGTATTTATAGTTTCATCAATTGGCCAATCATTCTCAAACTCTTCCCAAAAAAGTTCTTTATAACTGGTTTGAATGTCAAGAAAAGAAGTGAGAGATCTACATTTTGTTATATCGGGATGATTTGATCAGTTCACCGTTTATTGTGAATAAATTTCCAGTATTATTTCCCTGCACATGCCACCAGACCACCTCAATGAAAGCTCAGCTCTTTATTCTCATGACAATTTCAATGTGCTCCGTGGGGTCACAGCTCCATGTGGGTGAATGTGACAACTATCAGCAAGGTTAATGCTGCGGATAACAACATCCATCATGCGGTTTCATTAGCGCCGTCCTCTGACCTGTTCCACATAATGTTGTCAAATGTGTCAGGCAGCAGATTATTGGGAGGTATGATGATCAATAGAGGAATAAGAGAGCTGCTGGCACGGCTGCAGAATAAACCTCCATCACACATTCTGCCGCCTGTCGCAAATCTGAAAACAAATGGACCGGCCCCCAGGCAAGAGCCATCAATAATAATATAATGTGCGGACGACGATGGCCTGTAGCCAGGCGTCCAAATGCATTCCCATGTTATACACAGGAAAATCATGAACGCATTGATCCCTGTGTTCACATTAGTTTGCTTAATCTGCGTTTGAGTCAATGGGACAACACAGTTTCACTTCAGTGAATTCAGAGAAGTTAGTAATGCCCAATAATCAAAAAGCTGTTTATGAAAGCTCCTCTTTTTATGAGTCATTGATCCGCCTCTTTAATGCACAGCAGTGACTGATCACTCAGACGGAGCGCACTTAGGAAAAAACAAATGTGTTTTACATTCAATAACATGGATTTTTCCCTGTTTAACACGCACGCAAAGCATTATATTTCCGCATGCATATTAAGTAGAGACATTAACTCACAGCAACATAATAGTATTTTCATTGAACTCCAGTTCTGGGACATTGAGGGACAATATTTCCCCTTAAATTGTGCAACCCGATGTTTGTTCTGTCTGTGCCAGTTTTGAAAATCTGCTTCCCAGATGAACTGAGACACCAAATAGCTCTTAAATCTTGGTAACATTACTTTTTAAAACATTTGAAACCTCATATATTGTCATTTTACCCCCATAACTTACACCCATGCAGTCAACTTCCAGCCTACATATTTGTTCTCAAACAATACAAGAGTCAACCTACATAAGTGTCCATTGAGTCACACATAAACTATGTAATATTACACAACACAGAGAAAGCTAATAGCTGAAAAATAGCTCTGAGCTGCTTCATCTTAACGGTTGTGTCACTTAACACCCATGAGACTCCAAATGGCTACCACAATAACCCTCAGTGTGCAGGTTCCTGTGTGCTGGAAACTACCTTGAGATCTCAGTGCCTTGACCTAAATGTCACGGGGCAAGAAAACAACAACAAAGTAGAGACCGTATTTTTGTTTTAATACAGAAATGTGAGAAATTAACCCATATTCTGTGATATTCAAACAAGGCTCTCTTATACTGGTGCCGCTAGTGGTTGAGGAGGATCAACCAACTACAAATATTTTCAAATTGTACTTAAAGGGATATTCTGGTTTAAAATTAGTTTGGGGTCAAACACACCGTAACACCGAGTTAGACACCCCCTTGAGAGATGAATGTTGCCGACTGCACGCTTCTCTATTTATACCAACTTTAGTAACGACCGCACGATAGCAATACACGGCAGACTGAGAAGCCATAAATAAACCTCAACCAAAACGCCACTCTACAGCCACAAATAATGTTCAGAAAAAGCACCTAACTTCATCAACAGTACATATAGGGTCCCAGCCATAGCACTTGCAACCAAACATCTTTTTAACTTTGCCTAATTTCTTTAGCAAAGAGACTAAACACAACTCACCTGCTCTCTTCCAGCAGCCGCTTGTTTGTTCAAGACCTTGGTCCAGTCCATTACGGACTAAAGCGGGGTGTCGCAGCTCAAGGAAAAACATTTATGATCATATCTTGATATTCCTTTAAAGCTCCAGTGGTAAGATTTACTTTGTTATTATTGTACTAAATAAATAAAAAATCATTCGTGGCACTTCATGCTGTGCAAAAGCAGACCATTAGCAAACAAAAACAAACGTTTTAATATTGTAATTATTATTTTTTTTTTACTCCAATTAGCACTGTAAGGGGGTAGGTGTAACTTTTTGCAAAAATTTACCCAAAAAATGAGGGTATCAATTTTTGTCATAAAAGCAACAAAAAGTTCAGCATTAAAATGACATGTTCTTTTGTCCACAGGGGGCGCCAAATATTTTATGAACAAAAAGTTCCTTCCAGGAGCTTTAATTAAACTTTCAAAGGATGTCTATTTTATCGTATTTTATTTTATTTTTGGAGGGGGGATATTTCCTTTATATCTCACTTTCATACTCCTTACATAATCATAACATGCTTTTTTACATTAATCTGTGCATTTTTTTAAAAGAATAACATCTATTGCTTTGATTTTGCAGAACTGTGCCACCTCTCTGAAGTCCAAAAACAGTTTCAATCCTAAAGAATGAGACAAAAATACATCAACGACTCCTTGGTGTATTTGTCAGTTTGATATTATCAACATCTCTGACACGACGAAACCATTTCAAACTATTTCGTATGAAGAGAAAATCAAGAGGAAGGACTTAGGCGGCATCGATGATAATGTGGCAGTAAACAGAGTTGACAAAGTGGAAGCGGATTCAAAGATACAAGACCTTCCTATTCCCACTGAGCAAAATTTATGTCCATTATTTCCAGTACTGAAAGCACTTTCCAAGGTAAGCTCTTGTAACTATTCATCAGCCTTCTTTTTAAATCAAGTTCATCCCTCAACACTAACATGTAATTGTCTGATAATAGAGGGCTCAAAATTGTATTCTTTGGGGGATTTTGTCAATAAAATCAAATAAAGCAGGTTGTAATGGATACAAGGAGTCAGTTAAATCTTGCCTGCAGTCACTCCGAAGCTCACCGGGAACTTGAGCCTCAAAGATGTGGTGCATTAGTTCTGCTAAGCTAACCGTGAATGCTAATTGCAGGAAGGACAAACTGTAACCCTTGCCCTGTGGCCATGAACCCATTAAACCAGCACAGAGGAGCTCACAGACATGGAGAGCACACAAAGAGGCTGTCCTGAAAAGGCCTGCAATCTGATTTCAGCTTAAACTGGGGGGGATAACAAGTTACTGTTTTCTAAAGCCCCTCCTGGGACCTGCCCTCACCGTATTTTTCTGACAGCTGAGAGAAAACCGGTCGTCACTCCAAAGCTCGCCGCAAATCACGGAGACAATGTAACAGGGTCTGTGTGTTCAAGTGGAGCAGGCTGTGTGATCCACATCAGCTCCCACAGGGTCTGACAGGTGTCCCTCTATAGGACATGGATCAGTTATGGTTAAGTGCTTGTGGTTTCACCCCTGGAGGACATGGACCAACTGATCACGGTATAATATGACACCTGATACGTGGGAAAGGTGTTTGAGGAACATCGCCATTGTCTCGGTTTTGTTGGCAATATTTTTAAACTCAAAATTTGAACGAGATCTGTATAACTCAATCCAAGATATATCATTCTGTTAGTGTCTAGATATTTCCTTACAATTTTCCTTACTTCATATTTCTCTGTTGTCGCCTTCAGTCTGTTGCAGCTCTACGCGCCCTTTGGCGATACATTTTCAAACATGACCCTAATGCACCAACTGCCCTTAAACACACATTCATCAATCTGACAGGTGGCATGAAGGCTGAGTTAAATAGTTCCCCTCCTTTTCATTGAGGAATTAATATACATTATATATCTTTTGCTGTGTTAACTTACCATAATGTCAGACTTGTAACTGCTTGTTCAGCTTGTTTAATGTTAATTATGTTCAAGTAAGTGTAAGGGTCAATTTAAAGATCCAGTAAGGTTTATATATATATATATATATATATATGTTTATGAAATAGAAAACAAAATTGTGTTTTTTGGCGATTTATTAAAGTAACTTTTCTGCTGGAATTAAGTCATGGTTAAATCATTTTCTTTAGAGAACAAAGTTGTAGTGAAGTCATTGTATCATGAAAATAAAGTCGTTTCAAGATTAAAGTCATCCTGTTGAAAGAACAGTCATTAATTTAGTATTTTGGTATTTGTATCATTTATTTTATTTATTATTTGTATTTGGTATTTAGTATTTGGTATTTAGTATCTTAAACTTTGATTTTGTCATGAACTTGTTCTCATCACATAATGGATTGATTCTCCTAATATCTGTTTGTTATGCAGATTTAACTTTAAAGCTTTTACGTGATGACTTTTAACTGGTTGTGAAAATGATTGAAATTGAAACTGATGCATCATCATATCATAAAAACGCAATCCAGACCACTTGTGACAAGATAAATCATTTTAATATTTTGATTTTTAATGCCTGAAATTGCTTGGGGGGCCAGGGGGTGGGGGTATCCAACTTGATGACTGTCAACACAACTGCTTTTTTTTATATATATTTTTACAGAAAATATTCAAAATCTTTGACACATGATACCCTGCTACCTACAAGATCAGCAAAGTGATAAGAAGTAGAATTTTCTAACTTTTTAATAAAATGACTTGAAGCTCAAATGATAGAAAGTTATCTTATAAGGTATGAGGTAACTGTGTTTTTATAGTTGAATCCTGTAATCACACCTTAGTACACTCCCATATAATCTTCCATTAATATCCTCTGACAACAGTGATGAATTCAGTCAGGTTTAATAGTTTTGTAGTCCTGGCTCTAAAACAGCAGTGCCACTCATTATAACATGATTAATCTGCAGCACAAAGCCTTTGAGCCAAACTGAGACCTGGAGCCCAAAAATCAGTAACCCTCCTGTCAGGCCTAGAGAGGTTTGATTTACTACAGCTCCGCTCCCAGGTGAGCATCCCGGTCCCCACAGTTGGCCCCATGCTGCCTTCCTGCCCGCCCGACCTGTACAGAGATGGATGGTTGCGAGTGTGAAACCTAGCAGTAGGTTACATGGCCTTGAGCTTAAGCGTCTAATTATGCTCAAATGTAACACCAGTGCTCTGGAGGAGGTGTTGTCTTGCCCACTAAAGCTCTTTAAAAGCCTCTCCAGCTGGAGCAGGCATGGCTCTGAGGGTGGTGCTGTGGCAGACTGTGGACATGTTCGTATGAAAAGATTAGGTTTCATCCCCAGCTGGGATGTAGAGGCAACAGGACTCCAAATCTACACAGGAGCAGACCAGGATCTACAGACTTGAAGTGCAAAACTGAGTAAAAGTGGAACATAACTTTTTAAGCGTAGGGCAAAGGAATCAAAAAACAAAAACAGCTCATAGAGTCATGAGGGAATATTTCACCCTATCATTAAACTAGTATCTTAAGGAGAGCATCAAGGCCTAAAGATTTTATTTCAACAAGCTAACAAGTGCAGAACTGATGATTTATCATGAAGACAGAAGCTATAAGCCTGACAAATTCTGATCAATCAATCTTTATCTATATGACACCAATTCACAACAAAAGTTTAACAGACACTTAACAAAAAGGACTGGTCTAGACCTTAGACTTCATGATATTAAGACCTAACATGAATGATGGGATAAGCTTAAGCCTTGTCCCCTCAGATCAGAAAAACTTCCTTAAACAGGCAGAAACCTTGAGCAGAATGAGATTCATGTTAGAAAGTCATCTGCCGCTACTGCATTGGGCTTAGAGAGGAGATAGAGGAAGATACAGGTTGACGACGTATATTTTTTAGATCAGAAAAATTTCCTTAAACAGGAAGAAACCTTGAGCTTAGAGAGGAGATAGGTAGATACAGATGACGATGACAACGATAACTTTTCAGATCAGAAAAACTTCCTTAAACAGGCAGAATACTTGGGCAGAACCAGATACATGTTAGAAAGTCATCTGCTGCCACTTCATTGGACTTAGAGAGGAGATAGAGGGATAGATAGAGCGACAACAACAACAACAACAACGACAACAACAACAACAACAACAACACATACAGACATGGTAACAGTGCCAGAGGTTATGAAACAAGTATGTGCAAGAGAACCTTTCACCTTTGCAGATTGTGTTGGGTACATCAGTCAAATACATCACTGGTAGTATCTGCTGGTCTCTCTATCTGACATTTGCCTCACAGGAGCATTTACATACATCAAAACTAACTTAATAATCGTCTACATCACTCTTTGTGGATGAAATAAAGAAGGGTGCAGTGCATCTTCTCGGCTGAAACTTCCTCCGGGTGTAAAATAAATCACTGTAAAAATTGTCAGTCAGACCATATTATGTATATTGCCTTAACAGAGCATAATGACGCATTATGGTTAATTTCATCCAATAACTCCTCATAGGGACTTTAATCAGCAGGTATACAGGAGTGTAAAAGAAGCAAGTTTTTCTTCCTCAGCTTATTAAACAAGCACACTCATATTCATCTTTGTTTTTATGTTGGTCTTAAACATGTTGTTGCTTTGGTCTGTAGAATGTGTCAGTGAAACAGCAGAAAACCATAACATATATCTTCGTTTTTTTCCCTAATGGATCACGTGATTTCCCCATTTCTGCCGGGCTCACAAAGGATTGTTTCATCAGCTCGATATAATATTAGAACAGGTCCTGAGAGATAAAGTATCTGCTTGAAGGTCATCTGTGCCCTCCTGAGTAAACATAAGAGCCTTTTTGTGGTTGGGTTAAATGCACATGACAGGCTGTTGGAGCACAATCACCCTTTTTAATTGTCATGTAACGGTTTCATGTAGAGCCAAAGTGTCTGCAACACTTGAGCGATTTGAAACCAGAGCCGAGCTACACGACCACATCTGTGGTTAACTGGGCTGGAGGCACAGAAAAACCCAGGAGACAGCTCTGTGGAGAAGATGCTGATAGATAATGCAACAGATTCATCTACTGCTATCTGAGAGATTGCGCTGTGGTAAACCCTTCGAGGTTCTACATTTGCCGACTGTGTGCTAAAGTTGGGAAATGAAGAAATTACTTTGATGCACTGGGTAAAAAGACAGCTAAATTGTTTTCCCCCTTGAAAATAGCTATTCAATCCAGACAAGACAACCTTAACAGTTTTAATGCACACTCAAAGAACTCAATTTTTCAATTTAGCGGAAGCCAAAGATGACAGGAAACAAGGTAATTCACTGCAGCCCCAACAACGAACCCCCCAGCCATCCTCTGTCTGCCGCACGGGCAGTAATTATGTCCTAAAATGAATGCCATTTCATATTAAGCTGCAGTCATAATCCAACGTCAAAGGAGGACTCATTATCGACAATCATGGGAATTAGTTACATCATTTAACCAATGCGAACTAATCATTTCCAGGATACCACAGAGGCAGATAGAGCCATTAGAAAAAATTGGAGCTCTTAAATAGAATAATTGACATCTATATCTTCTGTGCTGCTTTGGCTGAAGGGCTTCAGAAATTGCATTAGTTGCAATTGAAAATCTGGACTGAGGGGAAAAAGACTCCACTTAGACTTTGCAGGGCACTGTTTTGCATTCACTATTCCCATTCATAGAAAGCTGAAGACCGAGTTCAGGTCTGGGCTGCATCTGACTCTGTCAGCAGTGTCACAACTCACAGAAAACAATGAAATTCAGCAATAAAAAGTATTTACCAAGAAAAAAAAACTGCTATATTTCATCTTAAACGTTGATTTGAAAACACACACTCTCTCGATTTACTACTTCGGGAACTCGACCGAGTATGTCCCAGTAAAATTTGGGAAAAATCCAGAAATTAACCTGATTTTATCTTTGTGTTGTTTAGCCAAGTTCATCCAGTTTACTGGTTTTCTTCTCTGATATCTATCAGCACAGGTCAGTGGCTGGGGGCAAGTGGAGCCCTGGGCAAGAAGAGAGGCTCATCGCTTTCCCTCAACACATCATCAACAGACTGGCCTCTTCTGCCCCGACACATTCTTCACATTTCTCAGGTTCTGCTCATAAAGGTTGTACATGTCACACAAGGTAGAGTAAGAACTGGGCTAATGCTGTGGGTCAGAGTTTAGGATCTTTTTGATAAGGGATGCTGCACTCTTTTAGAAGTTAAGATTCATTCATAACAAATTGAACACTAAAGAGTGGGGTATCTAACGGCTGTATTCCAAGTTCAAATGGGGTTTTTCTTTCGTACATCTTGCAGGTTTTCTTGAAACTTTGTTTGACTCTGTTGTCCAATTCTCTGTATTTCTCATCTTGAAGCTAAATTACCTTGAACTTCCATTTCCCCGGTTCTTCTCTGAACGAATGCTGCTGAAAATGCTCATACGGACGAGAAAATTCACAAACAGGATAAATGCGTAGTACTAAGGGGATGATGTAGGGTTTAATAGAGTATTTACACATGCCTAAAAGTACCATCTAAAATTCTCAACCTCCCTAAAGTAAAAATAAGACTTTTAAACCAGCTACCAGGTTGTGATTTGCAGCATATTGTTGAGATATTCCAGTGATCAAACTATCCTTCAGTAACTCTATGTTTCAAGTCATTAAAAATGCTACAAAACAGTTCATGTCACATCTCCAAAAGAACCAAGCACAAGTGTCCAAAGTTGAATATAAAATCAATTTTAGTCAAGAAAGATACCAGGTGGTTGTCACAACAAACACAAAACAGCAAAAATATTCAAAAAGAGCAAAAATGAGGAAAGATCTCAACAAGTGTTACGAAGAAGAAGAAAAACTTAAGCCTTGGAATACAAAGAGATGTCATAAAACCACATTGTAAAGGTGCACTGGATGCCAGCAGATAACCGAAATGTCACGAAGGTTTCACAAGCACTCAAGAACCGATCCGAGGCGGGCTTAGGTGGACCTACAGACCAAAGACAGAGAGGAACACATGAAATAAAAGTGAGAGAAATCACTAAACCAGTGGAGGTGCAAAAGTCTCACACACTGAAAACTGACTCAGAGTTATTTTTGTCAGAGGTTCAGCACAGTCCGAGCAAACAACCCACCCCTCTGATAATATTAAAGCAAAGTGAAAATGATAAATCACTGCGAGGAAATAACGCTTCCTTGAGTTTATTCAGATGTTTATGAGGCAACTGTGATCGTCTTCCAACACGATATAGGACTACGTTTTGCTCATCTGCAGAAATAGTTGACTTTGGTTTGATAAAGGAAAGTATGGTACCATAGTACTCACACCACTGCAGATATTTATGTTTCCTGATATTTTTCAACAAAATTCCACGTCCAGACTTCTCAATTTCTTTGTGAAATAATAGTTGTCTGTAAAAAATACACAAACAACCTAAAACGACCCCCTAGCTGTCCCCAGTTTCAAAAAGGTGGTGTTTACAACAGAGCTATTGTGACAGATTGCATTACAGTGTCGGCAGGTTTCTATTCGTCTGGTCACTGAGTGTATATTTACCACAGCAAATATGGGAGAGGGATTTTCAATCTTTTATCTGCCGATCTTTCAACTGTCGGATATTGAAAAGTGGACGGACAGAGATAGAGATCAGCATATGCTACAGCTGGACATGCTCCTTGTTAATGCGGCTGCTCGCTGAATCAGTGAAGACCAAACTGTCATTAAACCAAGGACAAGAGGTGAGGGAGACTCACTTGGGTTTGGTCTCGGCATCTGTGACTTGGCGGATGAAGATGGCGTCTTCGGGGTGGCTGATGTCTCCCTTCTCGTGCATGTAGGAGGAGGCGATGGCGAGCATGGTGCCGTCGTTGTTAAAGGCCAGGGAGGCGATGCTGGTCGGGTATCGGTGGAACTGACACAAGCGCTTTTTGTTGAACGGATCCCAGATGTTCACGAAGCCGTCTGAGCCACCTGTTCGAAGGAGAAGGCAGAGGTCAACATCTAAAGATTCAGACCGTGTTTAGATTTGGATCTATAACTCTGAGTTCTCTTTAACCTTTACAGCTCAATACTAGGGCCCCACCAATTTTAGCCCGTTTGAGACTAATGGGTAATCGGCCAAAACTCGCCGATTTTCGCCGATATTTTCTTTTTTTTTAATTGAAAACGCTTTTCTACTGCAGTAGCCTACAGTATATAGTATACTGTAAAAATCTGCCGATTAATCAGTAATCGGATTTCCCCCCCCCTATTAATCGGTATGTGTCAAGTACTAACTAGTCAGGCAGTTGTACCTGTGGCAAAGGTGTTATGAACACTGTGAAAGGAGATGGCATTGACAGGGTAAACATGCTCGATTCCTTCCTCCTTCAGCCGGTGGCACTTAAAGGCGTACTTCTTCTTCTGAACCTCCTGGCTCGGGTCCAGGTACTCCACAGCAACACGTCCCTCAATTGAACTCAAGACGTAGCCCTGGAGCCAAGTCAGAAAAGAAGAAGTTACCATCTAGCTTCTTCACATTATCTGTAACATGAGGCTCTATTAGGTGTCAGTTATGTGTCAAGGTAGCACAGTTGTCTCCGTCTGTCAGCAGAAGTGCAGACACTTAAGTGTGATAGTGATTCCGGTTAGGGTAAATTCCAATCCAAAGCGTACCTGTTTGTTGGGGAAAGCTCGAATGCAGCGAGTCTGATACTTGAGACTGGACTCCCGTCTTTGCTGGACGTAGCCCATATTTCTCAGATCCCACACCAGCACTCGTCTTCCAGCCGTGCCGACGATCAGCCTATCTCCAGCCACGGACAGCGTGTACACCTTTTAGCAAAAGAAAAGAAATACACACAATGAATGTCGGACAAAAGGAAGACAACAAACAAATCACGCTGATGTAACACAATTTTTTAAACAATATTTAACTTCGCAGGGCTTGACAGTGCGACAGTTTCACTTGCATTTGTTTTTTATGTAAATACCGTGGCGAAGTTAGTTTTAGGTTGTATATTCGACGTACATTCACTGAGGATCTACCAATGTCTTCTCATTCTCCACAACAGGGAATATTATATCTTTGTTTGCTTCTTACTTTTACAACTAAAGAGCATATGTGATCCTTGTGAAAAAAGTTTGTGTCAAGCCCTGCTTTGTCTAATTTAATTTACCTTTTCAGGCTGAGTGAAGGTGCCAGCATTGCAGGGCGTCCTTGGGTCCCACAGCCGAACTGATCTGTCCCAGCTGCCCGTCACCATGACGTTAACCTCAGGGCAATACTCCACACAGCGAATGGGGGCATCGTGTGTTCCCACTATTGTGTCTGTTTGAGTGTGGTATCAAACAACAGTTAAAATAAACACATTCACAAACACAGTCCACTGGGTTGGTTCATACTATGTTTAAACTACTAACCATGTCAGTACATACCTTGATCTGTGTTCAAATCATGTGTTTTTAATTGTGCATCTAAACCTCCACTCCATGAATGTGTTGGGTCCTGAGAGCAAGAAGGGAATTTATTATCAGATTTGATAGCATTTGATTATGCTGTGTAAAAACACAAATTATGATAAAGAAGAAACTGTGACCTACATAAAAAGCACAGTCAAGAACTGGAGCTGTGTGCTGGTATTTCATCCGCATGGTGTTGCTCGCGACATCATAGAGACGGACGGTGCAGTCCCAGGAAGAAACCAATAAGAACTGGGTTGTGCTGGGGCTGAACTTGACGGCAGAGATGCTGTCCTCTGGACCCTGGTTCAGTTTGTACTCGTTTGAGCCCGTCATCTGCAAGGAGAGGTAGATGGTAATGGACTGTATCTATAGTGTGCTATGGCAAGGACTGATACATAAAGCACCTATCAGTAGTAACTAATCCCATTCACACATACTGGCGAATACAGCGGGAGCAGTTTTGAGTCTGAGTGTCTTGCCCAAAGAAATTTTGGCATGTGGGCAACTATAATCAAGTCTAAAGCATATGTCACGCTGCAAGTTGACTCTGAGGACTTAAGGGAATATTCCGGCGTAAAATTAATTAAGGGTCAAAAACATGTAACACCAAGTTAGACACCCTCTCGAGAGATGAATGTTGCCGACTGCTTGCTTCTCTAGTTATACCAACTTTAGAAACACAACACACTTACTCTCTTCCAGAGGCCGCTTGTTTGTAGCAAGACCTCGGGCCAGTCCATTACGGACTACAGCGGGGTGACGCAGCTCAAGGAAGAACATTTATGATCATTTATGGAAATGCAATCAGACCAAGACGCTAAGGCAAAGAACTACTACATCTGCAGTGCAAAATGATTAATATGGTGATTATTACTTCAAGAAAAAGATAAAGAAATGCTCATGAATGTTCTTCCTTGAGCTGCGTCACCCCGCTGTAGTCTGTAATGGACTGGTCTGAGGTCTCCCTACAAACAAGCAGCTACTGGAAGAGAGTGGGTGAGTTGTGTTTAGTCTCTTAGGCAAAGTTAAAAAGATGTTTGGTGGGTGGTACTGTGACTAGGACCCTATATGTACTGTTGATGAAGTTAGGTGCTGTTCTGAACATTATTTGTGGCTATAGAGTGGCGTTTTGGTTGAGGTGGTTTTTTACTGCCAGGACCAAAATAAACAAAGTCCTGATCCTGAACCACAATACTAAAATCACTATCTACATTGAATTTCACAATAAAATAATTTAACATATCTGAAACTGTATATTCAAGAGACTGTAGCCTCTCTGATAAGATCTAGTCCAGATCCGGGTATTGGTATTTTGGACCAGGTCCTGGTTTGATGTGGTCCGTCAGTTTAGTGTGACAACAGTGGGATCAGATAGCATGAAGACTGTTGTTAGCCTGACTCAATGACACTGGTAGAGGAAGTAGCTAACTAGCTTCACTGTGTCCTTGCAGCGGATTGCAAACATTCATGCTTTATAACATTCTCTATCGAGAGTTAGGATAAAAGTCAGCCTACTTTATATGTTTTTAACCACTTTAGCTCACGGCTTGAACGCCTGTACATCAATATTTGTTCCAGTTCATTTCTATCCAGCAAATAGACCGAGCCCACTTCAGCTGTTAGCCATGCTGCTAACGCTAGCTACACAAAACGTTACGCTACGTTGGCTTAACTTTACTTACCGCTTTAGTTTGAAGCCGCTCAGATACGATAGATTCTCCTTTCTGAATTGTCCTACTATTTAGTGTCGTTTTGCTAAAATATACGAAATGTTGAAATTGTATAGAGCTGGAAAGCAATGTGGCTGCGTGAGGATATTTCCATTGAGAGCGCAGGTGGAAGATGATTGGTCCATACAAACGTTGGGGTTCCCGCCTGTGCTGTGATTGGCTGATTCGACATGAAGGAGTACTTCCGTTGTCTTGATACTCGTCACGTGACTTGTGACCGCTTCCCCTTTTTCTCTTCAATACAGTCAGACTTGTGTCGGATAATTCACAATAATATTATTTTTTTAACGGCAGAAACTAGACATTTAAAAAGTTTTACGCTCTTTTTTTTCAATAGCGTATAAGCAAATCAGTTTAATTATGACGGACAACCTCGATATAGGGAGTTTTCTCCACTGTAATAGCCTTTTAATGCAACATTTCGACAGAATATGTGCTTGTTTATAACAGTTTATTGTTATATGCTAGTCTCCAAACAGCATCCCTTATGAATTAAAGAGAATTTAACACAATATGACTATATAGATTAAGTATAAGCTTGAAACGGACCAATAGGTGAACAGCTACATCGCCTCTTACACCAAAATAGGAATGCAAAAAGATGTAGCATTAAACTTGACATATTAATATCTAGAAATTAAACTTAATATCAAACTAGTTGACTTTATATCTTAAAATTGACTTCTCTGTAGCGTTTGTGAGACCCCATAGGTATAGGCGTAGGTATATCCTCAATAATGTTTCCGGAATGGACTGGCCCGAGGTCTCCCTACAAACGAGCGTCTGCTGGAAGAGAGTGGGTGAGTTGTGTTTCGTCTCTTTGCTAAAGAAATTAGGCAAAGTTAAAAAGATATTTGGTGCCTAGTGCTATGGCTGGAACCCTGTATGTACTGTTAATGAAGTGAGGTGCTGTTCTGACCATTATTGTGGCTATAGAGTGAAAAGACAGTGTATGTAGTATAAACATAATTTAAAGAATACTTGCAAGAATTACAATTTAAACGCTGTTCCTGGTGAGACCATCGTCTTGTAATTCAAAGTCATGAAAAAACGATCATTTTAAATAGGCCTGTATATTTCACGTTTTAATTTGTATTTGCTTCTATTTGTTATTATTATTATTATTATTATTATTATTATTATTTATTGATTTATTGAATTTTGAATTTTTTTCATTTAATTTTTTTTTCTTTTTTTTTTTTTTTGGGGGGGGGGGGTTCTCTTTAAACTTTGAGTCTCGTTTTGAATATTCAACTACCAGTATAAAACACCAATGCCCCCCTGTGTTAAAAGTACAACATCTTCAAAATATGGCATTTGAGAAATTGTCATAAAACATAGAAACATTTCGTCTTGGAACGAAAATCTTTACTGGGTGTGAGAGCATGTTATAATTATATACACAATTTCAATGACAATACCAGAGAGAAAAAATAACACACACACTCACACTCACACACACACACACACAACAGAGGCTATTTTTGGCTCTTTCATGGCTTGGAAATCAGCGGCATAACATTGAGTCAATAAAACAAATGTCATTCACCTGCAACTTTTTTGGGTGGATTTTCTTAAAGAGCACATGATTGTCCTCAGAGTTTTTTTCTCCTCCTGTGAAAATAAACCAAAGATGACAGCGGCTGGTAACGTGAAGCCAACGATATTGCACAATATTATAAAATATCAAAATATTAAATTCCACTTTTTTTCTCGCTACAAACACTGACACAAATCTCTGTAAAATACATGTACATATTAAACCCTGTTTAAAACAAGCTCCATTGTATTCAACCATAAACCAATTACACCAATACAAATAAAATTAAAAACTATAAATTTACGTCCTGAATCAGAAACTCCAACTCCATCCGTATTTGTCTTCAGTAGGTACAGGGTGTTAACATATAATAATAATAATAATAATAATAATAATAATAATAATAATAATAATAATAATAATAATAATAATAATGTGACATTTTCTCCTAAAATAGGCTATACAAATGTACAAAATTCCATTCTTGTTTCAGTGGTCACTCATTTAAAAACATATGTACAGCAGTCAGCATTAGACAGGCCTGAGCAGAGGCACCGGGTGGGAATAGTACATGTGGTGTGGGAAAGCCAGCAGTGACTGGCTGCTCGGTGAATTTGCAGCGGGGCCCCCAGTCGTCTCCGAGGATCCGTTTTCGTGGTAAAGAATAGGGACCCGCACAATCCTCTGCGCCGCCGCATGGCTCAGATTCGCCGCCTCCAGCTCCGCAGCCAGCTGCCTTTTCCACTTATTTCTCCGGTTTTGAAACCAGATCTTAACTTGCGTCTCCGTCAGGTGCAAGGACGCGGCGAGGCCGGCCCGCTCCGAGCTGCTCAGGTAGCGTTTGATGTCGAAGGTGGACTCCAGCTGGAAGACCTGGCTCCTGGAGAACACCGTGCGCGTCTTCTTCTTCCTACAGGGCTTTCTATCAGAGTCCAGCTCGTCTGTTTTCCTCCTCCAGTCGTCCTCCTGTTCTGCGTCTTTCTTTGGCTCTTCTGAGTCACTGTCATCCAGAGCGATGTCTTCGTCTGCGCTTTCCTCTTTGGCTTCTTGGTCACTCTTTTGGAGATCCGGGGAGCGCCTGTCTAGGGCCGGTGATGCCTCCCTTAAGTTGGCCTTCTCAGACCCTGTGAAGGAGAATATTTTTTAATCATCAAATTTAATTCCTTTTCGTTTAAATACGACTGAAAAGTGTGTTTGGGAATAGGATGTATTTAATTCAGGGCATCGCTTTAATATTATTGAAATGGTTGATATGAAACTGATTTTTTTCTTGCCTTTCTGCCTGGAATAACAGAAAATGATATTTACCTGTTGCCCTGAGATGAGTCCCGAGCGTGTATGGGTACCACCAGGTGGACGCTCTCTCCAAATACTGAGCTGATAGTCCGATTCTCTGTGCGGGCAGCTCAAACCGAGGGAAAGACAAGTCCCCCAGCCGAGAGAAGAAGCTGCCCTCAAACACTCCCTTAGACGAGCAGATGAGGCTTTTAGGTTTCGTGGGGTTGTCTTCAATATTCAGCAGGTTCTTGATGGAGAACGGAGAGTCCTTGGCGGGTTGGCGAGTCTCTTGCGCATCAGAGTCTGCCATCACCGATCACTGTCCGGTGTGGATCACCATCAAAACTTCGCAAGAGGAGGAAAACGCCGGGAAAAAGATGGGTTTGTCTGGTATTCTTTGTAAGAATTAAGGGGGGAAAGAGATGATAAAGTCGCCGAGTCTGCGTCCAGCTCCGTTTTGAGTTGATGATCCGCCTGAGAGCGCAGAGATCACTGCGTCAAACTTGCGCCGGATTGTAGTGATGAAATCAAAAATGCCACCCGAGTTTAAGCGCGCTCTGTCTCTGCTATTGGGCAGGTACAATAGCAAATAGGCTTTGAGATGAAAACCGCGAGGGGTTGTGACGAGAATATACTCCAAAGAGAGAGGAGAGAAAAAAAAAGGCCGTGCGAGCGTTTTGCCTCTGGGCTCAACAGTACGCACCCACTTATCATCCAATTAGATTAAAGAGGGAAGTGTCGCGGGTTTTTGTGAGGAGGGGGGCGCGCATGAACCTCAATCACCTGTCAGAAAATTAAATAAATGGCTCAGGGATTGTCACACCTCAATGAGAACTTTTAATCAGCTTGGCACAGGAATTACGCAAATTACGCACATTTTACGCACTAATTTGAAGCACTAAAAACATATGGGGGGTTAATAAAATGATGTAGCTTTTACAGATGCTCTTTCTTTCTGTATGAAGAACTTAGAGAGACTATTTTTCAAGCAATATTTCGTGTGTTTATATAGAAAAATGAAGCACCTTCTGCTCCACCTGCAAGAAAACAATGAACGGTGTTTTTATAAGGCCAAAGATTATTGACTTCGATGTAATTTTATTACCCAGGAAGTGCTAGAGGCAGACATCAAACTGTGATAAAGACTTATCATATTAGCTCTGAACTAAAGCTGGAAAACAAACAGGAGTAGCAGCAGTTGATCAAATACAAGAAAAGGACATGTCATGTCTCCATCAACTGTTACAAATAAAGCAGAGAACTATTTCTTTTTAGTGCATATGATCAGGTAAAATGAGAGTTTACTATACTGTATGTAGACAGTGTGATTGCTGTATGCCCAAGACAAAAAAGAGGGGAAATTTCTCTAATTTTGTTGTGCACTACAGTAAGTCTCAGTCAAGACTTGCACATACTAAATGAATGCCTGTGACTCTGCTACAGAGAGTACAAAAGGTTATGTTTTTCCTCCAAAAGAAAATGTAAAAAATACAGTCTGATATGTTTGAGTCTGACCTTCCAAAACCAAACTTGAAGCAGCTGCAGAGAACTAATCATATCTAATGAATTTACTCAACCTGCAAACATGCGGCACGTCCTTTCAGCTCATGGAGCACTCTCCTGCTTTAAAGGACAACACTGTGTTTTGTGAAAAGCTACTTGAATCGGCGCATAATTAGAGGTCTCATAGCTCTGTTAAAGATGGGGGCGGAGAAGGGGGCCTGTTGAGCTGCTGTTTGCCAGCGCAGAATGAATGAAGCTCATAGCTGTGTTTTCAACAGATTAGGTTCATTAAACCGGGGCCCTCACAATAGACAGACGGAGTCAGAGGTGGAAATAAAGGACTCTCAATGGATGATGCAAAGGCAGGCTGGTGTTTTAGAGATTTTGGGGAATGTGTGAGTAAACAGAGATGATCATATTGGTGGGATTATTTTCTTTGGGTGTCTAAACCTCATTTTGAAACAGACGTGTTTGCAACAGAAGAGTCAACATGATCAGGTTTATCAGATCCTGAGAAAGGCTGTTAGGTCAAGTAACTCATCATCAGACAGAACCAGAGTCCAGGTGACTCAAAATATGTGAAACAAATGTTATATTCAATCAAATGTCTCAATGAGAAGCCTTATCCTGAGTTAAATCTATTCCATAACAGATCAAGAATAAGGTTACCGTATAGTTTTGTAAAATGATCTTGAGAGAGCGTCAAATCTCTAAATTTATTATTCAATTTTGTCAGAATAAATCTTGTGAATGTACAGTATTTAATGGGTTCTGTTGCATTTCTGTATTTAAAACAGGTTATGATGTTACTTTTACTTTAGTTTTTTCCTGTCCTTTTTCAGTGCCAAAGAGAAATGGTCAAAGAAAGGTTGTCATAACTCGGCTTTTTACCCATTAAAATATAGCCAACAATTACAATTTTATAAAGAAAAATGAACAAAAATATTTAAAAATACTTGATTTTATGGGTTTTGCCATTTTTGAAAATGCTACTTCAAAACTTTCTAAAAAATTTAACTCAAGATGATGTGAAAAACAGTAGAGATGAGTGTTCATCTGGTCTCTTCTTGTCAACAAAGTTAACAGGACCCCAATCTGAAGGCAGTATAAAACTTGTGAATGAACAGTATTTATTGGGTTCTTTTGCATCTCTGTTTTTTTTAAGCAGCTTATGATGTTATCTATATTTATCTATTTTTTTAGGGGGGAGGGTTTAAAGAGAAATGGTCAAAGAAACGTCATAACTCAGCTTTATACCCATTAAAATATAGCCAACAATTATAATTTTATAAAGAAAAATGAACAAAAATATTTTAAAACAAACTGCAACTAAGGCTACGTTCACACTGCAGGTTATGATGCACCATTCTGATTTTTTGTTAAATCCGATCTTTTCGCGCGGTCGTTCACATTACAACAACGAATGCGGCATCTAATGTGGACAGAATGCACAAATTTCTTTCCGCGCCTGTTTGTGTTGTCAAACAATGGAGACGTTTGTCGCACATTGATGACGTATAGGTTGGATGAACACGACCTGAGCGTCCACACTGCAGTCACATCGGATACATATCCAATAAATATCCACAAACAAAAGAGGTCTGGGTCGGATTTGAAAAAATCAGAATTGCACTGTTCACACTTACATACAAAAATCAGATATGTGTCACATATGGTTAAAAAATCGGAATTGACCTGCAGTGTGAACATAGCCTAACTGTACTGCAGCCCATGTTGAAATTTTACTCCCCTTAGCTGTTCCAGATATTATAAATCACTATATATCAATAATTAGTCATGTTGCTGATCTTTTTTAAGCATTTGCACGTCATATAAAGGCTTTAGTATTGATTTGGTCTATTTCAAAACCAGCTAAAATCTCCTTACTGCAGCTTTAAGAGAAAGTGTAAAAAGTTCTGTTTATAATTATCACCAATTTCCTCCACTTTTGTTTCCAACCCTGCTAACAAACTCTGTGTAACACTAGGAGTTCTTTCTTGATCTCACACAAACTTTACATCTTAATTTTCCATAAGGGGTCATCATGAGTAATGTCTACTGCGAGACTTGTTTACTCGGGCTCGGTTTGTTAGTGCTGCTAGAAACAAGGGGCCTCACATACGCAGCACATGTCACACTCTGTTATTTAATCAGTCTTACCAGAAAAAAAATCATCAGCGAGTCAATTATGCACGGCAGCCTCTTTTCATGTGGAGCACCAGCGTAATTAAACTGACATCCAATATCATTGGAGGTGACAGCCTGCTAACGGATGGGATCACATAATAGACTGATCTCCAAGCAAGAGGCTGCTGTCACTCTGGAGAAGGCTGCCATCTAGTGGCTGAGATTGGTATTACTCTGCAAACAGGTGAAAAAGAAAGATGTCTCTACAGGATACTTGACATTTATTATTGAACGTTATTGACAGACTAGTTTTTACAGTTTATGACATTATCTCATCTTCTCCTCTACAGTTTTTGTAAAGTATATAAATGAGTGAAATGTTAGAATCCAGCTTTCTGAGAGTATCCAGCACCAAGAAAACACCGAAAGTTAATGATCTCAGGGATAGAAGACCTCCTGAAGGCACTGAAACATTCAAAGAAAAATGAATTTCCATGTTGCAACTTCTGATATAGAGCACAGCTTGAAAAGGGAAGTGAAAAAACTCTAATCCTTACTTTTAGAAGGTCTTGAGTAAATCAAAAACAGGGAATAAACTGCATCAACTAAACCCTAAAGTTAGAAAAAGGTAACCACAACATCAGTAACAGCAGGACAAAACAAGAGGACAAGTGGAGGACAGACATCTGAAACCAGAGCTGGGTACATGTCCATTAACCCTTTAGTGGTTGTATTTTAAAATTAACTTTCAACATGGACAACTATCGAAAAAATGATTATTGAAACTCTACTTTCCATTGAATTCAGTTTTCTTTAATGTTGATATTGTGCTTTATGCAACTTCACTGAAGCAGACAGCATCTACACTGAGACATCCAAACTTGGCTTTATGAACCAGCTTTAGTACATGAACTATACTATACAGAGCCGTTTGGGAGCTCAAAGGACAGTTCTTGCTGAGCTCAATAATCTGAATCAATGAAAAGTGCCAGAAATCTCCACAGTAGGAGCATCTATGCTGAGACTGCTTTCCCAGACAACTTGTGCACCAGCGTTAATGCTTTAAAGACTTGAAGATAATGGAGGATCTTTATGGTTGTAATGTTTGGATTGAGTCTTTTATTGCACGTGTTGTGGCATCCCCTTTTACTGAACTGAATTTTTTAAGTTCGTATTTGTTTTATGGTGCCCATCTCCGTCTGAAACTTCCACAAACCTCTTGAAACTTTAAAGCAGATCTACAGTCACTGCATCCCATCAAAGTCATGAAGGAAAGAATATGGAGTGTAACACATCTCGGAGCAAACATCAGTCTCAGTAGTCATACTCCTTATCGATGAACTTGGCCATCGTGGTCAGCTGGACATTTGTGGTGCCCTCATAAATGGTACCTGGAGAAATAGAGACAAAACAAAACATTCGACTGAATTCCTGAAGTAGAAAAACAAGGTCACTTTAGTCAAATCTCCCTAAAGAGAGCATGAATCTGCAGCTTTCACTCTCAGGACAAACAAAGGGAGTATTTATTCAGCCCAGACTGCAGAGCTCAGGAGCCCTGAACGACCGCGATGAAAGGAAAAGTAGCATTTTGCCCTGGCAGCTTCCTTGGCTGTGTGTTGGTCTAATAGCACTCGGAGAGGTCAGACTGGGGAATTCCTGCAGAGTCTGATTACAGCAACGACTATCAGCGCCCTTCTCTTTCCTCCCACTGCTCTGGTCCAATCACAAACAGCCTTGCTTGACCTTCCTCCAGCTTTCATGAGCTGTGTCCTTTCCAGTTATAGCTCCAGTTACTATTACCTAAACTATTACAGCTAATCCAAACAGCTGTCGAACAAACACACAAACTTTTAGCAAATATTAGTGAAGTCGTGCTCACCGATTTTACAGTCTCTGTAGTATTTCTCAATGGGGTAGTCTTTAGTGAAGCCCACTCCTCCCATCCATTCAATACATTTAGATGTGGTAAGAGTTGCAACCTGCAGAAGAGGAAGAAGATGAAGATTTCATACCTGCATAAACTGGAAAAATAAACGAAACCGATATTTGGGCTACTATCAGCAAACAAAATAAATGAATCACAAAGAAAGTAACCAAAATTCAAAACATATAACAATCGTGAAATAAAACTAACACAGCAATAACGGAAACGCAACATTTTTAATCATTCCTAAAAAGTTGTCATAAAAAGCTCAGGCCCATTAAAATACATCATAAGAATCCGTAAAAGTAACAGCAATACCTCTGAAGTGAAGTATTTTGCCATGCAGGCCTCTTTAATAAAAGGTCTCCCAGCCTCTTTCAAGCGAGCGGCGTTGTACGTCAGCAACCGAGCTGCTTCGATCTGTGTTGCTACGTGAGCTATTTGGTGCTGCATACCCTGAAATGAGAACAGCGCCATTAAGACTTAAGTGAGTACACCATCCTGCAGAATAACCTTTAAAGCAAAACGTGTAACATTTAAAGGAATGGAAGTCATTTAGCGATTTTTACCTGGAAGTCAAAGATGCGTTTTCCAAACTGAACCCTCTGTCTAGTGTAAGGAACCGTGTGGTCGAAGCAGCCCTGCGCCAGCCCAACCATCTGAAACACATAAAGAGAAGTCAGCGCATACAGTATATTATTCCTATTTGTAATGTTGAACACATCATTAAGGTACAGTATGTTTTACCTGGGCGGCGATTCCGATCCTGCCTTCATTCAACATCCCAATGGCATACTTATACCCATGACCAATCTGTCCCAAAATGTTCTTCTCCGGTACCTTCAGTGGACAGCAGAGATTTAAGCTCAAATAAAGCTCAAGCACTGGATGGTAAACAAACTGTACAGCTCAAAGTACCTTGACATTATCAAAGTTGAGTGGACAGGTGGAGGACGCTCGTAGGCCGAGTTTGTTCTCTTTTTTGCAGATTTCAAGACCCTCTGTGTCCCGGTCCACAATGAAACATGTGATGCCCCTGTATCCCTGCCAATCAAATGTGAATATGACAACATTTTTAGAAATCATGGAAGCAAAATCACTGCGGTTTAATGTAAACTAATACAATAAACTCGAGATAAAAGCTACTTCTGATGCTGAACTGTTCAGTTCAACTACCCCTGATTCATCTCTGTGGTTATTGAGGTAATGATAACTTTTATATTGACCAAAAATATACACCAAGAACAAAAAATGAGCTCACAGCAGAAGGATCCACATTGGCCATCACCAGGAAAACACCGGCATGCTCTGCGTTGCTGATCCACATCTTGGATCCGTTGATGATATAATAGTCTTTGTGTTTTTCAGCACGTGTTTTTAGAGCGAAGGCATCACTCCCTGACTCTGCTTCAGAGAGGCAGAAGCTTCCAATCTGTGAGGAAAAAGAGGGGGTGAAAACTACCACTGGGATAAGGGTGCTGCTCACCCTTCGATTGTTTTAACTGCTAGTTGAGTTATTTGATTAAGTGATTTCGGTTTCTCACTCTAGTTTAGAGTCGCCTTTTGTTGCATTTGTTTGTTTCTTTGAGCAGTATTCCATATTCCTCTGTTTTTTTCCCCCCAAACTCTTATTTATTTTGCAATTAAACATCCATTTTTTACAACAACTAAACCAGGGTTTATGTTACGTCCTTTCCCTTCCCAAACTGGGTTGTAACAATATATGTCGTTATCGTTTTATCACCCAGCCTCCTCTCAGAAGTAAACGTAGTGTTGCACCACGCATTAAGAGACAGTTTGATGCTCACCATATCAGTTGACAGTCGGGTGAGGTACTGCTCTTTCTGAGCAGGTGTTCCCAGTTTGACAAACAGCGTGTTGATCAGTGTGTTCTGGATGTCACAGAGCACAGCTATGGACGCGTCAACCTTCGCCAGCTCTTCAATGACCAGAATGGAAGAGAAGAATGATGAGCCCGTGCCACCGTATTCTGGATCGATCTCAATACCCATGAGCTGTAAACAAAAATGAATGAAATCAGCTGTATTAAAAAAAAGCTCAGACTCAGTAAAATAGTATCTTGGATTTGATCATTAATGCCACCATAAACACTCACCCCCTGTTCAAATAAAGTCTTAATGACTTCCTCATCCATCTTAGACTCCTCATCCATCTTTGACACAAATGGAGCAATGCGCTCTTGTGCATATTTCTTCACTGTAGACAACAAGACACATGTTGAGTGTTTGAGGAGGATGTGTGTAAATAAACTGTAAATAAACACTTAAAGCTCACCTGCTTCCCTCATCATACTCTCCTCCTCTGAAAACGTCTGAAGCGGGGGAAAGGACACCCCACCACCTGCCTGGTCTGAGGATACATCTGGGGCAGCTCTGTTGGACAAACTCCTCCATCCAGCCCGGCATGAACCCCAGGGTCTGCAGATCTGCCTGCATGACTGAGGGGAGATGTGGACCGCTTATTTACATGAACACACAGGTCAATAAATGATTTAAACGTGCATGTATGTCAACAACAGGAACATTAGTGAGGTTATGAATGAGATAAAGCAGAGTTTGTGCTTGAACACGTCCCTTTAAGCTCTCAACCTAGAGTTAGCTGTTTGCTAGCTCTCGCCGTCACATCACCAGGGGCAAGTCAGGTTACGTAATTCAAGGATAAAAGATCAATACAGTCTGAAAAACATTAAAATAACAGCGCAAACTTCCAAAGACATTCTTAGATCTGATTAAAAGTGTCCATCTCACCTTCGAGAAAAGCTTGACCAGCGGGGCAGCCATGATTTGTTATAAAATGTTTACATGTGATGCTGCGTTTAATTGCACATTGAGGGACTCGGACATTTGATTTTTACGGCTGTGCTTTAACCTACTTTAAAAATTAGAGAGTGAATACAAAAACTGTCAATGCTGGCAAACACTGTGCTTTGTGTTAGTATTTTCAAATACAGAGAAACCTATAAAGCCTTGTTGTAACGACAGAAAAAAAAATGAAACGTTTTTAATAGTCGTATAGCTGTTCGAAATCGATCGAAGCATTTCCTGAAGTACATGAAGGCAACAGTTGCGTTTGCTGTGACACGGAACAAGGGATGTGAAACGGAAGTGTTTACGAAGATACAATATCAGCCGGATAATTTATCATCGGCGCCTCTTTTTACATCTTGTTTTCTGCCAGTTGAGGATGTTTCTCGGACACTGAAAGGTACCGCATCAACTTATCTACGAATTATATTAACTACTCTATGTTATGAATAACAGAAAACCCGTGTAAGGGTTGGCTGGCATTAGCTTGGCAACAATAGCATTGTTGTTTGTAGCTACGGGAGAGCTAAGCATAAAGGCTTCTGTAGAGGTTGTGTATTGGTGGCTGTTACCATAAAAGCAGACTTATCTATCTTTTCCCTCCAGTTTAATCCAGAAAGAAAATGGAGGAGATAAAGACCGAGCCGATTGATTTTGTGAGGGAATTTCAAGAGTACCTGACCCAGCAAACCCAGCATGTAAACATGATCTCAGGTTCTGTCTGCAGTGAGAAGGAGGCTGGGGAGCCACAGTTTCAAGCAGGTGGGAGAGCAGTTGAATACTTTTTATAGCAATAAATATGTGATAAATAAAAGGCAAAACCCTTAAAGTCATTGTGTGTTTGGTTTTAGTTGCCCCGCGGAGTGAGCACAACAATCTGGACCCTGTACCTGTGGAGGTGAACCTGCCAATAGAGGAGAGCTCAGATGTTCAGGTGGACGGCCTGGAGAGGACTTTCGATGGGAAATACAAGTGCAGTTACTGCAGCTATGCCAACAAGGGAATGGCCCGTTTAATAGAGCACATCCGCATCCACACAGGTTAGTGTTTCCACTAGATTCACCCATACATAAACAAGTACACTTAAGTTTACCAGTATGGTGCACCTAAAGATGGTATCCTCAAAGAAATAAGCATTTGCAGACCAAATGCAGATCCAGTCCAAATCTATTTTTTTGTGTCATTAACTTCTGTTGTAATTTATTTTTATTTTTATTTTTTTTGCATTTAAAAAAATATATATATATTTGTAGCAGTGGCAGTTCTCGGCCACCGTTACAAATCTATTGCTGTATAACAGTGTTCATGTTGTGAGCTGTTGTGAACAAATATGACAATATGTCTTTTTTTCATCCAGGAGAGAAGCCTCACAGATGCCAGCTGTGCCCGTTCGCCTCAGCATACGAACGACATCTGGAAGCCCACATGCGCTCGCACACAGGAGAGAAACCGTACAAATGTGACCTCTGCGCCTTCCGTTGCAGCGACCGTAGCAACTTGTCCCACCACCGCCGGCGCCGCCACAAGCTCCTCCCCTCAAGAGTTGTCCGCTCTCCCTTCTCCAACAAACGAATGTTGAGTTCCCTCCAGAAGAGGACTGGCTCGATAGGTTTGAGCAGGCGGCTGCTCGTCAACTTTAGCACTCCTTCAGTGATGACGCAAAAGTCGGATTATCTGTGTGACTTTCCACATAAGGTCCACCACCATTTGAACGGCACCGAGTACAGGAACCATAACAGGATGGATGATAACGACAGTCGAAACAGAGGTGCTGTTAATGGTTTGACCTCCAATAACCCCCTGGACCAGCTGTCTACACTTGCAGGCCAGCTTGCAGATCTTCACCCTGAATCTCAGACTCCTGCATCCCCTGACAGAGAGTCCTTAAGAGACGAGAAGCCCATCATCATCCACCAGATTTCAAGTGAGCATGTTTCAATGTCTTCAAACGGAGTTCAGACTTCACCTCATCCAAAAGAGTCCCCTAGGTCCGGCCATGAGAGCTGCAGTCCTGTACCTGGCTCAGGCTTTGAAAGCAGCATGAACACTCTGACTGCGAGTATGAGCAACAGTCAGCCGGGGACACCTGCCCCTCTTGCTCAGACTGCCTTAGACCAGCATCTCCTGCAGAAGTGTCCGCATTGTGATATTCACTTTGTGGATAATATCCTCTACACTATTCACATGGGCTGCCATGGTTACGAGCATCCATATCAGTGCAACATCTGTGGCCACATGTGTATAGACAAATATGACTTTGCTTGTCATTTTGCCCGTGGACAACATAAAAAGTGATTCACAGCAGCTTGGGTGTATATAGAGCCTTTTTCATATTGCCAGTTCAGTGTGAGGTTTTTAAGCATCTGTAATGTCCGGCTTTTTTATAAATTTCATGTACAGCTATACACGTTAGCACTGAATCATTTTTCTTTAGATTTTAATACCTGTCTTATTTCATACTCATCAACTTCATCACATTGTTGCTTTACTGCAGTTCGGCATAGCTCCCAGTTACGGGATGATCTGAAACCCTCAATTTCATCTTTGTTTCAACAGTAATTTCAGGACCTCTAAACAGACAGAGTACGACAACACTGAGGTAACAGTCAAAACTGAGCTTATAACACATCTCAACAAGGGATCACTTAGTCTGAGGGTAAGTGGTGCTAAAATTGGTTTACTAAGTGTGACTTACAGTAGCAGAGCAAGCACCACCAGCCTGTGCTCCCCTTTGCAAGTTAACGTCCACATGCCTGTGCCTGTTACACGCTGCTTTGGTTGAGTTGTTATATGTCAGTTTAACAAGACACAACCTGCACATCACTATGTTATAGATACAGCACTCATTTTTCCTCTGTGCTTGTTCATGCCCAGGTAGTAAGCATTATAGTGTTATGTATATGACATGAGCTTATACTGATAAAGACATTAATGACTTGTTAAACTGACGAGTAATTTGAGCTGTAACTAGTGGAGGTGATGCTCAACCGTTCAGTTAACTGGAAGCCTTCACTAAAGCTTTTTTCCTTTCTTTTGGAGCTGTATTCATGTAAGCAACTCTGGAAAATTACTGAGGCTGAGTTTCAGAAATTCCCTGAAATTTTCAGGAGTGCGGAAGTGAAAAGGGATTATGTTAGAGATTGATGCATACACAGAGCAAAACAACACATAGAGATACAGTGGGGAGAAAACAACACACTTAACACACAAAAAAATTGAACTGCACATTTGTATGTCGTTTCCCTTTTTTTTTTTTTTCTCGAGCCGATGCAGCTACTATTTCATTTTCGGGGTCCAGTTTTGGGATAGCAACTACATCTCTTGGAGTCCACATGTGCAAAAATAACAAAATCCCCCTGAAGTATAATCAGTGAGATGTTTCAAAGCTGACTGCCCATTTTATGATTAAAAATTTATGTTAATTATGTGTCATTCAAACCCTGCTTGCTGTTTTGACATGTATACCTCACTCTATGGACTCCATAGGAATTTTAATGTTATTTTTTCATATGTTGTTACTAATTTAACACATTAAAGTTTTTAAAATGAATATTTATCCCCTGTTTTGAGTATTTCATGATGCTGCGCATGCCAGTAGTTTTTATAGACGCTCTTCAGAGTAGGTTTTTTTATGTGGAATGTTTTATATGAAAATGTTGGTCTGGAAGGAAGGCAGAGACAATTCAATTTACTTGTTAATGTGTATTTTTCTTGTAAGTGGCTCAAAGAGCAGCTGTAAAACTAATGGACTCCTCTCTTTAAGGGTACATGATGATACATAAAGATAATATGATCAACATTTCACATCATTTTTGCAGATCATGCCAACATTCATCCATGTGTCAGTTTGTTAAAAGCGTGATAATGTTTGGAGGAAAGTTTGTCTTTAAAAAAATAAACTTTATTTGATAAAATAAAATGATTTGTCCATTTATTTTGTTGCGCTTGAGTGTCACAACCATCCAGAAACAGATGAAAAACTGAGTTTTTTTTATAGTCCCTAGTGATTCAAAAAGGCTGTAGAGTACTCATGCACAGAAAGATGGAAAAGACAAATGTCTTCAAAAGTTGGATCTATTTTATTGCTAGGATCAAACAAGCAGCAAACGTTTCAGTCTCAGTTGAATATTGTCAGTGCAATAGTAAGAGGTCTATCTAAGTGTGTCTTTGAGTTCTTCTCAGTCAAGCTGGAGAGCTTAATTGGACACACCTGGAGCCTCTTACATAGACAGAGCAGGTAATACTCACACACAGGTGTGTCCAATTAAGCGCTCCAGCTGAACTGGACACACCCGTGTGTAAGTATTACCTGCTCTGTGTGAGAGGCTCCAGGTGTGTCCAATTAAGCTCTCCAGCCTGATGAGACTGAGAAGAACCCAAAGACATCCCCAGTGATGACATGTAACCCTTATTTGTGAAAATCCAGGTTTCAAGTCACTCCTCTGACAATATTTAAGAGAATTTTGTTTTTCTCATGATCAAAAACATCCACAGCTCTTTTCACCACACGCTCTACATCCATGTCTTCTTCTTGAATGAAAGTACTTTCCTGTAGCAACTCTCCTCGCAGGTTGTGAAGAAAAGCTGTCTTGGATTCATTCAACAGAGCAGCCAAGGACTTCATTTGCGTAGGTGGAACTTGATTTTCTAAAGTTAGAGTAAAAGAAAACAAGAAGTAATTATTCGCTACTAAAGAAAAACTCGAAAAAAAAGTCATTTAGTTTTAAAGCTGACCTTTAGCAGTCTTCATAGCGTCAGAGATGAGGCGCCGGCATGCCTGGTCAGCCTGGTGGATTACACTGGTGGCACATTTCAGACGGTCAGCCTCCTGCAACAACATATAGATTTAACACAGATTTAAACCCATTTCCAAAAGGTTCAATGGGAGCTTGTTGACGCACTGTTTGTTCTGTGTTGTCCTCCACAGGCCTCAGTGGGTTGCTCATTGCAGAAGAGATCACCTCCATCACCCTCTGTCTGAAAAACAGCCATACAAGCAGAGTAACACACACAAGCAACCAGTGAGTACCTGATATGACATAAAACTTTGTAGAAAGGTTTCCAGCTGCTATTTCTTACATGTCACAGTCAGACATCTTGTCTGTAGTGTTGAGAGAAACGCTGTTTTTCTCCCACGAGTTCTTCTGTGGATTTGGAGGCTCCAAACGCTTCACCATGTCCCCCATCACCTCAGCGGGAACGGGCTCAGACCTGCTCTGGTTTCTGCTGATGCATGACTCCAAATCACACTGCAGATACACCTGACAGAAACCGAGTGAATCTAAAAGGAACAAGCAAGAAATCAAGACAATAAAACGCACATCACTTAAGGGACATATGAGTAGACTTACGGCAAAATCTTCTGAGCATTTAATAATAATAATAATAATACATTTTATTTGTAGTGCCCTTTACATCAAGCGACCTCAAAGGGCTACAGCTTAAAAACAAAGAAATTTCACAGTAAAGGAATATAAAAACAGGTTATTGGTTAAAAAACAAGAGAAACATCTTAATAAAAGAGTAAAAGCGAGATAAGAATCTATGATTAGGGACCAAAAGTTCTGCTAAAATGGAAAGAACAAAGGTGTGGGGCAGCAGCACAGAGGGCTTCTGGGGGTGAAGAGGAGGTGTGAGTGAGTTTTTGTGGGTGTAGAAGTTCTTTGAGGTGGGTGGGGGCATGTCCATGGATGCAACGGTGTGTGAGGAGAGAAACCTTGTACCCCATCCTGGTGGAAACCAGAGGAGCCAGTGGAGTGATTGGAGGATGGGGGTTGATATGATCATGTTTGAGCACTCTCTATGCAGACTCTTGCTAGGGATCCAGATGAGAAGTGCGTTGCAGTAGTCCAACTTGGAGGAGATGAAGGCATGAACCAGCTTTTGAGCATCTGTGAGGGAGAAAAGGGGGCGCATTTTGGAGATATTTAAGTGTGCTTACTCTTTCTGGCAACTTGGTGCACTTCATATCTCATGCTTTGGTAGTAGAAGTTGTCATCCAGCAAGAATAAAAGTGGTGCCCTGTGAGGAGTTTCAGGTTGCAGCAGAGTTTTATTGCATCGCTCCCATGCTGCCATGTTGATGTGAGGGCTGCTTGGCTGTTGGGGTCCCTTCAAGAACTGTTCAATACAATGCAGTACTGCTTGTCTATGTAGCTTCCACTCAGTGTGCTAGAAACAAAAAGAAAACAATAACAATCATGAATAAATCCACTATGTTCAGGGGTGCATGAACTCCATTGAAAAAACATCTCATTTAACTTCATCTGTTCACCATGTCTTGTAGTTTGACACCGTCCTCCACCACCTTGGTCTGAAAAGCATGCTCCGGGATCAGGTCATCATACGGCACCACACTGACCCTCCAGCCGAGACGTACAGAGTCGCTAAGGAGCCTCCGAGCCAGCGTGGATTTACCGGCTGCAGGGAGCCCACAGAGGACACACAGGCAGATCGGAGCCCGGTCCACACCACCCGAGTCCTCCGAAGCCATGGTAGGCTTACGAATCACTTAAAAACACAGTTTATGGCATACTTTTGACACTACCGACTGCATTAACTGATGAGTTTCGTTACATCTTTACTTCCGCATCGGGCTGCGTCACTCAAAACAGAAGGCACACGTGGGGTTGATTTCCGGCGGCGATATTTTCAAAATAAAAGCTTTCAAAATAAAGCAAAGTAAACCAGCTGTCCTTAGCTTACTCTTGGGGGTTCTTGAGGGTAAGATGACACCGACTCACACGGATCCCCAACCTTAATTAAAGTGTTGCTTATTGATCGATTTTTTCTTTGGGTAATAACTTTTGAAGTTAAAAAAAAAGTCTGATTTAATGATTTCAGGGAGAAAAGAGTAGGGGAGAATGGGGTAAACTGAGCCAAAGGGTAAGATGAGCCAACCCCTGTTGCTTGGAAATGGTGAAAGAAATGAATCATGTGATCAAATATTTAGGAGATGGACATCAATTCATGGTCTGTGAAGGTTAGAAGCAAATGGGTGAAGGGGCTAGACATTTATTTCCCAAAAAATATTTTTCACTCTTGAAAGTGAATTTAGTCCGTCATAAGTTTTATTAAAATTGTGTTCAGACCGAAAAAAATCATTTTAAAATTGTTTTATTCATCAATTGTGGTATCTAGATTCAACATGAGGTCAAAAATCTAACAAAAAAGTCCACCATTCAGTCCTTGGCCATGACTGTTGGGTACAAACTGTGAAGCTCTGTTCTGAAGGTAGGACTGGGCTTTTGATTGGCCATGTCAATGGAAAGCCAAGCCTAAAAGTCCTGATTATCAGTTCTGGGTCCCTGGCAATGACTGTTGGGTACAAACTGCGAAGCTTTGTTCTGCAGGTAGGGCTGGGCTTTTCATTGACCATGTGGATCAAATAGTTGTGTGGGCAAAGTGTGTCGTCTCAGCCACTATGTTTTCTGCACTTGTGAGTATAGAGCACCTCGATAGCTCAGTTGGTAGAGCAGAGGACTGTAGGAGGTTCCTCACACGAAGTGCTGTGATGCAAAGGTTGCTGGTTCGACTCCCCGCTTGTCCTTGTCTTCACCTGTGAACACCTCCAGAATGTCAAAACACAAACATGAGAACTCCTCCTTTAATTTTCCAACCATCAATTTTTTTTTTATTCACCCAACCTTAAAGTCCTGACTATCAGTTCTGGGTCCTTGGCAATGACTGTTGGGTACAAACTGTGGAACTCTGTTCTGAAGGTAGGACTGGGCTTTTGATTGGCCATGTCAATGGAAAGCTAAGCCTAAAAGTCCTGAATATCAGTTCTGGGTCCCTGGCAATGACTGTTGGGTACAAACTGCGAAGCTTTGTTCTGCAGCTCTACCAACTGAGCTATGAAGGTGCTTATAGACACAAACGCAGAAAACATAGTGGCTTCGGCGACACACTTTGCCAACAATACAATTGGACCCACATGGTCAATGAAAAAGGTTGAACAGTGCATAGACCAATGAAATCAGCTGTTTGGAGCAGGAGTTGAACCAGCAACCTTTGGACCACAACGTTTCAGGAACTTCTTAAAGTCATGTGCTCTACCAACTGAGCTATGAAGGTGCTTATAGACACAAATGCAGAAAACATAGTGGCTTCGGCGACACACTTTGCCAACACAACAATCAAGCCACCTGGTAAACTAAAAAAGTTGAACAGTGAATATACCAATGAAATCTGGTGCTTGGAGCTGGAGTCGAACCAGCGACCTTTGGACCACAGCGTTTCAGGAACTTCTAAAAGTCATGTGCTCTACCAACTGAGCTATGAAGGTGCTTATAGACACAAACGCAGAAAACATAGTTTCTTCGGCGACACACTTTGCCAACAATACAATTGGACCCACATGGTCAATGAAAAAGGTCTAACAGTGCATACAGCAATGAAATCTGGTGTTTGGAGCTGGAGTTGAACCAGCGACCTTTGGACCACAGCGTTTCAGGAACTTCTTAAAGTCCTCTGCTCTACCAACTGAGCTATGAAGGTGCTTATAGACACAAACGCAGAAAACATAGTGGCTTCGGCGACACACTTTGCCAACAATACAATTGGACCCACATGGTCAATGAAAAAGGTTGAACAGTGCATAGACCAATGAAATCAGCTGTTTGGAGCAGGAGTTGAACCAGCGACCTTTGGACCACAACGTTTCAGGAACTTCTTAAAGTCATGTGCTCTACCAACTGAGCTATGAAGGTGCTTATAGACACAAATGCAGAAAACATAGTGGCTTCGGCGACACACTTTGCCAACATAACAATCAAGCCACCTGGTCAATGAAAAAGGTTGAACAGTGCATACACCAATGAAATCTGGTGTTTGGAGCTGGAGTTGAACCAGCGACCTTTGGACCACAGCGTTTCAGGAAGTTCTTGCAGTCATGTGCTCTACCAACTGAGCTATGAAGGTGCTTATAGACACAAACGCAGAAAACATAGTGGCTTAGGCCACAGACTTTGCCAACACAACAATCAAGCCACTTGGTCAATGAAAAAGGTTGAACAGTGGATATAACAATGAAATCTGGTGCTTGGAGCTGGAGTTGAACCAGCGACTTTTGGACCACAGCGTTTCAGGAACTTCTTAAAGTCATGTGCTCTACCAACTGAGCTATGAAGGTGCTTATAGACACAAACGCAGAAAACATAGTGGCTTCGGCCACAGACTTTGCCAAAATAACAATCAAGCCACCTGGTCAATGAAAAAGGTTGAACAGTGCATACAGCAATGAAATGTGGTGTTTGGAGCTGGAGTTGAACCAGCGACCTTTGGACCACAGCGTTTCAGGAACTTCTTACAGTCCTCTGCTCTACCAACTGAGCTATGAAGGTGCTTATAGACACAAACGCAGAAAACATAGTGGCTTCGGCCACAGACTTTGCCAACACAACAATCAAGCCACTTGGTCAATGAAAAAGGTTGAACAGTGCATATACCAATGAAATCTGGTGCTTGCAGGTGGAGTTGAACCAGCGACCTTTGGAACACAGCGTTTCAGGAACTTCTTAAAGTCATGTGCTCTACCAACTGAGCTATGAAGGTGCTTATATATACAAACGCAGAAAACATAGTGGCTTCGGCGACACACTTTGCCAACATAACTATTGAACCCACATGGTCAATGAAAAAGGTTGAACAGTGCATATACCAATGAATTCTGGTGCTTGCAGCTGGAGTTGAACCAGCGACCTTTGGACCACAGCGTTTCAGGAACTTCTTACAGTCCTCTGCTCTACCAACTGAGCTATGAAGGTGCTTATAAACACAAACACAGAAAACATAGTGGCTTCGGCGACACACTTTGCCAACATAACAATCAAGCCACCTGGTCAATGAAAAAGGTTGAACAGTGCATACACCAATGAAATCTGGTGTTTGGAGCAGGAGTTGAACCAGCGACCTTTGGACCACAGCGTTTCTTGAACTTCTTACAGTCATGTGCTCTACCAACTGAGCTATGAAGGTGCTTATAGACACAAACGCAGAAAACATAGTGGCTTCGGCGACACACTTTGCCAACATAACAATCAAGCCACCTGGTCAATGAAAAAGGTTTAACAGTGCATAGACCAATGAAATCTGGTGTTTGGAGGTGGAGTTGAACCAGCGACCTTTGGCCCAAAGCCTTTCAGGATCTTCTTACAGTCCTCTGCTATACCAACTGAGCTATGAAGGTTCTTATAATCACAAATGCAGAAAACATAGTGGCTTCGGCGACACACTTTGCCAACATAACAATCAAGGCACCTGGTCAATGAAAAAGGTTGAACAGTGCATACAGCAATGAAATCTGGTGTTTAGAGCTGGAGTTGAACCAGCGACCTTTGGACCACAGCGTTTCAGGAACTTCTTACAGGCCTCTGCTCTACCAACTGAGCTATGAAGGTGCTTATAGACACAAATGCAGAAAACATAGTGGCTTCGGCAACACACTTTTCCAACACAACAATCTCGCCACCTGGTCAATGAAAAAGGTTGAACAGTGCATACAGCAATGAAATCTGGTGTTTGGAGCTGGAGTTGAACCAGCAACCTTTGGACCACAGCGTTTCAGGAACTTCTTAAAGTCATGTGCTCTACCAACTGAGCTATGAAGGTGCTTATAGACACAAACGCAGAAAACATAGTGGCTTCGGCGACACACTTTGCCAAAATAACTATTGGACCCACATGGTCGATGAAAAAGGCTGAACAGTGCATACACCAATGAAATCTGGTGTTTGGAGCTGGAGTTGAACCAGCGACCTTTGGACCACAGCGTTTCAGGAACTTCTTACAGTCCTCTGCTCTACCAACTGAGCTATGAAGGTGCTAATAGACACAAATGCAGAAAACATAGTGGCTTCGGCGACACACTTTGCCAACATAACAATTGGACCCACACGGTCAATGAAAAAGGTTGAACAGTGCATAGACCAATGAAATCTGGTGTTTGGAGCAGAAGTTGAACCAGCTACCTTTGGACCACAGCGTTTCAGGAACTTCTTAAAGTCATGTGCTCTACCAACTGAGCTATGAAGGTGCTTATAGACACAAACGCAGAAAACATAGTGGCTTCGGCGACACACTTTGCCAAAATAACTATTGGACCCACATGGTCGATGAAAAAGGTTGAACAGTGCATACACCAATGAAATCTGGTGTTTGGAGCTGGAGTTGAACCAGCGACCTCTGGCCCAAAGCGTTTCAGGAACTTCTTACAGTCCTCTGCTCTACCAACTGAGCTATGAAGGTGCTTATAGACACAAACGCAGAAAACATAGTGGCTTCGGCGACACACTTTGCCAACAATACAACTGGACCCACATGGTCAATGAAAAAGGTTGAACAGTGGATAGACCAATGAAATATGGTGCTTGGAGCTGGAGTTGAACCAGCGACCTTTGGACCACAGCGTTTCAGGAAATTCTTAAAGTCATGTGCTCTACCAACTGAGCTATGAAGGTACTTGTAGACACAAACGCAGAAAACATAGTGGCTTCGGCGACACACTTTGCCAACACAACAATCAAGACACTTGGTCAATGAAAAAGGTTGAACAGTGGATAGACCAATGAAATATGGTGCTTGGAGCTGGAGTTGAACCAGCGACGTTTGGACCACAGCGTTTCAGGAACTTCTTAAAGTCATGTGCTCTACGAACTGAGCTATGAAGATACTTGTAGACACAAACGCAGAAAACATAGTGGCTTCGGCGACACACTTTGCCAACACAACAATCAAGCCACTTGGTCAATGAAAAAGGTTGAACAGTGGATATAACAATGAAATCTGGTGCTTGGAGCTGGAGTTGAACCAGCGACTTTTGGACAACACCGTTTCAGGAACTTCTTAAAGTCATGTGCTCTACTAACTGAGCTATGAAGGTGCTTAAACGCTGAAAACATAGTGGCTTCGGCGACACACTTTGCCAAAATAACTATTGGACCCACATGGTCAATGAAAAAGGTTGAACAGTGCATATACCAATGAAATCTGGTGCTTGCAGGTGGAGTTGAACCAGCGACCTTTTGACCAAAGCGTTTCTTGAACTTTTTAAAGTCATGTGCTCTACCAACTGAGCTATGAAGGTGCTTAGAGACAAAAATGCAGAAAACATAGTGGCTTCGGCGACACACTTTGCCAACAATACAATTGGACCCACATGGTCAATGAAAAAGGTTGAACAGTGCATATACCAATGAAATCTGGTGCTTGCAGGTGGAGTTGAACCAGCGACCTTTTGACCAAAGCGTTTCTTGAACTTCTTAAAGTCATGTGCTCTACCAACTGAGCTATGAAGGTGCGTATATACACATACGCAGAAAACATAGTGGCTTCGGCGACACACTTTGCCAACATAACTATTGGACCGACATGGTTGATGAAAAAGGTTGAACAGTGCATACAGCAATGAAATGTGGTGTTTGGAGCTGGAGTTGAACCAGCGACCTTTGGACCACAGCGTTTCAGGAACTTCTTACAGTCCTCTGCTCTACCAACTGAGCTATGAAGGTGCTTATAGACACAAACGCAGAAAACATAGTGGCTTTGGCCACAGACTTTGCCAACACAACAATCAAGCCACTTTGTCAATGAAAAAGGTTGAACAGTGCATATACCAATGAAATCTGGTGCTTGCAGGTGGAGTTGAACCAGCGACCTTTGGACCACAGCGTTTCAGGAACTTCTTAAAGTCATGTGCTCTACCAACTGAGCTATGAAGGTGCTTATATATACAAACGCAGAAAACATAGTGGCTTCGGCGACACACTTTGCCAACATAACAATCAAGCCACCTGGTCAATGAAAAAGGTTGAACAGTGCATACATCAAAGAAATCTGGTGTTTGGAGCTGGAGTTGAACCAGCGACCTTTGGACCACAGCGTTTCAGGAACTTCTTACAGGCCTCTGCTCTACCAACTGAGCTATGAAGGTGCTTATAGACACAAACGCAGAAAACATAGTGGCTTAGGCCACAGACTTTGCCAACACAACAATCAAGCCACTTGGTCAATGAAAAAGGTTGAACAGTGGAAATAACAATGAAATCTGGTGCTTGGAGCTGGAGTTGAACCAGCGACGTTTGGACCACAGCATTTCAGGAAGTTCTTGCAGTCATGTGCTGTACCAACTGAGCTATGAAGGTGCTTATAGACACAAACGCAGAAAACATAGTGGCTTCGGCCACAGACTTTGCCAAAATAACAATCAAGCCACCTGGTCAATGAAAAAAGTTGAACAGTGCATACACCAATGAAATCTGGTGTTTGGAGCTGGAGTTGAACCAGCGACCTTTGGACCACAGCGTTTCAGGAACTTCTTAAAGTCATGTGCTGTACCAACTGAGCTATGAAGGTGCTTCTAGACACAAACGCAGAAAACATAGTGGCTTGGGCGACACACTTTGCCAACATAACAATCAAGCCACCTGGTCAATGAAAAAGGTTGAAAAGTGCATACACCAATGAAATCTGGTGTTTGGAGCTGGAGTTGAACTAGCGACCTTTGGACCACAGCGTTTCAGGAACTTCTTACAGTCCTCTGCTCTACCAACTGAGCTATGAAGGTGCTTATAGACACAAACGCAGAAAACATAGTGGCTTCGGCCACAGACTTTGCCAACACAACAATCAAGCCACTTGGTCAATGAAAAAGGTTGAACAGTGGATATAACAATGAAATCTGGTGCTTGCAGGAGGAGTTGAACCAGTGACCTTTGGACCAAAGCGTTTCTTGAACTTCTTAAAGTCATGTGCTCTACCAACTGAGCTATGAAGGTGCGTATATATACATACGCAGAAAACATAGTGGCTTCGGCGACACACTTTGCCAACAATGCATTTGGACCCACATGGTCAATGAAAAAGGTTGAACAGTGCATATACCAATGAAATCTGGTGCTTGCAGGTGGAGTTGAACCAGCGACCTTTGGACCACAGCGTTTCTTGAACTTCTTAAAGTCATGTGCTCTACCAACTGAGCTATGAAGGTGCTAATAGACACAAATGCAGAAAACATAGTGGCTTCGGCGACACACTTTGCCAAAATAACAATCAAGCCACCTGGTCAATGAAAAAGGTTGAACAGTGCATACAGCAATGACATCTGGTGTTTGGAGCTGGAGTTGAACCAGCGACCTTTGGACCAAAGCGTTTCTTGAACTTCTTACAGTCCTCTGCTCTACCAACTGAGCTATGAAGGTGCTAATAGACACAAATGCAGAAAACATAGTGGCTTCGGCGACACACTTTGCCAACAATACAATTGGACCCACATGGTCAATGAAAAAGGTTGAACAGTGCATACACCAATGAAATCTGGTGCTTGCAGGTGGGGTTGAACCAGCGACCTTTGGACCACAGCTTTTCAGGAACTTCTTAAAGTCATGTGCTCTACCAACTGAGCTATGAAGGTGCTTATATATACAAACGCAGAAAACATAGTGGCTTCGGCGACACACTTTGCCAAAATAACAATCAAGCCACCTGGTCAATGAAAAAGGTTGAACAGTGCATACAGGAATGACATCTGGTGTTTGGAGCTGGAGTTGAACCAGCGACCTTTGGACCAAAGCGTTTCAGGAACTTCTTACAGTCCTCTGGTCTACCAACTGAGCTATGAAGGTGCTTATAGACACAAACGCAGAAAACATAGTGGCTTCGGCCACAGACTTTGCCAACACAACAATCAAGCCACTTGGTCAATGAAAAAGGTTGAACAGTGCATACACCAATGAAATCTGGTGCTTGCAGGTGGAGTTGAACCAGCGACCTTTGGACCACAGCTTTTCAGGAACTTCTTAAAGTCATGTGCTCTACCAACTGAGCTATGAAGGTGCTTATATATACAAACGCAGAAAACATAGTGGCTTCGGCGACACACTTTGCCAACATAACTATTGGACTGACATGGTCGATGAAAAAGGTTGAACAGTGCATACAGCAATGAAATCTGGTTTTTTGAGCTGGAGTTGAACCAGCGACCTATGGACCAAAGCGTTTCAGGAACTTCTTACAGTCCTCTGCTCTACCAACTGAGCTATGAAGGTGCTTATAGATACAAACGCAGAAAACATAGTGGCTTCGGCGACACACTTTGCCAACAATACAATTGGACCCACATGGTCAATGAAAAAGGTTGAACAGTGCATACACCAATGAAATCTGGTGCTTGCAGGTGGAATTGAACCAGCAACCTTTGGACCACAGCTTTTCAGGAACTTCTTAAAGTCATGTGCTCTACCAACTGAGCTATGAAGGTGCTTATATATACAAACGCAGAAAACATAGTGGCTTCGGCGACACACTTTGCCAACATAACAATCAAGCCACCTGGTCAATGAAAAAGGTTGAACAGTGCATACACCAATGAAATCTGGTGTTTGGAGCTGGAGTTGAACCAGCGACCTTTGGACCACAGCGTTTCAGGAACTTCTTAAAGTCATGTGCTCTACCAACTGAGCTATGAAGATGCTTATAGACACAAACGCAGAAAACATAGTGGCTTCGGCCACAGACTTTGCCAACACAACAATCAAGCCACCTGGTCAATGAAAAAGGTTGAACAGTGGATATAACAATGAAATCTGGTGCTTGGAACTGGAGTTGAACCAGCGACTTTTGGACCACAGCGTTTCAGGAACTTCTTAAAGTCATGTGCTCTACCAACTGAGCTATGAAGGTGCTTATAGACACAAACGCAGAAAACATAGTGGCTTGGGCGACACACTTTGCCAACATAACAATCAAGCCACCTGGTCAATGAAAAAGGTTGAACAGTGCATACACCAATGAAATCTGGTGTTTGGAGCTGGAGTTGAACCAGCGACCTTTGGACCACAGCGTTTCAGGAACTTCTTACAGTCCTCTGCTCTACCAACTGAGCTATGAAGGTGCTTATATATACAAACGCAGAAAACATAGTGGCTTCGGCGACACACTTTGCCAACATAACAATCAAGCCACATGGTCGATGAAAAAGGTTGAACAGTGCATACAGCAATGAAATCTGGTGTTTGGAGCTGGAGTTGAACCAGCGACGTTTGGACCACAGCGTTTCAGGAACTTCTTAAAGTCATGTGCTCTACCAACTGAGCTATGAAGGTGCTTATAGAGACAAACGCAGAAAACATAGTGGCTTCGGCGACACACTTTGCCAACATAACTATTGGACCCACATGGTCGATGAAAAAGGTTGAACAGTGCATACACCAATGAAATCTGGTGTTTGGAGCTGGAGTTGAACCAGCGACCTTTGGCCCAAAGCGTTTCAGGAACTTCTTACAGTGCTCTGCTCTACCAACTGAGCTATGAAGGTGCTTATAGACAAAAATGCAGAAAACATAGTGGCTTCGGCGACACACTTTGCCAACAATACAATTGGACCCACATGGTCAATGAAAAAGGTTGAACAGTGCATATACCAATGAAATCTGGTGCTTGCAGGTGGAGTTGAACCAGCAACCTTTTGACCAAAGCGTTTCTTGAACTTCTTAAAGTCATGTGCTCTACCAACTGAGCTATGAAGGTACTTAAAGACACAAACGCAGAAAACATAGTGGCTTGGGCGATACACTTTGCCAACACAACAATCAAGCCACCTGGTCAATGAAAAAGGTTGAACAGTGGATAGACCAATGAAATCTGGTGCTTGGAGCTGGAGTTGAACCAGCGACTTTTGGACCACAGCGTTTCAGGAACTTCTTAAAGTCATGTGCTCTACCAACTGAGCTATGAAGGTGCTTATATAGACAAACGCAGAAAACATAGTGGCTTCGGCGACACACTTTGCCAACACAACAATCAAGCCACTTGGTCAATGAAAAAGGTTGAACAGTGGATATAACAATGAAATCTGGTGCTTGGAGCTGGAGTTGAACCAGCGACTTTTGGACCACAGCGTTTCAGGAACTTCTTAAAGTCATGTGCTCTACCAACTGAGCTATGAAGGTACTTATAGACCCAAACGCAGAAAACATAGTGGCTTCGGCGACACACTTTGCCAAAACAACAATCAAGCCACTTGGTCAATGAAAAAGGTTAAACAGTGGATATAACAATGAAAACTGGTGCTTGGAGCTGGAGTTGAACCAGCGACTTTTGGACCACAGCGTTTCAGGAACTTCTTAAAGTCATGTGCTCTACTAACTGAGCTATGAAGGTACTTATAGACACAAACGCAGAAAACATAGTGGCTTCGGCGACACACTTTGCCAAAATAACTATTGGCCCCACATGGTCGATGAAAAAGGTTGAACAGTGCATACACCAATGAAATCTGGTGTTTGGAGCTGGAGTTGAACAAAGGGTTTCAGGAACTTCTTACAGTCCTCTGCTCTACCAACTGAGCTATGAAGGTGCTTATAGACAAAAATGCAGAAAACATAGTGGCTTCGGCGACACACTTTGCCAACAATACAATTGGACCCACATGGTCAATGAAAAAGGTTGAACAGTGCATATACCAATGAAATCTGGTGCTTGCAGGTGGAGTTGAACCAGCGACCTTTGGACCACAGCGTTTCTTGAACTTCTTAAAGTCATGTGCTCTACCAACTGAGCTATGAAGGTGCTTATATATACAAACGCAGAAAACATAGTGGCTTCGGCGACACACTTTGCCAACATAACTATTGGACCGACATGGTCGATGAAAAAGGTTGAACAGTGGATACAGCAATGAAATCTGGTGTTTGGAGCTGGAGTTGAACCAGCGACCTTTGGACCACAGCGTTTCAGGAACTTCTTACAGTCCTCTGCTCTACCAACTGAGCTATGAAGGTGCTTATAGACACAAACGCAGAAAACATAGTGACTTCGGCGACACACTTTGCCAACAATACAATTGGACCCACATGGTCAATGAAAAAGGTTGAACAGTGCATACACCAATGAAATCTGGTGCTTGCAGGTGAAGTTGAACCAGCGACCTTTGGACCACAGCTTTTCAGGAACTTCTTAAAGTCATGTGCTCTACCAACTGAGCTATGAAGGTGCTTATAGACACAAACGCAGAAAACCTTTTGGCTTTGGCCACAGACTTTGCCAACACAACAATCAAGACACTTGGTCAATGAAAAAGGTTGAACAGTGGATATAACAATGAAATCTGGTGCTTGGAGCTGGAGTTGAACCAGCGACTTTTGGACCACAGCATTTCAGGAACTTCTTAAAGTCATGTGCTCTACCAACTGAGCTATGAAGGTGCTTATAGACACAAACGCAGAAAACATAGTGGCTTCGGCCACAGACTTTGCCAAAATAACAATCAAGCCACTTGGTCAATGAAAAAGGTTGAACAGTGCATACACCAATGAAATCTGGTGTTTGAAGCTGGAGTTGAACCAGCGACCTTTGGACCACAGCGTTTCAGGAACTTCTTACAGTCCTCTGCTCTACCAAATGAGCTATGAAGGTGCTTATAGACACAAACGCAGAAAACATAGTGGCTTCGGCCACAGACTTTGCCAACACAACAATCAAGCCACTTGGTCAATGAAAAAGGTTGAACAGTGGATATAACAATGAAATCTGGTGCTTGCAGGTGGAGTTGAACCAGCGACTTTTGGACCACACCGTTTCAGGAACTTCTTAAAGTCATGTGCTCTACCAACTGAGCTATGAAGGTGCTTATAGACACAAACGCAGAAAACCTAGTGGCTTCGGCCACAGACTTTGCCAACACAACAATCAAGCCACTTGGTCAATGAAAAAGGTTGAACAGTGAATACACCAATGAAATCTGGTGTTTGGAGCTGGAGTTGAACCAGCGAGCTTTGGACCACAGCGTTTCAGGAAGTTCTTGCAGTCATGTGCTCTACCAACTGAGCTATGAAGGTGCTTATAGACACAAACGCAGAAAACATAGTGGCTTCGGCCACAGACTTTGCCAACACAACAATCAAGCCACCTGGTCAATGAAAAAGGTTGAACAGTGCATACACCAATGAAATCTGGTGTTTGGAGCTGGAGTTGAACCAGCGAGCTTTGGACCACAGCGTTTCAGGAACTTCTTACAGTCCTCTGCTCTACCAACTGAGCTATGAAGGTGCTTATATATACAAACGCAGAAAACATAGTGGCTTCGGCGACACACTTTGCCAACATAACAATCAAGCCACCTGGTCAATGAAAAAGGTTGAACAGTGCATACACCAATGAAATCTGGTGCTTGCAGGTGGAGTTGAACCAGCGACCTTTGGACCACAGCTTTTCAGGAAATTCTTAAAGTCATGTGCTCTACCAACTGAGCTATGAAGGTGCTTATATATACAAACGCAGAAAACATAGTGGCTTCGGCGACACACTTTGCCAACATAACAATCAAGCCACCTGGTCAATGAAAAAGGTTGAAGAGTGCATAAACCAATGAAATCTGGTGTTTGGAGCTGGAGTTGAACCAGCGACCTTTGGAACACAGCGTTTCAGGAACTTCTTACAGTCCTCTGCTCTACCAACTGAGCTATGAAGGTGCTTATAGACACAAACGCAGAAAACATAGTGGCTTCGGCCACAGACTTTGCCAACACAACAATCAAGCCACTTGGTCAATGAAAAAGTTTGAACAGTGCATATACCAATGAAATCTGGTGCTTGCAGGTGGAGTTGAACCAGCGACCTTTGGACCACAGCGTTTCTTGAACTTCTTAAAGTCATGTGCTCTACCAACTGAGCTATGAAGGTGCTTATATATACAAACGCAGAAAACATAGTGGCTTCGGCGACACACTTTGCCAACATAACTATTGGACCGACATGGTCGATGAAAAAGGTTGAACAGTGCATACAGCAATGAAATCTGGTGTTTGGAGCTGGAGTTGAACCAGCGACCTTTGGACCACAGCGTTTCTTGAACTTCTTAAAGTCATGTGCTCTACCAACTGAGCTATGAAGGTGCTTATATATACAAACGCAGAAAACATAGTGGCTTCGGCGACACACTTTGCCAACATAACTATTGGACCGACATGGTCGATGAAAAAGGTTGAACAGTGGATACAGCAATGAAATCTGGTGTTTGGAGCTGGAGTTGAACAAGCGACCTTTGGACCACAGCGTTTCAGGAACTTCTTACAGTCCTCTGCTCTACCAACTGAGCTATGAAGGTGCTTATAGACACAAACGCAGAAAACATAGTGACTTCGGCGACACACTTTGCCAACAATACAATTGGACCCACATGGTCAATGAAAAAGGTTGAACAGTGCATACACCAATGAAATCTGGTGCTTGCAGGTGAAGTTGAACCAGCGACCTTTGGACCACAGCTTTTCAGGAACTTCTTAAAGTCATGTGCTCTACCAACTGAGCTATGAAGGTGCTTATAGACACAAACGCAGAAAACCTTTTGGCTTCGGCCACAGACTTTGCCAACACAACAATCAAGACACTTGGTCAATGAAAAAGGTTGAACAGTGGATATAACAATGAAATCTGGTGCTTGGAGCTGGAGTTGAACCAGCGACTTTTGGACCACAGCATTTCAGGAACTTCTTAAAGTCATGTGCTCTACCAACTGAGCTATGAAGGTGCTTATAGACACAAACGCAGAAAACATAGTGGCTTCGGCCACAGACTTTGCCAAAATAACAATCAAGCCACTTGGTCAATGAAAAAGGTTGAACAGTGCATACACCAATGAAATCTGGTGTTTGAAGCTGGAGTTGAACCAGCGACCTTTGGACCACAGCGTTTCAGGAACTTCTTACAGTCCTCTGCTCTACCAAATGAGCTATGAAGGTGCTTATAGACACAAACGCAGAAAACATAGTGGCTTCGGCCACAGACTTTGCCAACACAACAATCAAGCCACTTGGTCAATGAAAAAGGTTGAACAGTGGATATAACAATGAAATCTGGTGCTTGCAGGTGGAGTTGAACCAGCGACTTTTGGACCACACCGTTTCAGGAACTTCTTAAAGTCATGTGCTCTACCAACTGAGCTATGAAGGTGCTTATAGACACAAACGCAGAAAACCTAGTGGCTTCGGCCACAGACTTTGCCAACACAACAATCAAGCCACTTGGTCAATGAAAAAGGTTGAACAGTGAATACACCAATGAAATCTGGTGTTTGGAGCTGGAGTTGAACCAGCGAGCTTTGGACCACAGCGTTTCAGGAAGTTCTTGCAGTCATGTGCTCTACCAACTGAGCTATGAAGGTGCTTATAGACACAAACGCAGAAAACATAGTGGCTTCGGCCACAGACTTTGCCAACACAACAATCAAGCCACCTGGTCAATGAAAAAGGTTGAACAGTGCATACACCAATGAAATCTGGTGTTTGGAGCTGGAGTTGAACCAGCGAGCTTTGGACCACAGCGTTTCAGGAACTTCTTACAGTCCTCTGCTCTACCAACTGAGCTATGAAGGTGCTTATATATACAAACGCAGAAAACATAGTGGCTTCGGCGACACACTTTGCCAACATAACAATCAAGCCACCTGGTCAATGAAAAAGGTTGAACAGTGCATACACCAATGAAATCTGGTGCTTGCAGGTGGAGTTGAACCAGCGACCTTTGGACCACAGCTTTTCAGGAAATTCTTAAAGTCATGTGCTCTACCAACTGAGCTATGAAGGTGCTTATATATACAAACGCAGAAAACATAGTGGCTTCGGCGACACACTTTGCCAACATAACAATCAAGCCACCTGGTCAATGAAAAAGGTTGAACAGTGCATAAACCAATGAAATCTGGTGTTTGGAGCTGGAGTTGAACCAGCGACCTTTGGAACACAGCGTTTCAGGAACCTCTTACAGTCCTCTGCTCTACCAACTGAGCTATGAAGGTGCTTATAGACACAAACGCAGAAAACATAGTGGCTTCGGCCACAGACTTTGCCAACACAACAATCAAGCCACTTGGTCAATGAAAAAGTTTGAACAGTGCATATACCAATGAAATCTGGTGCTTGCAGGTGGAGTTGAACCAGCGACCTTTGGACCACAGCGTTTCTTGAACTTCTTAAAGTCATGTGCTCTACCAACTGAGCTATGAAGGTGCTTATATATACAAACGCAGAAAACATAGTGGCTTCGGCGACACACTTTGCCAACATAACTATTGGACCGACATGGTCGATGAAAAAGGTTGAACAGTGCATACAGCAATGAAATCTGGTGTTTGGAGCTGGAGTTGAACCAGCGACCTTTGGACCACAGCGTTTCAGGAACTTCTTACAGTCCTCTGCTCTACCAACTGAGCTATGAAGGTGCTTATATATACAAACGCAGAAAACATAGTGGCTTCGGCGACACACTTTGCCAACATAACTATTGGACCGACATGGTCGATGAAAAAGGTTGAACAGTGGATACAGCAATGAAATCTGGTGTTTGGAGCTGGAGTTGAACCAGCGACCTTTGGACCACAGCGTTTCAGGAACTTCTTACAGTCCTCTGCTCTACCAACTGAGCTATGAAGGTGCTTATAGACACAAACGCAGAAAACATAGTGACTTCGGCGACACACTTTGCCAACAATACAATTGGACCCACATGGTCAATGAAAAAGGTTGAACAGTGCATACACCAATGAAATCTGGTGCTTGCAGGTGAAGTTGAACCAGCGACCTTTGGACCACAGCTTTTCAGGAACTTCTTAAAGTCATGTGCTCTACCAACTGAGCTATGAAGGTGCTTATAGACACAAACGCAGAAAACCTTTTGGCTTCGGCCACAGACTTTGCCAACACAACAATCAAGACACTTGGTCAATGAAAAAGGTTGAACAGTGGATATAACAATGAAATCTGGTGCTTGGAGCTGGAGTTGAACCAGCGACTTTTGGACCACAGCATTTCAGGAACTTCTTAAAGTCATGTGCTCTACCAACTGAGCTATGAAGGTGCTTATAGACACAAACGCAGAAAACATAGTGGCTTCGGCCACAGACTTTGCCAAAATAACAATCAAGCCACTTGGTCAATGAAAAAGGTTGAACAGTGCATACACCAATGAAATCTGGTGTTTGAAGCTGGAGTTGAACCAGCGACCTTTGGACCACAGCGTTTCAGGAACTTCTTACAGTCCTCTGCTCTACCAAATGAGCTATGAAGGTGCTTATAGACACAAACGCAGAAAACATAGTGGCTTCGGCCACAGACTTTGCCAACACAACAATCAAGCCACTTGGTCAATGAAAAAGGTTGAACAGTGGATATAACAATGAAATCTGGTGCTTGCAGGTGGAGTTGAACCAGCGACTTTTGGACCACACCGTTTCAGGAACTTCTTAAAGTCATGTGCTCTACCAACTGAGCTATGAAGGTGCTTATAGACACAAACGCAGAAAACCTAGTGGCTTCGGCCACAGACTTTGCCAACACAACAATCAAGCCACTTGGTCAATGAAAAAGGTTGAACAGTGAATACACCAATGAAATCTGGTGTTTGGAGCTGGAGTTGAACCAGCGAGCTTTGGACCACAGCGTTTCAGGAAGTTCTTGCAGTCATGTGCTCTACCAACTGAGCTATGAAGGTGCTTATAGACACAAACGCAGAAAACATAGTGGCTTCGGCCACAGACTTTGCCAACACAACAATCAAGCCACCTGGTCAATGAAAAAGGTTGAACAGTGCATACACCAATGAAATCTGGTGTTTGGAGCTGGAGTTGAACCAGCGAGCTTTGGACCACAGCGTTTCAGGAACTTCTTACAGTCCTCTGCTCTACCAACTGAGCTATGAAGGTGCTTATATATACAAACGCAGAAAACATAGTGGCTTCGGCGACACACTTTGCCAACATAACAATCAAGCCACCTGGTCAATGAAAAAGGTTGAACAGTGCATACACCAATGAAATCTGGTGCTTGCAGGTGGAGTTGAACCAGCGACCTTTGGACCACAGCTTTTCAGGAAATTCTTACAGTCCATGTGCTCTACCAACTGAGCTATGAAGGTGCTTATATATACAAACGCAGAAAACATAGTGGCTTCGGCGACACACTTTGCCAACATAACAATCAAGCCACCTGGTCAATGAAAAAGGTTGAACAGTGCATAAACCAATGAAATCTGGTGTTTGGAGCTGGAGTTGAACCAGCGACCTTTGGAACACAGCGTTTCAGGAACTTCTTACAGTCCTCTGCTCTACCAACTGAGCTATGAAGGTGCTTATAGACACAAACGCAGAAAACATAGTGGCTTCGGCCACAGACTTTGCCAACACAACAATCAAGCCACTTGGTCAATGAAAAAGTTTGAACAGTGCATATACCAATGAAATCTGGTGCTTGCAGGTGGAGTTGAACCAGCGACCTTTGGACCACAGCGTTTCTTGAACTTCTTAAAGTCATGTGCTCTACCAACTGAGCTATGAAGGTGCTTATATATACAAACGCAGAAAACATAGTGGCTTCGGCGACACACTTTGCCAACATAACTATTGGACCGACATGGTCGATGAAAAAGGTTGAACAGTGCATACAGCAATGAAATCTGGTGTTTGGAGCTGGAGTTGAACCAGCGACCTTTGGACCACAGCGTTTCAGGAACTTCTTACAGTCCTCTGCTCTACCAACTGAGCTATGAAGGTGCTTATAGACACAAACGCAGAAAACATAGTGGCTTCGGCGACACACTTTGCCAACAATACAATTGGACCCACATGGTCAATGAAAAAGGTTGAACAGTGCATACACCAATGAAATCTGGTGCTTGCAGGGGGAGTTGAACCAACGACTTTTGGACCACAGCTTTTCAGGAACTTCTTACAGTCCTCTGCTCTACCAACTGAGCTATGAAGGTGCTTATAGACACAAACGCAGAAAACATAGTGGCTTCGGCGACACACTTTGCCAACATAACTATTGGACCCACATGGTCGATGAAAAAGGTTGAACAGTGCATACAGCAATGAAATCTGGAGTTTGGAGCTGGAGTTGAACCAGCGACCTTTGGACCACAGCGTTTCAGGAACTTCTTACAGTCCTCTGTTCTACCAACTGAGCTATGAAGGCGCTTATAGATACAAACGCAGAAAACATAGTGGCTTCGGCGACACTTTGCCAACACAACTATTGAAGCCACATGGTCGATGAAAAAGGTTGAACAGTGCACACAATAATGAAATCTAGTGTTTGGAGCTGGAGTTGAACCAGCGATCTTTGGACCACAGTGTTTCAGGAACTTCTTAAAGTCATGTGCTCTACCAACTGAGCTATGAAGGTGCTTATACACACAAACGCAGAAAACATAGTGGCTTCGGCGACACACTTTGCCAACACAACAATCAAGCCACCTGGTTAATGAAAAAGGTTGAACAGTGCATATACCAATGAAATCTGGTGCTTGTAGCTGAAGTTGAACCAGCGACCTTTGGAACACAGCGTTTCAGGAACTTCTTACAGTGCTCTGCTCTGCCAACTGAGCTATGAAGGTGCTTATAGACACATACGCAGAAAACATAGTGGCTTCGGCGACACACTTTGCCAACACAACAATCAAGCCACCTGGTTAATGAAAAAGGTTGAACAGTGCATATACCAATGAAATCTGGTGCTTGGAGCTGGAGTTGAACCAGCTACCTTTGGACCACAGCGTTTCAGGAACTTCTTACAGTGCTCTGCTCTGGCAACTGAGCTATGATGGTGCTTATAGACACAAACGCAGAAAACATAGTGGCTTTGGCGACACACTTTGCCAACAATACAATTGGACCCACATGGTCAATGAAAAAGGTTGAACAGTGCATAGACCAATGAAATCTGGTGTTTGGAGCAGGAGTTGAACCAGCGACCATTGGACCACAACGTTTCAGGAACTTCTTACAGTCCTCTGCTCTACCAACTGAGCTATGAAGGTGCTTATTGAGACAACCGCAGAAAACATAGTGGCTTCGGCGACACACTTTGCCAACACAACAATTTAAGCTACATGGTCAATGAAAAAGCTGTTCTGAAGGTAGGACTGGGCTTTTGATTGGCCATGTCAATGGAAAGCCAAGCCTGATTATCAGTTCTGGGTCCCTGGCAATGACTGTTGGGTACAAACTGCGAAGCTTTGTTCTGCAGGTAGGGCTGGGCTTTTCATTGACCATGTGGATCAAATAGTTGTGTGGGCAAAGTGTGTCGTCTCAGCCACTTGTTTTCTGCACTTTTGAGTAGACAGCACCTAGATAGCTCAGTTGGTAGAGCAGAGGACTGTAGGAAGTTCCTCACAAGAAGTGCTGTGATGCAAAGGTTGCTGGTTCGATTCCCCGCTTGTCCTTGTCTTCATCTGTGAACACCTCCAAAATGTCAAAACACAAACAAGAGAACTCCTCCTTTAATTTTCCAACCATCATTTTTTTTTTTATTCACCCAGCCTTAAAGTCCTGATTATCAGTTCTGGGTCCCTGGCAATGACTGTTGGGTACAAACTGCGAAGCTTTGTTCTGCAGGTAGGGCTGGGCTTTTCATTGACCATGTGGATCAAATAGTTGTGTGGGCAAAGTGTGTCGTCTAAGCCACTATGTTTTCTGCACTTGTGAATAAAGAGCACCTCGAAAGCTCAGTTGGTAGAGCAGAGGACTGTAGGAAGTTCCTCACCTGAAGTGCTGTGATGCAAAGGTTGCTGGTTCGACTCCCTGCTTGTTCTTGTCTTCATCTGTGAACACCTCCAAAATGTCAAAACACAAACAAGAGAACTCCTCCTTTAATTTTCCAACCATCATTTTTTTTTTTTATTGACCCAGCCTTAAAGTCCTGACTATCAGTTCTGGGTCTTTGGCCATGACTGTTGGGTACAAACTGTGAAGCTCTGTTCTGAAGGTAGGACTGGGCTTTTGATTGGCCATGTCAATGGAAAGCCAAGCCTAAAAGTCCTGATTATCAGTTCTGGGCTCCTGGCAATGACTGTTGGGTACAAACTGCGAAGCTTTTTTCTGCAGGTAGGGCTGGGCTTTTCATTGACCATGTGGATCAAATAGTTGTGTGGGCAAAGTGTGTCGTCTCAGCCACTATGTTTTCTGCACTTGTGAGTATAGAGCACCTCGATAGCTCAGTTGGTAGAGCAGAGGACTGTAGGAAGTTCCTCACATGAAGTGCTGTGATGCAAAGGTTGCTGGTTCGACTCCCCGCTTGTCCTTGTCTTCATCTGTGAACACCTCCAAAATGTCAAAACACAAACAAGAGAACTCCTCCTTTAATTTTCCAACCATCATTTTTTTTTATTCACCCAGCCTTAAAGTCCTGACTATCAGTTCTGGGTCCTTGGCAATGACTGTTGGGTACAAACTGTGAAGCTCTGTTCTGAAGGTAGGACTGGGCTTTGGCTTGACCATGTGGGTCAAATAGTTGTGTGGGCAAAGTGTGTCATCTCAGCCACTATGTTTTCTGCAGTTGTGCCCAGAGAGCACCTTGATAGCTCAGTTGGTAGAGCAGAGGACTGTAGGAAGTTCCTTATATGATATGCTGTGATGCTAAGGTCGCTGGTTCAACTCTGGCAACCTTGAGCAGGATGTGGTAACTGCCTCATTGATGTTCTTGTTCACACAGTAGGCGAACTAGTCAGGGTTTATTTACTTTCTAGTACACTATGGTAATTCTCTGTTGAACTTGTCAGCAGAAGTTAACTGAAGATTCAAGCAGTAATAGCTGAGTTTTCATGTTACAAATTGGCAAACCCTGTTGCAGTTTATCTTACACTATAAACACAACTTAATTAGTATCACTTGTATTTTTAAAGTATGTCCTGAAAAGAGTTGCTAAGTCCCACTATGACCCTCATGCTGGTTTTTATTATTTAAGCCACACTTAAGTTCAGTGAAGGAAATGATGTGTATCTATAAGTGTATGAGTAGGATGTAGGATGGTTGTCTTCCTCACTCTTTGAAAAAAACTTAAAAACTTAAAATCCATTACCAGATACATATTTTATTACATTTAACAAAATCAAAAATATTTTACAAGTTTTTAAAAATCAAATTTTGTTACAAAGATTTGGTGATTACTCAAAATGTACACTTTACCTGCTGTTTCCTTATGTGAAAGTTGACCATAAAAAATGCCAGCAACAACTACCAGTGAGATTTATCACAGTGTTTTAAAATTGTCTCTTCACAATGTCGAGCAGCATGCTGCGTACATTTACAATACATTCATAAACATTAATTACAAAAGCAGAATCATTCTGGTAGCTGCTTAGGAGGGATTGGTCTTGGTACTCCGGGGCCCTGTCGTGGAGCTGGAGGATATGCAGGGGCAGGATCAGGAGTAGGGGAGGCAGAAGGGTCTGTGTTCCAGTAATCCAGTTCCCCATACCTAAGGCTGTCAGATAGTTTAAGTTAAAACCAGATACACAAGTGTGCTCATGGATAAAAGTGGATGAAAAGGCAGTTAAATGAGTTTATACCCAGGAACTTCAAGTTGGGTAGATGGGGGATATCCAGGCTGGGATTGGAAGAAACAAACAACAAGTTTTAACATGCAAGTTTGTGGGAAACAATGCATTTTTCTCTTACGCAAAATTTCTGTTTTTCTTAACCGCCTGGTAAGATAATGAAATCCAGGTTTCCCTTCAACCAAACTAACATTCCTCCTTTCCCCATGGTGACGACTTTCAAAACAACAAAAGTATTTACCCCATCCTGAGCAGACTGCGATGGAGGCTGGGTAGATGCAGCTCTCGGTACATCTTGTGTTGACTGTAAATTCGTATTTCTTCTCGGAACATTACTTGACCTATAAAGGCAAAATAAATAAAGCAAAATCTTAATCAAAATCACTCCTAACTGTTGCAACTGCTGTCCTCCAGGTATTCGAGAGGAGATTTTTTTTTTAAATAGAGGGTTATATTTACTTATGGTGTCTCTTGAGACATGGATCCAAGGATTCCCTCCTGAAGAAGTACAGCAGCACCAGAATGAGGAGGATCAATAGAGGTACCACCAGCAGGAAGAAGATTAAAAGGCCGTCTCTGAGGGAGTGGTCTGTGGTAAGAATCCAAAAAGGTCATGTGTGATCAAGAAAGAGTACAGAATAACTAATGACATAAGTCACACCCAACAATCAACATGCAGTAATTATGATGATAAAAATATGAGTTTAAAAGCAGTGGAGACGCTGAGCTTGAATATACTGTCAATTTAATGGAAGCATAACAGCCTAAACCTACACCATATGATATGATACGATACGGTTTGATATGATATAATCTGATATGATTCGATATGATACGGTATGATATGTTTGATATTTTATGATGTGATATTGTTCGATATAATTTGATATGATATAGATGATATGACACGATACGTTATGATATGATATATGACTTACTATATCGTCTCTTTAAAAAATTGTCAGGTGCTGCTTGCTGCCTGTACATAAGTATTAATAAATTAAAATGATTACCAGTATACAGCAAATTTACAAGATGATGATTTTATGTATAAACAAGTTAACTTTTAAACTTTTAAAATTTAGATTTTAACAGGGCAGGACAATCTCAAAAATTGTGCCCTTTAAGGCCTAAATTATTAATGAGACACATGAAGCCCCAATACAGGACATCCATAAGCAGTAAGGTCTTGTATTACCACACATCTATTCATGCATTTAAAAATTCATTGCTTATTTCCCTGTGGTGCATTTATCTCAGTTTATTCAAATTTCCGTGATGAAATATAAAACACCTTTAACTTGTTTCATCTTGTCCTGAAATGAAAAGTGATAAAGCTGGTGTACCTATCATGGCAGGACCGCTGTCTATGCTGCCACCTCGCCCTGACTTGTCACAGTGAGGTGGGCCCCACCCGTCGTTGCAGTGGCAGTGCCCTCTGTCATTACAAACCTGGAGGGAAGACAACAACGACGTCAGACTTGTCATCATTGGGTGGTTTTGAAAGGTTAAATGCAAAGAAAGTGCCCTCTTACCCCTCGGCTGTTGCAGGTGGTTCGAGCTTCACAGTCTAAGTTGGGCAGCAGAGCAGAAGCGTTCACGCACTGAAAGTCCAGGCAGGTCTGAGAGAGAAGACATGACTTCTTAATGCAACCAAAAAAAGATCAATGATTGATTTTTCGCAATCACTTTCCTGGAACAGGTTTTCTCTCATCTGTTCCTGGTTACATTCCTTCCCTTTGGTGTAAACACTCCTTTGAATTTTTGTCTGCTCACCTTCCCTTTGTCACATGGGCTGCCTGGGTTGACATAGGCAGGATCTAGCACATCTGAGCCCAGGTTGAAGTCAGCATTTACACACTTTTTCCCGTCAATCACCTCGATACTGACTTGGGCACCAGTAGGGGGGTTGTTGACATCCACGTTAGTGCACTGCAACTTTCCACACTTGGCATTTCTGCAGTGTGGGACATAGAAAAATACAGTCTAAAGATATCTAGCCTTCTATTTATTACTCTTTCAGAAGCCCCGCCCCTTCAGTATTGACCATTACGCCCAATACATGTAGAAGTAGTATTTTCAAAGTGAAATACTCACGCCAGACTACATTTAATATAATCTTGTCTGCTGTTGACTCCACAGTTTCCAAACACATTCCCTTTCATGTTTGCATGCGTGAAACAAAGATCTGCTGCCTTTTTTGCTGGATCTGCCACAGAGAGACACCAAATCACAGGTTTAGTATAAATTTGAATTGTGTTATATTAGGACATACGAGACACAAATTGAAAGTCACTGATGAGAAAGTCATGTGAGATAATAGGTTGTTATTAACAGTCAAACAAGCTCCATTAAAAGCTCCTGGAGACAATTACAAAGGATAACTAAATGTACCTGGTGCAAAGAGATGTTTGCACTGGTAATCATACGTCTGACACCGCCCTTCATAGCAGTATGCGGCATTGTTAAGACAAGGCAGGCCGTCCATGACATAATAGTCATCGGGGCAGAACGCAGTTGAGCCGTCGCAGTATTCAGGAAGGTCACAGGTGTTAGCAGACGCTCTGCATTCGGCTCCTGATACTCTGATCTAAGACACAAACCAGAACATGCAAATGTAGATGAGTCTTTTTTTTATCCGCTTTTCCTGTCAATGAACTGGTTTTTCCAGATTCAGTGCAAACATAAGCGTTGTAACTCCAGTTGTAGGTTCACCATGACTCTGACCTGGCAGTTGTCGCAGCAGAGTCCTTGAGCACAGGCTGACCCGGATGTAAATTTGCAGGTGGCAGCATCACAGCAGTCGTTTTTACATTCCTGCATGAAATGGATGAAAAAAAGACGTTATTTAACTTCACAGTTGAAAAAAATTTACTCTGAGAAGGTCATTAAACCAAGATTGGTTGCAACATGTTTATCAATTTCATCTGTGAGTGTTCATTTTATTTTATTTTTTTACCCAATAACCGTTTCACTTTCAATTCACTGGTTTCTAAAGTGTGTGTCAGAAACTTCTGAGGTTTATAGACTGCACGGTTCTCAACAATTCACCCATCGTAGACTTAATACAATATTATTTGGATAGAAATCTGTATAAAATGTCTGGTAATAAATAAAAGAAGAATTTTTGTCTATTGTTTCCCCACTCAAGAATAACTTTGAAAAATGTTGGCAAAGTCATAAAAACTTACTCTGTGAACGTTTTGTGTGTGCGTTTGTGTGTAGTATCTTACCTCTGGTGTGCCACAGTCACACTGCTCTCCTTTGTCCAGCCGTCCGTTGCCACACACAGCGGTACCGACAACGTCTGATGGCGAGGGCTGGTTTTTCAGACACGAGCCTCCTCCTCTGACGATGAGCTTCTCAAAGTCTTGTCCACTGCAAGTGCTGAACGTGGTGGAGCCACTGCAGTGGAAATAAACAGTATAAATGGGCGGGCGTCACAGCACTGAAAAATCGTTGGCTAATACAGAAGAAAAATAATGTTTTTTTAACTATGGTTAGAGATTTTTGTATGAGGCGTAATTTTGGATGCTCAAATAAAACACAAAAATAGGTGATTTTATCAGCTCAGTGGAGGCACATGTTTTAAAATGAAAGCTGTAAGTGTGAACCTATAATGGTGCTTCAAGTTTCAACATATAACCACACTAACATAAAGAGAAAGGTTTTTTACTGCTGTGTTAAATTTCATGTTCTATGAAACGTATTGTGACAGATCCGTTACCTGGCAGAGGCACCCATGATGCAGCTCTTTCCATTACATGTGCAGCGGCGGTCGTCGTGATTCATGCCCAGGTTATGACCCATCTCATGGGCCACCACACTAGAGAATCCTGGTAATTTGTCATTGGAAAACTGGAAAACACACCCAGTAAATTCACTGATAAAAATCTAGTTTTTAAATACAAGTTTTAAACAAAAAACAAGTGGACATGAGCCATTTAAAGAAATTCAGTTTGGTAAAAGAAGTCAGGGTAATTAGACTTTAATTGAGGCTTATTAAAGGTCTTCATTTCAACCCTTAATGAATGTTCAACACTTAGTTTAACAACTCGTCTAAAAGGATAATTATTTTTGCCCTGATGTGTTTCAAAGTCTGTTAGGTATCAAAATGAAAAGGAATTTGGGGAATCTAAAAGAAAGTTGCCCTGTCATTGTTCTTCTATTTCTGTGTTCAAGTCTAACCTGTTTGACTTGTGCGTGTTATTCATAGTCTGTCAGACTGAGCTGCACTTATAGGACCTCCCATTAATAATGCAGGCTGTTTCAGTGTCTGTACAAAAGCACATGCTGTCACAGCCAGCAGAGAGTCAGCTGGTGTTAGAAGTCAAAAGGAAAGCTGAACTCACCACGTTGATTCCTCCTGAACTTGCTACAGAGCACACTGACCCAACAAAGGCCATTCCTAATACTCCTCCACCATAGGCGCTGGGCCGACCTCTGAAATATAAATTCATCAAGACAGGTCACAAACTGAACGAACCACATACTGCAGTGCTTGTATCAAACAATGTAAACCAATGGTATCATTAAAAGAACACATTACTTACACGACAAGTTGACCGATATCATGTCTGATCTTTGGTATAAGAGAAGTCTTCCTCCACTTCACAAAACGACCCAACACATCTCCTGCTGAACCCTCCACGCTGAAGGGATTAACATCCTTAAAGATCTCAAGACCCACCAGGATCACACGGATATTCAGCTGCTTATAATACTAGAGGGGGACACACAACATTGTCAAACATAATATAGTATATTTGCAAAACTACGAAAGAATATGTAAGACTTTAGGGACTTTTTCAAGTAAAAATGCTTAAGATCTCACCCCATCCAGGAGATTTGCAAGTTCAACCATTTCATCCCGTACTGCTGTTTCATTCTTTTTTTTGAAATTATACTGTAAATAAATTCAACACAAGAACAAAAGTGAGCGTCTACAGTACAAAAGTTAAACTGTATTATTTTAAAGCTTCTGTGAGGAGTTTTAAGCTGGTATAAAACAGACTGAAATTAATTTTGATGCCTCTATGAGCTTCAAACCAAACATGACCCTCAGCATGACGGTGGACTATTTCTGTATAATTGATGATCCTTGAAACCATTTTTATCCCCCTGAAGGAAATGTCTTTTTTCGTAGACTCAGCTATAAACAGATGAGAGGTAGTGCTTTGTCCGTGGGGGGAGCCAAAATGACCACAAATGGGAAGTTCCTCACAGAAGCTTTGAAAGAAAATTCACAAATGCCAATCCACTGGCATCTATCCTCAAAATTCAAAACTGTGGGAGCCAATTTCTTTCCCCTTACATGCTTGTAAAGTTTTCAAAAGATGTACACACTCACCCTAAGATTATCAACAACCAGCACCAACTCCACATAACTGGTCTGAGGCAAGTTGCGCTTCCTCTGTTGAAAAAAAACAAACAAAAGTAGTCATTGAGGAGCAAAGCCTCTTTTTTTCACTGCCTCCTGCTCTTAATCTAAGTCCAGATGAAAAGCTTAAAGCATCCTGACCCTCAGTAGACTGGTCAATGATTGGCCGGGCTCAAATGGTTCATGGCTTGGCTCGGATGCCTCTTCGCTGACGACCCCACAGGTGAAGGGCTCAGTCTGATCATCCTCCAGAGAATACAGGAAGTGGTCATTTGTTGCTGACATGTGCACGGGTTCGAGTCCATAAGTATCATTCCCAATGATGATCACACCCCTGCAAGGAAGTGAAAGAGAAGAGCAAAGCAAATACAGTATTACAGGAATGTTTTAGTGTCCACCCATCCAAGCTGAGGTGTGGCACAGATTGTACTGACAAAGAGGCACTGATAAATTTATAAGGTCTGATAAATATCTTTAAACAAACAACAAAAAAATCTAAGCCACTAACCACAATAGGTGGGAGAAAACAAGTGTGAGGCCATGAAATTTTAATCAATTTAATGTGGGGCTCTACTTTAGCTTAGGGGATTGACTTTAAACAAGTATGTATCTTAATTAAAGTATTAAAAGGTCTAAGATATCATTTAAAACAAACTGTAGAATAGTTTTGTAAATGGATTTCCTTCAAACTATTAAGTAAAACCTTGCAAAAAAGTAAGTGAAACAAGTGAAAAATAGTTTTGACAATAGTTGCTTGAAAACAAATATCTAAGATATCTTGTAAATTGTAAAAATAGTTGGTGTTTGATTTTCTTTGGTTTATAAATCAGTGCTGCTCTGTTTAAGATTTGGGAGACATATGCAAAAGTGACACAAAGACAATAAAAAAAAGATTAAATATAATGAACCAGTACTCTCGTCATTAGACATTTAAGTCTCTAAATTAAAGTTTAGTTAATTAAAAATTACTTCAATGATCTGAAATATTCATTCTGATGACAAAACTTTATGGGGAAAAAAGTACAAGTGATTCATTCAAAGTCAACTCATGTTAATACTGAATCTGAGCTCCATTAAATACTTTAATTGGGAACTAGAAACGGCTGAGGTGATTAAACATTATAATAATAATACATTTTATTTATATTGCACTTTACATCTGAGAATACAGATCTCAAAGTGCACACAGTAAAAGGCAACAGTAAAAACAACAAAATAAAAATAACATTCACAAACCTGAGACCAGAGCACGTGCTGAGTGCTACCACTGAGTCCTCATATCCCTCCACCTGTCCATGGTAATAGCAGTGCACCTGGGAAAAGAAGAGTATAGCATGTTGCATGTTTGAGAATGGATGTTCACACCAGCCGTTTACACTAGAGTAACCTAATGTTTACCTACATTTTGCCTCGGGTGGGATGACTCGTAGTCACCAGCCGTACCGCTTAAAAACTGGACAAAGTTTGGGTGTAAAAAGTCCCTGACAAGTGGAAAAAATACTTTAGTGTGGAGCTTAAACGAGAAAAAACACATGTTATATTGAGATACAATAATGATATGTGTACCTGTTCTTTTGCAGGTGTAGAAGGTGCTTTCTGTCATTGATGTTGAGTGCGTATGACAATGTCTCTTCTTCCTCATTCTGTGGAAAGTATTGGGTTAAAAAAATTAACATGTTTCCACATATCTAAACTATTGTTATTAAATGATAATCTAATCAAGCTTACTTCTTTTGACTGTGCTGCTCTGTTAATGCTCCTTTTCCATCTCTGAATCAGCTGAGGATTTACAATGGAGTACTTGGATGGATGTGAATTGGGCCCATGAAAAATGTCTATTGGAAATGTGCATAGACAAAACAGTATTATGTATAATCTGAGGTTTAAGTGAAATCATTCATTATTAGGACAACAACATGGATCATAATCATATAGATAGGAACAAACTCATTCTCAAATGTCTCTGTATTCTGCTAACATAATTTTATCTCTTTTTAGAAGTAACACAGAAGTCAGACATCAGTTCTCCGCCTTCATAGATATGTGAGCTCCTGCTCCCTGTCTTCTCCTCGTCTTTTTTCGCTTCCATCGATACTCTATCCAACCTGTATCCCATTTCACCTCTGCCTCACCTGTGTTTTCAACTCCAGAAACGTTACACAGCCAGAATAAAGCGAAAAAGATTAGCCTCCCATCCATGATCTTCGTTTTAATCTAAATTACGTCCCCATTTGGGAGGACAGCTTGCCGTAAATGACTCGAATGATCGTGCCTTTCGCTTCCTTCTGCTCGTCAGGTGCGTCACCGTGGGTGTGGCTTGCAGCAGGTAAACTGGACAGGTTTAACAGAATACACAGATATGCGGAGGTGATGCGGGAACACTGTAAATATTTGTAAATGAGTTTCCCCTTAAGTTTTATCTATGGAAATGTGCTGTGGCGTTAACTGAAGTTGGAGCAACGCTTTGGATATCGTGTCTCTGTTTAGCATAATTTAAAGACTAGGACATTAAAGTCTCAAAACAAAACTTCACCATGACAAGGAGATTAAATGTGGAGTATTTTAGATGTGAGCTATTTTGAAGAGAGTGAGAAAGGACGAAAATAGACCAGTATTTTTTTCACCCTGACTTGACTTGTTGACAGGTGTTGTGCCGTAGAATGCACCCCTGCCGAAGAAGGCATCCCATCCACTCATTGGCTTCTTGAAGTAAAAGAAAATTATCTTTTATGAAAAATAAAAACACGACAACATGTCAAATGGAGCAGCGAACTTTCGTTTTGTTTTTATGTGTCTCAAAAATGCACATATAGAGATGTACTTGGGTGTATAAACTGTACAGTAAGCTGTCAAGGAAGAGAACATTATAATTTCGGGACAGCAAATATTCTGAATCAGATGACTATTGTTTTCGGTTTATCTGAACAGCCTGAATGAAATCCTTAAAGGCAAACGCTTTTGAATCCATCCAACGGTGAGGAAAACTTGGATTATTTCGCCTTATTAAGTACTTTCAACAGCGCTCCCGTCAGGGGTGCACTCTACGGTACGGGTGCATTCTGTGACACAACACCTGCACAACACCGAACCGAATGTAGAACCAGGAGATGGCGGTAAAGCGACATCGCGATCGAAGCTGCCGTAAAAAAATCGAAGAAGAAGAAGACGCTAACACGCGCGGAAGTGTTTTGGTTTATAGCGGTGCATGGGGTCGAGCAGTAATGCGCACCTAGTTTTATTCTTCGTTTTAATAGCAACTAAAGCCAAATCTTTCTTGAAGCTTTTTCTATTAGAAAGCTGTCAGCCGCCGAAGTGTGTTTTACACCGGAGTTTTAATCCAGTGAAGAAGAAAGCTAGTTAGCATTTGAGCTAAACTCAGTTGTTGTTGCTGGTCAAAGTAGTTTTAGTGTTTCTGTCTTGTAAGGACTTACCGGGACCTTAAGGAGACAGACTTTCAGAATAATGTGAGAATAAAAAACAGATTTTTTCCCGCTCCCGCAGGTACCAAGCCGACACTAAATGGATTTTCACGACACAGCATTGCTGGTATACTATTATGGTGACTTATACACTAATTGAAATATTGTGTTGTGTGTTTTCCAGGTGTAGATTGTGCGACTTATGGCTGGATTCTTTATTTTGAGATTTGTTCACTTGCTGTGGAAAAGACCGCTAAGGAAACAAGTCTGGACAAGACCATACAACAGCTCCTTTGTGGTGTCAGCTCAGGCTGTGTTGTAAGTAGACAAACTTACAAACTGAAAAGATCATAACAATAGTTATAGATTGGTAACCTTTCTGTAAAATGAGATAACTGGCTCGGGTGGCCTGATCTTGGGCAGATTGTTCTCCCCAAAATATAACCTGATAGGGGAGAGTGGGGTAAGATGAGCCATTTTTCATATTTCAGATCACTACATCAAGGTAATCATGGTTTTGTCTCTAACTAGTGTATCTGCATATATTTCGAGATGGTGTGCATCCCTGCAAACCAACAAAATTAGTGTAAACATAACTGTCTTGATAATATAGCATGCCAAAAAAAAGTGGTCTCCTATGGTCAACTCACCCTGTGTATGGGGTAAGTTGACCATAGGAGTGGGGTTATTTGAGCCCTCCCTCACCTTCTCTCCCTAAATAACAGTCACTTCTTCACATACATGTGTATTTTTATATATTATACGCTATTCAACTGGTACAATAATTCTTTTTATTATTATTGGATATAACTGTTGAAAAGCTGTTTTGTAAAAAGCCATTTGAACATGAGAATGCCTTTAAGTGATTCAGAACACATACAGCTGCATTTTTGAAAAGAAAAAGTAAAACATTTCAACAATCTGAACTGAAACTCTGATCTTCTCATCAGACTCCTTTACTTTCTCAGTTGAGTCATTGGCTCAACTGACCCCAGAACTACTATTATGACTATTAGTCCTCTAAGCTAAAATGGTGGACTTACTAGGGTTTTGACCACGTTGTAGCTCATAGATACCACAATTGATGTATAAAACAAATTTAAAATGATCTTTTTGGTCCGAACACAATTCTAACAAGATACGGTTGTGACATATGAAAATGGCAAAAATGGGCCGAAAGCAGCGGAATAACTCTTTAATCATGCGTCTGAGAAAAAAGTCCAAGTGCGCAAAATCAAAGATCTCGTTAAGATACACGTGCCTGTAAAATTTCATGCATATCTGAAAAAGTCGACGTTCATGGTGCTCTGTAGGGGGCACTAGCAAGCCATTTTTTATCACTTTTTTTTGGGGTCACTGTAAAACATCGCAGTTTTCGTCGGGACTGACCTGCCTGCAAATTTTTGTGATTTTTGAGGTTGTTCAGGGGGTCAAATTTGTGTTTTTGGAGGCCGTAAAATAATAATAATAATGATAATAATAGCATTAAAGCACTAAATAACTCTGATATAAAATTGATACAGAGATTGTTGAGAGTGTTGGTCTGAGCCAGAGTCAGAAATGCTTTCTCCTTTTGTAGACTGACCGCATTTTTAGATGTTGGACCTTTCGTGAAGCGACCCAGAACTGAAACCATTTCCCCAACAGCAGCCCCCTCACATTCACCCAAAGGTAGTTTATTCAGATTGCTTTTTTTGACTACTTTCTTTTTTACTTTTTTAAACACAATGTACTCTTATTTTACTGTCTACAGGTGTTCACAGCAAGGACTATGAGACAGTAGACCAAGAAAGAAGGAGGAACATTGCAGAGACCAAGATGGATACAAGGCCAAAGTCTAGATCAGATAACCTGCGAAGAGTAAAGACGAAAAGTCACCATCCAAGAATCGGCTCTAAACAACAACACCAACAAAAGTTCAGAAATGTTCTTGAGCAGTGGCTGGTTAAGCCTTCAGAAAATGCAAATACAGCAGAAGTGCGCCAAACCCAAGAGGATGTAGAAATGACTGATGAAGGTGACCCCCAGAGTACCTCAGCTCAGATTCAGGACCACCAAAAAGAGGAAAAAACTCTCATCTCCGACTCTGATGAGGAAACTCAACTCTTAACACCACAAGACATGGATGAAGAAAATCCTGTGGCACCAGTTTTAAAGAAACGTGTGGAAAGTGAAGTTCTACAAACACCACTCAAGCATGATAGTGGTGTAGAAAAACAAGATGAGGAGATGTGCTTGGCTGCTTCAGAGGGCTCTGTCAAACAAAACACCAAAATAACAGACTTCTTTTCAGGAATCCCGTCCTCATCTGGTTTACCTGTGAGAAAAGGTAGACCACAAAGGTCTCCAGAGAACAAAGACGCAGATAATGGAACTACATCTCCTGCTGCCAAGCCTGATGTTAAATGGCTGGGAACTCCTATTGATGAGCTAAAGAGGATGCCTGAATGTGGCAGACCAATTCCTCCGCTGAGGGATGTTCCTGGACAGCACACAGTGATGATAAGGGTTTGAGAAGCTTTTTTTATTAAAGCACCTCTAGAGACAAAGCGATTCGTTTTTAAATGAAATACAATCGCTCTTGTGTGGATATACAGCTGAGTTGAAGCGGTTGTTTGACTGGTTGATGGAACCCAACTTTAACATAAATAAAATTTGCCGACCAGAATGAGGAACTGAGATGTATAATTATTTTACCTCTTGTAAATCAGGGTTCCCTAAAAAGTGGGGTTATGTCTTCGCTTCTTTTAGCAGTATGTTAGATTGATAGATATGTATGTTTTCAGCCCCTGAGGAAAATTCAGATCAGGGTTTTGGAAAGATTTGTAATCCTGCAGGACATGTGTTAACACACAAAAACTAATATTCATCCTAATATGAATAAATAAGATAATAATATGGTCATAATCATCACCGTCATCTCTGGCATTTTCACTGATCTGTATTTTACTGTCATGCATTTTTTTCTCCATCCTTCCTTTTGACAGACAGACCTGCTTCAGGACGGTAAAGTCCCTGTGCCATATCCTACTCGATTTAAAGACACCTGGGATGATGTCCATGTCAAGATGCCCTGTTCCAGTATGAGTCTGTTTCCTGTCGTGAATGAGGTAATGACCCCTGTGCTCATATAAAAAAACAGTAAAAAAAAAACGGATTATGTAATAAAGATACAAGAATCACACATTAAAACATGTGCTATGTCTCTTAATTGTACAGATGAAGATATTCAGAATATGCAGGAACAGAGATCTTTTAAAAAACAAAGATTCAGGACTAGATTGATGGAACGTTGTATTTCTGTAAAAGCAATCAGTTTATGGAACAATCTGAACAAAGACATTAAAGAATCCAAGTCAAACATTACTTTTAAAATAATAATTAAAGCCAGTATGTTAAGGAAATATGTTAGTTATACCTGATTATCATACCACTGTAATTTTGTTGTTTGAGTGGCATTAACTGAATTGTAACTTGGGAACTAAATGGTATATAACTGTCTGTGGTGGCCAGCAGCTATATTTTGAGTTTATTATATATATTTTTTGTTGTGTTTTGTTTACGCTGTTGTTGCTTTTTTTATTTTCGTTTATTTTATCATTTTAAGTTTGTTCTTTGTAAGTTGATTTCTGGGGATAAAGGCTCAGAAACAACATGATACATGTTACGGATACAAACACACTTGAATTCAGTATGCAGATATTTAGCAGTTTGTGTTTTTACAGGAAACTCAAGAACTGCAGAACACAAGTCGGTGGGAGTTGATCGTGGAAACTTTAAGCAAGGAATTCACGGATCCACAGGAGCTGAAGGTAAGTTTTTTTTTTTAGTTATCTCAGTTTCTTTTCTCAGAGCAAAGTGCACAGATCATTTTAGATGCTGTTACCAGAATTGTCCACAAGATGGCGCCATGAGCCTAGAAACTGTTTGCCAGTTCTAGGCACCCTGTTCATTTTTTTGTTTTGTTTTTGCTGCCTATCCACGACAATAATAATCAAATGGTTTTTTTTTTTTCAGAGTGCCATTTTGAAATACAGTGCCTCAAATGCCAAAAAGTGGGACTTCACTGCGTTATGTTTGTACTGCACCAAGGTAAATAATGAGAACCTCTTCGTAAAGTTTACTGAACTCAAAATCAGAATTTAAGTTTTAAAAAAAAAATGTTTTTAATTGAGCACTTCTGGGTAATTTAACTGACACCAACATGCATACATGTAAATACAGAAGGCCCCATAATTAAGTCGTTAAAGGCTTTGCCGTGCAGACTAATGACACATCAACTGTTCAATGGTGACACTTGATTGCTCGACAGAAGGCGTCGTTAACCAATGACAAGGCTCCTCTTTGAGCGTGTCAGAGGAAGGACAGATGGCTCATTAGTTAGTAATGACAGTATCTTCAGTTTGTGGGGGACATGATGGTACAGATGTTTCATTTGACACCAGACCAGCCTGAGCTCGGTATAAAGCTTATGTAGGTGCCATTTAGAATAATTGTCAATTGATCGAATCAATACTGTACATTCATCTCTTTCTGGAGAATAAATTCAAAGCTATTTGAATATTTTCCTTGTTTTTTCAATAACTGAAAACATCTATCAGTAAGTGTTAAAAGGTTTGTCTACTTTGTCACAAGATGATCAAACTTCTGCTTTTGCAAAATGTTGCTCCTTCAAAACTGCGGTAATGCAAAAAATTATGATTCATTCGACCATATTTTTTTATCCTGTGCTTTGTGGACATCTGGCACTTTGGAAGTCTGTGGCCTGGATCATAGAGTTATATTTGAAAAAGTGTAATTTATGGGACTTTTATCTTCTAGTGTCCACAGCTTTGTCATTTTCTTTTCACAAGCCAAGGGTAAAATAAGCCCCAGTTACATCATGATGGCCAGAGCTCTTTTGGTTCATTGGTTGTCTTCTCCAGACTCGTTTTGAGACCATCCATCATCCGTGGTCTTGATGGGTAATGCGTCATCCTGTGTAAGGAATCAGGGAGGGCTGTACTACTGTCTGGCTCATGAAAGGGAAGGGGAATATTCCATTTGGAGGGATGGGCGAGGTGTGACATGACTGTTTGTTTGATACATAAAAGTCCTAAGCATGTATGACCTAAGCATGTAACCTGCATTTTTTTTTATTTATGGGAGTCGTCAGCCTGTTTTCTTCTGTTACATGATTGTGTGATTTTTTTCCCATCTCAGGGTAAAAGTACATGTGACCCTTTTCCTTGAATGCCATTATGTCAGATGTGTTTCTGTCTTTTGCGCGAGAACAGTAATGGATTTCACATGGGTGAATGTTGGAGCCCTTCAGAAGCAAAGTGGGGGTCTGGGGAAACATTTAATCTTTTGCCAAAAGGTCACGTTTAGTAACTTGTCAGAAATGAAAACAGTCGACATTACATCCTAGGGAATTCTTAACCTCAGCCATAATCGATTGAATCACTCTTTAACTTTACAGTATCAAGCTGAATGTCATAAATCATGTGAGAATGGGAATTGTATTAGATAAGAATCTGGTGCTGACAGGGTTTAGCCAGAGGCCCAGTTCTGTTGTGGCAGCTTGAATTGGAATGCATTCGGTGTTTGGAAATAGAAACACTTGATTTAAATGGATTCAACCTGCCTAATAACATCATAGATATTAAGATAGAGGCGGACACTACCACTTTGAATACAACACCAGTTCTAAAAAGATTGGGACACAGTACAAAATATTAATAAAACAGAACTTATCACTTGTTAGAATTTAGAATAGTTGTTTTACAAAAAATATGCTTATTTTGAATTCTATTTTACACAGGGAATCTCTTTCACCATTGTGTTGCATCACCTCTTCTTTAAACAGCATTTTGTTAATCTTTAGGAACCAGGGAATCCAGTTCTTGAATGCGGGATATTTGTCTGATACTTGAATTCCCCTTTATCATGTGTTTTGTCTTTCATGGTGGGTAACAGGTTTTCAATAGGTGACAAGTCAGGTCTGGAGGCAGTACCGTTATGTTTTTGAAATTCTGAGTCCATGCTGTGATTTCCACCACAGAGTCATGTTTGTTTTTACTCTGTAAGCACCTATGGTCCCAAAGATAATGGCCACCCTGTACTGTTTTGTTAGCCTTGTGGGTTTCATTCAGACATTTCTTAAATTTTTCTAAATTTTGTACTGTTGATAAAAAATATTCTCAAATTCCTTTAAAAATCACTCTTTTGAGGAACATGATTATGAAATTTTTGAATTATTTGTTCTCTCTCTGCTATATCCAGACATGTCACTTGTTAACCTGTTATGATCAAGCATAACATAGTAGTGTGGGAGTTTTGGTGTACCTGTTTCAACTTTTCTTTTCTAATTTAGAAAAAGAACATTTTTTTTGTAATTGAGGTTTTTATTCAACTTTTATATATTAAACATTTTACAGAAGATATTAAACTTCAGCACAAACAAAACAACCATATTGATCACAAATACGTATACCATAAACAAAATATGCATATATATTCACACAGAGCCCAACCCATAAACATGAAAAAGAACATTTTTTATCAAATGTACATTTTTGTTTCAACATTTGTCATGTCGCTGAACTTGTATTTTTGATTAAATTTAGAGTTGAAAAGATTTTTAAACCATCTAACTTTATTTCTAACATTTTATAAAGCATCAGACTCCCAATTTTCTTTTTTAATTGGAGTTAAACCACTTTGCTTTTTCATAAAAGTGAAACAAACAAAGAATTTTGTGAACTTTTTTTTCAGTTAACATGGTAAAACTGAGTTTGGTGTCATACGTTGTATAATAGTCAATGTTTGTAATGACAGACACTTGCTGGTGTTTAAAATCTGACTGTATGGTGTTGTAGCTTGCAGTCACAGTTTCTTTCTTCTCCCTACTAAACATATCTGTAGTTCAGCTGAGTAATGAATCTGTTTTAAAAGTCTAATATGCAGAATGGCTGGTAGCAATCAGCTCAGACCTACATTGTTTGATCAAAAGTTGCTCATACAGCCCACAGAAAACAGTGTTGGTGTTTGTTAAGACTCTTAATTTAAAAATCCAATCACAGAGGATCCAACATGTTTGATTCATGTCCACTGCATCACTCGAGCGAAATGGGGGAATATCAAGAAGTGCAATGTAATGAACTCCATTTCCTCCTGTGTTGCTTTTCTTCTGGAGATGCCTGATCGTAGAAAAAGCAGAACGATTGTGAGTGTCAGATAAAAGTAGACATGAATGGCATAGAGTGACAGGCCAGGCAGCCTCATTGAATATTCATTTCAGCACGCGCACCTTATGAATATCTGAGAAGCTGTTGACGGACAGCATCGGTTTTTGTTCATTTCTTTTCCTCCAGTTTAACCAGTGTTGTATTTACGGTTATGGGCTCTCCAGCGTTTTATTTTCACACGGCTACACGTCCACAGATGCAGTCAAGCAGATTGCTTTATTGCTCGGACCTGCAGGAATCAGAACCACGGTGTGAAGTGTTGTATTAAATCTGTTTGGGGTAGCTCTTGTCTTTTCCACTGCCCACACCCCCTGCATCTTGCTTGATTACTTTGTCAGTTTGCTGTGATGTACAGACCTGTATCAAGTCATACAGAGAGTTAGCCCGGTTGATTTGATGCACTGTCTTGCGCTGATTTAAAGAGCTGGGCTTGTACCACCTCAGCTATATCCACCCGCCTCGCCCTGTCAACCGCCGTCATTTATTACGCCCATAGGAGCAGTTTATGATGTCAACTAGGTCATTACTTATGACAGTGTTTAGTCAGGCTTCCTTTGCCAATAATATAAATGTCCTGGGCTAAATCACCAGTCAAGGCTCCTTGTCCTGAGAACACACTGTCCTCTCTGTTTCAAATGCTTGTTCATTTGCATCCCTTCCAGGAAGACCGTTAAATCAGCTGGCATGGCCGTGCAACCTTGATGAAACCGCTCTGTGATTGATTTTTCTGACATTTTGTGGCCAATATGGAGTAAATAAGGGTTGCGTATGCAGTATATTGTGCATGAAACAATGTAAATAGACAGCTCTGTGGCGTTTAGAGGTTTTTATGATGGTTGAATGTTCGGTTTTGAGTGATTTATTTTAGATCGACTCTCAAGTTAAAGCCTCACGTATCCCTCTCAAATGCATACTACGAGGTGATAGTCATGTTTCCCCAGCTTTCTTGACTTCTGCATGTACAGTGATGTGCGTAGTCTGCTCACATATTATTTTTCTATGTTGATAAAACTGGAATTTTTATTATTTATGTATGTGCCATTTAGCTGTTGAAAAACATAATGTTCTTTTTCTTTACATAAAGTACATTATGTAACAGACAAAAAATGATAAAAGTCAAAACTAACAAATAAACACCCCAGACCTCCCTCCCTCTTCAACCATATTACATTATTATTTTTTGTATTATCTGTGTTGTGCCAATATTTACACAAATGCAATACATATGTACATATATATGTACATATATCAGGGGTGGGCAATCATGTGCCATGGAGGGCCGAGAGGCTGCAGGTTTTCTTTCCAACCCTGATTAGTCCCTGCTCTCTGCTTGGAGGTAAGGTTATCAGTGAAATCACCTGGTGGAGTTTTGGGTTGGAAAGAAAACCTGCAGCCTCTCGGCCCTCCATGGCACATGATTGCCCACCCCTGAATATATCATATACAATACATATCTGATCCGATTACCGATTAATCAGCCGATTTTTTAATTTTTTTATGAAGTTATAAAAAATATATATTACCCACAGAATACTATATACTGTAGATATCCTGTAGGCTACTGCTCTTCACGCCGACAGGAAGACTGACTGATCAAACTCGGACCAGAAAAGCGTTTTCAACTACCCTCCACTTACGCCGATCGGTACTTCTGCCGATCGGTACCTCTGCCGATCGGAAACCTGCGTCTTAACTCACACTACACATTTCCGGTCCGGTCTCATCTGTAGACATGCAGCTGCCTCAGTAAGAGAAGTAGCTCGATCACGTAATGTGTACTGTTGTTTATTCTACCTTTACCGGCACGGCTAACAGTGTAACAAGGCAAATAGCAGATGGCTAACTCTAACTTTAGTTTGCATATTACATGGTGCTTTACTGTAAACTCAGCGCGACCAAGACCAGCACAGCGGGGAACATTGTGAAGTGGGTTGAACTGAAATTTGTTGACTTATTGTGTATTTCACAAACTGGTTTATTTACCGTTGAGGTGGACCACTCTCCTCCGTGCGTCCCTGAGCTGCCTGCTTCGGATCCGTCACTCTGCTGTGCTGTGAGGTAGTTAGTGGATGAAGATTGTCATGAGGTCGCTGCGCCATCTACAGGATAAGTCTGGGAACTTTTCAAATGTTGGAACATTTGTGAAGTGAAACCGGATCGTATTCTCCGCAATTTATTTCTGAAAATATCGGCGAAAATTGGCGAGTTTTGGCTGATTATTGATTAGTCTCAAACAGGCTAAAATTGCCCAATTTAATTGGCTCGCTGATAAATCAGTCAGGCCCTAGTAGAGAGTTCCATACATGCAATATCTAGGAAAGTAAGCGCCCGTTGTTGGAATGTCAAAATATGAGGGGTTTTCCATTGTATAGCCACAATTTTCTTTGCTGCTGTTAATCCAGCAAAAAAGATGTGATTCTGTGTACACTTCAAATGCAAATTGGGATATATTGTTGAATAAAAATGTGGTTAGAGATGGTATAATATCAATAGTTGGAAGTAATGAGAGTTTAGTAGCAACCATCCTCCAAAACTCTAAAACCTCTTGGCACTCCCAAATCATGTGGAAAATAGTACCAAGAGCATTGGACGTAGATAAAACTATAATTTTTTAATTTGGATTTGAACTGTCACATTTATTTGCTTGTATTGAACTGGTCAACCCAAATGGCTAATACTGTCACAGCTGAATTTTTGCGACAAAAAAAAAACAAACAAACATCAACAGATCTCTCTCGCTCTTTTCTCCAAGGTCCTGGAGCCTGATGAGGCTGAACATCTGTTTGACTCCCTGCTGCCAGACATGGTGCAATTAGCACTGAGAGCATCTGAGCTCTGCACCAAGGTAACGGCCATCACTAACCAACACGCACTGACTCACTGCTCTGTGACACAGTAGATCACTGACACAGGTTGATCCCAGAGGTCACGACATGACAAATTATCTCGTGAAATGGTTGTAAAAAGCGTGAGGTCAAGGCACGTAGCCATTGATAGTCATTTGTCCGATGTTTTATAGTCCGTTTGGTCATCTGGTGCTTTGGTGTGTAGATGATTAACAGCAGTGTGTGTGTATTTGCAGCCAAAGAAATCCTATTAAAAATGATTTTGTGTCTTTGTTTCGAACGTACATTAAATATCAGTCTATTTAGTCGAAGTACTAAGATGTAAACGCTTATTCTTAATGAACTTTTTGGCACAGTTATGTCAGCATTTAAACTAAAGTGCATTATAAATCCTCTAATCCAGCTAATTTCTCAAACTGGACGCTCTGACTCATCCATCCTTGTTGCTGTTTTTCTTAAAATGGTGACTTTTCGACTCTAAACTCATAAACTACATTTTCCACCCCTCACTATGTAGTCATTGTAGGAGTGCTGGTACAGACGCACAGATTATATATGGGGAGTATGGATCTTTTGTGAACAAAGATGGAGATTGATTGTAATCATAATGGCTGATTCAAGAAGCGCAGAGTAGAGCCAAATTACTACATTTATGTAACACACTTCAGCGTCTCATTTGGACAAATGGACCAAACAAATTATTTTGACCTTCCTCAGCTGTGCTTGTGTGTTCCTCCTCCAGCCGATACCCCTCCTCAAGGCAGGCATGAACCACTCCATCACCGTGTCTCAGGAGCAGGTGGCATGTCTGCTCGCCAACGCCTTCTTCTGCACCTTCCCCCGCCGCAACTCCAGGAGGTCTGAGTACTACAACTATCCGGACATCAACTTCGTCAGGTAATCTACGGCTGTGCGGTGGTTTCATATGTCCTGGAAATGACACAGTCAGGAGAAGCAGCCGTGACAACTAGCTTCATTTCCATGAGGGGGCACTACTGTATATGCTTTTCTCACTATTCTGCTGGATGTTAAAGCAAATATTTACATTGTTAGTATATGAAAGCAAATTAAACACTATCTTAATCCCTAAACTGACTTTAAACTCTAATAAATAATTACTCTAAATATGACATTGAGTGCAACATTCACTGTCTTTTTGCTGTAGAAGTTTTAAATTAAATATTTGTTTTTTGGTGTTTTGTTGTTTTGCTTTTAACAGATTTACACAAACACAAATTTAAAAAAAGGAGGTCTTTCGCTTTGAAACCCATCCAAGTTCTCATTGCGGAGATAGTCTTCAGAGTCCTGCACAGTCATGTCCCCCCATCTCTGCTGGCATCACAGTGTAATTACCTAAATGGAAGAGGGAATTAGATTAACTTTGACTCAGATGGCTGCTTTTGACTGTGGAGAAGGCCATTGGCTGATTTTTTTTTTTTCAGAGGGATGTTACGGAGTTCAATCGCATCAGTATTTCATTCACACAAACACACTGTTTGAATATAAAAGACGAGACGTAGTCATCTTTTAAGGGTAGTGGTCCCCAGACACTAATTTGGATTAAAAGCAGGTGTTAAATACTTTAAAATATATCTTTTATAAAACTCCTTTTTTATATGCTGGAGTCACTTATACCCTTTTCCTGTGTTACATCATAGTTGTCTTCACTCTGTGGGGGGTATATTGATGTTATATAATTGAATATTAATTCTCTTCTACTCAAAGACCCTCGTGTGATTTCTGCTTTTGTCAAAGCCGGCTCTTGTCTTTGCTGGTCCGTCAAAGACCTTGCCCTGAGGACTACACGGCACACAAGTGTTTTCAGGGACCACGCTGACAAAAAAAAGAAACCCATGTAGGAGTCGACTTCGATGAATGAGTTTCCAGAGCCTGGGGGGGCTCTCTCTCAGTGCATCAAGCTTTTGTCGTTATTTCATTGCACTCGCATGAAATTTCTGTCTCTTTATTGTGGCATGTGAGGCCGGCTATGTGGGTCCTATATAGAGTTCTCTGGCGAGCAAGAGGGCGAGCATGGCGCCGAAAGTGCACCCAAACCAGCTGCTTTTTGTGCGCCTTTATTTCTCCTCCTCAGGACTCTCGTTACTTAAAAGGGACACTTAATGTATCCTCAAGGAGGACGCCCTGTCTTCCTCTCTGTCCCTTCTTTTTGTCAGAGTGCTGTGATGTGGCACACGAGTGTGACTCTGTGATGGCAAGCCTGGGGGCGACCCCATTGTCGAACAACGTAGGAACATCCTACATAAGCGGCCGGTGACTGAATGGGAAGCTGAGGGAGAGATGGACTAATTCACGTCAAAGTTAAAGCTTGACTGAACTCACATGGCCAGAGTGGAGGTCTCCACAGCGCTCGGTACATGGAGAGTCATTTTTCCTGCTCCCTGGTGTGGCTATTTAATCTCCACTGAAGCCGAAAGAGCTGGTGGTTGGGTGTGGTGCCATGTTTCGATGAACAGCTCAGAAAATGTGAAGCACTTTTGGAAAACAGAAAATATTTCATGATCTATAATTTTACAGTCTCTGATCTTTCTCTTTTAGACTTTTCGAGGGCTCCTCTTCAAGAAAGATTGAGAAGCTGAAAACCTTGATGTGCTATTTCAAAAGTGTCACTGAAAGAAGTAGGTGTTAGGAGCTGATGAAAAATGAGTAATTATGAGGGAAAACTAAAATACGGTTTGTTAAATTTTGACTCTCTTTGATTTTCAGAGCCCACTGGACTTGTCACGTTCACACGGAAAAGCCTGGATAAACCTCTGGATTGGACAAGGTGCAGTAAACTGTTTTTGTCAACTGTTAAAATGAGTTGGTTTTGTTAGTCTGCTGAATCTAACACAGTGTTGTCGACTCTGAGGAAGCGAGCGAGGATAGATCGTTTCAGCCGGAGTCGATAAGAGTATAAAAACAGTTCATTATTTTTCTTTCAGCTCACAGACTCTGCTCACAAAGCTCCACATAACTTGTGAAGGCACCATCGAGGATGATGGTTATGGGATGCTTCAGGTAAGATGAAGAGGAGGGATATAAAAGCGCAAAGTTAGAGAGAGATTTAATCAGACTTTACCTGAAAGAATCCTGTTTTTTTTCCCTTAAGGGGGCTCTTACTTTGAGAGATACTCCCCCCCTACTCTTGCTTCCCTCCCTCCTCCGTTCTCTCTGTTGTAGTCAGTCACCGAGCCGCCTCCTCCTCCTCCTCTTAGAGATTTTCACCCAGAATGCTTACTGCTGCTGAAAAGGCCTTTGAGGGGAGCCTGCGACGCATCACTGGGAGTGTGCGCTGGGACTGGGGTCGAGGCCTCTGAGCCTCCTCTGCTCTTCGTGTCGGCCCCGTTTCCTGCACACTGTCAGGACGGCCCGCTCTGCCTTTCACCTTTTGTCTGCCTCCGGTTGCCACGAGCTGACAGTTGATGTGCACACATGACCAGCTCCGGGGGCTCGCCACGGCCCCCGGATTGATGGATGCTCTGCTGGGGTGGGGGGTTGCAGCTTGACAGCCTGTCAAAGCAGACTTTAGAGGCTGGCTCACTGTCCCAGAGTTGAGTGACCAGTTTAGGGAGATGTGCTGCTCGCCCCCTTTTGCAGCGTCTTTCTGGGGTGGTGACGGGGTTGCTTGGGGCCGTCTGCAGACCAATGAGCAACAACTGTCAGTCCTCAAATTGAATTATACGTTCCCCGTGGCTGCTCCCTGACTTTAACAAAGAGTTCTCATGAGACTCATATTGTCTTTCGGATCACAAACAGGCTAAAATTAACAAGTGCATCAGCGTCACCAATAGATGCGCACAAACCCCAAAGAAAAAGGAGGAAAACAGATCGCAAGAACCTGTCAGCAGTCAGCTAAGCAGCATGTTATGACTGGAGGGAGATGTTTACTTTGGACCGCAGGATTGCTCTCTTGTTTTGATATTTTCCACCGGTGGCAGCACACCTAAGTGCAGCTTCAGGGAGGAGCCTATTCTGGCATGGGGGACAGATATCTGAGTAATGTGAGCACCTCAGGCCACCATCGTGATCAGCTTGTCAAGAGGTTCTGTCACAAATAGAAGAAAAAAGGGCCGAGACCCTCAGCGGAGTTCAGTTTCCAAATTTAGACATCTATACAGTATATTTCAAAGCCAAAGAAAAAGCTCCAGAGCTGTCGTCCTCTCTTATTTTTGCTTTTTTGTCGTCAAAAAATGTCTTTATTTGAATTGAAAACTCAAAAGGTTTTGCAAAGTCGTGGATGTAATGATTAAAAGATGTCATTTGCAGGTGGATTTTGCCAATAAGTTTGTTGGAGGCGGAGTCACCAGCTCGGGTCTTGTTCAGGAGGAAATCCGTTTTCTGATCAACCCTGAGCTTATTGTTTCTCGCCTCTTCACCGAAGCCCTGGATGATAACGAATGTCTGATCATCACAGGTCAGTCACAAAGAACTGTTACTGAAGTACTCCTGCTGTTCAGGTTTTATTTCATGACTTAGTCCATTGATCCGGATCAAATCAATGATGCCCTGAGTTCACCCCGCTCATGCTTGACCTGTATTCACCAGAAAAACTGTAATAGGAGACTCCAGTCACACCCAGCATGGAGTACACACTACACACCTTCAATTTACCCCATCCTGGCTCAGCAAGAGGCTGAGTGATGTTTCTGACAATTGCTCAGCTTTCTGTGTCTGTCCTTGTCACATTTGGTTTTGTGATTGGCTGTGTTTTTTTTTAGAGTGGCTGTCCTGATTGCACAGTTGGGTCTTTCTGTTGACTAATTCCCACTGCCTGTGCTTCTGTATTGAGTGGCTAAAAACAAACAAGACCGGGACAGGCCAGACTCCAGACTCAATAACAAGAGCTAGACTTAGGGAGTCCCAGCAGGTGGCTGATGGCTCCTGTCTGCTTTTTTTCCTTTCCAATCTGTCTATCACTGTTGGCTGAAGATGTTGCAGCTACTTGATAATAATAACAATAATAATAATAATCATAATAATAATACATTTTATTTATATTGCGCTTTACATCTGAGAAAACAGATCTCAAAGTGCATACAGTGAAAGGCAATGGTAAAAACAACAAATAAAAAGAAAATCAGAAAATGAAATCAGCTCGTAAAAATTTTTCGAAAAAAAATAAACTAATAATGAAATAATGCACAATTATATATCAATAGTGGGTTAAAACTAGGGCTGTAGTGTCCTAGTCAATTGGTTGACTTATTCGTCGATACCTGCTGAAACGACCAATCAGAATTCTGATTGGTCGACTCGATTTGTTTCCGCGTCAATTTACGGTCTATGGTTAATTTCATCAGGAGGAACGTCCCGAGTGCTAATAAGGGGTGTTTTCAGAGCTCCCCCGTTTCACCAAGCAAAGTCGGAGGTTGAAACAAGATGGCTACATCTACGAAAGTTATTTTAGCGCTTGCCTTGTCCGAATATAAGGCAAGCGCTAAAATAACTTTCGCAGATGTAGCCATCTTGTTTCAGGCTTCCATTTTGCTTTTTCCGTCTTGGTAACTGAAACGCTGGGAACTCGGGTGTGACGTCATTTTTCGCCCTGGCATCTGATTCCCAAGGTAGCTCAAACGCAACAAGAGAGTCAACCAAGAATTTTTTGGGTTGATTACAGCCCTAGTAAATGCCAAAGAAAGACCCTTTTTGAAAACTTTATCTGGAAAAGCTTTTCCAAACTGTCTTTATGCAACCTGTAAAAATCAAATCATACGTCATCCTTAAGCAGAGCCGCCTGCACATTACATAACCTGTGGGCTGGACTCATACAGGAAGTGATGCAGCACAGCCGATCCGCAATCATACCGATGCATCAGATCTTCGTGCTCTGGCAGAGTCACCTTCAGACTCCTCGCCGGCCGCCCCTCTCCTGCCTCCACTTACGCCACTTAACTTTATTACTGGGGCCCAGAATTAATTACAGCTGGAGGACCTGCCCAAGACCTGCTCTGCTAATGGACTCTTCCATTCCATCATCTTTATTAAACCCTGCCCATATCTCTTGTCCGTCTCTCTTGTAAAAGTCCATGCCTTAGCTGCATGCATTGCGCCCATGTGGTAAATCATATTCCCTTGTGATACGTTTTGGCACACAGCAGAGGAGCTAATGGATCCTACCTCTGCTGCACTGAAATTTGTAAAAGTGCCCAACCGTAATTGAATTAAACTTGATCGCTAGATATCTGGCAGTCGTCGGGGCGGTCACAAGTAAAAATAGCATCAAGGAGAAGTCATGTATTCATTGATCGCTGTTACTAACCAAGAAAACGCCGCACAAGCTTGGCATAAGCAAGTATTTTTCCTTTTGTTTATTGATTCGTCGTTTAGGGAATAGCCCTTTAGAGAAACCAGTGGTTGCCTCTTGAAGGATATGTTTAAACCTTACATCGACTATATCCTGTGTGTAAATGTGTTTCTGGAGCTTAGCAGCGAAGGTTCTCTTGTGTAGTCAAATGCAGACATCGTCAGTTGCCCGCTTTGGCTTTGACATGGCAATGAGATGCGCCCGTGACCTTTTACCGCCTCTCGTCCACCGCAAATATGAGACACTTTGTTCTGGTGTATTTACACATGAAAGAAACAACCTTCAGGACGATTGTGAGTTATAGCCGCTGATTTTTATCTAACCTGTTTGTCATCTAGAAATAACCGCGATTAACACGACGCATCTTTCCGTCGCCCCCACCTGATAGAAGTACGTTTGGCGCACTGGCTGGTTTCGTATTCGCAGATGTCTGTATTTTCTGAGAATTTGGGCAGTAATGAAGATGTTGTATCTTTGCATCTCCAAGAAGTTGTCTCAATTAGTTGTGCCACTGGTAAATCAGAATAAAACTCGGTAATCTATTATAAACCCTATCCCTCTCTTGTGTTTTGTTTAAGCCAATCTGATTGTAAGTGTCAAGTGGCGTGTGCCCTGGAGATCCCCCCCCCATGTGCATCTTCTTATAACCCTCCACCAAGGCCCCACCACTAATCACTCGGTTTACTCACTTTGCAGCATGAAGCATCCCAGCGAGTGCTCTTAACAGCCAGGTACTAATGAGCGCTAATGAATGGGGAGTTAATTTGTGGCCTCATTTGTTTGACTGCGCTGTTGCCCTCCCACCCGCCACTTCCCCCCTTTGTGGGCGCTGAGTGTTTCCCCCCGTGGGCTGTCGGTCATTTGCTGCTCCTCGTTTAAAGGGAAGGGGAATAACTTGACCTTCCGTTTGTCACGAGATGCATTATTCTGTTTGAGAAGATCACATCAGCTGGAATGACTGGAGACACACCTCCTTTTACTTAACGGTGAATAAGTTAAGAGTTCCTGTCGGACTTGGCTAAATCTGGAGTAATCTGATTTACAATATTTGGTTCCCACATTAAGTTGTGATTTTAGGCTTTTATAAATATATTTCATTAAGCTTTTGTTTACATGATCATATAGGTGATTCTTGGACTCAAATGGGTGTTTATAGTTTGCGTGTAATTTTTTGGATGTTCCTTTATTTTGGCCACTTTATGAGCAAACATGAAGGAAGCAAAATCTTAATAACATCTCTTAATTTCACGCACTTTACGCCACCAACGCCCACTTCAGCAAATACTTGTCTGCTGCAAAGGTTCCTGGCGCATTAAGATGGAGAAGGAAGGGGAGCTTGAGATGTTGGGTCTCTGTAGATAGTAAAACAAAGATATGTTCTAGACCTCCTCTTGAGACATTTGTGACATATAAATAAAGATTGATTGTCTCACCATGGTAGCAAAGAGTGAAAATGTAGAAGCTTTGTAAGAGTGAAAATGTATGGCACAGCTGTTGTGTTAGGTTTCATTAGATTGCCCAGGTGTTCCTAATGTTATGGCTGGTCAGTTTATGTTCCTGTAATTTAGTGTCAGCCTACCCATCTTCCATCTCTGCCATTTTAATAACACCCAAAGTGTTAAATTCTCAAGTTGTTTAATAAAAACTGAAATGAACATGTTGATATTTTAATGACAAGTGAGAATAATGTGCTTCTTTTTAAAACCAGGTACACAGCAGTACAGTAAATACACAGGCTACGCTCAGACCTACAAATGGACCGGCTGCCACCAGGACACAACTCCAAGGTACTTAGTAAAAGTCAAAAAGCTTAATAAGCTAGGGATAATGTATAGTGAGCAGGTGGTTACACGTATTAGAGTATGGGAACAAATATTTGGACTTCTGTTTACATATTGATTGTGTGATGAGGTTGCTCCTGTTGGGAGTTAACCACGGTTATAAAGGGGTTATGAAAAATCAGAATCAAGAAGGTTCAGGTTCAGGCATGTCAAACTAATATCACACAGATGACACATCTTTTACTACTACTATGATATCACTACTATTTATAGTCCAGGGGTGATAAATCTTACCATGTTTTGTATCTTCTCCCGCTATCAAGAAGTTTGCTTTTGGCGTTGTGTAAAAAAAGCAGGCCAGCTGTCAGGGGTATTGGAGTAATTTAATGGGAGCTCCTGTATTGAACACAGAAGTTGGACGGATAAAAACATTTTCAATTTTGTAAATTTTGGTTGTAATTTGTCTTCTTTCATTGGTTCCAGGGACGGTTGGCAGAGGAGATGCACAGAGATTGTAGCCATTGACGCGCTCCTTTTCAGGAGCTTTCTTGAGCAGTTTAACCCAAAGAGTATCGACCGGGAACTCAACAAGGTCCATTCTTAAATGTCCTGTCTTTCTTTCTTCTCACTTGTAATGAGTTTAGTTTTCTGCTGTTTGTTCCTCTGGTGTATTTAACTTTAAACACCTGTGTGAGCAGAAACTAAACACCACAGTAAATCGGTGTTGATCGTGGATAGATGAGCGCTGGCTGCTCTTTGATTTTATGCTTTGATCTTCCACTTTCATGTCTTTCAAACAGAATTATAATATTTTAACTTTTCTGAATGTTGACTTTACTCTGATGAATTGACTTTGATGTTGATTTGGTTGATAATTGGAAAGCTGTTTCGTTCAAAATGTCAGCTGATGGGAGAATTGACTCGTGTTAAAGTTTCCCAAGGTGAATATTTGAGTCGTAGATGAATGTCGCTTTTTTGTAATGTAGACAAATGAAGTGAGTAATAACTGTAAAAAAAAATGGTCCAGTCAGGGTAATTTTGTCTCGGAGCCATGCATCATCATTGCTAAATTTACACGGTTAATCTTACAATCGCGAATCCTCCAGCGTGCGCAATCACCTCAGCGAAACATCTTCATTCATACGAGAAAATCAAGATGTTTATATTGTCGAGTCAGCTGTCACAGGCATGGATGAGTTTGACAGCTCTGACAAGGAGGTGAGGAATGCACCAACATGGAGATCAATCGTGTTTTGAATATTGGCTACTCGAATGTCATGTCTGCCCTTTCACTGGAGGAATTTATGACTAGTCAGGGAGGAGGATGGACCCTAACTATTCATTTTCACTTTTCACGTAATGTCCAGTGTGAACATAATGTCCTCCGTTTAAAAACCTGCTTTCAGAAACATATTTCTCACCCGACACCCAGCCCACACGGCATGTCGTCACGTCAAATGCTCTTCTTCGTGTGCTTGGGTTTAGTCTGTTATTTATATGTAAAAAAAAAAAGGCCTCCCCAATTTTATTCCAATTGCAATTCAATTGAGAAAACATGTGTGAAGTGACAGAGCCTTACCAAATGGAACAGTGTTAAAAATGTATGTTCAGCCGGGCAAACCAACCTTCATGTGTTCAAGCGTTGAATGATGTGTCAAGCACAGACCTGCAGGCAAATGGAATTACTATGTTGCTTCTCTGTGTTCCATTTGTGTTTGATAGCGCGGAGACGTTCTGTCGAGCTGCTCCTGATAAAACATACCACTGATCTGGAACAGTAAGGCTGATCGCAAGACCTGAGGCCCCCCTTTTTATGTACCAAATGACACATCATTCCCTACTCACCTGAGCAGCCGGGTGTCGTTTAGCTGACAGCTTGATTTAAGATCGTTCAGAGGAAACCTGGGTCATTCAGAGTTTTGGTGACAGTGGGACTTTGCTTATCATGAGGAGAAGGCAGAATTTAAATTCTCACTCTATTTGCAAGCTATATTTATCTATTTTTGTGCTCCCAGAAGAGAAAATGTTCAGAGAGAAGAAATAATCTACAAAAAAATATGAACAAATCTCTGTTGTATTGTCTAAATCCTTTTTTATCCATGTAAAAAAAAAGATATTTGTGGTTTAAATTAGGGATGGGCGATACATTATCATTCACGATATAGCATCTGAAAAATCCTCCATGATAAATATCTGCCATCTCATGATAAATACGATTAATGCAAGTTGATGACGTAAGCGCGAGCGACGAACTCGCAGCCATAGCTCACACTGAGCAGAATAACAAACACTTCAATTCACTTCAACTTTATTATGTCCCAAAATGGGCAAATCAGGTTGCAGCAGGCACAGGCATTTAAAACACTGCCATATATCATAAAATAAAATAAAATACATTTACATAAAAAAAAACAGTTCAGGAGGTAAAAAAGAATTAAAGATGATTTAGAGAGTAAAAAAAAAAGTAAGGTTAGTTTTCTCCATAACCTATCACTCAAACTTGTGGTTAAGTATCTTATTTGACTACTCCAACTGGTGTTCTCAAGACAAAACGAGTCAAAAATATAGATTACATTTATAATATTTATTCTTGGGACTTTTATCGTTATCGCCTGAATGGCAAGCCTTATTGTGCTAAAAAAAAATTTTTCCCGTATCACCTATCCCTAGTTTAAATGTCTATAACAGCTCAGCTCTTGGGTCAAAAACTTCACTTTGTTCTGGACAGGCCTAAGCTGACCTCTGTCTGGGATTGTTTTCGGCTTTGTGTTTACATCACCCTTCCTCACATGCTGCCTCTGATCTTGAACCTACATTCAGGCGTACTGTGGCTTTGCTCGCCCAGAGGAGAAAAGCCAGAACCTGGCAGCGGTCGCCACAGGGAACTGGGGTTGTGGCGTTTTTGGGGGTGACACACGTCTGAAAGGTAAGCTCTGACGTCTATCACAATGTTTACACGTTGTCCTCACTTCACTTAGCAGACTAAGCGGACTCTTTCTCCTTGATACCACAGAATAAATTTCAGAAAGCTCCAGCAGATCGGCGCGAGCGTCCATTTGTCTTCGGGGAATGCGTTCATTTAGTTAAGGCCTATTCGTCGCCTTCCTTCTATTGATCAAACGACAAAGTTAATATGTTTCATTAATAGTGAAATTGATCGCCTGCTCAAGTCCATCAATCTGTTACAGCTCCTTGTCTGAGCCTTGTATCACTGTCACTGAGCAGGGAACATCAGGAGAGTTTCCACTTCGCAGTCGTGGCTGTTTCTCTCTGTCTGCCTGACAGCTTTCGTGCTCATAAACTCTACTAACATCCCTGCATATTTGGTAATTAGCTGCAGCAAGGTAGCTCCCTCCATAGGCATTAGCGCCTACTGTCTACTTAATGACAGGCCTCATGGGAAGAGCTTCTTAGTTCAAACACTGCTCTATACCTTGGTTTAACCCCGATGGCCTCGTATCACTGCGCATCTTTTAATTGTCAGATAATTCTTAAAAAGAAAAGCTGAGGAGAGAGAAACTGCTGAAGTGTCGGCACACTCAGCTTCCCCCCTTTTTCTGAAAATGTTGATTCAGTTTTGCTCATTAATTGGCCACCATCCCAGCCTTCATTAATCAGCAGATATATTTCCAGTCTGTTGAAATATTCACAGCTCTCCAGGGTCAGACCTGGCCTCTCTTAACTAATCTAGTACTCAGTGGGGGTGAGACCTATTCCCTTGTTCACTTGCCTTTTGCTGTACTCAGAGGCAGATACTTCACGCTCTTAGAGGTAACATTAGCTAACGGATGAGTCTCTGGACTTTCGTTTGTTTGAACTTTGCTGGATATTCATGAATAAAAGGACCAGACTGTAGCCTTGAAAAAGAGAAGCGCGTTACTGTAATATTGCATATTTTGCCTCTCTCACTGTGGAAGTGTTTCTTCTCCTTCAGCTCTGCTCCAGATGCTGGCAGCTGCTGAGGCGGGCCGAGATGTGGCCTACTTCACCTTTGGTGACAGCCAGCTCATGACAGATGTCCACAACATGCACTCTTTCCTCACCCAGAGGAACGTCAGTGTTGGTGAGGAAAACAACTGCTTCTATATACAGCTTTATCGTTTCTTCTCATTTTATATGACTTTTGTGATCACGTTTTTTAACCATGCGATAAGACACTGAAACAGCAGATTGTTATCCCTGAAAGCTTGTTCACATTTATGAGTTGTATCAAAAGGATATTCCGGCTTAAAATTGATTTAGGGTCAAACACAGCGTAACACCGAGTTAGACACCTCCTCGAGAGATGAATGTTGCTGATCACTTGCTTCTCTAGTTATACTAACTTTTTAGTAATGACCGCACGATAGCAATACACAGCGGTCTCAGGAGCCACAAACTAACCTCAGCTAAAACGCCACTCTATAGACACAAATAATGTTTAGAACAGCATCTAACTTCATCAACAGTACAACTGATCATTATTTGTGGCTATAGAGTGGCGTTTTGATTAAGGTTTGTTTTTAGCTCCTCAGACTGCTGTGTATTGCTATCGTGCGGTTGTAACTAAAATTGGTATAACTAGAGAAGCAAGCGGTCTGCAACATTCATCTCTCAATGGGGGTGTCTAACTCAATGTTACAGTGTGTTTATCTCAAATTAATTTTATGCCAGAATATCCCTTTAAAGTTTACTCAAGGGACTACACAAGATACACAACCTCTTTGTTTTCCTCACAGGGGAGGTGTATGATCTTCTGGGGCAGTACCACAGCTCAGTGTGCAAGAGCTGCCTCGGTCGGCGCCCTGACGTCAGCCTCTACTCCTTCATCTACCAACAGGTCGGCTCCTCCCTGGCGCCGGATGACTTCAACAGTGGCTCGTCCAGACAACACGTCCCTGCAGATAGCAGTTAAGGTCAAGTGGCCGATGAGTCACTCAGCCTTAATGTAGGAAAACGAAACATTTACCGACTTAAAGCATTCACAGTTTGCCTTCAGATTTCATTTTTCTCTAATTTTTTTGCTGGACTCTCTTTGAATAGGTTTGTTTACTAAGAGTGGTCTCCACTGCTGATAAAACATGAAAATCCAGGCTATGGAGATCCTTTTTGACAACAGCTGAGCAGCTGAAGGTGATTAGTTATGACCCTGCCGCGCACTGTCGTCCAAGCTGTGTTCATTTCGCTGCAGCTGGTAATACGCCAATGGATTGAGCTTCAATACGGCGCAATCGTGATTTTAATGGTGAAGCAAAGGTTGCCATCCATCTTCTCAGTTTGTCATGTTGCCTTTTTTACACCCACACATATCCAGCCTAATTGAATTGGCTGTCAGAAATCAAGTTAAAGGAAAAGAATAACAAGAGGCGGGCTTGGAGAGCTTGAAGTGCTCGCAGGAAAGCGGTTTGATTTAAAGAGCAGCCTGGCTCTTTGTGGAATTATCTCCTACCTCCCGCATTTATAGAACAATTCTAGTTTTAATCACCATGAATTCGTTTATTTGTTGTTTTTTTGCTGCGCTTTTTATGATACCAACTGAAACCCTGTTGCACTTAAAAATATTAATAGGATTCGTGTTTCTCTAGAAATCTCATATTTGTCGACCTTCGTACATTTATAAAGCTGGGCTGAAATGAAAAGTGAGACATTTTGTATTGAAATCTTGTTTCTCAAACATCACAAATAAAATCACTCTGAAGTTAATTTCCTTTATTGCAATTTTTAATATTACACACAATTTGAACAGAGCCACAAATCTTAATGCCGTACATCTCAGGACAATCACAACGACAGCTTCTTGCCCCACATGCAAAACGGGTTTCTAAAGAGCTTTGCCATTTATATTCCCTCAGCTATTGCTTCACCCTTCCATTCAGAGTTTAATAAGGTCATACCTTTTATATAAACTGTACATGACACCTCATTAAGTAAAGAAGAGATCATAGACCATCCAGTCAGAGGCGAGAGTCAGGCAGTGGAGCTTCTGGCTGATTTCTCTGTCTGAAACACGACTTCATTTGCATACGGAGGAAGCGGCTTGATGAACATCTCAGAGGTGAGATCTTCTGTACCCTGTGTTTATGTTTGATGATAGGGGATTGTTTTACAGTATTCGAGGGCTTTATAACTGAGTTCACGTCAGGTCACCCACATATTTGTTAAAAGAGGAGGGGAAGTTAACGCCTCATTAGATATTAAATCATAGTTATCGGCTCTAATGCTCAATTCAATCGTAATCCTTTGATAATACTTCAGGGAAGCATGTTTGACTCATTTCCGTGAGTGATTTTCTCGATTCATGCCTAACAAGCGTTTGTTTATTTACAGGTTATTTAGCCGGCCACAGCTTATTGACTAAATACTGTATATTTAGTATGTGTGCTGAACTGAATGGACCCCTGGGAGCCTGTAAGTGAATGAATGAGGTGCAGGTGTCTCTAAGCTTGGTGCTGTCTGCCTTCATGGAATCAGGGCTTGAGGTAGGTGGTCTCTCTTTGTAACCTGCTGAGTTCAAAACAAGCCTTTGGTGGCATCTCTCTCAATGGGATCCACCATAAACACTCAGTTGCATCCTACTGGATTGATCCCTCTGCAGTGAGCCCCATGTGCGTCTCTGACCTTTGGTTACCATCTGTTATAAAGTCAGATACAGTCATTTGTCTTTTAAACTTGTTCACACTTTAACACACGACTAAATCTGAAGTTTGGGGTAAAGGACAAGTTAATAATGTAGTTTCAGGTAAGATATAGACAGCTCTGTGAAAACTGATTTATTTACTTCTGCTTTGTGAATATCTACAGTTTTAAGTTTTGAGACTAGCAGTTTTTTTTTCAAATAATATAATTAGAGTAGAAGATGATTTGTCTTATTTCATTGAGTGATACCAGCTAGACTCCAGGATTAGTAATGTCCATTGGTCCAAACTAGACTAGCTAGACTCTACATCCGGTAGTTTGTGCATTGGTCCAAACTACTGGATGGGTTATGAACCATAATCGGCATGGACACATTGTCCATTAGCTTCTGCATAGACTATTTGAAGCCATACAGTAGTAGGTGCAATATCAGAAGTGCAGAACCAGCCTAACTAACATTTGATTAACCTCTTCACAGAGCACACCTACCTGTCCGTCAACATAGCCATGCCCGTGATGATGCTAATTCATATATAATGCTTACCTTTTACATTTCCTAAATAGTTGCTGCATTAAGAAAATTAAACTCCCACAAAGTTTGCGCAGACAAGTGCATGTGCTTCTTACTCCAAACTTTTGCAATACTAGGTTGTAAAAGTGTTTGATTTTGCTTTAAAAATGGTCATTTAAGAACTTCATCCAGCCTCAAGTGGACACTCAGTGAACTGCCGTTTTCTGCACTTCTTCAACGACTGAAAATGTCAACACTGTGGGTTGCTGCTCGGTTAGTAAATAGTAAATATCATATAAAGTGTGCCTAAATAAAACCAGACTCTTGGCTAGAGTGGTTCCCAAAGACTCAAACATTTACAAGATGGGTAAGGTTTTGGACAAAAAGTTCCAAACGGATGGATGAAAAGCCAAGACAGCCATTCAAATCATGACACACTGGAATACATAAACAACTGAAATGGAAAATAGCCATTCAAAAAAGGTACAGTTTTCCTCTCCATGTGAATTGAGTGATCATACCCATAATGAGTTTCCTTTAATCTGTTGTTTTAATTATCAATGAACCCCAGAGGACAAATATGAAGCATCCAACAGTTCATCACAAGATTCCTTTTGAAGCTGGGACAACATCACCACATAATATTTCCGTTTTTGCTGTTTCCATCCAAGAAGGTCATCTCTGATAATGTCGGCTGCTGTATTATGAATGGGAAGGCCTATTTAAATTCATCACGGGCTATTTACTTCATATTTCCTTATCATTTTGGATTATTATTGGATACTCCCTGCGGTGTTGGAGGAGTTCTTCGAGGTTTCTTTTGGCCAAAGATTAAAGGCGTCATCAGCTGAATATTGATATGTTTGATGAAACCCTGCAAGATGTGGCTTACATTTGTTTGGACTAAAGACATAAGACCGAAATAGGATTCACAGTCATGAGCTCCATTTCACTAATTATTCATACGTTGTCCTTTCCATGATAATAAAAGGCATTTTATGAAAAAAAGATGAATGCTGCGTTTACACCTGAGGCACTGGGGTACTTGTGGGATGCAGTTAATTTGCAAGTGATACATCATGAATTATTACAGTTTTTCTTGGCGTTTGAGCAAAGATGTTTGGCATGAAAACTGGGAAGTTAAATCAGATTCATTTGCTTCATATCATTGTAAATATTAACAGGTATACAAGGGAAAAAAGTTTAATGTATTAAAACATCCTCCACTTTGGTCTGGTGTTTGTCTTTAAAAATAAAAACTATCTCATTTGCTAGCATCGGATCTTAACTGATTCTGTCAGTAGTTTCTTTTAATTACCACTAAACTTCTCATAATGAGGAGATAATTATTGACTTAAAAATAGACTGATAAACAGTAACGTTAGCGGTGTCCCGATACGTTATTGATATCGGTCCGATATCAGCCTCCACCTTAAATCTCCGATATCAGCACTCCGATACAGGCAGTCCATTCCAGACTCTGCTCCAGGAACCTCTATCTAGCAGCACCTGGATCCAGCATGTAAAGCCCACGTAATGACAACAACAGTGTGTACTAAGGTACAAAGTACAAAGGGATTGGCCCTGTGGCAGTATTTTTCATTAAAGTCTGATAAAGACGTTGCAGCTGAGTGCAAAACTTGTCATGCGCTAGTTTGTGCCAATATTGGATCAATATCAGTATCGGCCAGTATTGAAGGCTGCAATATCGGTATCGTATCAGAGGTAAATCAGGGGGAAGTGGTTCCTGGAATAGTCCGTAGACAATCATGATCATTCAACTGTTTCACTGCTGTTAAAAATGCAGACTAAAAATTGAAAGTATTGATTAGAATTGCAACTTAAATCAGCATCCACAAAATCGCAGAGGAATTAAATTGGGAAAAAAGCATATTGTCCCAGCCCCACTATTCATATAGTCTACCTAGACATGGCAGAGTGCCGACTATTGAAAAGCATATCGACCGTGTTTTATATTGATATTGAGGGAAATTAATTTTCAATATATATAATTATCGTTTTATCGCCCAGCCCTAACCCTAAGTAACATAATCGAACGGGGCCTTGTAAAAATCATATTCATCAATAACAAGTCCAGGTCCTCTTGACCATCTTCTGAGTCTTGAAGCAGTCAAGTATGAGTCTTCTGTGCTCAACCTATGACTCCTGAAAACCAGGACTTGAGGCCATCCGCCCATTAGTGAACAATTATATTTCAGACAGGATTTAAAACGTACCTCCTCCGTCCCTTCACTTTTGTCTGTGCACGTTTCAACCCCCACTGCTGTATCTATGAGCACGTTTGAACTCAGTGTGACCTAAATGTTCCCCCTCTCCCCGTGTCCTGTGTGGCACCTCAGCAGTGTCATCGCTGCTCTCGTTTGATGATAATTGTCTCTCTCCTCCGGCTCTTGCACATGCTGAGATGGTTCCTCCTCGTCCAAAGGCAGTTCCTTCACCGCCTCGAAAAACCTGCTTGCTTTGTCTTTTACTGGCTCTAAATAGCCTGTAGTCAAAAAGGCATCTTAGATGGGCTGTTCTGGAGTAGGTAGGGGCGGCGTATAAATCCACCGCCACGGCTATTAATTATTAGTGACAGCTTTCTGTGGCCGTTTTAGCTCAAATGTTTCCACTGCAATTGATCCAAAAGAAAAAATCCATTTTTATGTGATAGCTGTAGCTTTTAAGCAAACTGACTGCTCGCACCGTAAGGTCAAGGATTGAGTGAGTGAAGTTATTTTTGCTGCTTGTGTTAGCAGATTGCCTATCAATCTCTGGAGTGTCATGTGATTGATACTGACTCAGCTTGAATGAAAGATGAGGCAAGGCCATTGCCGCTCCAACTCAAGAGGAAAGAGTAGCCAATGACCACTTATAAAGCAAACATATTACACATTACCAAGCACTAACAATATTCTCATAATTGCATTTTCAATATCGGCACATTTGGTGAAGGTAAAATCAGCTGGAGGGACCAATGTTGGAGGATGATTGTAAAGGATCTGTTAATCTATGATTATCAACCACTTTGAATCACCTGAGCTGTTAATTAGCTATTCTGGTTTACTACATATTAACATCTTAAATATGAGTTAAATCTTTCACCATAAGGCAGATTCGGTTTATTTTTCTAGAAGTTTCCTGTTTTGAACTGAAGGCATCTCCTCAGGCCTTTAATTGCACACTTGTTGCTCCTTCCACCATCTGCTCTCTGTCCAATCATTAATTTAAAAGGAGAAAAATATATTCTGTTCCCTGGCAGAGATTTCACAGAAGAAGCCTGTTTGACTATATAAAGTCACTTATTTTACTTTATTAGAAGGTTCAAGTTAAATTTAGAAAAAAAAAAAGTCAAGACTGATCAAATTAGGTTGAACTTTTGGTACTTTACCAAATCAGACAGATGTCTCTCTCTGGGCTCCAAAGGTGGTGGAGACAGATGCTTCTGTCAGATTTCAAAGGAGTCATTTTACAGGCTTCGCCTTGATCATTTCATCAGGATATGATTAGATCACGACACATGGCAACAGTCATCAAGAGGGAGAAAAACAAAATAAACAGGTTAGCTAGGATGTATTTTTTTACCGCGTTAGAGGTTTGCTAATGATCAATCAGGAGTTCGAAAATTACTGTGGTGATATTGTCAAGTTTTACAGTAGATACTAAAGGTAGTTTTTAGTTAATCCTGAAGTTAAGTGGTGTCTCTCTGATAATTATGCCTCTCATGAACTGTGTACTTGAAGTTCTCCTGTCTGGATTGGTCAGTGTTTGTTTTTGTGGCTGATACCAGAGCAGAATTAGCAAGAAGACATAAACTTTCTGTTTAAGTTTTTTAGTAGTTGGAGATTCCTCACAACCAGGACTTTGAGAGAGAGAGAGAGAGAGATTGTTTATTTGATCAAATATACATACAGTACAATTTTAGTCAAGAAATTCCCTATTTTTTGGAGATCAAAAAGGAGTAGGTAGAAGCTATTTGGCTTATTTGTACCTACCCTCATTCCTTCCTATTCATTGACCTTTTACATGTCTCTGGAATTTTAGGATTTCTGAAGTCGCCAAAAAGTAACCAAAGCTCCCAAGTCGAACATGAATATGTAAGAAATCATTAACACTGAGACAGACTTTGCTTGGTTAAAGAGCTAAATTGCTGAGAACAGGATCGCTCGTGAGAAAAGCAGAAAAAACATGACTGGTTTTGTCTTGAGAGGTCACCAGAAACAACAAAACATGAAAACCCCCACAAGTTTGTTTGAAAAGGGGGATACGGGATTTACTCCAGGATACATGGTGGTCATAATTCGGAGACTGGAAACCCAGACTTGAACCGTTCACACGTCTCACAGTGCTTCATGGGTTGTTTGCTGCATGTATGTTCGGATGTAGTGACAGTGGACTGTTGGGAATAGCAGAGCGGAGCAGCTTGAGGACAGAGCATGTCACGTGTCGCAGGTCGACTCTTTGTGTGTTTTTTCCATGGAGGGGAAAGAGCTGTTGCATGTGCCTCTGGTGCGTTTCAGAGCTTTGGCAGAGTGGACCTCCGGGCTCTGGGCTTGTTATGGAGCTGTCACTGTTAGGGTGGCAACACACTATGCATTTGATCCTCTATAAGAGAGTAGACAGGATGTACAGTACATAGAGAGAAGACCGCCACCCCTGGGTTATTATTCAGGATGAAATGAAAGAAAAGACACTCAAAGTATTTGGTTCCCTGTGTGACGTGAAAACCGTATTTATGCGAAGTTAAAGCACTCATTCATTCTCCGGCATGGCTTTACAGGGGGTTGCAGATTTCCTGGTTAAAAGTGAATCCCTGCTGGCCCTTTTTTTTTTACTGAATATTAATTAGATTTCATCTTTGAAAGCCCTACAGCCCTTACAGAAACATCCTTTTTAATCAAGACATAAATGAGACGTGCTAAAGTGATCTCTAGTATCACGACTCTGGGGGATTCATGACTTCGAAATTGAGATGAGAAGTGCAGATTCTTTTATCTTTGCACTCAGTTTTACCTCATATGAATTCATTTGTGGTTAAGGAGGACATAAAGTAACAATGATGATGTCAAACTAGCGTTTTGATATTTACTTTAAAAGTCTGACTTTGTTTGCTTTCTCACTGTGCTTTCCTGCGCCCATTGATACTTCTAAGTTTAGAGTCCCAAAATGCATCATTGTCCATCTTTTTTGTTTGGTAATTGTAAACTACAGTGACAAAACCTATTTGTCCTGCCCCTCAGAGCTGTCTCAGGGCCCAGTTTCCCTGACAAGTGTGGTTTGAGGGGCCATAAAACCATCCTGCCACCATCCCTCAATCCCGTCCTCCATTACGTATGAAGCAGTGGCTAAAGTGACAGGCTTATTTTCACCAGGACACATGTAGCTGAGATGACACCATCACTCCAGCGCCAAACGCTACGTGATCAAAGATATATTTCTCATTGACAAACTGCCGTGAGTAAAAGGCAACAGAGAGGGGTTAAGAGAGAATACCAATATCAATTCACTAGTCATTTAGTTTGCTTACACTTCTTTCACGGATAAGTGCATAGACCCTTTTTCCTCCTGCTGTTCAATTACCCAAGCACCCATAAAAACCTGAAGTTGTGTCTCCGGAGTGAGATATTGTCACGCCGCTCGTAGCAATAAGAGCGAGATTTAGGATAAGCCTCTCTACTGTGACAGAGGCTCGGCAGAGGGACCCTCTCTGTCACCAGATATTGCCGTCCCAAGCCGCTCATTAAAGCTAGAAACCATTACTTTACAGCTCGGGCTCAGCTTCACTCGGCTCCTCCTTCATCTGCCTGCACAGCCCCCTGGAAGTAAATAAACACAAATGAGCTCGAGGATAAACAAGGAAGCGCAAGAGCTGAAACCGTGGGGGAGGGGGAAAGCTGTGTGACCCATTAACTTCTTTATGCCGTTTAGTGGTCGGATCAAGTTCATTATAAGAGAATTTCCCCTGTGAACAACAATGCAGAAGAAAGTGTTAGTTAGATCATAGTGAGCGCTCCCCTTGGTGTTGTTTGGATTTGGCTCCACGAGGAGGATTTAGACAGTCACAGAACTTAAAGGGATATTCCGACGTAAAATGAAGTTAGGGTCAAACACACAGTAACACCGAGTTAGACACCCCATCTTAACCCCATCCAACTTATACGATAGCAATACACAGCAGTCTGAGGAGCCACGCAATCAACCAAAACGCCACTCTATAGCCATAAATAATGCTCAGAACAGCACCTAACTTCATCAACAGTACATATAGGGTCCTAGCCACAGCTCTAGCCACCAAACATCTTTTTAACTTTGCCTAATTACTTTAACAAAGAGACTAAATACAACTCACCTACTCTCTTCCAGCAGCCGCTTGTTTGTACAGAGATCTCAGACGAGTCCATTACAGACAACAGCGGAGTTTAGCAGCTCAAGGAAGAACATTTATGATAATTTTTTCATGGAAATGCAATCAGACCGAGACTCTAAGGCAGAAGAACTACCGCGTCTGCAGTGCAAAATGATTAATATGACGATTATTACTTCAAGGAAGTGATAAATAAATGATCATAAATGTTCTTCCTTGAGCTGCGTCACCCCGCTGCAGTTCGTAATTGACTGGCCTGAGGTCTCCGTACAAACAAGCGGCTGCTGGAAGAGAGTGCGTGAGTTGTGTTTAGTCTTGTGGCTAGTTTTGTGGCTATTGAGTGGCGTTTTGGTTGAGGTTTGCGTGTGGCTTCTCAGACCGCTGTGTATTGCCATTGTGTGGTCATCACTAAAGTTGGTATAACTAGAGAAGCAAGCGGTCGGCGACATTCATCTCTCGACGGAGTGTCTAACTCGGTGTTACGGTGTGTTCGACCCTAAATTAGTTTTACGCCGGAATATCCCTTTAAGTTTGAGTTGTTAGGGTTGTCTCCAGTAATAAACCAAACTATTACACCCCACTTCAACAATAAATAAATGACAATTATAAAAAGAACCTTCCTCTTTCAATTCATAAATTTGTCATAAAAATTAGCTTCAACCTTGAGGAACCTTAAAAATAAGTTTCAATCAGAAAACAAAATGATCCCATCAGCCTCTAAATAAGCTTTGTCTCTCCTTTCCCGAGTGAACACACCTCTGTTCCCCCATCTGTTGAGGCTGCGTTCCTTCCTCTTAATGGGTCGCCATAATTGGCGGAGTCAGGAAGCTGGTGCTGCTCCATCGCGTGTGGAGTCCTGAGTGCGATGGAGCAACTGGCAGCTGTGGGCTCAAAGATGCGGCTATACAGCGCAGGCCTCTGTTTATCTCTTATCAAACCACACAGCTTTACTCCGCAGGGACGTCGCTACTGGGACAGATGGCCACCTGGGATCTGAACACTTAATGAAGCACACCTTTTTTTTCACCTCTCTTTTCCTCAGTCAACCCCTCTTTGCCTCACACCAACAATCCCTCCATCTCACATCTGGCCTGGCATGAGAGCAGATCTGTTAGGGGGAACTTAGAGAGTGAGGGAATTGCCTTTTGCAAACTGTGTGTCTCATGTGACCGGGGCCACAAAGCCTGCATGCATGCAAACTCATGACTTTATATTTGCCCTCATGACAGTAAAGCTATTAGCTGCCTGGTGGTTGTTTTCACTTGTCAGGCGTTGGGATATATCTGTCAGAACTCATGGCCAGTTCACAAATTTCTCTGCATTACCGAGATGGGCTTTCTGAGGAGAGAGCAGCGCTTCTAATGAGTTCCTTCCATCTAACTTTTCTCCCTCCTGTCGACTTGGATCCGCTCACGTTTGGCACTTATGCAATCAGCTCTCAGAGCTGCTCTCATGCTGAACTGGGAGGCCATGCAGGCGGACGAGCGGTTGTTACTTCGATGTGAGGAGAGCATTTAAACATTGTCTCTTCGCGGTGCTTTTGTGGATGATTGACTCTGGTCTAGAGATGATGGCCTGGCAAAACCAGTTACCTTCTCGACTCTCATCTAGTCATGAACTCTCACTTCTTCCCTCCTCTTCTCTTTGTTCATTCGTGCTCAGATCTGGTTTCTGCATGTTTGTGCTTAAGAGGAGTCGTGGCTTTTATCTGAGTGTGCTTATATTGATTGCAAAGATAAAGCTAATGATTAATGACCGTTGAGGTTTTGTCCCGCAGACCAATCACGACTCTCTGCACTTTCTCTAACTGTAACACCCTGACCCTTTCACTTATGATGCCCACTATTCACTCAGCAACCCCTCTCATTGGAGACACTCAAATTAGCTGTTCTTGTAGAGCCCGACCGCTTCAGGACATGTCGCAAAACCAAGGCATAAATCATTCCCCAGAGCAGGAGCAGTGGCAGTCCGAGATGCACATCCACCACCCGAGATTTACGCCGCACATCGAAGCGCGGCCCGGCAATCTGGACCCTCTCCACCAGGTCATCTTCAAATTGGTTATTGATCTTCCAATCACAAAATGAATCATACGTTGCCAGCGCTGTTTAGGTGCTACGTTTACAGTAGCGTAGCTTGAGTTACCGCCGATATGCAGCGCGGGGATGGATTACTGTTTAGAAACCATGAGAAAACAAGTAGCCTCGCTGAACAGGGAGTAAATAGGAAAAGAAATTAGAAGTAGTGTACCTTGAGATGAATGGATGCTATGTTGTCACAATGTAGAGCCTCATTACAAGATATCAAGAAACCGTCGACAATCACAGACGTGAGGAGCTTGAAGTTGACAACTGTGGTGATATACTTCAATATATTATGTAGGCAACTGCTAATATTCTCATATAAGAATGATTGCAGAGTCTGTTATATCAGGAGGCAAAAACAGCTATATTTTTATTATGTCTTCTTTCTGGATTTTGACAGAAACCCACATCAGCTATCATACGATTCTGAAAGACACACGATGGAGCCGTGGTGGTGGTATCAGCGCTTTTATCCTGCTCAAAATGGGACAGGCTCCTTCTCTTCTCAGCTGTTGGCACATTGAACATTGTGGAGTATTATTTAATGGGGCTTCACTTCTTGCCCAATTAGGCTTCAAGATGGTGTGTAAATGTAGCTCCTGGCCTGGGAGCACTTTCCTCATAAATGCCAGAATGGCCATTATCAGAACTCTGTCATGAGCGAAAACAGACAGCTATAATAAAGACTCAAACGTAATTGAAAGATTTTTAGAATGGCAGAGGGACTTGTCTTTTTGAGTTTCGGTTAAATGTCAATATCCGGACCAAAAAAACAACAGGACAGTTCTCCTTGTTCCATTTTGGAGGGAAAATGTCAAGCTCAGTTTCACTTTTCAAAGATGGCTGCATCATTGCTCATGCCTTTTCAACCGAGTAATATATTAACAGTGCTCGGATAACATTTGGATGACAGGTTTAGTGTAACTAATTAGCCGCTGTATGGTGTCAGATTGTAATCTCGGAGCTGTTGTTTTTGATTCATGCGCACATGTTCAATTACAGAGGCTCATTAGGACGGCATGGGTGATTAGTGGTTACAGCACGAAACATGATTTGTGAGAGCTGTGTGCTCATTGGTTCTGAGGCTGTATACCGGTCAGCTGTGAAGCGAAGAAGCTAAGTTTCTATTCCTTGATGGATTTTGCACTGTTCTTTTGAATGTTGGCATCCTTTTAAGAGTATTTCAAATTCATTTTCACATCATGTCATTAATTCCTCTTTTTACTGAGATAAATCTCAACATCTGGATCAATCTGCCTACCTATTGAGCTATAAGTTTAAAGTCCCACTACGATCATTTGTTACTACTTAAAGTGTTCTCAGTGGTCTTTAAATTCTGATTATGAAGTTTTTACCAAAAATCAAGTTACCTGTGTCATTTTCAAGGGCTTTTCTTCTGCAGAGCTCCAGTAGCTCATTAGCAATTCGCCTCTGAGTCGTGGGCGGAGACAGTGCTGCTTTGCACATTCCTCTTCACACTAGCTTGCAGCCTAACATTGACGGTAGTGCAAAAGTGTCAGGTAACAAAGGAGCTACTCAGCTCTTGGACACTGATGTCATTGGGGACACAATGAAAGCTAATATTATAATTTGCTTTCTTATGAGTATCGCACTCCGCTAACGCACACGCTTGTTCCGCGATCATTCTCTCTATTTTTACGAGTCTGGCCTGCATAGCGGGAAAATTGGATTTGTAACAAAGGAAATCTCATTGTGTCTGAACCTGCTGTTTGTGTCTGCTAGAGATTCACATTGATTTGAATACAGAAATACTCAAAATTCCAATTTCGCACTTATTTTGCTCATGATATGTCCTGTACCATATTAACATGTAGACAACAAGAAAAACATGATTTTCATTGGAGTGGGTCTTTAAGGGCACAAATTCTGCCTCTGGTTTCCTGGTAGGACAAACTCAGCATCAGTAGCTTTTCATATCTCGTGGACTCTGGCAGGCCCTTAGGGGGGAGGGGAGATCTAGACGGACAGTTCCGCTCCCCACTGCTCCCCTCTCCAGTCGATAGCAACCAGCAGGTAAGCCTCCGTCTCCGTCTGCAGCGTGGCAGACACTTATTAGTGGTAATATACTCCCATCATCCATTTCCAGGTGGGCTTCCGCCATTGATCTCCACACCAAGGCTTGTCACCCGCTGCTCCTCTCACAGTGAAAGCACTGGTCGCTGCCAGCACAAGCTTTATATGACCCTGCTTAATGTTCTGTCAATAGACTCCTGGCTGGAAAGCAATTGGCAAAAGCCCTATCGCTACATCTGTGCAGAGTCTTTGGAGTGCCGTGCAGGTGTCATTGTCATTGCAGGCGGTTGTCATTTTTCACCTGGTGTGTAGAGGTACTAAGGCTGAAAACTTGTCTGCTTGTAGGCCCACTGGACTCCTGAAGGGAATGCAAGCTGACACACTGATTGGAGTCATATTACATAGTCCAAAACACACTAATGAATGATTGATTGTGACACACCCTGGACAAGAATTAGCCTCTTAAAGGGGAAACTGTGGTGTAGCCAGCAGATATTCGTAGAAAGATTTTTGAATCATCACTCTAGTCTTTAAATGAATAAAGAACTGCAGCACTTTTTGTCATGACGGAAAATTTGGATGTTTGTCCAGATTGAGCAATCATATAAGAAAGACTCTAGGTGGGCCAAAGAGAGGACTCAATGCATGATGGTATTATTGAAAAAGGGAAGAAAACTGAATATAAATGAGGTGGAGGAGCATTATAAGAAATTTCTGAACCCATCAGGAACTACCTTTGTCAGGGAAGCAGAGCCAAAACACCTAAGATGGCCTTACATGGTTCTTGAGAGTAGTTCCAATGACCAACTTGATGAAATGACATATTTAAAAAGACATAATGGACTTGCCGTCCAAATACCCAGATTTCAAACTTCCCTTCCTCTCCGGAAAAGGTTATTTCATGATGGAAAAGAGTGCAGGGACAGCTGTTTCTGAAATTCACACAGAGCCTTTGCTCTTGTAACTTTCCTGCTTGGTCCACTTTTGCTTTCTAGACCTTTGAAAGAAAACTTGACTTTGTTTTTCGTAGGGCATGTTTGAGGAATTTGAGGTGCAAAGGCTTTTCCCACCAGTCGTTTAGTCATGTTCTTAGATATGTGAAGTACATTTGGGAGAAGACACCATGCACGCAACTGCACCCTGTCATACTTTTCTACGTTTGCAGTGTATTGTTTAAATATGTGGACTCAAGCCAAATCATTTTGAGTCTGCTCTGTCAAAAACTGGGGTAATAACATGCCATCAATCACCGCTTCCTGCTTTTTTGTCACTAGCAGACTAAACTTTTTTGTTTGGGCTGCACAAGTTATTTACACAATTTGTAACCCAAATTTAATTGGACTGGTTCATGGAAGCTTGACTAAATGTTTAATGTTTTTGGGCACTTGGTTGACCTGGTTCAGTGGTTTAACCAGTGGAGAATTAAATTTGGGTCTCTCCCCAAAGACCTCATCAGATGCCACTGAAACGAGGCCATCTGTTGGTAGTGTGTCAGTAAAGCGAGTGCTGAAAACAGACAATCCTATGCAAATGAGCTCAGCTGTCTGCAGTTACAGTTGTGCTGCGTATGAGCACAACTGTGACCGATCATCATTGTCTTCTTGTAAAGCGTATTAGCTTAAATGACAGTCAAAGAGGGAAAACTTGGGGCTTAGTATGAGGTGTGGTAGCAGTCTGGTTTATCATAGTTTTATTATTATATTTGTCCAAGAGCTACAGGAACAACTTTTTAACTGATAGCAGCTGGAACAGAAGAAAAAAGTCAGTTTGGTTATCTGCTGTGCATTTGGTGACTTTACTTCTTTGTTATATTTCGAGTTAAAGAATATCTCATTAGACTGAATAGACACATTCATGTGACAGGTCCAGATATTTTTCTTTATTTACAGGTATCACAAGCAGAAAATAAGACCTGAATTGCTTATAACGAGTATAAACATCCGCCAACAGGGTGCGGTAAAGTTTCCAGGATTAAGACATCATTATTCCAGGAAACTTGACAGGTAAATTTTGTTCACCACACTAGCAGGTTTTCTCTTTGTTTTATCTTAAAATAAGACATTTGCCTGGACTTTTTTCTTTTACTAGGAGTAAGACAAAAACACAAGTTAATTTTGAGTTTAAGACTGCACTGTACGGCGCCACCAAACTAAAATATTAATAATAAATGAAAGGAGGAGAGCTAGACATGGATTATGTTTTAATAGAAAACACACACACACACACACTTTATCTGATTTCATAGTTCGAGGTTCACTTTATTCCTGGAACTTCGTATCAGTTTGTTCAACACAACAGTTTTAATACAGCCAATACCTACTACATATGCAATATTGTTTGTAGCCTATAAAAAATAAATTAGTCTTTTATTTTCTTTTTCAAACGATAGACTTTTTCACCAAAGAGTCATTAAATATTGAAAGACCCAATAAAACACAATATTCTCCCCATTTCACACAATTTACAGTCACATATGTCAGAACATGTTAATACACACTGCTGTACAACAGCAGCTCTAACTCACAGGGATTATTATTGACTCTTTGAATAAGACCGACTGGAGAGCACATTACATTCTGTTACATGTACCGGTCTAACAGGACAGGACACCATGTACGAACATTGAATTAACATTAAAGGAGGACATTGAACATTTATAGTTTTATATGTAGCAGGAGAACACTTTGCTTCACCTTTTTAAGGCATTTAAACTAGTTTTTTAAATATATTTATACCCAGTACTTAAATTTTTAATATATTTACCTCAATAACCAGGTAGTACCCACTTCTTAAAATGTCTCAAATCCCATTGCCTAGCGCCCAGGTTTTTCATTATATATAATTAACCCCATCTTTTAGCTTATCTTCAAACCAGCTTTTCATTTAAACATATAAAAATACAGTTAGTAAGAAAGAATAAACATGCATGAATGTGACTTTAGCCTCCTACTGACATGGACTTTGATATGATCTACATTCATATTCACTTTGGCTGATGGTAGATAGGTACGCACTAAACAAGGACGACATATTTCCTCACAACTGACCACTGAAGTCCCCTGATTGGATTTGCTGAAACTCGAACCACCACAGACTGAAACCACATCATATACCATACTACTGGAAGAATAGAGTACACTCTGAGTGGACACAATTTCGCACCAACAACATGCACGATTTGAGTTACGAATGATGGTGTAAAACGATTCTCGATATCAAAAATAGCAACAATAGTTCATCTAAATTTCTATATATAAGCATCATGCATCTAATAAACTGATTTGGCAAATTGCACGTATGCCCTCACTGCACTTGCTTTTACATGATTATTGCACAAAGTACCTACAATACATTCATACCCTCATTTTACTCTAAGTGCAAATAAAAAGCACTTATATACACAAGAACACAGTGGTCTGCCTCAGTCACCACTGACTATATTTTACTGAAACACAGCACTGTTTGTTACACTCTACATGTATTTAACTATTGCTATAATATTGAACACATAGATACAGTACAGCTAGTGTATGTCTAATGTGCCACTGAAACCATACAACACACAGTATGTTTTCTTTCTCACGTTTCCATTCGTGAATATCTTAAAGTGCCGTAACTGACCATTTTCACACGCACACGACCTCTTTGGCAACCTCACAATGTCAATAAATAACATAAATATATAACCGATCAAGTGTTTTGTTAGCATGATAGCACACACAAAGTAAACATGTCGGCAGGATCACATTTACAAGATGGATCAAGATTGTTTCAAGACACTTAGATACTGTATACTATATAATAGATGATGTTCTGTTGATTCCTGTAACTACTCTACATGAGGAAAGTTCACTCAGTTGATTCACACTCTGATGGAGAAGTTACCCCCTCGCATCAGTGCTACAAAGCAGGCATGGCTTCAGTTTCCTAAAGGCAGCAGACCGATGAAAGTCTACCGAGTCAAGCAGGGTCAGTGCTGAACCCTAAATCATTCCGGTGTCTGCACACATCCAAAGTTATTGAATGGTTTGCTAGTTTCTTTCACATTTTTTTTGATATTTACATGTGTATTTAAGGCTTTGCATGTGTTGATACATAAACACTATTGCACGGACAACAAAGACACACAACGGCATCCTGACTACTGAGTCTACAGCTAGAGTCTAAGTCTAAGTGTTGAGTGGAGCAGCTGTGTGGGCTCGCTCCCTCAGTATGGCTTACTTCCCTGATTTTTGTGGCCGACCCGCTCCCTGGCTGCTATCGGCCTGTTTGCTAGCCGTTGCGCTGCTTCTATTGCACAAGTCCCTGATTTCCAGCAGGCCCTCGTTCAGGGCTTTGATGAAAACAGCCGAGCTCGTCTCGGTGTTCTCCCAGAAACTTGACACGCAGAAGAGGATGTGATCTGACTGTGGGTTGTAACAGGCGCCGTAGCCGTTGGTCACCACGGGGCCGTAGCAGCAGAACATTTCCACTGTGGTTGGGACCTGGATACAAGAGGACATAGTTCGGGGTCCATTAGTTAGCAAACAAGAAAGTTAAAACCTCATGACCTTATGGCTTTACGAGGAAAAGTGTTCGATCCTTGATGTCGAGGACTAACGTTTGGTCAGTGTAAGCCTTCTGCTTCACTCTTTTTAATGTCGATGTATGCTATGTATGTGTTCAGCTTTAATTTTCAGGAAAGTTGGGCAGAATAAAATGATGATCTCAGTCATTAAATGCTGAGAGCAGACGTCGAGTCAGGCAGGGTTTCTAATTAAAAATACAAGACAGGAAGCACACAGCTTCAGTGAGGATCCTGAAAACCAGCATAAACAAAACATCCTAATTAGCCTGGCGCTTTTGTTAAGTTTCGCTGTCTCCCTCCCTGTTTAAAAGCCCACCGTGGAGTTCGGTGACACATTTTTAAGGGGCCATTTTCTTAGTTTTGTGCAATCACAGTCATGTCTTGGAAATAGCTTCAATGAATTAAATGAGAACTCTAAAACGAGAAGGTTTTGTTCAGACTTGCAGATGGTAGATTGTTTTAAACAGTTGTTTTAAGGAGAACCTGTATGATCTGAACATGGTTGTTTTCTTCGTGCATGCTCTGGAGAAGCAGCACAGCTTGGAAAACTTTTTTCCACACACAGTTATTACACTGTAAAAGCATTTTTAATATTTCTGTGGAATAGGATTGCATAAAAGCAGCTTATATTAGGAAATTCAGCCCTCTTATTTCCTCTTTCCTCTGTTTTCTCCATGCTGAGCTGGTACAAACAGAAATGGATGAGTCAGTGGTTCTAGGAAATACAATGTGTAGGCTAGACACCAAACATTTTGTAACACTTTTAGTAAAGTAAGAGTACAGTAGAACTGAAAAGGTCAGATGTTACCTGACTGGTAGAAAGGATGAACTGGTTACTGGCCACATATGTCTCATCACAGAAGATCTCTGGTTTCTCCATGTTGAGCTCCTTGGAGATTCTCAGAAGTCCAAGGAGATGATTGTCGATTGCCATTCCTGTAATAGCCTGAAAAGTGCAGTTTTTGGTTTGTAAGAATGGATTATCATAATAAGAGGCTCGGTATAAGCTGAATTATTGGATCAGGTCTTGAGTGCACAGTTAAAGAATGGGATTTCTTTGTTATCTCACACTAATTAAGCATGTAGAGGACAAGATAAGCAAAGACTGCTTTGTCCACAGGGGGCGCCAAAATTGACATGAATCGAAAGTTCCTCACTAGAGCTTTAAACATTAAGTTGAAGTTCTTTACTGGACTGTTTCATGGTATGGAGCCCCATTGGATGCCTAAATCTTATTGGGAGGTCAAGTGTCCACTAAGTTGCTGCCCCTGGGTAAGAAGTAACCCTAAATTGTTTTTTTTTAAATTTAAAATGAGCTTTCAGGGTGCTGGTTGGAGGTTATTTCTGGCTGTTGGTAGAATTCAGACCAGCTGCTCAGTCTCCAATCTGCCAAATAAACTGTGTCCCAGTTAAGTCTTAATTAATTTTCACTATATATTGAAGTGTTTCGTAAGCGAGTTTTTAGTAATTTTTAATATCAAGATGAAGCAACTTTTTAACGCCATGTTTGTTTGCCAAATATACACGTTTAAGTACTTACTGCAATTGTATAGTTTGTCTGGGCATTAATTGCATCCCTCAGCCGCTTCATTTTTTCTTGATCCTGTAAAGAAAAGTAAAAGCGCAGTTTAAAGAATAGTTTAAACACTAAAACGGGGAAGTATGCGGCTTTGAATAATCCAGAGGGAGATCATCTGCTTGTATGGGGACACTCAAAGAGACTCCTCACACCTGTTTCACTTCAGCTGCTGATGTGGGAGTTACTCAGTAATTGTGGTCAAAGTGAGAAAAATGACTCACGGTGTAGGTGACCCTCTCGTCTGTCATGGACTTAACAAAAGCCAGGGCCTCGAGGGTGGCCGAGCGAATGTTATCCACACGACCGTCTTGGAAACGCCGAATGGACGCACTCTCGTATGTGGGCACAAGCCTTCCTCCACATCTGTTAGAGATATGATTCTATCAGAATATTTGAAAGAGCATGAGATCGCCAACTCTGACCGAAAAGATGATAAATTGTTTACCCTACTTGAAAAATGCAAGTTGTAAAGCAACTTGAATGAACGCATCTGGACTCATCTTCTGTTTTTTGATAAAGTCTTTCCCATATGTGTTGAACTTGAAAACATCCATGTCGAGGTTATTCACCAGCCTGAAGAAGAAACACAGAAGATATCAGACATAATCAAGGAATCACTTGTAGATATTCAAATCTTCCGTCTTCGTCTTGCCTTTGGAGTCTGTCCCCAGCTGCTGTTAACAGTCCCTGAATGTCTGCGTTGCATTTCCAGAGAAGCCTTCTTGGAGGGGCAAGTTCTTTCACATTGGACGCACTCGCCAACTTAGACGGACTCCCTGATCTGTTCAGGACAATAACAGCATGTTGACATCAGTAGTTGTCGCCAAGCGGTTTTTGACAGTTAAAGGGATATTTCGGTGTAAAATTAATTTAGGGTCAAACACACCGTAACACTGAGTTAGGCCCTCCTTGAGAGATGAATGTTGCCGATCGCTTGCTCCTCTAGTTATACCAAATTTAGTAACGACCGCACAATAGCAATACACAGCGTAGAGTGGTGTTTTGGTTGAGGTTTGTTTATGGCTCCTCAGACCGTTGTGTATTGCTATCGTGCGGTCGTTACTAAGGTCGGTATAACTAGAGAAGTAAGCGGCCAGCAACATTCATCTCTCGAGGGGGTGTCTAACTCTGTGTTATGGTGTGTTTAACCCTAAATTAATTTTATGCCGGAATAGCCCTTTAAGTTGTATCGTGACCAAGACAGGGATTAAAACCAAGTCAAGTTAAGGCCATGACGGGGTGAGTGCATGTGCAGTACTTACATGTATTTCATCACGTATTCTGAGCACTGCACCAGAACTATCCCCTCAAATGCCGAATGCTCACACACGACTCCACACACACCGTCCAGTCCTACAACAAACTGAGAGAAGGTGAATTAACTGACGGACGAAACTCCGAATCCATGGAGGGTTGAAAAGCTCTGTGGGTATCCCTACCTGCATTGACTTGTCATACCAGCGGTTCGCTCCGTTCTTCTCCCTGCCTCCACCGTGCAGCATCAGCAGAGCCCTAGTCGTATCTCTGGGCTCCAGACCACAGGGTTCGTCCAGACACACCAGGCAAATACAGCTCTCTATCAAGGCCAGAGAGTCCCTGTTGGTTTGATCTAGACAGAGACATGGGATAAGTCTCAGTTCATGTGTCTGAAACATGCTGCAGACTGTTGCAAGTTATAGAGAGTAGACAAATGTTAAAGCGGAGACCTTTCGTTAGGACGTCTCTGGCTTGAGCCCACTCTGTCCTCCCGTCAGATGTCAAGATACCAAGAGGAGGGAGTCTCTCTTCTGCGTTTTCTGCCATTTTCATGATTTTCTCAAGTTGGGAAAAGATCTGCATCTCATTGAGCTGCTTTCCATTTGAAGCTACATCCAACACGAAAAACTTCAGAGGAAAAAAGAGCGCAGAGGTTACAGATTCCTCAGCGTAAACACTCCCCTTCTTCCTTGTGGGTCTGTGCCCTTGTTACTGAGGAATACAAAGTGGGAGACTAAAATAAATGTAGTGTTATCTACAATATGGCTCATCCTCTTTGATCAGTTAAACATTGGCTGTAGGAAGCAAAGAGGCAGATTTAATCAGCAGTAATTAAGTTAACAGCCTGTATCTCCACGGGGACGGGCCCGTATGAGCCCTAGATTGATAGTTCCCAGAACCATTTGCAGGTGAGAGCTCCTCCTCTTCTTTTTCCGTGGTAATATAAAGACACAATCTATAAGCTAAATGAGATCCAAATAGCCTTAGACTTAAAGTCTGCAGATGTTGTTGTGAGGGTTTTATTCTTTTACAGTGACTTTTTACTTTAGTGAGTTATCTTTCAGGACTCAAATCATACTTAGTGGAGAGATTGTAGATTACTTACTTGCAACATCTGTATGAAACTAAAACCTTAGTAATTAAATAGATTTTATTAGTGCATACAGAAAGGGTAAATAAGTAGCATTCATCTCTGTCTGTCATGAGTCAGCACCACAGCTGGGCCACCCCAGCCAGAACATTCTGGACCAACCCTGCTTTTTCAATGAGGAACATTTTAGTATCTTTTACTGCTCCTTCACCACTTGTTTAAAAACTGTTTGTTTTTGCTTCTTTATTTAATGTAGGCAAGCTCGTCTTCTTTTTATTCCTCTGAGACAAATTTGTGATTAAACATGTTTCTTTCTAAATTAAATGCTTTAAATTCTCCTCCTGGCTGTTACCCGAAAACAAACCTTTTATTAAAGCACCGCTGAGGTTTATGAGTGTGGAGGAGTTCTCTTTTTCGAGTCTAATCCCACTTGCAAAAAAAAAGTCATCCTTAACTTATGTATATGCTTTTCTCAAGTGATCAGGACACAGTCTACAACTAACAGTGTGATGGGGTGTGAAAAGTGTCCTCAGAGCCCTTCATCCTGACCTGGTTCTTGCACGCCACGATGATGTGCTCAGGCACCGAGGAGGCCGTGTTCATCTGGACCTTCAGTGTGTCTGTCTTTAGCCCGGGGTAGCGATAGGAGGTGAAGAGACGGTAGTACTGCTCCATGCACAGAGGGGTTCCAGCTAGCTGGCCTCGGGCAAAATCCACCGGCAGAGCTCGCCTGAGAGACATTACATAAACTTCATATTACCTCTAAAGACTTTCACTTCTGCAGGATCCATTAGAGGTTAAACTTACGCATCAATGAGAGCCTTATATTCCAGCACTCCTCTGATGAGACGAGCGGAAAATCTGAAAAGAGTGAGAGGTTTGAAATTAGAAAAGCAAGGTGCTAAATTCACCTTAAAAGAGAAAACACGCAGAGAAGGGTTGGTAATCATGATCAGACGTAGACTCTTCCCTGTAACAGTAATCACATTATGGCTAATTACTGGGATACAGTGGGCGAGCTGTGTGTGTTTGTCAGCGTTAGTGAGAGAGACAGAGAGAGTCAGTCTGAGTGGGCGGTGAGGGCAAACAGGGAAAACACAGAGCCCTGTCAGCTCTCGTGTTTTGTGTCATTTGTCTCAGTGTTATTACGTTCAAAGCCGGATCGATACAAAGGAGGCGGCCCGCTGAGCACCACACCCCTAAATGAGGCCTGACTAGCAGTCTCTGCGGAGAGCTTGGTCCTGTCACTCCCAATCTAATAAGTGTCTGTGTCAGTAGATTACTAGCCCGCTTGAGGTGCTCTGGAAATATTCAGTTAGTGTGGCATGAGCTGACAAAAGCTAATGTTGAGTTGCAGAGCTGGAGGGAGCGGTGTAATGTCTGGTGGAGCAGCACAGCTCATTTAATAACAGAGATTAGACGAAAGGATGAGGTCTGTGATTTTTCTGCATGTCTGTTTGTCAGATGGTTATCAGAAGACTGCTGAGAAGGAGAAGATAAAAGAGTGATCTACTGTAGAGTTTATGTTGTTAGAAAGGGAAACTAAACAATCGTTCATTTATCGCTCAGAGCTCGAACTTGATTCTTAAATGACAGTCATGATGTAGTTGGTAAATGCAATAATCAATTCTGTTCACATACATCGTTTTTTCAATTGATCTTGATCCCATGCGATAATTTCCACTACAGTCACGTCTGTTTTCAATGCAGTACATTTTTTCAGTTTTAACATCTGATATTTCTAATTTGCACAATTTTCTGTTTTCTCCTTTTTTAGGTGGAATTTCAACTTAAAGCTCCTGTGAGGAACTTTCTGTCTGTGCTGACTTTGCTGCCCCTTGTGGACAAAGTGGTAACTCTTATTTCTGATTAAGAAGAGGCTCAAGACTCACCTTTTTAACTAGGCTTTTTACTAGTTGCCTTTTTATATTTCTCTTATTGCAAATGTTCATTTTAATCAAAGTTCTTCATGTTTCTTTTATGTCATTTTATAAATTATCTCTGTTCTTAGTCTCTTTCTTAATTCCCGTCTTAGAGGTTTTTACTTCTTTTACGCCTTTCACATGGTAAAGAGCTCTTACTTATCTGTCCATTTAATATTTTTTTTCTTGTTTTAGTCCATCAGGTTTTACTCTTTCTTTTTACCATTTTATTTTTTAATCTTTATCTTCTATTTTTTAACTTTATCTCCAGTGTTTCCCAAAGGTAGCTCTTTCCTCACGTAATTTCTCGGTGTCAGGCCATGTCTCCAACAATATATCTTAAATGTTTTTGTTGTGGAAAAAGTAACTAAGGCTAACTTTAGTGTACCTACCCTCTCACAGCATCAAAACTTATGACATAGACATTGTCAATCTTAGGGTGACCATATTCTGACTTCCCAAAAAGAGGACACAGCTACACTAGGTCGGAGTCACTGAGTCGAACAAAGTCAATTTTGAGAGTTTTTCAGGTCGGATCGAGTGTCTTTACACGCATCTAACTCAGTAAGTCCACGTGACACAAACTTGACACAAAACCGCAGACATTTGAAGGATTTTATAAACTTCCCTGGACAAAGCCCTAACAGCCCCTAAAAAAGAGGACAAGTCCAGGCGAAAGAGAAACATATGGTCACTAGTCAATCTTGATGTCAATCGTCTCATTGGCTTTTATGCAACATAGAGTCTGTCTTATAACTAATCCAAAACTCCTCACAGGAGCTTTAAAGTTTGATCATTCCTAGATATCGACTGTGGAGTTCGCAGAAAATGTTTGACAATCCTCCAGCTTGTTGGTTTTGAAATAAGAAATAAGAAGAACTTAATTGATCCCCAAAGGAAAATTCAACCAAGTAACAAAAACAGACCTGGGCTTGGGCTTAGATTTAGTTACTTGATTGAAAATGATTTTGTTTCTATTCTGATGATCAATAATGGGGGTAATATACCTTTAAAAGTAAAAAGTTTGGTTTTGGTTTGTCTGTCAGTTGAAATGAGCGATCAAAAGCCTTTTTAAGTTAATTCTGATTGATTTTGGATTAATTGGGATTTTGGCAAAAAGCTCAAATATACAGAATTTGAATCTTAAAGGTAGTTTTTGCTGATTTATATCTTATGTCAATGAAGAAAAACAGCACATTTTCCCATTCATAAAAAATAAGTCATTTTGCATGAATGTCTTTTTCTTGCAGCTTTAAAGTTGGAACCAAAAGTCCATCACATACCTGAGCGCATCTTTCTGATCCCTGAACGTCTGCTTAGGAAACACCATGACAGGACTGGAGTTAACAGGCAGAGCCAACCTGTTGTTTAGGTACATGTCCTCCAGCCAGTACTCATACACCTAAAGAAGGAGACACTCTTTGAGAAATGTTGCTTCATTAAGCTCTCTGGACTCAGAGTTATTACTTTCTGAGTGGAGACCTGTGTGCGATGGAGTAAAAAACCATTACAGTGTATCACTGCCACATGAAAGCAGAGAGTCAGGGAGAGTGGGAGCGTGATAGATTTCACCCAGCCGGATGAGTTGTGGACTGAGCGATCAGCCAGACGCGGGAGGAGGGGGAGGAGAGATTGAGGTGAAAAAGCATGAGCAGGAGGCTTCAATAAATCATCATCGCCAGGTGTTTACCTCTTTTCAACTCTTTCATCAATGGGTTTAGATTATTTTTAGAGGTTGTACAGAGTTAGAGACGAAGTAGAGGGCGATTTTTATCAAAATTTAAACAAATGGAGCAGATGCAGAGTTCGATATCTGGTGCAGAATCTGTGATAAGAAAAGTAAACTATAATGGTGGTTGATTAAATTTTAATCACAGTATTGAATTTTCCAACTTAAAGAAAAATCTTGTTTTCTGTCGCACCTGCACAAAAAACAAGTTTTTCCACTCATGATCTCTTACCCAGTTGTTTGTCTTGTCCCTCCTCTCTAGAAGCTTCTTCTGCAGAATCTCTCCCAACCCTCCAGACGCCCCGAATTTCTCCACGACGGCCTTCGTCTTCTTAAACTGCTCCTCCTTCAGCAGGTGCTGTATACTTCTCAGGTACATGTCGAGGGTCTGCTTCAGCGGGGGAACGGGGACTTTGGGCAGCACCTGATTTGTCACAGCAACAACACATGAATCTTAATCCTCTCTTCAATTATTTCTTTACGTCTTTCCCGTGATTCACAGAAGGTTCATTAGTTAAAAGGGTAATTCCCTCACATCTTTTCTTTATGGTTTTATTATTAGAACATCAGTTAATAATTCATCTTAAATGCTTCGAGTGTTTCCAAGTCCCGCTGCCCTGTGGGATTTGAAAACACTCCTGTTTTTTTTTTAAGGACAGAAAATGCAAATTGATTATCTTTGCTGTCTGATGTGTGATCATTTGCATTATACGGTTAGTAACCCAGGATGTTAAAATTGACCTGGATATTAGAATTGTAAAATAAGCAGTGGAAACATGAACTTTGAGGGTTTTTGTCTTTGTTTTCTTCTTTTCTTTTTAAAGCTTTGCCTGGTAAAACAGACAACTACAAAATTTGAGGGGAGAAGAAAGTCAAAAAAATTAGTTTAATTCATACTTTCAATAAAATTCATCCTCAAAAAATCTTTCTTTTTAATTTATTTTTGAACATAGAAGGCCTGCAATCACTTTCACCCCTAGTGGTGAGCAAGTGGAAGTGAATCTGCCTCTGTCCGTGGTGCTGAAATCCACTCTCATTGCAACTTCAGCACCATGGAAAGCGATCACACTCACTCTTAAAAAAAGAATTAATCCAGTAACTTTAAGCAAACATTTCACATCATGTGTTTTCTTACTTGGCTTTCTCGCTCTCTGGATGATACTTTCTCCATGACCGGCATCTTTGCGCACCAGTCCGGTTAAGGAGGGAATAGCGTGGAAACTTTAGAGTGGTGTTATAAGTTCAGCCTCCTCTTGAACGCAACATGTAAAGACATTGAAGGAGAAAAAAAGGATAAATAAGAGACAGGCTTATAAGTGAATGATAAAAGCGCACAGCATAGCCTGAGTGAGTCGTCTATTCTTCATCATTTTGCATCCTGGTGCTATTTGCTGCATGTCCTTGAATTCCAGCTGCGCCTTTACGCACACTGCTGCACTCACTTCATCTCTGTTTCACTCTGATACGCTTCATGTTTACAGAAAATGTGTCATTTTAGAGAATAAAAAAGGAAAGAAAAGATGTCCCTTAAAGCGAATTCAAATTTTGACCATTAAAGACAGATTAAAATGCTGCCAAAGTATTAAGAAACAAAGTGGATCTTTTTGTTGAGTTTGAAAGATTACAAGTTTTCCCCACATTGCGCAAAGGATCCCCATCCACGTGCCAATAAGTTTTAAGAATCCCAGAGTTGTTTTAAAAAGTTTTCTTACCTGGTTATGTCTTCACTCAAAAGGGTCAGAGAAGCCTTAGTTGGTTGTTCATTTCACCTCCCACGCCCACACCGTGAAATCCCATATTAGTGCTCAGCTCGGTGCGGGCGCATGGCATCTTTCCCCCGTCCCCCTCGCTGCACCATAAGGCTGTGACTCCACATTAAAAGCGCGCCCAGGAAAAAAAAGATGCTGAAGGTGTTGGCGTCTACCTACCCCCCTGAGGCAAGAAACTCCTCCCATCGAAATCTATTCGCGGAACATATTATCTAACAGCTTGCTTCAGCTCCCCCCCGAACCCAAATCCCCCCCACCAACCCACCCCCCACATCCGATAATAATTTAAAAGGAGTGAGAGTCATTTTCTTGTGGTGTGTCATTCACGTGTTGGTGATGGTGAGGAGAAGTAGTGGTGCGTTCAGGTCTCCGAGAAAATTGTTTTGTAGCTGAAAACTTATTTTGATTTAGAAATTTACATTAAAACATCATTTTTGTGTTAATATTTTGTCAAATGTTTGCCTCCTTTAACAACCAGTACAAATTAAACCTTAAAAGTTTGTATTTTTAATATTTTAACACCACGTCCAAAAACGTCCAGAAAGGACATATACGTTATAAATCTATTTATTATTATTATTTTGCGTATTTTATCATCTTTATTATGATTTATATCTCCTGAAAAAAGATCCAAACTCTCATGTTGTTTTTATTCTTATAAATAAGAGTGAAACCACCGCCGTCACACAGATCCAAACAGAGATTTATTAAAACGACACTTCATAAATGAATACACGTTTTCTCTTTATTTGCTACGTCTTGACAAAATGTTTCATACATTACACGCGCGCCCACACACATGAAACACACACACACACCGTGTTGCAGAGGTCCAACAATTTACATTGTGCATATATCCACATATGTACAAAAATCCATTTATTATGATACAACGTCAAATGAAAAATAAACAGGCCTGCTTGTCGTAAAATTTTAAACTTACTCGTTTTTATCAACAGAAGAAAAAAAAATCAAAAAGGCCTTTAATGTGCAAGTAAAAAAAGTTTCCTCAGACTAAAAATAGAGGCTGTTTTTTTGTGTGAAGGGAGGAAATGTGCTGCTTATAGTTGGTCCCATATACTCTTGTATACGCACGTAAATCTATTTATATCTTTTTACAATAGTCATTGTTACACACAGATTCAACAGTAGCTGATAGATCTCTCACAAAACTCCAGATACACGTCCATGACAAACTACACAGACTTGTTGGACACAATAAAATCACAAAAAAAGAAAGAAAAACTTTGGAGAACGTCTCACACAATCTTGATTTTGGTGATTGGGTGTTTTTATATTGCACATCGGTACTTACATAAAAGTTGAAAATTCTAAAATGGAACCTGTCTGATCAATGTTAGATTTAGGGAGGGGGCGGTTACAGTCAGAGGACACCGGTTTAAGTGAACTCTGGACCGGATGACTCCTCTGACATGGACCGCTGTGCTTTGAAGGGATCGAACCCGTTTTCATCTACTGACAAACAGTTCCCCGCGGTACTGTAGCCCTTCTTTTTCGCCCTCCTCTCCTCCATCCTGATAGTGTCGTACAACCCCTGCGGACCCTCATCTAACAGGTTATCCCTCTCTGAGTAGGACGGTTTCATTTGGCACACGTTGCGCAACAGCAACAGAGCTGGCGCGTAAAGCACATTAACAAGACCCATACCCAGATTGAGCTGCACGAAGCCGCGACTGTGCACGATCTGCCCGGCTACTATTGGACCCATAGCATATGCTACAGAATAAGAAATATCTGCTATAGCGTAAACACTTCCATACACTGAAACATGACGCACATCGACTAAAAAGGCTAATGTGGGAAGGAGCGCGGTGTCTACAAGCGCAATGCCAAAGCAAATCCCGCACAAAGGCGCAATGAGCTGCCCAAAACTTTTGCATGCGGGGACTGTGCAGGAGCTCGCCCCTATGATAACCATACCCACAGCTCCGTAGAACCACTGTAAATTTGGGTGCTTTGCAGCTAATTTGACTGTTATGTACACACCGAGAACATGCGGGAAAAAGGCCGGGAGCCACGTGAGCCCCATCTCCCACTGAGTGGAGTGCATGGTGGTTTCCATCCAGTTGGCTATTGTGGGCTCCAGGAAAGCCAGAGGGATGTTGCACACTGTGAGTGCCCCGGCTACTACAGCTATGTACGGGTCGATCATGAGTCTGTAGATGGGGGTTCCCACCGGCATGTTCTCTCTAGTCCTGTTGGAGAAGGGTTTGATGACTGTCAGGAGCAGGAAGCCGTCCGCCAGGCAGATACACGCGAGAACGATGAAGGGAACTTTCTTCCCCGCGAACTCGTACAGGATTCCCCCGAAAGGAGGCGCGACCAGACTCCCGAACGAGATGAACGCCAGGGCGATCCCCAGCGCCTTGCTCCTCTCCGTCTCCTCCGTGTACTTGTCCGCAATCATCGCGATCCCGGAGGTGTCCGCGAACGCAGAGCCGAGACCCTGCAAACTTCTGGCGACAAACAGCGTGGCATAGTTCTCCCCGATTGCAAAAATGCATGTGGAAAAGAACATCACAGTGAGTCCGATTAAAAGCGGAATGTCATATCCAACCCGATCAATGAAAGTCCCAGAGAGCGGGTTTACTAAAAGCTGTAGGATGGCTTTGGACGCAAAAAGTACTCCTATCTGAACGTCTAAACTGTCCTTGGTGCTTTTGTCTAGGCTTGTGCTGTTGGTTGAAGAGTTGGGGTGCATCACTACGTGGACGTGCTCTGACTGCTCACTCTCCAGATCTGCGAGATAGTCCGGGATAATTGGCACGATTACCATGTAGAGCATATTGTCCAGCAGGAGAGCGACGCAAACAATCACTAAAATGATCCGTCTCTGCTGGTGAGGATCCTTAATGGCGGTGCCTAATTGTTTGGTTCTCTCCCCCATCTCGGATAGTTTGACTGCAGCTGATTTAACCAGCCCGGATGATCCTCCTTCTTCATCCATTGTGTGCTTTTTGTTGTTGTTTTTTTGGAAAAATACAAAGATTTACAGTTACAAAAAATTGTACTTGTGCTTTGTCCTGTGTGCCGCCGCTCTTTCAGCACCTCGGATGACTCATTGGTGCTCCCTTTTACATTGATGTGATGCTCTCCGTCCTCACCTCGCCTGTGCGTAAAGGGAGAGGCGAAGAAGAAGAGAAACTTGGCTGCCTCATCGGTGAAGGTTTCTTTCCTCAGCTTCCTCAACTTGTCCTCGCTTTCAGCCACATCCCGATTCACTCTCTTGATCTCGTTGAGTTTCTGCACCGCGCAGAAAGAGGTTCCAGATCATGAAATCTTACATTGCAAAGTTTGTTTGGAGCCTTTTTTTTAAGTCACTTATTTGGACGCGCTATCCCTCTCATCTGCGTATCTATGCATCCCTTCACCTGTGGCACTTCAGCGCGCAGCTCCGAGTCCACGAGTGACTTCCTGGCCATTGGTGCACATTAACCCGCAGGTTGGGAGCTATTTTAGTCCCTCTTTTTTTGTCTTCTCTTTTCACCAAGAACTGTGACGCACCACCAGCTTGCCCCCAAGTGGATCCCTTCGCCACTTGCCTCTTTTATGTTAATTTTTCCAACCATGGCAGCAATCACTTCAACCAATAAGAGCCAGAGAGTACCACAGCACGAGGGAAAAAAAGGCTTTCTTACTCTTTAGGAGGCTACAGTGTGCTGATCTGTACTTTGGTGCTTTTCTCTACAAAGTGAAACACACACACGACCATGCAAAGCTTGAACATCCTTGGTAAAACATCTCCATGAAAGAAAAAACATCAAATGATTAAAAACAAATAAAAAAAGCTGTGAGGACGCGTAAGAGAAGTGCATCCCCTGAAGTCTAGCCCCTGGTTTGAGTCTTCAAAGTCTTCATAAAGATGTAGTTTTAGTATATAAACATAAGAGTTAAAGTTCATTAAAACAATGGAGTCAGAAAGAGATGCTTTGAGTTTATTATGTTAGTATTTTAATATTGATTTGAACTCATTAAGGAGGTTTCAGCACCACAGAATTGTGGACAGCTCCCATCAGCACCATGAACCACCATGACAACAAGACAAGAGACCATGTAGGGAGACACATTTTTACTCCAGAACAACAAATAACTTTATTATTTATATGAACTTTATCAAGCAAAGCCCCCTCATGATGTAAATCATAGTGTGTATCAACAGAGGATCTATCGTGCGCAGCTCTTCAGTCGTGAGTTGGAGTTCCCCGCACAGACTCGAGAAGTGAGGAATAAAACACAAGACACCAGCGACACCTAGTGGTAAAAATGTTCACATACAAACAACATTATTTATTTATTTTTTTAAAAAAGCATGCAATTCTATTTACCAGATATTATTCTATTATATATCAAAAGGCAATCATATAGAAATCAAGCCATTGCTTTAATCAGTTTAAGAAGCTGAAACTCACAATAGAGTGAGTTTCTCTAGATTATGACTTCTGTAGTGTCTTAAACTCCCTCCTTCTCTGTTAAAAGACAAAAATATTCCCTTTCAAATATTCATTTTTGGTGAAAAGCAGTAATTGTATCTTTGTTCTTTATTTCTTTAATCTAATTTAACATGCAATGACCGAATTAGCCACTAGAGGGCAACAAAGACTTGCACCTGACATGTTACATTCAACATACCAAGTGTAAAAAAAAAAAACACCAATGACACCACAAAACTAAGAAGCTTGTTTTATTTTCCAGATAGTCCAATAAACAAACATACATCTGATTTCATTAAACCTAGTTGGCTAAATACACAATTTCCATCTGAATACAACTCTACTTTTCTTTTCTCTTTCTTTTTTTCATACCACTGAGCATTTCTTTGGTCTTATAGAGGTCAAATAGACATATAAATGTAGCCTAGATAACTGGTCTAAAATCCGGCTACCACGGGTCTAAAAATAAAAGTTTTTTAGACGTCTAAATTTAGACCAAGTTTAGACAAAATCTAAATATTGGCTTTATCTATACTACACTGTATATTGCTCAACAGCTATCATAATTATTTAGGTTTAGTACTATTTACTACTCTATATGCAACTCACACTTGCTTTTTGAAATTCTGTCCAAAAATATACTGAATCTAGACGGTTGAAATTAGGTCCAAAAAAAAAAAAAAAAAACTAGATGTCTAATAGCCGTCTGTTGCTCAGTGGGAATCAGACTTTTGGTTGTGCCTATCCAAAGAAAAACCATACACATGCATTGAGGTAGGAGCAGGTTAGGGTAAGGATGTACCATACACCATGATATAAACATTTTGGTTTAAAAAATAAAATATTTTTGTAAACAAACACAAAAATAATATTAAAATGTAAAAATCTTAAATTGTGGATCAATCAAGATTAGCTGAGTTGAAACTTCAGCTTCCAACCATTCACTGTTGAACATTATGAGTTGAATGTTAAGTCCTCTATTTGCGCATTTTCCTTCTTTTTTTATCTTTACATTACAACAAACATCCACGTTTTCCTTCAAACTTGCATGTGTTCTGCGTTTTAAATACAGATGTGTGCGAGCAAAGAGGGCCTCCTTTTCTGATATCAACACTTAGGATGATTACAGAGACAGCAGAGGGGTGTATCCAGTACTCTGTGGATAATTTGATGCAGAAATGGCAACATTAATACACCAAGCTGAGGATTAACACACCGCAGGGTATAAGTGCCCAATTTCACTAATGAGAGAGGCATGGCACAGCAGCAGGCATCAGATAATCACACTCTATGTTATAGCCTCATACTGCAGCCATGCTACAGTCGTGTTAAGTGTGTTGTAGGGTGAATTATCTGCTGACTCATTCTCTTTATTTGGTTGTGTCCGTATACGGGTTCAAAGTATCAGCTCTGTCCTCCAGGATCAGTTATAGACTGTGCTTTGTCCTCACTGGGGAAGACAATAGTAGAGACAATTTACAAATTAGTGAGGAGAGGCTGCGTAAGGGCAAGAGACGGAAATATCTAATTCAGATTATACTCCTCCTTGGAAAAAAATACTACAAAATAAATCACAGGAGATATTTTTAATCATTTTTGCCTCAGTAAAAAAAAAAAAAAATAGTAATAATAAATAAATAAATAAATAATTATTATAATTATAATAATGATAATGACAACAACAATAAAAACAATAATAACAACAATAATAATAAAAAATAAAAACAATTTTAATAATAATAATAATAAAAACAATTTTGAAGAAGGAGGGTTGAAAGCAAAAAACAGGATAGTAAAATTAAAAGATAATATCAATAATGATAATGAAATAATAACAAGACATACTGATAATAGTTATAATAAAATAGAGCAACAGAAATGAGCAAGAGGGAAAAAAAAAACAATAAAAGGCCTAAATGGTTAATTAAGAAAAGAGTATGAGTATAACAAAAGCTAAAAAGACAGAAAGACCGAAATAAGATAGAGATAAAAGAGATAAGAGAAGACAGATAAAAGATGAAAGCTAACAGACATAAATATAAGACATAAATTGTTTACAAGCAGACTCATGCAGTGTTGTGTAATGTCTGTTTTTGTCATGTGACGTCTGCTTTTAAGTAACTCAGCCTGTGGACAAAGTTTTCTTGTTTTGCCTTTGCTTCTTAGATAAAACAGTAACCTTTGCCCCGGGTTGACCTTTATGACCATCACACATACTAGATGATATTTCCAACATAATCAACATGATGTTTTCTGTTTTTTCTAGGCCGGTGAAAAGTTAATGAGTAACTTTTACGCAACACACTCTCTGCCTCAGTTGACCTCCAAGCTTTAGCGTTTACACGGTGACGTCTCCTTTGTCTGTTTGTGTTTTTCTTTCCCAAATTGAAGCTTAGAAGTGGATATCAAGCACTCAAAGAGATTATCGTTTAAATGTCAGAGAAAGTGCTCTTCAAGCATTATCCATCATTTAAAAAAAATCCTTACCCATTAAGATTTTCTCCGAGATCTGATCCAGCTGCATGTTAACAGCATTCATGCTGCTCACTTTATGCCAAATCTACCTTCAAAGTTTCAGAATGATTAAAGTAAAATGTATTTTCTTCTCTATTGCAGAAGATTTTATTGAATGCTTTATATAATATTTGGGTTTTACAGACACATGACACAGGAAGACATTAAGAGGTTTATAACTTTTATGATGTTTTTGTATTTTTGTTTGGTTGTAAGCTTTAAAACAGGCATTTGATCCCCATGTAAAGAGAAATAGAAATGTTCAAAAGGTATAACTATTTGTTGGACATTTAATATAAAGATCAGCAAACTCTGAGTTGGAGCCAACTAATAATATATATTAATGCAAATATCTCATATATAATACGCCCCATGTAAAAAAAAAAAAAAAAAAAATAATAATAATAATAATAATAATAATGCATAAAATAAACACAAACAAATAAACAAACAGAGTACATACAAATACACAATACAACAATATATAAACAATAACAGATAGCTCGTGAGTCAGCAGTAATGTATAGTATCTACATATCATGTAAATACTATACATACATACATATACATACATACACATTACTCGCCATCAAAATATTAAATTTTAAATTTCTGTTGAGAAAAGGTTTTTCTTGACTAAGTTCTTAAAAATAATTTTACTATCTTCTTGTATAACATTTTCTGGTAGTTTGTTCCATACTTGCATGGCTCTGTACATAAACCTCTGCTTAATATGTTTGTTTTTGTTTTGGGTAATGTAAATTTTCCTCTAGTCGCATGTCTGGTGACATAGCTATTTTTATCCAAACTAAAATGTACATTTTTATACAAAATTGTTGGGTTTTTTGTTATCAGAGAACACTAGCAATGAATACAATAATCTCTTTTTAACTGATAACCAGCCCAGATAGTTATACATGACTGTGGGATTTAGTCCAGAACTGATAATACTAACGCTTGTAATACTAGTTTAGTTAAATTTGGAGACACGAATGGTGCACACCTTTTGACAACAGAAACAGCCCTTCCCATCTTTGATACCTCATTGTCAACATGTGTATGATAGGTAGGATCACCCTTTTTGTTGTGTGGTTCTGCAAAGTGCTCTTTAACCCTTTAATGCCTTTTGTATCATATTTGATACATACTTTTATATACTTCTGTCAAATCAATATGATCAACAAATGACTAAAAAAACACCGAATACAGTCTGATAAATGATAAAAATGTCCTCTTGTAGTTTATTAGTTTCCAGAAACATCTATCAAACAAGATAAATAAATATATGTGTTAAATTTTTTAGGACACTGATTTTTTTTTAAGTGAAATAAACATTTGCGCCCCCCCCCCCAAAAAAAATTGAATTTTCTGGCCATAATTTGTGGTTTCAAGCATTAAAGGGCTCAATTGAAAAATCTCCTTTCCTCTATTTGGATGAAAAATGTAAATATTTCATCCAAATATCAGAAGTTAGTAGGTTGAGGTTAAACCCAAGGGCACCCCTGACCCTTGTCCTCTTAAATTTCTGGCTCCGGCCCTGGTGATTTTATGCTCTTAAGGTTAAAATCTGACTGACTCACTTAATCTCTCAGAACATGTCACACGTGCACCAACATGTGTGCTGAGGCTTCTGTTTATGCTGAGTAAGGTTTGCCATGACAGATGTTTTTGTTTTTTTTCCCACCAGCTGTCTGTAAGTAGCATTAAATCAAACACACTTATCATTAGCATTAAAAAGCACAGTGAGGAAAACCCTCACCTCACTGCACAGACTGCAATGTTAACTCTCATAGGCAGAACTAGGTACTTGTACAAAGTGTTGGTACAAAGCTCACAGAGACTATTCCTGTCATTCCTCCATCTTCCTGTTAGCTTGTTGCTATTATTGCTGCTGCTGCTATCTCCAGCTCTGACTGAATTAGACCACTAGTCCACGCAAATGCACACGCACCGGCTTGTAATCACCGTGGTCTCGCCGACTGTAGATCTAATCAGTCAAAGGGGATGACTTTTTCCAGGAACTTCATACTAATCTGTTGGAGTACTTTTTCTTTCCTGACTACTAGAGTATAAGAGGAAGTGAATGATTAGGCCGTGTTGTACCTGCTTACAGGAGGGGGCTAGGGTCACATGCTAGGGTCAAAGTTATCTAATGAAGCCTTTTTTGTCAACATACACTTATTTTCTGCTTCTTTAAATCACAGGAATGATGAAAAAATAAAGTATTAATTACACAGACTTGCAGGGGCGGCTGTACTGGTAGAGAAAATACTTCTCCTGATTGATTTTAATTGGTCATTTCTCAATCGGAAAGTTAGAGGATCAATCCCACATCCTACTGTCCAAATGCCAAAGTGTCCTTAAGCAGCACACTTAACTCGCAAACTGCTCCTGCTGGCTGTGCGCAGTGATGTGTGAATAGTAACCCTCTACATGGCAGCCTTTACCTTCAGAGCAGAGCCGGCCCAAGGTATACGCAAACGGCCTATAGGGGGCCCCGAAGAGCAATAAAAAATAAATAAATAAATAAAAATGTTTTATTTTTTGCATGTATGAGTGATGCTTTCTGTATGATCAACTATTGTAGAAATCAAATAAAGTAAAATATTTTAGTGCTGCTGCTGATGTAGGCCTATGATTCTTACTGCCGATATGTCAAAGCTCTGCTACCGTTTTGTGCCTTCTGCTGTGCAATGTACACTGAGCATCCAAAGCGCAGGTAGTTGTGAGGCAAACCAATGTCGCAAAAAAGAACATATTCTTCAGGAAAAGAGAAAAGAAAGAGGAAGAAGGGAAAAACACAGAGATAAAGGTGTGTAAATGATCAACAATCAATATTAGTGGCAGAAATAGAGGGCCCCAAAATCAAATTTTGCTTAGGGCCCCATTGAGGCTTGGGCCAGCTCTGCTTCAGAGTATACATGTGGGGTAAAATGTGATTTGAGTGAACAGTAGACAAGAAAGAGCGCTATTTTAACATTGTCATTTTATGTCTTCTAACATTTAAGTTGATGATCTCCATCTCAAGAGTTAGTCTTACTCATCACAACAAGATATAAAGTTACTAAGTAATGCTTTCCTTTTCTTTTTGTCACATTTAATTAATTCTAAATTTTTCTTTAATTTAATTTCCACATTTTTGTGGTTAACTAGGTGGTTACAATATTATAAACACTCATTGTCACAAGGTATAAATTTAGTTAGTCATGCCTACTTTTTCTTTTTGTCAAAGACGGGTAGGTTAATACTTAGCTTAAGGTTGTTCAACAGCTTCAGCTGCCTGTCAACTACAATAAAAACTCAGTTATGTGTATCTACCCTTTTTCCCAGACTTGTAGCTCCACAAACACAAGTTGGTTAGAGCAAAAATTCCTTAACATATTTCCACAAATTTCAGTGGTAATTTCTCCTTATTTTGTGTAAAATTTTTTCCTGTTTTTGTAAGTATTTGATCATAAACACACATAATTAATGCGTTGAACAAAATAGTATATGGTGCCAGATCCTAAAGGGAAATAAATATGTAATCAAAATTCACAATTGCTTTTATTTATCTTGAATTAATCAAACCTTAAAGGTTTATTCTGTTTTCTTTATTACCTGACAAAATGAATCCTAGTTTAGTAATTCCAGTTTGATTTTAATTGTAGCCATTATCATATTATCATGGCACCTTATGTTTGTTGTCTTTTCTTGTGTTTTCACCCACAGTTGGCGCTCAGCAGGACTATTTCAGACCGGCCCTGATCTCTGTGGCTCCGCCCTCTTCTCCGTCGAGGTGGGCTGCTGTTGACAGTGAGAGGATTTCACCTGCTGACGCTCTCTGGCAGGGACATCGGTCTCCTCGTAGGTTAGTGTGACAAGGACTTTGTCTCAGTCAGGGTTAATTCTGGTAGTGCTTGTATTAACCTGTTCGGAGTAGCGTGGGCTTTTTCTACGCACAGGGAATCTACTGCGTTTCCCTTTAACGCTGCTACTTCAGACTGACTCTAATGTAGATCTACAGGTTTGATACCCAGTGACTGAAATAAAGAAAAGACCAAGTGTAAAGGGTAAAACTGCTCATGAATCCACGAGGAAGTTTGAACTAAAACACCATGACATTTGACCAACTATCTCTACAACATGATCACAATACCTACTTCTTTATTTATCTGTGTGAGCATCAAAATAACCAGATACCCAGAATCTTGACCAGTTTGTCTCAGGTGTTATCCCTAGTATAATTGCGTAATACGGTCTTAGCACAGTGACGGCTTTCTCTTTAAAGATAGAAGTTACATCACCTCGGACTGTCTTCCCAACAAAAACACAATCAATTAATCAGCTTAGCAGAGGCTTGAGACAGCCGTGTCGTGAGAGGACGTCTCTAGATGTTGGTCCTCGGTTGAAATTAGACGTCTTACTTACACCAGCTCACTTATTCAGGTGAAAAACTTAGAGGAGTAGGTCGAGTGTAGAGCCGAAAAAGTGGCACAAAATGGGTTTATTGTGTGAGGTCTAACATGGAGCAGTATAAACAATTTGCTGTAAAAAGAATTCAATACGTGAAAATCTGTGAGCGACACAAATCCACTGTAAGGCTACGAGAGAAGTCGTGTGAGTTTTAGCCTCTGTCCACGTGAAAATATTATAAGTGTACTGACATCTCATTGCTCATTCATGTGAACAACACATTACCAAGACTACAACCATCCTATGATAGAGAAACTGATGGCACTGAATGTTACCAGAACATCCTAAATTTTCCTTTTATTTCGACTTCTTAAGAACCGGATCGACAATCTTTTGTCCGGTGAGGAAGTGCCAGACGCCGCCGCGGTAGAACTCATTTCCAAACGTGTAGAGGAGGGCGTTGAAGATGGGGTTTGTCTTTGCGAGGACTGGAAGCACCTGCGAGAAAAATAAACAAGGTTTATTTCTGTATTTAATTACAAGAAAAATCCTGAGCTAGCGTCGAGAAGGAGTTGTTAAATTCTCAGACAGGATTTTAAACGAGCCAAAATTCCAGCTGGATTATTGTAAACTTCTTTATTTGGATGCTGAGCTGGGGTTGAAAGTGCTGGAAAAGCGTGTTTAGATAATGTTTCTATCAATTTGACTCAACATTTTTACTTTTACTCACTTTTACGTTAAATCTTTAATTAAATTTCCAGATTTTAGTGATTATAAACACTCATTGTCAAAAATTAGCCACCCTATACCCTGACATAATAAACCAGAATAACCCTTTAAATCAACTCAGTGATTGGAAGACTTGTATCAAACTTTTTCTTCAACTTTTTACAAATTTTTTATGAGATTTAATTGAAGTAATAAAGACTTACCATCCTTAACTTTGGAGATACAAGTTTGGCATTATCAAAGCAGGCATAGACACACATGACGACGTACGGACCCCAGCACAGGAACAACACCCTCAAAGGCAAACTGGTGTTGAACTGAAAAACAAAAGTTCACATGTTATTTAATGAAATCTAACTATCTTCCCCTCCTGTGTGTTACATGTTGTCCACAGACACCCCATCTTTTTTACAAGACCCCCAAAATTTCTGTGGACCAAGACCCAGTTGCCTCAAACTGGGGTAAAGACTAGTTAAAGTGATCAACCTTTTGTTCATTAAGGGAAATAATCCGCTTCAGAAGGGGATTCTAATTTGACATTTACACCGTCTTGAGTTTAGTTTGCTTTATTTCCTGTGTCGTGAAAATATGTTTTTACTTTAAAATGATGAATATTCTTTCAACAAACGACAGTGAGTTAAAAAAATGGATGGAAACAGCTAAAAGAACGGTTAGGAATTATAAATGTTCAAGCTCTTGTGTTGTTTTTGGATTCACAAAAAAATCTTAATTTTTTTTATATGCTGTACTCATTAGAGCTAAAACAGGTCAGTGGACTTCAGGTTAAAATATAAAAGCGCTTCTTTGCCTTCAGACCTGGTCTAAGTGGGCCCATGGAAAGGACTTTGAGAATAGTGCAGCATGGTTACCCTGTAGTGATGGATCTTCTTAAAGTGTCTGTAGATGGCATCATAACATGACCACATGGTGAAAGTTGGGAACATCAGGTAGAGCACCACCAGAGATAGCATGTACGTCATATAATCCCTGTATGGAAAGAGATCAATGAAATATTCTCATTCTTATTTATCAAAATGCTACGATTATACTTTAGAGTAAGACCAGTGTACCTGTCTCCTTTGGTGTAGTCCAGTGTGCAGCAGGTCCTCATTGGCTCAAAGTCAAAGACGCCCCATCCCATGAGAGGAAGAGCAGCCCAGAAGATGGCCATGCCCCAGATGAGGCCGCTCATGGTGAGGGTCGTGCTCCAGAAGAGCTTCTGTCCTGCAGAGTGAACATAAACAAACCGTCAACTGGATCACAAAAGGTATTTAGTTATTGATTATTTTGGGGTATTTATTTTTGTATCATTTATAAAATTTCACAAAATTTTACGGTTGTTGAAGAGAACCATGAGATTCAGCTAAACCATTAATATTCCTTACAGTTAAACTGAAACAAGACACTGGAAGACCTGAAAAGGTTTACTGTCCAGCAGCTGAATTTGGATGTTAACAACTATCTATGGGATTGTCAGCAACATCTTTCAGCTTAAAATCACCACAAAACAACAAATCAAAACCATTTCACTGTCAATAAATCTGTAGATCCTTTTACTATTAATATCTGACGTTAATGCTAGCTCAAAAAATGTAAAAATTGTCTTAAAATGTTATCAAATTTTCCTTGAGCCCAAAATGAGTGGCTGCAAATCCTTAAATTGAAGAAAACTGAATCAACTCATTGATATTTTTGCTTGAAAATTACTGAAAATAAATTATGAAAGTATTTGACAATGACTGCACTTTCCATCAATCTGTTTATTACTCAATCTAGTACTTATTTTCATTGAACTATTGCTGTTATTTACATACTGATTAGTAGCTCTGTCTCATCGAAGAAGTCAGTGTCTTTTAAGAGTAGATTTCTACCTTACATCAAAAGTTGTTTTTCATTTGATTACATGATCAATTCCAGGGGTACTGGTGGGTCATAATGGACTGACTATACTGAGTTCATCTTTTCGTGCTCAACACTAGTGAAAATGTTGACGTATTGTGACTCACTGGTGCAGTACTGGTGATATCTGTCCCAAGCGACAGTAGCCAAGAAACAGATTGATGCCAGGATCGATACCATCCCCTGAAAACCGTGATAGTTACATCCCTCAACACCAAACGGCCAGTATCTGAAAAAACACAACAACATACATGCACTTCTGTTATACCTTTCTTACCCTCTCCGGAGAAATCAGCTTTCATACTAACTAAAAACTCCCTCCCATGTGCTTATTTGTCCTTGCAGACAAACCATTGGGTTGAACTCCACCTTAAACCAGCATAACCCTTAACAGTCTCATATCCTTCAATAAATACACTGAAATGTTTGTTTCTGAGCTCTAGTTCTGCTTTTATGGGTTAATATTTGTGCTAACATGCTTCATTTAACCAAATTAATTTGCTCACTCAAAACACAATAAACAATGCAGGGAAGAAATGAGAGGGGATAACAGAGGGCCGCAGTTGGGGGGGAAATCTGAACCTGCTGATAAACCAAGATAGGCATCAAATACAATATATATAAGAGGCTTAAATTGGATTTTAAAATAAGTAAAATTTTACCTAATGTTACTTCATTTTGAGTCAGATCCTGTTAGGTAACATGCAACTGGTTCGCTTGAGAAATGTGAACTTTACACACTGGGAACAAAGTGGATTGTGGATTGGATTAAGATACCCTAAGGCTTATTCCGCTTGTGTCACCCATTGGCTCATATTGAACTCTCCATAAGCCTATTTTGCGATTGCAGAAAAAAAATAACCCCAACATGACCAAAAAAAAAAAAGCACTACAAACTACCAGTGCATCTTCTGCTTGATACCTGAGATAACTTGCATACGCCGCTACAAGTCCATTTATATTCAAACTGAGGTCAGCGATAGCGAGGTTGAAAACAAAGAAGTTACTGGGATTCCTCATCTCCTTCACTCTGATGAACGACAAGATGCTGATCACATTGAGGAAGAGTCCCAGCAAGCCTGAAAGTGAAAAAAGAGAGTGAGTCTTTTAATTCAGTTTTAACATACTAGTTACAAGCACTCAGAGAGTTAAGATGATTAGAAATATTTGACTCTGTCACTTATATAAGAAGTTAAAAACAGGAGTTGAGTGCTGACTTCATTTAATTTTTTTTTTCATTTTCATTTTTATTATTATTATTATTTTTTTAACCATTGAGAATATTCAAAACAATAACAATCAAAGCAAAAAAATAAAAATAAAATAAATAAAAAATTAATAATAATAATCCGAACCCAACATGTCCGAAAAGGAGTAGGATGAATCATTATACAATTTTTTTTAAACCTACCCCTACTCCTTTACTCAATAATAACAGTCAGTCGTTAGCAAAATTAAATTATATTAACAAAAAAATACAACATAAATAGTAGTTAATGCCCTTCTTCCTCCCTGTACCTGGTGAGAACGATGTTCTTGTACCGCTTTTTAAACTGGGTCATACTTGGACATTGCTTGAGCTCCACACCTAATCTGTTCCACAACCTTACTCCATGAACAGAAACACAAAAACTTTTTAATGTTGTATGTGCCCACTGATGCTTTAGGTTCAAGTCCCCCCTCAGATGATACTCAATTTTTGGATATTTCCAGGCAGTAGACTGTTTATTGCTTTGTACATGATTTGTGCTGTTTGAAAGTGAACCAGGTCAGTGAATTTTAATGTTTTGGTTTTAAGAAAAGTGAATTAGTGTGATCTCTATAACCGGTATTATGAATTATTCTTACGGCTTTTTTCTGCTGTATAGATAGTGATTGTATAGTACATGTGTAAGTATTTCCCCAAACCTCTGCATAGTAGTGTAAATATGGTAAAATCTGTGAACAGTAGAGAATGTGAAGTGATTTGTGGTCCAGAATGTGTTTTGTTTTGCTCAGGACTGAAACGAGACTTCCAGTTTATGACTGACTTTGGATGTATGTTTAACATATCTTGAATGGGAGGTGAAGGGGACAACAAAACAAAACAAAGGATGCATTGTGATATTATCACACCCATACATGTATCACTCTGCAAACAGAGGTTTTCTGGGGTTACTGTCCCTTTAAATCTGCTCCAAACATGAACTCCTGTGTGCACGCTCCACTTACCTCCAACAAGAAGCGCTGTCCCGAAAGTAAACATGTCAAAATCCGTGAATCCCTCCGGTAATGTATACGCTGCCATGTTGAAATGCACTAATTAAACTTTGCACGAAAAGTCCTTATTTTCCCTGATGTGTGTGAGATGTGTCGAACCGCAGCCTCCTCCAAAACCACGCTTTATAAAGGCTCTTTCACGTGAAAACGCATAAAGACACTAATCTTAATAAACCCCCCTCTCTCAATCCTCACAAGAATGTCCTAACGAGCCACACTCCCTGCAAACTTCCGTCACGTTTGTGCGCCGCCAAAGTTGCGCGTTTGCGGCGCAGCAATTTGAAGGCCTGTGTAAAATGTGTTGATCTGGAGGTCAGCTGTGAGTTTGATGAACTTTGACTGAAGCCAGAGACTGATAAAAGATCCGTTCACTGGCTGTATTGACCTCATTTACTCAGCTGGAGGTTTATCTGTTGTTGTTGATGTTGTGAGTGAGGAGACTACAGAGTGGGAACATGGGAAATGTGGTTTTTCACCACTTCAATTCAGAGTTCGGTCATCCAGTCTCTTCACAACGCTTATCCCAAAAATTGATTCAGTAACACAGACAGACATCAGTAATCTTCTTGAACTTCCCTCTATTCATCCTTCCATTATCTGTGTGTTACTCTTGCAGGAGTGTCATGATTGAATATTGTGTTAGACAGTGTCTAATGTATAGCATCATTTATTCTATAATTATCATTACTATATCCTACTAGTGTTGTGTCGTTTGCGAACGATTCGTTCAAAAGAACCGAATCTCTTTCACTCTTTCCTCGACTAGCATAATCACAATCTTAAAAAAAAGGGGGATAAAGAGGGAACAATCTCACCCACAAACACACGCACTTCACAACACACATAAAAACACCCACCCACCCACACTAAATTAAACACAGTCTTGCAACACTTTCTATATGTGTTCCTGCTGTATTTGTCACTTTGTCTTGTCTCCACTGTCTGTTTGCACTGTGCATCTGTTGTCAACCACCTGTCATGATCTGTCCTGCATCATCTAATAAAAAGAAAATTGAATATCGATTGAAGGCCCCCACTGAAGCAAATTTGTAGTAATTTTTTGTTTTATAATGCTGACACACATAGATTCCTACGCTTTTAGAAATGTACTTTTTCTTGACATGATAGACCTTCAAAAATTCAAGGTATAGTATTTTTATTTTCCTCAGTGACTTAGAAGTAAAATAACAGAACTGTGTCTCTTCTCTTCAACGTTCAGTTTTAGATGCCTTAGTTACCTCCATCACAAAGACAACAGCCCTGACTTTGACCTTCTACTTCCCACATTTCCTGTCTCTCCTCTGAACCAGTCTGAACCACTTTATCTTGCAGTGCTACATTGAAAAAAAAAATGTCTTCACTTGATGTCTTACGTTTATTTTTTTATTCCAACACTTATTCTAACAGCTGTTGTTAGATGTATATATAATTTGCTTTAGCCTGTACCTCATTAATTGTTGTGTGTAAGGTATTATTTTACTTTAAAGTCATGTCCAAGTGACATATCAACACCCCATGATAATCAAGTAATGTCTTACAACGGTGGTTGGTTCATGAATTATATAAACCAAGCTGCAGCACTCTAAAAGCTAATGTGCTGATTTTGTGCACAGATGCGGACCATTGTTTTTAACTACACTTCTGAAATAACAAATCAAAATGGGACTTAAAAAAATCACTAATGGTGTTCAAGTCTATGTGTTGAAAGGTCAGTGAAAAAAAAAGTGTAATAGCACCAAAACATTTTGTTTTCTGTCCCAAACAAAAGCCTCTAAAAAACAAAGATGACGTAAAAATGACCTTTAGCACCACAGCTGCCTGAACCTATTTTGAATGTTACATTTGCGCAGCGTCTGTTTACATCACTAATCTGTTGACAGATTATGACAAACTCATTAAATATTAAGTAATGTTTCATCCCGGTGGATGTGCAAGAGACTTTCCCTCACACTGTCCGCTGAAGGCTTATGTGCCCTGTTGAGTTACACTTATTCACTCATACACCTGTTTAGAAGTGCCGACTCTGTGTATTTACTTTCTCTCATTTTATACTGTTTGCTTTTATCTTGTAGTTTTATTAAATTGTTTTTGTTAAACACATTAAACTGAAAAAAAAAAAAACTGTTTGATGACAAAAACTGATATCTAACACATAAACTGACTGTTCATCTGCTGCTGAAAGTTTCAATAGGAGGCCTTCAAAGTTGTGTCAGAAGCTACAGTGGGGCTAAAGGGTGAAAAGTAAAGCAGTAAAGTGCCAACTACACAATGCAAAGATTCAATCTAACAATCTGTTAATCTACAGCAGCTGAGTGTAGATTAACAACATGAATGTAGTGGATTCATAACTTGTAATCTCTGTATAGATGGTTTGTATTGTATGCCCCTTCTGGTTTAAAGAACTCCTAACAACTTAAGTCCACTTTGCAACAATCTACTACCCTCTCTTGGCAGATCATTAAAAGGCGAAGGATCGAACAGCTGTGAGTAAGCACGTGAAGGTACCACAACAGACACAGCATCTTATTTTATACCATCTTTATGGAAGTAAAGCCACACTTAAAATTAAGACCAACCCGTCCTTGCTGGTTTCTTCCACAGTATTTGCACCCAAGCGGTGAGTGTGCACATTAATACATTAGCTAACAGTTAATTACACCATCCTAATCTGCAGGTTTCACAATGAAACAAAAGGTTTCAGTGTTGAATTGCATGTCTCGACTGACTCAATTGATCAGGGGTGAGATGGAAAGCTGTAACTGGTTGTATGACGTGATACGTGACAGCAGACATAAAATAAATGGAAACAATCAAAGATAGACGCTAAAAAACAAAGAGTGTTTTTTTAAAGTCATGTTGTTCAAATGTATTTGTATGATAAGATCAATTTCTATACTTTTTGCATCGTGTTTCGTATTAGCTACAGCTGAAAGGAGGAAGGTTACTTGGCATTGTCATCAAAGTACTTCACTAAAATATAAACTTTTTTAAAACTTGTACTCTTCAACATTTTACAGAGTAATACTGTATTATCACTTGACATTTGATTTTAGTTTATTTTCAGGAAAAGATTTGAAATACCAAAGTGCAAAATGTGAAATATTGTATATGTTGTCAAAGTATGTAAAATTTTTTGTTCTTTTCAACAAAGTGAACAATAGATTTATGAATTACTACCTTAAAACCCCAGAGAAGAGTTTTTTAGTTGTTATAAAGCAGATTTAAGTTCACATTGATGGCCTGTTATAACCTGTAAAAGTGGTGACGCTGGTTATTTCTATACTGCAGTCAAATTTTTAAAGCAGATCAAATTTTGTAATCAGAAAATAGTTTTCATACATGTTTAAAGAAGTACCTCACAGGAGCTTTAATACTCTTGCAAGGAGCTTTTGGTTTGTGTCAGTGTTGGCGCCCCCTGTGGACAAATTGATCTTGGCTTATCTTGTTGAATTCATGCTTAAAGTGTGTGTTTTAAGAAAAAATCTCATTCTGCTGACTTTTTACAGTCAAATTTATCATAAATAATGTTTTTTTTTATGTGGAAATTGTAAAAACAGGGCTGTTGATTCAGCTGCTTGGCTGACACCTACCCCCTCGCACCAGTTTTTGGGCATTAAAAATCACCATGCAGTTATCGCCAATCTTGTTGCTGATGGCTGTATCAGCTTTCCATGTCATAAAATAAATTAATATGAATATCAGTCTATCCCTAATCATGAAAAAAACTCCAGACAGGAGCTTTAATAAAAATCTAAACTTCAATTTATTAGAGTGTTATTACTCTTGATACCTTGTGTAGATTGTCATACTATCACTAAACTTTAATTGAGACTTTTAGATAAAAAACAGAAAGAGCACAAAAAACACTTTTTTCAATGAGAGGTGATCTTTTTTATTATGGTTACTTTTTCAATTATTTTAAATTCCCTTCTCTAGGAAACAAAAATGTTACCAGGAAAGCAAGGTTAAATCCTTACACACTGGTCAGGTCAAACATTTGAACCGTCTTTGTTTTAGTCTTCAATTTGATGTGGGAAATTCAGGACCATGAGAGGCACATTGAAGTAAACACAAGTGATCACTCTACACTGCCATCTAGTGGTCCTAAGATTCTAGTCATCATGTAAATAACCACCTGTCAGTGTATTTAACATTTTACAAACAACATGAAAAAGGTGTAACATTTGTAAAAAGAGTCAATCAAATGAGTTTATTTTATAATCAATTGCCCAAGGAATAAAGCTATTTGTTATATCAGATATTTATGTTTGTGTTTTATGTTTTGTAGTGAGGAGGTTTGTTCTCTCATTTTAGTTTTTGACAATTTTGATACACCTTGAATGTAGTTAACACAAATGAAAAAGGAAATTAAAAATACGATTCAAAACTGATACTAAATGATTGTTTTTAATCATTTCTGCATGTAAAAGAATCAAACATGTCAGACTGAATCAAAGTGCATGTAGATTTAGATACTCCTGTGTCCTCCTGTGGCCCCTCATTTTTTTATCGTCTCCTTAATGAACCGTTCAATGATCTGCTGGAAAGAACTCCCCTGAAAATAAAAGTGAAATCTGTGCAGCCTATCAGCTCGGAGGAAGCAATAGCCTAATCGTGTGAATGAAAATAACCCAAGTCCTTCACTAATCCCTGCCTATCCTTTTTATCTCAGGATTCAGACCAGGCGGAGCAGTATGGAGCTGTGAGCCTGCAAAGCACCACCATGCATCCGATGTCCCGTTAGACCGACCTGTAGAGATTTTTTAACAGTAGTTTAGCTGCATAGAGTTTAGGAGCGTGCAGGAGGGAAAATGAGTCGACATTTTATCACTGCTTTTTCTTTGGCTTTCATTTTTCTTCCTGTGCTGAGCAGTTCATGCCCTACACAATGTAGCTGCTTCTTCCATAAACTGAGCGACGGATCAAAAGCAAGGTAAATATGGTTTTCTTTGAATGTTTCTACTATTTTTCTCTCTACATGTGTTTTATTTTTCTTGCATGTCGAGCTGACTTTAACTACAGCTCTCCCACACAGTCACTATGTATAGTGGAGGATTAACTTGGAGTTGCCATTTAATCTTCTTTCCTTGTTACTGCACAATAGCCCTGCTACGTGTTGCCTTAACAAAAGCTAAACTGCAATAGTCTTTATTTTAAGATAAGCTTTTCTTGTTGATTAAATCCCTTTCCTCAGATTCTACAGCTTTCAAAAAACTGTAATGTTTCTCTTTGAACATTGAGATATGTTTTTTTTTCCTTGCAGGAGTGTTTTGTGCAATGATCCAGAAATCACTGTGGTCCCTCCGAATTTCCCCGTCGACACGTCAAAGCTGCGTATTGAAAAGACAGCAATCACAAGGATTTCAAGCAACAACTTCCACTACCTCAACAACCTGGAGTTCCTCTGGATGTCTTTCAATTCACTGAATTCATTAAATGTGGACAGTTTTCGAGGTCTTTATAACCTGGATGAGCTTAGGTTGGATGGCAACTCCCTCACCTCCTTTCCCTGGGAGTCTCTGACTGATATGCCCAACCTGAGGCTCCTCGACCTGCACAACAACAGGATTTCCACCATCCCCGCGGAGGCCATTGTGTACATAAAGAATATCACCTATCTGGATTTATCCAGCAACACTCTGACCACGATCCCTGGGGATGTTCTCACAATGTGGCTGAGTGTGAAGCCATCCCAGGACACAGATTCTTCCAAACTAATTCTTGGTGAGGATCAAGCCATGGCATATAAGGAAACAGGAACACTTTCATTCTAAGCTTCCTTGCATGACGGCCAGTTCTTTTTCTCCAGAGGCAGTCAGGGATTAGTCTAATTATAGTTATTGTGTGTCAGGTTGTCAGATTAATTCTGTTTATTTTCACTTACTGCCACAAGTTCTTTTAGTCACAGGAGCCGTGGTAAAGGAAATGCACTAACATGATCCAATAAGGATGCATTTGTCACTGACAGCCTTTTCTTTCTCTTGGTTTAACCCTCAGGTCTTCATGACAACCCATGGCTGTGCGACTGCCGTCTGTATGATCTTGTCCAGTTCCAGAAATCCCCGTCATCATCTGTGGCTCTCATCGATACGAGACTTAGGTGCGCAGATCCAGAGAGCTTGTCAGGGGTTCTTTTCACGGAAGCGGAGCTGCAGAGGTGCCAGGGCCCCAGGGTGCACACGGCTGTGGCTCGTGTTCGAAGCTCACTGGGCAACAACGTTCTGCTGCGCTGTGGCACAGTTGGGGTCCCCATCCCTGAACTGTCCTGGAGCCGAGCTGATGGCAAGAAAATGAATGGCACAGGTGAGTCCTAATACCTGATGTACATAGGTTGGAACCGCATCAATTAGTGCCTGAGTCAATGAGTGTCAATGAGATTCAATTTATTCTCTTGGTGCCAATCTGATTAACACAGTGGGTGTCTGTTTTTCTTTCTTTCAGTTCAAGAAGAGATTTCAAAGGAGGGCATCATTTGGTCTATTCTGAGTGTGCCTGCTGTCTCGTACCGTGATTCTGGGAAATACGTGTGCAAAGCGACAAACTTTGTGGGAACTGCAGACGCCATCATCTCCTTGGTGATCACAGATTCGATTAGATCAGAGGAAGCGGTTGGCGGCATTTCAAAGAGACCCAGAGGGAAGAAACCAGGTGGCATCGGAAGAGCGGCGTACCAAGAGAAACTCGTCGCCAGATATGTTCCTCCTCTGACCACCACAGTTGCCCAACCCATTATCGAACCAATCAATGGTAAAGGGGCAACTGGGAAGTATGAGATCGAGAGCTACAGTGTCTCTGATGATGCTTCTCCTGGACGAGGCAAGGACTTAGACCCTCAGAAGGCGCTGGATATTCAGAGGGATGCAATGGGTAACTTAGTGGCGAATGCCTCATCTTTGCAGCAGGCTCCTGAGAAAAGGATTGTGCGTTCGGTTAAAGTGATTGGAGACACAGATCATACTGTGTCCCTCAACTGGCGAGCCCCAACAGCGACAAACACGACCGAATTCAGTGTCCTATATGCTGTTTTTGGCGAGAGGGACATGCGCCGGATAAATGTAGGTGCTGGAAAGAATCGGATCACCATTGACGGCCTTGTACCAAAGACGAAGTACATTGCTTGTGTTTGCGTCAAAGGCCTGATCCCAAAAAAGGAGCAGTGTGTAATCTTCTCAACAGATGAGGCAGCCAGTGCCAGTGGGACTCAGAAGCTCATTAATGTGGTGGTGATCACGGTGGCTTGTGTGATCGCTGTTCCCCTGACACTGATTGTGTGCTGCGGGGCTATAAAAAAGCGCTGTCAAAAGCTGCTGGGCCGGCAGTCCAAGGACATTCAAGACTCATACGTCACATTTGAAACCCTCGGTCCAGGAGGCAAAGCTAAAGGGATGGAGGGGGAGTACCTGACCAGGTTGAATCCTGATGAATCCAACAGGTTGCTTTCCGCTAGGTCGAGTGTTGACTCAGAGGCAACAGCCAGGACTGAGGGTCCGCCCAATGAGTATTTCTGCTAAAACCAAAAGTATGCCACGACCTCCAGAGAATGCACTTTGTTCACCTCTAAATTTAGAGACTCTTTTTTTGGGTCTTCAGAGGACACTTTCAGCTCGGTCATGATTGGATGTATGGAAATTTTTTACAGCCTTGTGGGAATTAAAACCACCGCTCAAAAGGTTGGCAACAAAAAGAAAAAAAAGGGAAAATTGACACATTGACAGTTTCAGTCTTTGCATGGCAGATAAATGTGTACAAATAAGCTCTTTTTTTTATTTATGATGCACTTTTAAAGGTGATGTTTGGTAGAGGAACATGTTGGGAAATGTTGCCCTACACTGTGTATTACCCAATATTTTTTTTTTTCCTCCGCACTGTGTAAATATCTTTGATGAAAACATAAAACATTCAGGAAAAAAAAAAAATAAGAACCAGCAGCTAGTAGTTTCTTTTGTATGTCAGTATGATGTTAATGTGCCAGGTTTACTGTTGGGTCAGAAACCTACAATACAAACGATTCACAGTGTGTAAATATTTTTGACCTGAAATTTGTGTATGAATGAATGTACTGTACAAAATAAATATTTTTATATTGACGTACACTCTCAAGATTTTTTTTTATATCTGAAAATTGGTGTATGCCATTCAATAGGTAAAAGAGTAGCAGAAGGCCTAACTGATGGAGAATTGGATGTTGAAAGGTGAAGGTAAGGTTAAGGCTCTCGAAAAGGTGGTTAGGATTTAAAAAGTACATGTGATGCTTAAGTGTGTTGGTAGGTTGTCTTGCCACATATTTCTTAGAAACCTTTTTTAATAATTTTTTAATTACCAGCACGAGATTGTGAGTGGTTACATTGTTTTGCCTTTAGGTCAGCCCACCGCTTATGTCAACAATACATTATTAACAACAACCAGATGCATTGTCATCAAAATCAGAAAGATGCAATTTCATATTAGTCCTTGTGTGCTTTATATTTATGACTGAGCGTATCAGGCTCGCAGTGCCAGATAGTTGGAGTTGCACGGTTTACCTGCTCAGTTGTGATATGATTGTATGACAGCATTAGCATGTAGCTTAAAAACACTGCTTAAGGTCCTCAAAGAAACCAGCTTCTGTCCATAGTCTTAAAACATGAATTGATGCTGTCTGGAAATAATGACGGTTTCTAATAGACATGACTGTATATCTAAGAGACATTATAAGAAACATTATTTGAATGAAATACCAGAGTTTGCCTTATCAGTAAAGGCGTTACCTCCCAGTTAAGTTTGGATATAAATGGAAAAAAATATATATAAACAAAATTTAAACAACAACGCTTGAATGTTGAGTGCTTTAATGCTTCCTTTAGATGTTGATTCTGCCTTTAAAAACCTATGAGTCAAACAGGGTTCAGATTATCGAGGTCAGATTACAGTCCTCCCCAGACATCTGTCTCTTTGTCCCTCTGTAGCCCTCCCTCTCTGTGCTGCGAGACCCAGCAGGCTCCGGCCCACTTATTACAGATGGGCCTCATGTCATGTCAGTATTTGGGCTTTGTGGGGGGACAATAAATTAAATTAGAATAAGAGAAGCATTTTGGGGTCAGTACAATTGAAGGTTACCCGCTGAGTCAGGATTTCTGGTGTGTTTTCATGCCGTTGATGAGATCTGACTGTAGACAAAGTGGACCATTGCTATAAATACCCCTTTCTTAGTGTGTCTCACATGTCACTTGGTGTCTTAAGAGTTACGTCAAGGAGGATTAAAGTAATAAGCTTTGTTCCAAGCAAACCATAGTCTTGTCCTGCCCTCCTAGGCCTGTTTCAATAGCTTCTCTTGGAATATGGACGTCCTTTATCACTTTTGGATTACGTTACGTATCGCTTTTGTATTTTGTCTCATCACCCGTGTATCGCCAACCTGTGTGACTGGCTGCTCTTGCAAAGATGATAATCTGGGAAGGTAGGTAATGACTTCTACTAAACAAACTCTTAAAACTGGTATGTGCTAACAATAAGTTACTGAAAAAAACAACTTTCTTTTTGAATATGATGTGTTAGGTTGTGATAAGACGCACCAGTAGACCTTTTGAAATGATGGATCTTCCACGAATAGTTCAGAAACTCGCTCACATTGATTGTCAGAAGCTCCACTTATCTTTGGCATGTCTTAACTTTCTATTTTAGGTCTTTGCAATGTATGGAAACCTCCATGAGTCAAATCCCAGAAGACATCCCACATGACTTAAGTAAAATTCGGATTGAAAACTGCCACTTGACAGAGTTACCCCGAGGATCTTTCTCTAAAGTTGGTGCCTTAGAGTTTCTGTGGCTGAATTTCAATGAGATCACGCTGATGAATATCAAAAGTCTGGAGGGGCTGGCCAACCTGACCGAGCTCAGGCTACAGGGGAACAAGTTGACTACAGTACCGTGGACGGCATTTCAAGACACACCCAAGTTGAAGATCTTGGATTTGAAAAACAATCGTCTAGACGTCCTGCCTGAACAAGCCCTCAGACACTTACCTGCCTTGACCTACTTAGATTTATCCTTCAATCAGTTTAGTGTGGTATCAAAAGATGTCTTCCACAATTGGCCGCTTTACCAAATGGCTCACAGAGCGTGGGGGAAGGAGGGGCTGGTGTCCAATGTTGTTTTGGCGCTGCATGACAACCCGTGGTTGTGTGACTGCCGTCTCAAAGGCTTCGTTGAATTCATCAAGGCTGTCAGCCCTCCTATCATCCTGATGAACTCTTATTTGATGTGCTCAGGCCCAGACACCAGAGCTGGGAAGTTCTTCCATGAAATACAGTTAAAAACCTGCATGAGGCCGGTGGTCTCTTCTCCAGACACTAACATCACCTTACCTCTTGGAACAAATGCAACACTTTCCTGCTTGGCCAAGGCTAGACCAGCCCCAACCATTCACTGGACGTACAGTTTGAAGATTATAAGAGGGTTTGCTGGTGAGTTTCTTCTTTATTATTGCCATTCATTTCACTTTTTGATTCAGTGAACCAAGGGTGATATAGCTCCCAAACACTTGAAAATACGCAGAAGTAACACCACTTTTGAACCATGTTGCATTTGGGACAGATGTTCAAGTTTCAGGGGTTTAGCAGTAAGCAAAAACATCAAGTCAAGACTTTATTGTCAAGAAGCACTGGTGGTAGGATCGATTCCCACTCCTGGATGTGATTCAGGGTATCAGTCCCCACTTTCCCCCCCAGATTCTGCTAAAATATGGAGATACACCTTATACAGTCTGATTGTCTTCAACCGTTTGATATGAACGTAGCCTCGCCTGCTTGGCTGCTGGTATTTCTCTCAGGTTTCTATCAATCTGCCTAGAAATGTCAGCATTATCTTTCATTAGATGCACACAAGATCCTAATCTGAATTGGTGTCCCACTGATTCTCTGTTTTGTCAATGCAGCTACAGAGACCCGCATAGATGAGGAGTCAGTCACCTCCCATCTGGTGATCCCCTCCCTTCACCTGGCAGATCGAGGACTCTACACGTGCGTGGCGAAAAACTTCATCGGCAACTCTTCTGTCAGCGTCATGGTGGACATCAGCTCCCTGAACTCCTCGTTTCCTCTCCCCCCACCACTCCCCATGTTGGCACCTGATGACGGCACCTACATCGATATCCGCATCGCCAAGCAGACGGTTTACGGCGTCACCCTGGAGTGGCACGCAGTAACAGAAAACCCAGCAGAAACCTGGTTCACGATTCACTTTGGTAAATATGATTCACCCAAAAAAGACATGATCTACATCGGCCCTGGCATCAACAGCTACTCCATGAAGGACCTGCTCCCTGTTACGAAATACGAGGTGTGTCTGAGCCTGAAGAACCACCCGCCAAAAGAAGGTCAATGCATCGTGTTTATGACGGGCAGTGACATCAGTGACCTGGAGAAAAGAGAGAGGCTCATTCACATTGTTGTTGTTGTGTGCGCCATGGTGCTGGCCGTGCCGGCCGGCATGTACGCCTGTACAACGGAGGCCAAGTTCAGCTGCGTGAAGAGCTGCGTGGATCAGTGGAAGAAGTGCAAACAGAGAGCCGCGGAGAGACAACAGAGTACAGAGAGGCAGGGCAACTTCGATAGTCTGCAGGCGACCAGTGAAGAAGGTCTGTGCAAGGACATGGAGGAAAAGCCGAGAAAGAAACGAGAGAAAGGAGGAAGTGCAGCTTATCTGTACTAGTATGAAAGTATGCAGATGTATGGAACATGTGTGTTTGTAATAATGATGGTCTCAAATATAGCCCTGATTTGTGCTTCCCATGTTATATCTTAGGATTTGAGCTTTTACTTTTTTTCAAAGCTTCTTTGAGGAACTTTTTCTTTTTTTCTACTTTTGCCTTTAAAGAAATTAAAATAAATAAAAATCTGTTTTGGCTTTTAAGAAGTTAGCCAATTTGTCTGACACCAATTCCCTGTCAGCAGTTCAGACAAAAATATTAGACTAAAAGACTATTAGAAATAGTCTTTATGCTGATGGTCACTTCTGCCTTTTAAACAGCTCCTTTAACTAAATATGGGTTCAGTTAAGTTGCCATTAATATTGGGTTGAAAACATAAAAGACAAACATTCATCATCTCTGCTATTTTAGCAGTTTACTTTTTATGTGTTGGGCTAACCTGTCGCTCATAAACAATGGCCAACAACAGCTGCACCATGCAAAAATCCGAAACTTAAAAAAAGGAGGGAAAAACATGAACTAATTGCAATTATTCGTCTTTGTAATTGTTTTCAATATGATAATTTTTTTTGGTTTTGTTTTGTTTTTTTGATTATTGTTTTTGAAATCTAATGTTTACTGCAGCACAGTGTCTCAAATCTAATTCTAACACAGGAGAAGCACAAACTGGGGCTCTTTTTGAGAATCTTGTTATTGTGTAAATAAATATCTAAAGCTATCATCTCAAAGTAGAGATGTCATAACTTGTTATTATCATAACATTGTAAATCATTATCTGTGTTAATATGTAAAAAAAAAAAACATTTTGTGCTAATAATGTTTGATAATTTTTTGGGTCATTTTAAGAAATTGTTTTTATTTGATACTGAACATAAACAGGTGATTCTGAATCTAAATGATGTAAATAATCCTCTGTACATAATATTCTTCTACATTAAGATCCAACCAGATCTGTTTTTTTTAGATTATTTTATCAGTCTTATGCTGAATTCTTTTTAAAGTTTTCATATTTTTTCCTTTTTAACAACATGGCGCTCTGGTATTTGTACAAGATGATGTTTGATTTGGATTAAATGGACGTCAAAGACAAATGCTGAGACATACTCTGATGTTTTTTCAGCACAATCACACAGAGGATTTGTTACGTAAGCACAGTTTTCCTGAGCATTTATACATACTCCCGTAAGCAGATTAAAGTGATTTTCCATCTGAAACCTGGTCAGCGGGACATGATATTTCCATTTAATGACAGCTCTAAGCACTCTCCATCTGTGCTTTATTTTGCTCAGGCAAACAGACGGCTACGTGAACTATTTTAACCACTTTAACTTTGAATAATTAGCTTTTTTTTCCCATTAATGAACCTCATTCTTATAAAAATTATTCTTATAAGGGAAAAATAATAAAAAAATTTCTCATAAGGGAGTAATTCTTATTCTTAAAAGAATAATCTTATTCTTGTTCTTCTTATTCTTATATAACTTCAACACATGCATTTTAAAACAACAAATACAGACTCTTATATGAGGGTTGATGTTCTTTTCAGTATAAAAAGACCCTCTGCAGTATCTTTGCATATTCTTGAATCATCTCAAAATCAAATTACAAAATAGTCTCTATCATCAAAGGTGGGGTAGTCAGGAATCCGTTAAAGAAGCATCTTTTTGTGGTGTATATACAAAAAAACGTTTTTAATATCAGTCAATAGCTGTTAGTTATTGATGACATTTGGGAATAGGAGGAGCTGAGGGAAAAACTGGTTGGGAGGGGTAGTGTTTACATTCAAGATTTCTCCCCAAAACTGGCACTTCCTCAGATCCTGCCTACACCACCTGTGAATATGGTTAATATTTTTAACCATATAACGTTATTTTCAGAAGATAAACAACAGATTTATTTTCAAAAACAATTAAAAGCATAAAATTCAGAGAGTTGTCCTGAGGTATAGCCATGTCAATTTACTTAATTTAAGATTCATAGACTGTATCAATCAAATATCAGATTTGCTTTGCTTCGCCAGGTTTTTGACATCTCATGAGGACACATAAATATTTAATTTGTAATGCTCTGTTTGTGTGAAAAACTGACATATTAATAACATAATAATTTTGCACTGCAGATGCGGTGGTTCTTCTGCCTTAGTGTCTCGATCTGATTGAATTTCCATGAAGAAATGATCATAAATGTTCTTCCTTGAGCTGTGTCACCCCGCTGTAGTCCGTAATGGCTCGAGGTCTCACTACAAACAAGCGGCTGCTGGAAGAGAGTAGGTGAGTTGTGTTTAGTCTCTTTGCTAAAGAAATTAGTCAAAGTTAAAAAGATGTTTGGTGGCTAGTACTATGGCTGGGACCTTATATGTACTGTTGATGAAGTTAGGTGCTGTTCTGACCATTATTTGTGGCTATAGAGTGGCGATTTGGTTGAGGTTTCTTTATGGTTCCTCAGACCGCTGTGTGTTGCTATCATGCGGTCGTTAAATTAATTTTACAGTGGAATATCCCTTTAAGTAAACTTAAATGAATTGTTACATTATCCTGAACTGGCCTCTGGAAAAATAAAATAAGAAGACTCATTTATTGTCAAATATTTATTCAAAATCAAGACAATACAAAGACAATACAAATAATGAAGGACCAGGCAAGTGTAATCAATAACAGAGATACATTATACTCTCTATCTAAACTTATGGAAGATATTTATGAGTGAAGATATATTCAGATACAAGATTTGTGCTCCAGCTATTAAATGACTTGACTTAATTTGCCTACATTTGAAGGCATTGAGGGGTAACACTGTGCGCAGACTCTAGATGTTCAACACAGACTCTATACGGTCAAATCTCCAAGCAGGTTATTAACACTTATATACAACATGGTGATCTGTGCTTGAAAAACTTAGCACTAAATTTAGCATCAAAGTCCCACTAGAGGAGTTGTATGGTTTTTCTGTACTTCTTTATTTACTGCAGCAAGATACAGATGAGAAATGCTCATGTCTTGTCAGATATTTACACGGAAATTAATAACAATCCATTCGATACTGTACATTTAAAGAGGACGTTATGTACATAGAAGTCTATCTCTAGATGTTTGAATAAATCTAATATTATTATTTTGCTTTAACTGTGAAAACCAAAAGTGGCACATTGTAATCATACAAAAGAGCAACTCGTCAACTTTCTACCGGCTGATGTAACTCAGTAAAACACTCACATGCTGGTCCTTTAGCACTTTTGAACAAGCCGAGTTGTTTTTTTTTCAACACTTTGTCATTCAGCTGTGTGCTCATGGGGTTGTCTTATTTACACACTTTTCAGGAAGTTATGTAACTTATGTCTATACACACTTAGTCTCAGTAATCCTCCGTTCAGGGAGTTTACAGTGTGGCTTCCTACTCTGAAGATGATGTAATCCTCCTCAAGATGGCAGTGTGGTAATTTATCTTTTACTACATCAGTGGCCCAGACGCTCAGGAGCAGTGACGCCTGTTTGTGTTATGACTAGTTTTAAGACTAACAGTGCCATGCAGTTTTTAGCTTTACATTTTGCTGTGCTACAAACTGGGATAAAATTGACTTATTTTGGCTTTTTGCTGGTAGAATAACAAACATAAGCAGCTAACACAAAGCTTAATGTGATATCCCATACTTTAAAATATGTGTTCATGTGGTTTAACACATTCAATCCCGATTAAATCCAATTTATTTGTAGTTGTAAAATCAACAAGGGAGTCAATACCTATGCATGGCTCTGTGTGTATCTGTAAACATTCTTGTAACAACCCTAAGTGAACCACAGACCCACCTAATCAGATCTAAACTTTAGGTGAGTGGACTCAGAAATAAATAAAGCAGGGGACCTTAAACGGGACAATGTGACCGCGTTAATAATAACCTTTGTTGCTCTCATGGATTTTCTGCTCCAGCTTCATTTTCAACTCCGACACTAAAGCAGAGCTAATGTTTACTTCTTTGTGGCGACCCGTTTTTGTTCTTCTGGATCCTTTGGAGGCCAGAGCACCTGATATAGTTGGTACCGCCCGGGGTCTGTCACTCGGACGTGTGTTAGGAGAAGGTGGAGGAGGCAGAGAGGGAGCCCTTGGAGGTGGAGGCCTTATTTCAGGGCTGCTGTAGTCCCTCTGCAGGGTGCTCTCTGCGTCATCGATGAGGAACTTCTCCGCGGGGTTGTAGAATCTGATACTGGGCATCTTAGAGGTCCAGGACCGCTGGTCCCTGGGTCGCCTCTTTATGATGCGGCGCACCGGCATGATCCTGTTTGACTTGGAGTTGCGCATGTACAAAGCCGTAGAGATCAACACAGTCACACCTACCATTACGCTAATAATCACAACCACCATGCCTAGAGCTTTCATTGGATTGTCCCTACTTTTCATTAAAAAGGCCGCCATAGGCCCCTTGAGAGGAGTCTGTAAAAGAGCACAAATTCAAAAGTTTAAATCAAGTCCAGGGGGACTGGATCGAAGCATCAGCGCAGCATTCATCTGAAGCATGCAAGCGTGAGAGATGGAGGCGCAAAGCACTGACAGAGGAGGCCCGACCAACAAATCTACAAACACACGCACTCGTTCACACGCACACATTCACACATTCAGTCCTTGTCTGTCTCACAGTGCAGGACAGCTGCCGCGAAGCTAAAAAGCTACACATCACGAGTTGTTGGGAGTGCGTCTGGCAGTGCTGTGCTTTGACATGAGACTGATGAGGGCTGACCGAAAATGATGACGGCTAATGGAGCCAGAGAGGATGATGGGAAAAGTGTAGATGAGTGATGAGCAGAGTAAAAGCCTCCAGATTTGTCTTTTTGACAGTCTGATAAACTGAGTCTTAAATCTATGTCGGACTTTTAAAGATAGGCTTTTGGTAAAGATTAAAAAAATAATGCAAATTTGTGTTCTTGGAAATTTGTTGCATTCACAAAACGTAAAAAAAGAAAAATTATTTAAAAAAAACAAAAAAACTTTATTGCATTGTGATTTTGCGACTTTAAATGTGCTCCAGGACTCTTTTACAGACAAAAGATAATCAGTTCAAACACTTAGATTTGAATATTTTGGAGTGAATTATAAAGTTTAGCTGCTATGTAGTCCTCATTTAATTCTGCGGACTACTTTGATGTAGTTACTCTCGGGGTTGATTCGAGACTTTTTCACTGCGTTACAGTACAGGATTGTTGATATGCAGATTGTTAGTAAAATAAGGGTGGCGGCAATGCTGAGAAAAATTCCAAGAACAGTCAGCGGACGTTTGCTGAGGCCCATGAAGTATGAAATAATGCGACCTTTGACCTGAAATGCACGATTCACAAAACAGAAACAACATCGAAAACAGGGGGTCATGTCATCGTGTGAGGTGAGGGAATGAAAACATGATGAAGACAAAATCAAAGGGAAACAGATTTGATATAATTAAAGCAGGGGTTCTCAAGTCCAGTCCTCGAGGCCCACTGTCTTGCATGTTTTGGATGTTTCAACACACCTGATTCAAATGATCAGCTCGTTATTAAGCCATTACAGAACTTGATAACGAGCTAATCATTTGAATCAGGTGTGTTGGAGCAGGGGAACATCCAAAACATGCAGGACAGTGATGCTATTGGTTTTAAATTTCAGATTTAAATCCTTTAAATTAACAAACAAACAATTTTATTAGTTACTAAAAAGGTGTGACCTTTCTCTCCTGTTTTTTTTAATGATTCAAAAATCATAAAAACTGTCCTAGACTCATTTTTCTACAGAAAAGAGCATCTTTCAGACTGCCAAGTTGGGAAAACCTTGTTTAGAAGTTAAAAAAATGTTATTTCCCTCAACATAATCAACTTCATTAACCTTTACCTTGGTATTTATGCATTTTATCCACATATTTATACAAACAAATCAAACTATATAGAGAAAAAGACCTGATAGATATACAGTGAACTCCAAAATTTACGTCACTTTGTGAATAAAATGCAGTCTGCTTCTGGGGGGCTCTGAGGTTTCAATTGCATTCAGCAATGAGCAGTTAAAGACGTGTTGCTCTTTCTAGTACCATCTGTTACCGCCACCTGCATGGTAGTTGAGTATGGCAGCTTACAGTTATAGCAGCTATAGTTGTGACCGCCTGCTACTAATCCCCCACAAGTCTCTTTCAATGGCTACTTGTTGTCTCCAATTACGGGGTCTTTTAATCAAACCAGCACCATTCAAGGCTTGGTTACTTCACTGTTAGCGCTCTTGTCTTTAAATGCATGATCGTAGCCAAACCAGGGAGAAAATAGAAAGTGGCATCAGATGGCAACAAGTCTGCCTGCTTTGTACCAAGCATAATTTAGGCACTGACACAGCTGCTTGCTTGTTCAAGCCTCATCTTTTGGATATAAAACTGCAGCACAATACCCCTCTCTGTGTTATATAGTTGGTCACACTGACGTAAAAGATGCAGCTGACTATTTAGATGACAAAATAAGTATTTAAAGCATGACCTTTACATTGAGGGCTCTATTTTCGTTCCTCGCCGGTGGAGTGGTGTAGGCACGGTGAAAGTCCACCGTGCCAAGTTGAGTGTCCAAACGCGTGCTAAATGCACTCATCAGTTAAGATATAGATCAGAATATATCTATATAGATCTAAATGTATGTGCTGACTCAGATTATTAGTTGTTGATGATTATTTATTGCACTGAAATGTGCCTGACACTGTGGAAATCTGCAAGTGAGGCACCCTCCGCCGTGCCGCTGGCGGGCACGAAAATAGAGCCCTGGAAATGGACATAAGCTTATTTCTCTATGGAAACTAAAAAGAGAGGTTGAAGAAGCAGAAGTTTTTAGCTTCTTTTCTTACGTTTTTGCAGTTTTTCTTGGCAGATCTGTCACACAGTTTGTAGCGACAGCCGAGTAAACAAAGTCACCAGAGTCAAAAGGAGAGTGACTGATTTACTGTCAACTCCATCAAAGGCAAACAACTCTCAAATTACCGCTTGCAAGCAGGATAGATTAAGCTTTTTTGAAATCCTTTTTTCCTCATGGCACATTTTGAAAATAATTATAACATTAAAATGATGGTGGGGTTAATGAAAAGTGAAACAAGGGCGATGAATTAGCGGTTGGAAAGCATAGAGTGATATCTATGATCTGCAGTGTCTATTCACATGCTTGAATCTAACCCTCACGCTTACTAAAGCTCAAGCTTTGAAAGCACAGAGAGGCATGCTGGGAGTCAGAGAGTCACTTACCGCCTCGGTGATATCGATGTTGACCATGGCTGTGGTGCTGAAGGACGGGGAGCCTCTGTCTCTGGCCTCAACCACCAGACACCACTTGGCGTCCTTCTGCATGGTGATGTTTTGCACAATCTCCATGGACTTGATGTACGACTTCAGCTGGATCTCTCCAGTGTCCGAGTTTATATCAAAGGCATTTTCAGGGTCTGCTTCCATGATGGAGTACTCTATGACGTTGTTTGGAGACTCTGCATCTTCGTCCACTGCCTGTAAAGGAATCACAATAATGATTAATTCATTCATCTTTTCTGACATGACTGCCACCTTGAGGTGAATTTATTAAGTCAACAGCCTTTTAAATTCTTTTCAACACACAAAACAGCCTGTAATAATAATATGCTAATTTCACAGTTAAGTATATTTCACCTAGAGGGCTAAATAAATAAACTGCGACCACTGTACTGTTTAGTTAAATTAAGAATATTGTCTTATTGAAAAATAAAAGGTTTGGTTTAGCTAAGTATAAATCACAATTTGGACTATTCATGAAAAGCTAAGGCTGTTAGCATAGTGTTGTATCATGAATAACACCCTTAGCAAGCCTTTATTTTGCTCTTATAGTTAGCCTTTATTACAACCTTAGCAAAGCATCTATGACACTATTACTGAAACCTAAACTAAACCTTTATTAAAACCTTAACAAAGCCTTTATTAAAACCTTAACAAAGCCCTGACTGAGCCTTGATACACTCATTCCCAAGCCTTAACTAAGCCTTCAAAAAACCCCTCTAGTACAACTTTAATAAAGCCTTTTTTACTTCATTCACCAAGTCTTTCTGATACCTATATAACATACTTAATTCAACCTTAACTAGGTCCTTCTTTCACCCTTAACTAATTCTTAAGTAACCCTTGATAATACGCTCAACAAAGCCTTTGTAACACCCTTAACAAAGACTTTTCTACGACTATAACCAAGCCCCAACTTAACCTTTATAACACTCCTGACAAAGCCATTAAACACCCTTAACAAAGCCCACACTAAGCCTTAACTAAGCCTTTACTTAAATGTTTTTGTTGGGCTTATTGTATTTTAATGCATTTTCTGGAACATCTATTACAGTGACAAAAACATAGATGTAGATGACCCACGGTTCTCCTAGACTGCATGATGAATCAGACATGCAGCAAAGGAGAAAACTATACATAATCACCCTCAAATCACTACAAGAAAGGTGGAGAAGGGAGGAGTCAGATTTCAAGATCTAGTTTGAGATTTTTTAACCAATAGATTTGATGAAAAAAGAAAAAAAGGATTATCCCCAGCCATATGGTCTCCTTTTTGGATTTTTTAAAAATACAATCTCGTAAATTCTTTTTAATTTTATTTTTTTTAAAGTCCTTTCTTTTATTTTTTTAAAAATATGACTCCTTGTATAAGAGGACAATCACTTGTTTTCACTCACCTCGACTTTTACAGGTGAACCAATGATCATAGTCTTCTCGAGAAGTTCCTCATCAAAAGCTGGAGGGTGATCATTGATGTCCAGGACGGTGACAAAGACTTCAGCCAGGCTGTACTTCCCCTCTGAGTCTTGAGCCTTGACGTAAAAGTTGAACTTGGACCTGAGCTCTGCATCCAGGCTGGTCCAGGGCTGAGTGGTGATCAGTCCAGATGATGGGTCGATGGAAAACCTGTGAGTCCAAACAGTTTTATAGTGTTTATCAAAGCTGTCTATGCTCCAGACATTTCCAGCACAACCCTCAATCACACCGATACTGTGAATCTCAGTGTGACACTCAGTAATTGTTCTCTAAAACAAGCAGATTTACATCCTGTGCGGCTGTGAATGTGAAGTTGACTGAGGTGACTGAACAAAAGGAAGAAATAAAGTTTCGCTTCTGTTGAAAATAGATGATTGCATTGAAAAACACTGGTCTTGACGAGTTTGTTTGTTATTTTTTGCCAAAATATCAAATTAGACCAAATATAAGATAAGCCTCATTCCCAGTCAAGTTAAACGACAGACTTCAATATATTACAAGAAAAGGATCAAACCTGAATTGCTATTACTGAGTGAACATTTCTGCCAACGCAGTAAGCAAATTAATACGTCTCCTGTGTTTATAATCAGGTGTTATTTCAAGACACATACATAAATGTATCTGTCTAGTGTGATATTTTTCACTGCAAAACAAACAAAAAAACATTTACTTTATAAAATTTTTGCAGATCATTAAAGTAAGTAAATATACATACCCGAGCTGGCAGGGCTTATTATGTAGGGAGAACTTTTAATTAAACTTTTAAACTGTTTTAATCTGAATTTTTCACTACAATAAAAACAATTTACTTTCTAAAACTTTTGCAGATCATTAAAGTAAGTAAATATATATACCAGAGCTGGCAGTGCTCATTTTAAAGGGAGATACTGAGAACTTTTAATTAAACTTTTAAACTGTTTTAATCTGAATTTTTCATCACAACTCTTATCCGCAGCAAAACAAAACAAAACATACTTTCCTCTGGTATTCAGAGCTCAGAGTATCTCTCTTTATCGTTAAAACCACTAAAAAAATGTGTTATTGTTTTTAAAAAGACAGTGTAACCCGATTTGAAATCAATTTTCCTTACTACTGTGTCGTTATCAACAAACTAACTGTGACATTTGAGTATCTAACACAAGAATATTACACATAAGAGTATAAGTTGAAGGTTTTCTACAGCAGTGGCGTAGGTTTTGCACTTTCTCAGTTCTTTCTATTTCAGCTGCGGGCTCACAGCCATTTTCTATCTTGTTTTCCACTGTGAAATATCACAAGTTGCCCTGAAACTGATAACTTTCACACAATTAACTCAGGTTGCTGCCTGAAGAGGAGAATAAATTCTCACTTTTCCTTTGCTGCACACTGCCTTGCTTTTCAAAGCTGCCGTTTCTGTGGCTCCAGCTGTCACATTGCATGTTAATTGGCTCTCCCTATGTGAGACGGGCCAGGCTGTCTATTTTTAACCCTCCAATCCAATTAGGAGATTAGCCAGCATCTTGCAGCCATTTTAGAGCGAGCTGTTTGTGAAGCAGAGGGGCCAATCAAACTGGTTTCCTGCTTCCTTCAAAGACACAAAAGTTTAATCAAGACTGGTGTCCTGCTGGCCGAGTTTACAAAACACGCCGAGCCAATGGGAAGCCATGAGTCATAAACACATGAAGTTACTTTTTTTTTTTGCGACAGAAAAATGTTTTTTTGGAAATGAATGAATCAATTATCTGATCAGACCAAACCAAAACTGGCAGGGGAGGCAGGCTTTTACTCACAAATCAGATCCTGATCCATAAATCGTGTATTTGACTTCACCCCAAGGCCCTGAATCTGGATCTATCGCCTGAAAGAGAAAATAAAAAGGATAGAGATTAAAAGCCCATTTCTATTTATAGCAAATATAATCGATGTACACATGACCACTCTGATAAATATACTCCAGTATGGTTACTGTAACTAATCCAAGGTGAGCGAAGGTGATCCATTTAGATGTTTTTCACTGGTGGGGGTCTTAAGCTCATGTAAAGTGGGTGTGGCAGGATATAAGTCTCTTCCTGTAGTGATGGGCCTGTAGGTCAGATGATTAACCTTGGGGCAATACTAAGCTTTTACTACACCCTGCATCGCCAAGACATATGGCTCTAATATAGAGAATAGTGAGAAAAGAAGAGGAGACACTTTTCCTGATGAAACCCTCGACTAGACTCGAACAACAAAAACCAAACCATGGACCGCTGAGCTTCTTTGAAAGAGCAACAAGCTGCTTTCAACTAATGAAGTGCAATTTATGAGAGAATTGATGGAGTGTATAATCCTTTCGGTGAGATTAAAGCATCGTTTAATCTTGATTGACTTACCGTTACAGTAGCAACACTGGAGCCGCCGGGAGAGTTCTCCGCCACCCTGGCGATGTAATACTCCGAGGTAAATTTAGGGATGTTGTCGTTCGTGTCCAGCAGGTTGATTAATATGTCGGCGGTTGCGCTGAACCTCTCTGGAGTGTCGATTTCCACGGCCAGAAGCTTTAAAAGAGAGGAGAACTTAAGTCAAAATGTGGTAAAAGACAAATGTCTCCTCCTGCTTTCTTTTAACAGGGAAATGTATCACTCATGAGTAAAATAACAGCTGATTCTTCATCCTGCTGTAGCTGTTAATCATCGTCACTGACACCTACCCCCTGATCTTGTTTTGATTTAGTTTTTTTTGCAGATTGCTAAGAGGCATCACTGTTAATAATAACCTGTTTTAAAAACCAGCCAAAATTCCTCACAGGGGAAGCGAAAATGTTGAAGCAGACAATCGTCAGAGTAGCAGGAATCCACGAAGGCCCCTTGAGGTCGAGGTAACAGTCAGCGTGTCCTCGTTTCATGGCAAACCCAGAACTCACACACAAAGCCGAAAGAGGTTCTGAGATGTCCTTGTGTTTGTACCGAGCAGAGTGCATGACAACTATCAGGTCCATCTTACTACAGAGCAGCCTTTAAAGCAGGGAAATCGTGCACCAGGGATTTTGGACCAGGATTTTGCTAATTGATAACCAGATTGCTTTCTGATCAAAGGTTAAGGTAGATTAGTTCGAGTACATTTTGGGTCAATGGTGAGAAAACTACAGCTGAGTCACACAGAAACTTTTAACGATAGGTGTGCTGTGAGCTGTCTACTTCCTATGTACTATTTCACTTACTATTTCATTCCTGTTTAGATCAATCAATGTGAACAAAACTGAGAGTTAAAGCTCCTGTGACGAACTTCTGGATTGAGTTTGTTCTAGCAAGTCAAGTTAGATAAGTTATTTGTCTCTTAATCTTGTATATATAATTGTAAGTGTATGTTTAGTACTGTGTGTTCAGTTTAAGCCAAACAGAGGACAGGTAGAGAGCCTTCTTCATATCTCTAAACATAAAGCTCATCTGTAAAAGTTGAAGCTTTAGAGACAGATTTTTCTCATCTATTCAGGAATTTTAAAACTTTTTCACTTAGCTAACTTGAATTAATACGAAATTTAACGGTGCCGTCTTAGGCTGGCTGCAAATCGATAAGTCAGGAAGACTGAGATTTTAAAATATTACCTTGTATGAAAGTGTTGGCCCTTTTTCGTAGTCGATGCCAGACGTGTCCTCCACAATGATGGTCACCTGAGCTTCATTGAGGACCGTCTGTGGCACCACTCGAAGCACTCGGCTCGGCCCCACCAGTCTCAGCTTGAACTTAGCATTTGCTCCCTTTAAGAAGAGCACAGAAAAGAACATAATAAACCACAAATAATTAAAATTTTGAGAAAAATAAATATGATTAGATGAAGCTGCTCAAAATAAACCCTCAAGATTCATCAGGCTCCAGAATCTTTAAAGAAGAAGATCTGTTTTTTTTAGTGATTGAGAAACTGAGATGGGGAAAATAAGCCAAGTGGACTTACACAAAACATTTGATCATAAATGAATGAACAGATTTTGTACATGATTTAATAGTGTTGCATAATTGAGCACACTTTGAGGCTGGCTGGCAGAGATTTATGCAATGTTGCACCCAGAGGTATTACTGAATCCCCCAGCAGAGGAGCAAACCCAGCATGACGGACCCTGTTACTCCAAAAACACTCTTCAGTTGAGTAAATAAAGCACCAGCTTTCATCATGATTCGTGTTTGTACATGAATATCTTGTTGGTGGAGTATTTGCTGTCAAAAACAGACCGGTAAAACTGAGGAAGACAGTGAATGATGAATGAGGAGTTATACTGAGAATAAACCCACCTGATCGGAGTCGTTGACGGTGATCTTGAACCCTCTCAGGATCTCCCCTGCAGGCGGATGCTCATACATGGTGACCTCAAACTTACTCTGAGGTCCGTTCTCTCCGTAAAAGGTGGGCGGGTGGTTGTTGAGATCCACAACCCGGACTGTAACTGTAGTGATGTCGTAGTCCAACAGATGATCTTCTGGTCCCACCTCAGACGCCTTGGTTTAAAAATCACATTAAACAACACATTCAGTGGAGCAAACAGGTTTCATTCCTGTGTGTAATTAACAAACAATAACTGTGACAATAATTATCATTACCTTGACTTTGATCTCAAATAATTCTTTGTTTAGCATTGACGGATACGTTGACAGGGTGATGCACCCGCTGGTGCTGTTAATATCGAAGACGCCGTCACTACCTGACAGGTGGGGCGAGAAAAGATGTGAATGTGTCTGAGACGTAAACAAGAAAAACAGCAAGAGAGCTCAATTTGGAATTAATTTCTCAATGTGCTGCTCTCACCATTCATTATAGAGTAACGTATAGGGTTGGGATTGCCTTGATCTCCATCTTTGGCGTAAACGGTGAAGATTTCAGAACCCTGAAGGAAAACACACGAATAACCTTGTATGACGATCATCGCTCGTATTTAAGAGATTTTTAAATAATGATAATAATACCAAAACTTTATTGAATTGTATGTATTTGTATTGTATTAATTATTGAGCATTTCGTCAGTCAAAAGCTGAACATATATTCTGCAGTGTTGTTTTCGTTGACGATGACGTTGATGAAAATATTCGTCAACGTCATCGTCAACAAAAACGTCAACACCCCTTTTTTTCCACGATGAAGACGTGACATTGACGAGCTAAACCTAAGTCTTAGATGAATAAAATGTGACGAGTCGAATGTGCGTTTACGGTGACAAGACGAGACTAGACGAAAACATTAATGGTGGACAACGAACAGAGTTGCAAAATACATGAGCATTCCGTCAGTCAAACGCTTAACACATATTCTGCAGTGTTGTTTTTGTTGACGATGACGTTGACAAAATGTTTTCATCAGCGTCATCGTTAATGGAAACAACACTGGTGAGACAACAAGACATAAAAATCAACAAAAAGTACACCAGTAGCCCAAGTCCTGGTTATACAAAGGCAAGTGTAAACAAATGGGGTTTCAACTGCTTTTTGAAAGTATCCTTAGTTCTCAATTCTTAAAGGAATAAATGAAGAACTTACCGGAAGTGAGACCTCATAGACGTAGCCGAAGTAAGGAGTTCCTATGAAGGATGGCGGCATGTCTTGAGCATCGATCACATTGATTGTTATGGTGGCTGTGGAGCTCAAGACCTGGTGCTTCCCTTTGTACTTTCCTCCTCCGTCCTAAGGAAACAAATATAAAGTGTTCATAACAAAACAAGGCATTAAAACTCTGATTATATTCTTATTTATTGCAACTTCAGATAAAACAGGCTTTGAAACTTCATTCTGTACATATGTAAGCAATATTATCTCACAAAATGTAATTCTGCTTCCATTTAACAGAGAGATTTCACAGTGGGGACTATTAAAGGTCTGTTTTGGTGTTGCATTCACATCATCTGATTCCTACAAACTGATTTAGACATGAATAAAAACAGTGTAAAAATAACACTCTGAATGCTGATGGTCTCATCTGCTCTTGCAGGTAATTAAGAGACATTGGCGCTACTTTCAATCTGTTTTATGATCTGCCAAAAACTCCTCACAGAAGCTCTGAAAATAAGAAGTCACGGTGAAGAGAGTATTTTTTTTAATTAGGCAGTTATCGGGCAGAGGCAATGTGAGAAAATGGATCTGACATTTGTTCGAACTGTTCCCTAAATTAAGAGCCAAATTTAAGTATTTTGGTTCCCTGAATCAAATAATTAAAGTTAGCCTTCATCTCACGAACAGAGGCCAACGTTGTTATATTGTCTTGACTTAAAGAGGTAATGAGTCCCAGCAGATAACTAAAAAAATCAGGTACCTGCCACTGGTGGAAAAGGATCAAAAGTAAAACTCGAAATAGTTGCTTAAGTTTGATTTCTGTGAAGAGGCTAAAAAGTACCGTGAGCTCAAATCTAATTAAACAGGAGCGCTAAATGCTTAAAAATTGTGCTTGGTTAAGAGAATCAAGTCTTATTAGATGGATGCCTGTTAAAAACCGGGTTGTAAACCTCTTAATCCACACTTGGCATGACAAATTTAATAAAACTGGGAACAGAGGAATCAGTAATGTGATTTACACGGCGGTGTGAATCATGTTGTCATGCTGCTGTGAGACCAAAGGCTGCAGAGATGAATGTTTCTGTGAAAGCTAAGATGGATTTTCTTTGTTTAACTATAAAACAGTAGATTTTGATCATTACATTCAAGTAGCTGATTGAGCTAAACTCTTGGAAACATGTTAATTTTATTATTATGTTTAACACCCAGTCTGTGATTTCCCAAACACCCTTAAAATGAGGCGTTTAAAGAGCTTTATGAGCCTCTTTAGCTCAGGCTATAAAAACACCCATCCTTCTCCGTCGTGCTGGAGAGATGACACCTCAGGTTACTCACACTGTGAGCGAGGCTGTCAACACTTCAGCAGACTTTCATTTTCCGCACTCTGGTCGACAGAGAGGAGAAAATTCTGCCAAGTTTACATGTTGACAAAGCTTATCCATGACTGAACTTTTCATGACCTTTAGACACCTTTGTCACCTGACAACGTTACCTACTTATAGACAGGTCCGTGACTATTCTGGGTCTGACTCTCAAGCCTTTACCATTTACAGCACTAAGTGATAAAAATACACAAAATCTAAACTACCGTACATGGATAAATCTCAGACTTCTAACACTGCGATCAGCTGATGAAACCTGAAAATCAAAAGCTTGCTTCAGGACAGCTAAGGCCAGGTGCAGGTTTTATTAATATCATGGTGCTAATTGAACTCACACCATACGAGTGAATCACTTACGTCAGACAACCAAAGATCACGATTCCTGTGCTCACACTGTGCATTCAGACAGTTGAGGACTTTCTGAGCGTCCACATGTTTGATTTAAATCAGGGTGGAGCTTTGATCGTTATCAATCAAGTGTCTTTTTAAAACTCTTTCACTAAGGTTGTGTTCACACCTAAAGGTCCGTTTCCTGATTCGAATCCAAGGCAAGACGATAAATTTGTTATGATTGTTTAACTGGTCCGGTTTGCATTCACAAAGGACAAACTCAATCGCTCCAGAAAACGGAACCGGAGGTCACGTGACTGCGAATATCGTTCGGTTATTGGTCATTAGTTTATGCAGGAATACAAATCCCGCTCTGCTGTCTTTGCCTGTCATGGAGCATGGTAGGCTGATTTTGCTTTGCTACTCATCTGAAGCGCATATCAAAAGACGCTAGTCGATTGCGTGTATGAATGACTCATTAGCCAGCGAGCGCGAACTGCGGCATTAATTAATACATTCTGGAGTAGACGTGCTGCAAACAACAGACGGATAAAGACTAGACGGTGACAGGCATTAATGACATGTGTGGTGCGTTTCCTGTGGTTGGTGTGGATGACGTTCACACCAGGAATGAACCGCTCCGAGATCACCGCTTCAGGCGGACCAGAGTTCATTTATGTGGTCCGCACCAGAGTTCGAGGTCAGCGTTCACACTGACCGAAACGGACCACACCAAGGGGGTAAACGCTCCAGGGTTTGGTTCAACTGGTCTAAATGAGGGTGGTGTGAACACGCCCTAATTCTTGATGGAGCTGTTGCACTGCATTGCACTAGATTACACAGATAGTAAGAAGAAGTTGCTAGTGGCTGTCGCTAGATGACGTCATCGCCTAATTTGCAAAATTTCTCTGTCAAACCCACTGTCGCCACCAACCCCCCCATCCCCGGGAGGAGGAGGAGGAGAAGGAGTCTTCTGTGGGGTGTCTGAGTGTCTGTGTTTTTGATGTACACCGGCTCCCCGTCAAGAAGAGTAACATCTATTCCTGCGTTTATGTTTATGTTTATGTCTCTAAATTCCAGAAAAAGTTGCTAGATTTGTCACTAGGGGGTCTGAAAAGTCGCTAAACCTTGCTAGGTTGACAACACTGGGTAAAGAGCTGACCCGTGCATATTTACTGCATTTTTCACCGTCCCAGACTGTGCAGTCAGTTGACCAAAGTTTCTTGATGTAACAGAAATTTGGACCAATCGGGAGCAGCTGATCAGGCCGTGGTCGGCCCTCATGCTGTGTAAACGATGTGTGAGCGAGCTGGACTTCTTCCAAACTCCTAAACCCTTTGTGCAACAGTCAAAATTGACCTCAATTTGAACAGTGTGTGTCTGTCCAAAGAGGACTTTTCCTAAAGGAGGGGGTGACAATGATTTCTCACCTTTGCGACCACTGTCACAAAGTGTGTTGGCGTGGTCTCGTAGTCCAAAGTCTCACCAGGTTTGACTCTGAAGACACCGCTGTGTCCGTCGATGGTGAATTTGCCAACAGATGATGTCTGAAAATGAGCAAAGCAGAGTTGAACAGTCAAGAAACCGAGAACAGTTAAGCTTATTTTAAAGTCTCTCTTCACCTCTGTGTAAGTCTGACATTTTTCTAGTGCCTTTAGGGTTGTTTTTGTTTCATAGATGACACAGTAACAACCACTGTGCTGTCAGCTGTTGGCCTGCACCAAACCTAAGCCCTTATTAAGCCTTCAGTGCCTTGCTCAAATGTAATTGAAATTTAATCCACTAAAGTAACACCATTTCCAGACTGCTCTCTGGTACCAGATTAATCTTTCTCTCCCACATCACTCGAATGCCCTTTTCCTTCCACATGGCAAGCATAGCTCTCATGAATTAAGCTTGACCCTTGGCCAAACTGAGCCCGTTTAGAGTAACATAACAGGGAGGGTAAACTTGACAAAATGATGTGTTTTAGACTTATTCATATGGAATCAAGGAGACGTGAAAATAAGAGGGGGGAGAAACTGAAAAAGACAAGCTTGCTCACGCTTTGAAGTAAGGTTTTCTGGAGCTGAAAGGATAAGCCTGTTGGCTTGTCGTCAGGTTGTCAGAATAAATAGGTCTGAAGATGTAGGCTGAAGCAAAGCTATTAACAGCTAGACATGTGATTAGTAAAATCTTTCAATCAACTTTGAAAATCAACTGAGAGCTGTGAGCAAGCAGCTAAAACAGCATTAACTTTTTTTAGCCCCTGCTTTACTATAGCTCACTTTTCTGGGCACGTGTCAGTGCGAGGGCTTAAGTGAGCGAAGATAGAAACAGTCAGCTGAGCAAGGCCAAATAAAGGCAACAGAATGATTTTAGGGAATATGAGGCACACTTTATCTTTCTATGTAGGCAATGATGAAGATATGAGGGTCACATCAGCACATCATCTGCGTAACACCGAATCTTTTTACCTGTAGGTAGTAAGAGACGCTTCCTCCTGAGCCCAAATCTTTGTCCACTGCTTGGACTCTGTAGATGCTGCTTCCTGGAGCAGTATCCTGGTGATTAAACAACAGATTTCATAAACCTTTAATCATCTATAACTATTAGTTATTTGTTTGTCTTAGCCGGAAGTGAACAGGTTATTTGTGTCACTAAATGTGACCGGATCATAACAGTTTGTGTTACTGATTCATAATACTGTACCTCTGGGATGTCAATGATGAAAGGCAGGTTTTGAAACTCAGGTGGTTCATCGTTGGCATCTGTGATGAACACTCTTACTGTCTCAATGACCTGAAAGAAAACAAAATTTCAATTAGAAGTGGAGACACCTTGTTCAGACAGAAATAATGATGCTGAAAAGTGATCAGGGAATTTTTATTTCTACTTTCTGGAACAAAGGCAGTAAACGAACCACATCACCAGACAGGGGGTGACAATACCAGCAAAATTTCACGATTCACTGAACAGTTCATCAACACTTGGAAAAACGTCACATGAGCAGTAAAGACGTACCTTATTGCGACCGTCAGTTATGCTCACAAGTGCCGAGATCTCATCTTGTTTCTGCAAAGACAAAAGGTGTCAAGGTGTCACTGTCTCCGTGTTGTCACTTTTACCGCAGCCTCCTGTAAAGTCAGAGTCTCTCACAATCAGCCTCACCTCTCTGTCGAGCTCTTGAATTAAGGTCACGTTTCCTGACTTTGGTTCCGCCCTTAAATATTCCTGCGAACCTTTTTCAAAAGTTAGACAGTATCGAACCGGATCTCCTTCTGGGTCTGTTCCATTCAGGATGTAAACCTGCGTACCTGTTTGGTAAAAAGACAAAGAAACTGAAATTTTCTATCTATTATGCTTTTAAAATCATTTAAGGAGGGTTTAAATACCTTTGCTTTTATATTCTGTGTTTTATATTCAATATAAATAACATGTTTACCACTCGAGTCACATGAGCTGTCACTCAGGTGTTGTTTTCACCCTCCAAGACTAAAAATACGTCACGATCCAGTAGGTGTTACAGTGATTAGCTTTGGCCTCAGCACGAGTGTGTCAAACACCCAAACATGGACAGTATATCCTTTTAAATGACAGGAAATAAACAAAAACAGATCAATCTATCATGAGATTACGAGACTTACCAACTGGTGTGTCCTCAGAGATGCTAAACAAGGCCATATTTCCATTTGTGCTGCTGGGTCCATTGTCGTAAAAATATGGCGCGTAGTCTGTCTTCCCTTCGTGGGAATACAAAAGATTATGTTAATAAAGAAATAGTACTAGACTGTTAATCAAAACAGACAAAAAATACCATTTTATATAAGAAGGAGAAGAACCAAAAAGTGATACTAGACTACTGATCAATAACAAGTTCAAAATGTACAGAGAAAACTTGTAAAATGTCACATCTATCGAACAAGTTTGTCTAAATAAACAGATCTTATTGTTATTCAATGATGTGATGACTGTCGCACTCACTTGCTACAAAGTGCAGGAACCGACAGCAGAGGGAGAAAAAGGAGAATGGAGATAAATTGAATAATGTTTGTCTAATCTGGATTCAAGTTTCTGTGACAACACAAACATGCAATCACCCATTTCAATCAATAACTGCAGGCTGCATGCAGAGTCTACACTAAGATGTGCGTTAAAGGATTAACCAGATAAGAAGAGGGCAAGAAGTCTTAACCAGATGAACAAACAGTATAAAAGAAAGAGAAGCAGAGCCCTACCTGAGGTAAAGTGAATCAGGAGGAGGAACAGTAAAGCATGCGTTTTCTTTTCTTTCTTCATCCTGGTGGGGAGCTAAGGCTTGGCTGGCTCATGTGGAAGGCTTGGTGGAGGTAAAAAGGAGTATTGAGTGTCCTGCCCTTCTGGTGGCGTCTCAGCAGCTCAGGAGAAAGAAGAGGCTGGGACGGATTCTCAGGCACTAATCCAGTGACGCATCCCTTCCCTCCGCAGACATCTTCTGCCACACTCTCTCGCACTGATTTCTCCTCAAAGGCTGCGCGAGGAGGGAAGAGAGCTCAAGTTCCACACAATATGGTGTGATCATTGCACCTCTGCACACAGGTGTCAGAATACTTATGAGGCATAAAACTAATCATACTGTACAATTAAAAAGTCTTTGACTTCCTGAAACTTAGAGGTGTAATGTTGAAAACCCATTGTTCTCCCTTGTAAGTGCTAATAAAAGTCAAGTTAAAAAAAAACTAGGAACTTTTAAGTCATAAATGAGTTTGAATATGCTCATTAACACGACTAATTTTGCTTCTCTTTCTCATCTTTTAAAGGAAAAATATTAGAAGCCACATGAAACAATCTTCAAGTTTCTTGTGGCTGCTCTACTTGGCAGTGATGCAAATCTCATACTCACTTATGTTATGCAAAAACAATCAAACCTTTCCTCAGCCTCCCTAGTTCCTAGCCAAACACTCTTAACTGAGATACTAAACAGGCACCTCTTCATAAATAGTCAATAATGTCAGCCAGCGTTATGTTATTTTACTTTGGGCTGCAAGATTACTTTGTATTTTTAGTTCAGCTTAGTCTAAGTGTGTCATGTTCCGGATGATGTGCATCCTTAAGCGCTGTCTTACATCGCAAGAAATCCTCCTGGTATGAATCGCAGCAGCTTAGACAGGTCATGACCAAAACACAGCACTCAAATCACTACAGACGCAGAAGTAAACGACTGATCTGAAAGAGAAGACAGCTAGAAAAATGTACAAACTCATTCAACTTGTTGCAGTATCTCATTTAGACGGATAGTTTTCACTCCCGTATGAATCTCCTCACTTTAGCCTGCTGCTAGCTTGTTGGTTTGTGGCTAATGATACACACTAATATTTTTCAAAGGAGTACCTATGACATGTAAAAGTGGCAGTGCTTTTAAGAAAACTGTTTGTGAAGTAACTCAAATTACGCTAAAACTGGTCAATAACACACAAATCTGAATCTTATTTGAGGATATAAACAAACATTCACAAGCTAGCATGTCTGCGGCTACAGTTTATTGCTCAAAAGCTCTGAACAAGCTGAAACAAACAAAGGCTTAAAATGGCCCCTGTACGCATGAATGATGTTATCAAAAATTACAAACACAAAGTTTAGATGGATAGTTTTCACCCCCATATGAAACTCCTCCTCACATTAGCCTGCTGCTAGCTTGTTGGTTTTTGGCTAATCCACGCTAGCGTTTTTTAAAGGAGTACCAATGAAATGTTAAAGTGAAAAATATTTTTAAGTAACTTAACATAAAGTTAAAACTATCAATAACACACAAATCTGAATATTATTTGAAGATATAAATAAAAAAACAACAACAACAAAAATAAATAAATAAATAACACACAGTCTAGCATCTCTGTGACGACTGTCTATCGCTCAAAAGCTCTAAGTACAAAACAAACAAAAGCTGAAAATGGCCCATGTATGAATTATGGATGGGAGAAAAAAATCGATTCACTTAAGTGTCGTGATTTTTTGTATTACAATTTTGAAATCTGTTTTTATATTCAAAAATTTTTTTTTTCTCTCCAGATTTCAGAATAAATCTTTAAAACTGACTTACATGTGTATTTCTTGGGGAAATATGGTTCCTGGAATAGTCAGTAGACAATCAAAATCATTCAACCGTTTCACTGGTTTTAACCCCCCACCACCACCCCCAACTCACTCTTTTAATTTGATTTTAATTGGTATTATTTATTTCTTTATTTATTCCTTTGCTGTTGTTTATGTTGCGTTGTTGATTTTAACTGTTTTGATGATTGATGATTTTAATTGTTAATAGTGTTTTGTTATTATTGTTTTATATGTTCTGTAAAGTGTCCTTGAGTGACGTGAAGGGCACTTCAAATAAAATGTATTATTATTATTTAAAAATGCAGACTAAAAAGGCGAGAAAATCAACAATGTCGTAGATTCGCAACTTAAATCAAATCAGCATCCAAAAAATTTGAGAAGAATCGAATCAGGAGAAAAGCATATCGTCCCAGCCTTAGTATGTATGGATGATGTTATCGAAAATGACAAATACACAGAGTTTAAATAGTAACATTAAAACTCCTTATGCAGTCAGTCAGGGAAGCTTTTCTACACTCTTTATGAGTTGTTAGTAACAATACTAAAAACTCAGAAATGTGTTGATTATGAAGCGTCTAAATGTACAATATAATTAATACTACTGAGAGTGTTAATAAGTGTTAATTCATTTTTCATGACAAAACTCAAATGAATGAATAATTATAACATCTCTACATCCCAGATAGAGAGCAATCAGTAATTAGAAAACAACGTGAAGAATAAGTGAGGCTCAAATGAAATAAAATAAAGATAAAACTTGACTCAGCAAGCGGCTCAAGGAATCAACAAACAACGAGAGCAGGTCAGGCTTGTGTATACAGTCCACTTACACATAAGCACACTTGGCTCCGCATGCTGATATCTGGAAGCGTTTCAATTAACTCATTAGTCACATGAAGCAAGCCTCAGTGACCTAAACATCCGGAGGCTGCTCTCTTTGGCAGCAAACCTCGGCTGCACCTGTGGATCTGTCATGCAAGGATGTTTTTTAGCTGCGGTTTACCATTCCCTGGAGGTCCGGAAGCCTGTCAGTCACGAAACCATGAGACACAAAACAAGGCTGTGAGAAAAGACATTATCAAACACAGTATTTGATATAATTTTGTTGCATAGAAGCCTGTTTTATAATTCTAGCTTGGTTCAAAAGATGTTGTCCCTTCTATTACAAGAAACCCTTTAAATCACTGCCTTAAGGGGTCACAAACAATACAGCACTCCTATTCAGAAACACACACACACACTCACTCACTCACAAACCTAACATAACTTTGATTTAAATGAGAAGGAAATGTGACGTCAAAGGTGTAAAATGGGTGTTTTTTAACCCGTGTCTGAGGGCCCTCAACACATCTGCATTATCACTGCACACAACTTCCACTTTGGCTTTCAAATGAGTTTCACACCTTTTTTTTCCCCCTCAAATTAGATCCACTTCTGATGCAGGTGTAAGATGAGTGCACTTTATTTATGGGAGCTATACTGACTTAGTCACTCAGAGGTGTAGTGTGATGCACTTCCTGCATCCACAGTTATAAAAATAGAGCCTGACGTTCAATGACACTCATGTATATCTCACTGGCTGGCAGCCAATGGTAAAACTGCTGTATTCACTGAAATAAACCCAGAATCCAAGAAGTGCTCAGTGTTTTTTAGGGACAAATGAGGTGAAAGAATTTACAAGAGTGAGCGCTGAAGAGGCAGAAAAATGTAAATGAGATGACGTCAAGCTGGGGTCCTCTTAGCTCGACAGTATCTTAGCTGTTCAGACAGAGACCTTAGATGTTGTTCCTGAAATCTGCTGGAGTTTGGGGGTCAGAGCTTTAAGTGCTTACACCTCTGGCACCGCTGTTGCCTTCACTCCCCACATTTTCTAAAACTCTTCCTTCAGATGTTGGTATTTCGCCTTGCCTGCCAGCGTCTTACACCCTGCTGTGATGAGCCGCACTGTCTTATGGGTGTCTCCGCACAGCCTGCGTTTTGGTGTGTTTCTCCAATATCACGCACTTCTTCAACTTGCAGTTTGGGGGGTTATCCTCCATGACAGCCCCTCTAGCTCCTCATCTTGCCACTTGGGTTTCTGCTGTAATGTGTACACAAAGCAGGCCCTGCGCTTCCATCTACTGTCTGAATGTAGATCCTAAGGGTGCTGGATTTAAAAATAACCCTTTTGTCTTGATGTCAGTGGCCTCTATTTCTTCCTTTGGCCGGGCTGGGTATCTGATCATTGGCAGAGTGTAGGTGTTGATAGCTTGGATCTGATTCAAACCATTCAGCTCACTCTTCAGGACCTGCCTGCCTTGCTTACTCATAGTCCCATCTGCTTGTGGGATCCCAAGGTGTTTGAAGCTGTCCTGAACATCAACTCATCATCTGCACCCTTTTTAGAGCTAAAACCAGAAAGTCCCACTCCGATTTTTTTGTTTACTACTTAAAGTGTTCTCAGAGGTCTTTAAATTGGGATTATTGAGTTTTTAGCCAAAATTGTGTTACCTGTGTCATTTTTAAGGGTTTTCCTGTGTAGAGCTCCAGTAGCTCATTAGCAATTTGCCTCTGAGTTGTGGGCGGAGACAGCGCTTCTCTGCACACTTCTCTTCGCGTTAGCATGCAGCCTAACACTGCCGGTGTTGTAGAATTAGCATTTAGCATAGGAGCTATTCAGCTGCAATTCGCTACCACACACCCTTGTTCTACAATCGTCTCCTCTGCAGGGGCGGAGTTTGGATTTGCTACATAGGAAATCTCTCTGTTTCTGACCCTGCCGTTTGGTTCTGCCAGAGATTTACAGCGATTTGAATGCAGAAATACTCAGAAATGCAATTTCGCACTTTTCTCATGATGTGTCCTGTAGCATCAGAAAAATGTTATACCACCATGTAAAAAACAGGAAAAACCTGATTTTCATTGGAGTGGGTCTTTAATGCCAAACCATATAATGTTAAAGTTATATTTCCAAAAGATAAATTTCACAAAACCCCCACAAATGTCAGCTTAATAACAGTGGAGAAGTGAAGGGGATCTTAAAAGCCAGTCAGAGTCACTATTCTCCATTTGGTAAACAGTATACCACACAGGATAAGTAGAGAGTTTCACACACTGGTTGTTAAGATATGTATAAAACCAAGATTTATTCTTCTCTGGGAACCATAATTTCAATCAAATGCATCTAATCCATCTCTAGCTGTTCAGACATGTTCAGTCATGGTGGACCAATCAACAGACAAAATCCCTGAACACTGTAAGCATGACTGTGAATCAATTTAAAAAATGATCTGAAAACTGTACCGTAAAGGGCTTAGACTGAAAAAAAAAAAAAAAAAGGAGTTGGAGTGGTTATGTAAGAAGAAGAGCATGAGAGGTCAGAGTTCCCAAGGTAAAGACCTGGAGCTATAATAATAACATGCATGTGTGGAATTATTGTTCTCTGGATTTGTTGAATGTCTATATCTCCCTCTCGTTCTCTCAAACACTAAGTCTAAGCAGTAAAAACCTTGGACTTTAACCAAATATTGGTCATCAATCTGAACATGACTGACAGAGAGCAACTTTATCCGCAGTAATGGCAAATTCCCACGAGCTGAAGCTTTCCAGTCTCATCCATTATTGCCCTCTTTATCCCTCCCATCTGTAGTGTATTTTTTTTCACACATTGTATAAAAATCATTCCTGTCTTATATGTGAATACGATCCGAGTGATAAGAAACATCACCTCGCAGCTGTATCATCCATGTATGCATACTTTAATGAAGCACCTGCATATTTACAGATGTTAGCATCTGTTGGAAGTGCCCTGGTTTGGAGGTTTAATTTTAGAGGAGCGGCCAGATGGTGGACAAGAGGATTACTACACTAAGCCTTTGTCATCTGCTGCCTCACACTGACTGTTTATAGGCAAATACAAGGTGGACCCAGGCTGGTGCCTCCTAGAGGGAGAGATGGTGGTTATGGAGGTGTTTAACTCATGGAGTTAGGGGGGAAACATACATTTATTTTTCCAGTTGTCCATACAACTCTGAAAAGTATGTGCATTTCTGTTTGTGGTGTTAAACTCTGGAACAGCCTGGATATCACTTTAAAAATGTCTAATAGCATCGAAATATTTACATCAAATTATAGAGAAGTATTAAAAGATTCATATAGGTTAATTGACAAAAATATGGTTTTATACTAGATATAGTTGATTGCATAAAAGTAATATTAATTCTTAATATTATAACACTGATTATTATTATAATATGTAAGTAATTATAATAAGTTACCTATTGAGTGTTGAGCAGATATCTTTGTGTATTGAATGTATGTATTTATACAGATCTTTGTTATTTATACAAAAATAGTTTTTTCTTTTTATAAATCTCTAACTTGCAAGGAAGGGTCAGGATTAGAAAAGCTTTTTGCTTCATTCTGTTCCTTCTCAAACTGTTTATTTTTGACATACATATGTTGTGTTAATTTATCTTTGATATGTACAGGTGTTTGGTGTACATATGTATTATTTTGTTCGGTGTTTTTGTTTCTAGTTGTTTTCTTTGTTGTTCTTAAAAACTTAAGATTTATTGGTGCAGATCTTAAGTTTTTTTATATACTCCGCCAATGAAGTTTTTCATCGAGCATCTAAAACTCAACTCTGACTGCCATTGAACCTCGGATGAGATTAACAAATTGCAGTACATGGGTAGACTTCTAGAAGACTCTATTATTGGCCCAGAACACTAGGGGCCTTTGGTGTGTGTACCACTATCTTGTGTGAACTTAGTGTGATTTATTTGAAGATATTTAACTGACATGCAAACTGGGAAGTTTTAAAGTTGATCTGAGAAGAAATGAAGAAATGAAGCTCAGGTCTAGTCCAGTCTAGATTTAAACTATGCTTTTTTCCTTAATCTGCTGTTTCACATTGACTGTGCCATCCTTTGTTTTCTGGTTTTGAGGTTAAAGCAAACGTGGTGATGTGATCTTTTACTCTCCAACGTACATTTTTATATTACAGTTTCTTCATTTATTAAAGAAGGGCCCTGACCGAGAAAGTTTGTAAACCACAAACCATAGCAGCTAAATGCATCAATCTCACACAACTTTAAAAACAAAACCAAGAAGAAATCTTTAATTTTTTTGTTGCATGTTTATTGATGATTCCATTGCTGAAATTACTGATTTTCTCAAAAATATATGACCAAGTGCTAACCTCTTTGGCCCCTCACAGAACCACACCAGTGCATGTTGGAGAAAGTGCGTACAATGTTATTATACTGAATCTGAAGAAGTCTATTGTTGGTGTGTCATTTCTGTTGTGCTAATATGTATTGTTACTCTTTCGTTCTCATTAAAACAGGAATAAGAGGAAATAAATATGAACAAAGAATACAAATTATGCAAATAGACACGATTTAACCCATCCGAGACCCTCAGGGTGAACCAGTTACTGCCACAATCAAGTCAAAAGCCCTCAATTGGTTTGGCAATCTTCTTTCCACACTTACAAAGCAGTCATGTTTGTTTACCAGTCAGATAAGACTTATTACTAAGAGATCACACCTGGCAAATGCTGCTAGAAGTACAACTTAATTTTGTTCAGCTCTGTGGAAGGGGAAACTTAAAACTGAATTCTGCCGTTTACTTCCTCCTGCCGCCGCCGCCGTTGGCCAGAATCATCACCAGTCTCATGAAGATGTTGAGAGTGTCCATGTAAATCCCCATACACCTGAAGAATCAATAAGCACATGAGGTGAGATTCATATATTCGGCACAGGTGCGCAGCTTGTATCACTCTGTTTCACAACATTTCCAAAGGTCACTTACGCATTAATGGGATCATATTTCTGTACGCCGTAGAGAGGGTGAGTCTCTGCCCTCTTAATGACCTTCTGTGTGTCATATAGGAGGAACATGCTGAACAGGACCAGGCCGCCATAAATAGCCACAGAGTACAAACCTGCTCCGAGTGTTGAGGTGGGCGGCATGAACATGGACCCTGAGGAAGACAACACATTCATGGTGAGACTGGCGGTACAATAAACACACATATTTAGCCACAGATTAAAGACAGCTCTTATCGAACCTAAAATGTCTTAATCCACCAAGTTTCTCCAGGGGTAATAAATACAGAGCATACAAAACACAAACACATATTGTGTGACATCAAACTAATTCATTTGCATAAATCAGGCGGATAAGTTGTGCGAGTATTCACACTTCAGGTGTGAATACTTGCTTCATGAAAACGATGTCAAGAAACAGTGACATCTCACAAAGCACTAGGGGAACATAGCTGAGGTAAAACGTGATGCCTGTACTTTAACACCGAGGTTATAATCAAGAGTTCAGCTCACCTGGTGTAACAGATTACAAAACGCCCCTTAAGTTAATATTTTGCTTATAAGATAGTATTTCTTTTTTATTTTCATTGATATGGAGTGTGAACACAAACACACAGTTGCATCAGAGACATCAGAGTGCTCACCAAGAGAAGAGGCAAAAACTACTCCAAAACCGACAGCCAAAGGTCCGCCCATATTGAGGAACTTCTCACTTGGGGCGCACATGGCCACAGTGGACAGACCTCCCACAATGCCTGCTGTGTACCAGGCGGCCCTCATCATCAGAGGTCCCCCGAGGAGAGTGAGGGGAGCAATCACAGCACCCATCACACCTTTAAGAAAATTGGAAATTGTAATAAAAATATTAAAAACGAGACATCTGCTCCTGTGTGGTTTAAATGTTTCATATTCAAACATCAACAGAGGCCTTTGTTTTCAGAGGCTTGACATGAATGCCCTCTGCTGACCAACTGAGAGAATTACACCACAGGAAAACTACAGACTGGGATAATAAACAGAATAATAAACTAATATTTGACACTGTCAAACAGACCTGCATGAAACATCCAAGCGAGGTGTTTGGGCATCGGACTGTGCTCATATGAAATGGACCTGACCAGCATACCAGCACCAATCATGGCTGCAAAAGTTGCTCCAATAGCCTGAGTTAGAATAAACATCAGTCGTTATCATGGTAACCAATTACTTTCAGTCACAAGTATCCAATTTCATCTGAAGACACACTGCAGTGAGACCTATTAAAACACATCTGTCTCTGTTGGATCAGGCTGAGTTAAAAGGCTTACCAGCCAGGATCCTCTCATCATCAGACCCATGAGTGCCGGGGTCCTGCTCACAGCTACAGCTGACAGAGCGGTGAGTCCGACACTGCCTGCAAAGTACATGTAGGTGGAGTGGATCCTGTCTTTCACATACTGAGGCCAGATCCTGCAGAAAGGGAGAGGGATGCATGGTGACTGAAGAGCTTTCAGAGAGCAGCAAAGGATCTGTGCTTTAGTCAGAACAAAACGGCGTTACTCACGCTGCCTTCTCGATGGCACCAATTTCATTAGACATGCCGAGTCCATAGTAGCACAGAGCTCCCAGGCCAATAGCTGCTCCTCCAGCCAGGATCATTCTCCCCATGCTGTCAACTAAAGACACACCCTTGTTTACATCTCAAACACTTCAAATTCCTTTGCAATTTAAAAATAACAGTTTTTGGAGTGAAACGTTTTGACCGTCACAGGTAAAGGTAACGTCTTCATTTCAAAATGGCAAAGCATCAAGTAAATCTCTGAAGTATCTGAGCTCACCATAATTCAGCACAACTGTTAAAGGTTTATATAAATAGTGTACACTGATTACTTTTGATGGCGGTTTCTGTTGGTTCAAAAGCTGCATCTTTGAACTGCTCTCTGGCTGTCTTCGCACGGCGGAAACCAAATCTGGACTTGGATGACAAACCCTGGAGGAAAAATAAATAACATGATAAAATACCTTTGCAGATCAGGAGACTGGAGTTTCATTTCCACGTTAGTCAACCAACACAGAACAAAGGTCAGTTTGTTTGTGAGTTAGCAATATGCATTTGGTCCTCAATCAACCTCATAATTGATAGACGTCTTAAAGGGATATTCCGGCGTAAAATTAAGTTAGGGTCAAACAGACCGTAACACCAAGTTAGACACCCCGTCCAGAGATGAATGTTGCTGATCGCTTGCTTCTCTAGTTATACCAACTTAAGTAATGACCTTAAGTTGACAAGTTGCAGTGGGGTGACGCAGCTCAAGGAAGCACATTTATGATCATTACTTTATCATTTCCTCGAAGTAATAATCACCATATTTATAATTTTGCACTGCAGACATGGTAGTTCTTCTACCTTAGCATCTCTGTCTGATTGCATTTCCATGAAGAAATGATCATAAATGTTCTTCCTTGAGCTGTGTCACCCCACAGCAGTCCCTAATGGACTGGCCCAAACAAGCGGCTGTTGGAAGAGAGTGGCTGAGTTGTATTTAGCTTCTTTGCTAAAGAAATTAGGCAAAGTTAAAAAGATGTTTGGTGGCTAGTACTATGACTGGGACCCTATATGTACTGTTGATGAAGTTAGGTGCTGTTCTGAGCATTATTTGTGGCTATAGAGTGGTGTTTTGGTTGAGCGCGTGGCTCTCTGTATTGCTATCATACGGTCTTTACTTAAGTTGGTTTAACTAGAGAAGCAAGTGGTCGGCAACATTAATCTCTCGACAGGGTGTCTTACTCGGTGTTACAGTGTGTTTGACCCTAACTTAATTTTACGCCGGAATATCCCTTTAATGTCTCATTTCAGTTTGACTATTCCGCAGTTGTTTTTGCTGTCGTTTTGCAAAAAGAAAAAAAAACAGAAAAGAAATTCAATTTAAAGGGACACTAATAGAGTCAGATAACTGCTGCAGGTTTGTGATACTCCAAGATTTCATACCAAAAATCTACACACTATATGTTACAGTGGCTGATGTAATAGGGAGTAAATGCAGCAGCGGAAACTAGGCACCATGTCTGTTAGTGTGAACTTCACCATACCTGCTGGGGCCTGAGTAGAGGGGAATAGGTCTTAAGGATGGGTGTTCTCAGGGCAGGAGAGCTTTGTGTCAGCACAGGCCGGAGTCCTGCGAGAGGGACACTCCTCAGGCATGTCAGCCTCGCCACCAACATGATCACAATAAGGTATTTATCTCACCTGACAAGCAAACACAGCGCCAGTTAATGGGACACAAGCATACTTGAATGTGACACATGTAAGGATAGAAACTAAACATTGTCACAAAAATGTCAAACACACGCTTTTTGTTACACACTGAGCAGCTGCTGGAGAGGAAAACACTTTACATCATAACAGGTCATGCCTACAGTTAGCTAATGTTAGCTAGCACACAGCTGCGTCATTTTAAACACAGTTTAGCTCTGAAATCTTTGAGGACTTCTACTACAGACGAGCTCATTCTGAGACAAAAAGGCGACATATCTTAAATTAACAATAACATTTCCGCATTATGTATTTTATGTTGCCAAGAAAGTAAGCTCAACGTTACGTACCGAAAGAGCAGTGCACTGCGTTCACCTTTCTAGAAAAAAGTGCGCACGTTTCTGACGCAACTGTTTTTGTAACCCTTGTCGCTTGTGTTGCTACTCGATTCCATAGACATAATGTACGTAGACGCCTCAAGGCCTGACGCTGCCTGTTGGCGCTCTCGTATCGGCGCGGCCGCCATCTTGGATGGGTCCCCCGTTCGCCTCCAGTGCATTAAGGTAAGCATGGATGCCCAACCATGTTGATAATAACTCTCCGAATCTCTGGCCGATTTACATACTGTTTGGTTTGTTACAACGGCAGGGATGTAGCAATAATACAGGACAATGTCACACATTAAAAAAATGTATATTTTTTTCAATCATATTTGTGAAATGTAATCCTACGTGATCTGGTTTCAATACTGCGTCGGTTTTTGTCAACCATAGAGTGCAATGAAACGGGCATAGTTGCTCGTTCTCCATTGACCCCGTTTGGCGCCTGTGCGAACCTGGAATGGGGAGACCCATCCAATATGGCAGCGACGCGGGATTACGCTCCAGCACGTAATGAGGCGTCTACGTGTATAATGTCTATGCCCGATTCCGTCCTGGAAACCAGATTCGTAATGCGCCCATACGAAACGTACGTCACTTCCTCTATCAGCCATCAATGGAAACCATCTTATATACAGTCTATGATGGAAACCGAAATCCGCACATGGTGGCCATCTTGCTTCAGGCAGCTGGCCCACTCAACATTACAGTCTATGGTGCATGTAGCATTTACATAACCATAGATTGCTTAATATTAAACCGATTTTCGAACGGTTTGTAACAAGCCTCAGAGTTTTAGTTATGTTCTTGCATACTCAAGAATAAATTCAACTATGTATTTTCATTAAGCAGATAGGCAGAGCAATAGCTTTAGGCCTACGCCATAAACTGTACATATAATGGACAGCGTCTGATACCTTGCTGGTGAAGCCACTCCGGGTTATACAGACTGCCGTATAGGTCATAAATCTCACCTCTGCCAGCAAAGCCTACAGTGCTTTGGACAAACTTTAGAAGTTTATTACACATAACATATTTTTTTCTCCCCCTGCTTGCAGTGTTGACATATAGTTACAGTAAGACTGTTTTGTGCTCAAATCCTCTTTTTTCTGTGCAACTCAGTTTTTAAAAGTTATTAGGGGGTTCATGTTTTCTTTGATTGACACCTGATACAGCCTTTGACGGTTGGAGAGGTAAGATGAGATCCATGAGAGTGCGGTGTTAGTGATGTGGAGGTCGGATGATAAACACTTCAGAAGGATGGAGTATTTGATGGTGTCGAAAGCGGCAGACAGGTCCAGGAGGAGGAGGATGGTAAGTTGGTTGGAATCAGAGGCGAGCAGGAGGTCATTTGTGATTTTTAGCAGTGCTGTTTCTGTGCTGTGCTTGTTGTGGAATCCTGATTGGAACGGTTCAAGCAGGTTGTTGGATTGGAGGTGGGCTGTGAGTTGTGAGGCGACGGCACATTCTAAGATCTTTGACAGGAATGGTAGATTGGAAATAGGGCGGAAGTTGCTGGGACAGTTGGGGTCAAGGCCGGGTTTTTTCCTGTTTTTTCAGGATGATGGCGGCCAGTTTGAGGGATGGTGGGACAGAGCCGGAGATGCACACACAGGGCGCAAGGAATGCAACATCCTCTGCTCCTCAGATGCAAATGTTGGAGCAATTGTTGTTGTTGATGTTTTAAGATCAAAACAAAACCTTTATTTGACTTGACGAATGCACATTTGTAACATTCACACAGTGAACAACAGGCGCCATTATTGGGGCGTGTGTGTGAGAGAGGGTTGTGCTTGGGAAGCTAGGATGAGTGAGTAAAAAACACCCCAAATATGTTTAGAACTACAAATGAACTTTATTCTGTCCATTCTTGTTTTTTTTTTAATGTCACAACAAGTTTTTCAATTCGTCGATAGAGGGGTCTGAAAACTCGCCAAATATAGCAACAAGGCTGTAAGTTGGCAACACTGGCTGTGAGGTTATGATGTGAATATGTGTGAATAATGTGCTCCTATCCCTGATGTCCCTGGGTGATATATGGCCAAAAGAATGTATATCATGTAAGTGAAAATTGCAGGAAAATGCGTATTTTTGTGATTTAAAGAGCTCTAGTGACTTCCATGTTGGTCTAAGATGAACACATACAGGCTTAAATGAAAGCCACAAGGGTCCCCTTTAAAATGATACCAAACAGTCTATTGTAAACCTTTGAGAACTGTCCCTGCCGTGAGCCTAAACCAGATATACACCAGAGTAAGAAAATCAAATTTATCTTAAGGGGTGGTTAACTTCATGAGCTGCTAAACAATATTTAGCTAGGCACCTGGAAAGGTTATCATACAAAAATATAATCTACAGACATGTATCTTGTCAAAAATCATGATGAACCTTTGCCACCCTGAGGTGTACCAAATAGTGAAATTCTGGCCTCTGGCCCATAGCCTCAAATTGTAATGAACGCTGATAAAAGTGAGTAAAAAAGTGAGTAAAAAACACCCCAAATATGTTTAGAACAACAAATTAACTTTATTAAGTCGATTCTTCTCTTTTTAATGTCACAACTACAGCCCTCCTCCTTTATCCGGGCTGGGGACCGGCAAAATTGACTCAATTGAGACAATTTGGCGGAGTTACTGTTTTTTTTTTATTTTTTATTTTTTTTTATACATATAAAAATATTTTTTTAAATACATTTTTTAAAATATTTTATTTTTTTAATAATTTTGAAATGGCTTGTAGGGTGTCTATGGCAATGGGGACTCAGGGATGATCTGGAACACTTGGGGCTGGTGCACTTTTCCTCATCCTTTTCTTTTTCTTGCCCTGAAAAACAACATAACATTGTTACATTTCTGACCTGGTAACACCAGACTATGCAGTGTCAGTAGTATAAAGCAGCTTTTGAAATCTCACATCACAACATTTGTGATGCTGCTGTGTATAGATTGTGTACTTACATAGTTGTTGATGGCTGACCAACCAGGGTACAGCCGACTGTGTTTTTCCTTTTCCACTCTGGCCATTTCTTTAAAGTCCCCTCTCTGTTCCTCTGTAAGCTTCTTCCACTGTGAACAGACAAAAACATATTGTCAGAAACACACTCATTTCCATACTGGATCAACATTAACAGTTACAGTGAAAAGATAAAGTAAAAATCTTTGATTTATTTAAACCTGAGTGAACCATGTCCTGACACACTTACCCACTGGCCGAGGAAAGCGTTCATCACTGCGCTCCCTTTCTCTGCAACTTCAGATGGTACATCTTCTCTGTACATCCTCATAAACATCATGAAAGCATTTGGTGGCTTTTTGATGTATGAGCTGTCCTCCTGCTCCATTTCCCTTTTTCTTTTCCTGTTGGTCAAAATCAGAGAGAAAGTTAATGTTGTTGCTCTATCAAACTTTTTTAATTGAATAAATGTTAAGGTATGTCTAATGTCATTTCCATTCTCTTTGCTTATTATCATGATCGTTTATGAATAAAATACAGTTTGAGTAATTTGAATCAATACATACCTTGAGTTGGAGGCTGTGGGAAGAGAAACAGCGGGACTGGCACATGCATGCTGTTGGTCAAAGAGCTGAAGGGCATCTTCAACTCTTGTGACCTCTGCAAACTGTCCAGCCCCACTGTTTGCTGGGTGAGGGGTGGTGTTAAACCCCAAACCAGCAGGGTATGTTGGGGATGGAGGTGGAGGTGAAAAAGACGGCAGAGGTTCAGTGTACAGGATCTGGAGCATGTCATCCGCCAGCAGGTCACCATCTTCAGCCAGTGTCTTTAACACTGTGCGGGGACTGTCCAATGGGCTCTCTAAGTCAAAAAGCTTGAGTACATCCTCAGTTGTGAACTCCGTAGCCTCTTCATCGGAACATTCTGCTGAATGAGGTGGGGTGCTAAACCCAAAACCAGCGGGGTGTGTTGCTGATGAAGGCAGAGGATCAGTGGTCTGGCTCTGCATTGGAAGGTAGTTTGCCTCAAAGAGCATGTTGTCACACAGTGTCTTGAAGACTGTGTGGGGACTGTCCAATGGACTCTGTAGATCAAAGTTGAGTAGAGCTTCAAATGTAAAGTCCTCAAAATCTCCACTGGAACTGCCTGCTGAGTGAGGGGGGGTGTTAAACCCAAAACCAGCCTGGTATGTTGGTGGTGGAGTTGTCATGATTGACAAAAACTGCTCTTCTTCTCAATAACTTGGCTGACTCGGCTGAAATACTCTTCAAACTTTGTCGCGCTCAAGTAGACTTTGGCTATCCTGCTTCGGTCTGGAGGTGAAGAGACTTCTGTTTCAGTTACTGACTAACCTCTGATGTTATCAGTCATGCTTGGTGACATCACCTCAATTTTAAAAAATGCCGTGCAGGAGGACACTCCATTCAATTTTTAAAAAATGCCAATCAGAATCTGCAATCATGACATATGGAGCCAGATCAGGCTCAAAAGTATTGAAAAAGTAGTGTAAGTGAAAAAATAAAAAGTGAAGTGAAAAAATAAGATTTGAACCTGAAAAAAATAAAATGGTACCTGAAATGGTTCATTTTCTTTTCTTCCTCTTCGCTTGTCTCGCTGCGAGATGCGGTCGTCGCCATGTTTGTGTATTTCTGATGCTATGGCAACGAGACTCGGCTCCTATTGGTTCACGTGACAAAAATCGCTTCACCCCCTGCATATTCGATTGCGCGTGTGCGTATTACTACGCCGCAGAAAGGAAATAGTTCGACACCGAAACACTGATTACTAAAAATCGACAGGATGACATGATTAGATATATTTTTTTTAGTACTTACTATCAATAGAGCTTTTTAATGAATCACAGTTTATATTGTACACTAAAGTGGAACGAACCAACACGATCTCATTCAGCCAATACAGCCTAATTGTAGGCTAAGCTAATGTGTATTCATGCCACTTCCTGAACGCAGGGTGATGGGGTGGGGAAGGACGGGGAGGCCTGTCACTCATGGTAGACTGCGCCCCTCTCAGTCGAGGCCCACCCCCACGGAAAAACAGGCTCAAAAGTCAACCTGAAACTTTTCAAGTTGAATCTGAAAAAAGAAGATCTGAATCTGAAAAAAAAAAATCTGAAACCGAAAAAAAAGTTTTGAATCCGTAAAAATAAGATCTGAATCTGAAATAAATAAATAAAATTCAATCGAAAAAAAAAAGTACTCAAAGATCGAAATATACATTGAAGTGAAAAATAGAAATAAGTAATTTATTCAAAAGTATTAAAAAACAGAATCAAAGTTACATTTGAACAGATTTTTTTCATGCATTCTGGGATTTTTCAAAGTTTCAGGTACCATTTTATTTTTTTCAGGTTCAAATCTTATTTTTTCACTTCACTTTTTATTTTTTCACTTACACTACTTTTTCAATACTTTTGAGCCTGATCTGGCTCCATAATGACAGACTTGATCTCAGTCAAACTGCAGTAAATCTTTTCTATACAGTTTTGATTGGATGTATAGGTGGTCTCTAAAGCAATGGTTGCATCATGAGTTGATGGGAGGGGATGACATGATGTTGTTGTGTTGCTTGCGTGTTTTAACACCTTTGAATGCAGTGAGACTTGCATGTGTCCACTAACAGTGGTTTTGCAGCTTTTGGGCCTCATTTTTAGGTCACCATGATTTTCACATTTGTTTTTGAATTGTGTGTGTGCGTGCATTTATCATCATTTGAAAATCTTTAATTTTGCTTGTGAATTGTTGAAAAATGTGTTTGTGGATGATTTTTTTGTTGTATTTTATGATACAGGTTCCCACAGTTGGACTTGACATATTGGAAGAAAAGTAGGATCATCAAACAGAGCAGCAGATACTCTCAGGTGATGTTATTTATCATCCGTGTTTGTAAATTTCATCAGTGTTTTAATTACTGGAAAATTAATGATTGCGTTGTAGATGAAACACGACTTAAAGAAAACGTAGAGATCAAAACATCAGGGTTACGATTTATTGAATTTATTCACAAAAAATCACAAATCAGCTGACATTAATGTGTTTTTTAAATTTTATTCACTGCATGAAAAAACAAACAGTATGATTGACTTTTCTGTAAATTAAATCAGTCTAAGGTTTTTTGTCATGACTTTAAAGTTACGGTACTGCTAAAGCAGCCTTATTTTCATATAATGTTGTTTTGAAACCAGATAAATATGGACAAAACAAAACAAGTTGTCTTTAATTCTACCTGTAAACTCTGGTGGTTTCCTAAAAAAATAAAAACCTCAATCAAATATAACTGTCCACGAGAGGGCGCTGTTTCTACACAAAACTGCCCTGCTATAAATAATGACTATTCCACTTAATTTAAAATAAAAAATCATATACCAACACATTTTATGCATCTTTATCAACATATTTATGGATAATTCAATAAATAAGTACACCTTTGTATCTGACAGAAACATACTTGTAGTATAAATTGTGACATGTTATTATGTTATTTCCAGTTGACTTGGTGTCTTTAAATTTTCACCCACCGCTGACTTCCTGTCTCATAACTCCCCAGTTTACCTCTCTGGAAACACTGGGGGGAAACCCCACCCACCGGGCCTGTTTCCCAGGACTTGCTTCAAGATCACCTTTGTGCCGAGCGGGTCTCGAACCAGAGCTGCTGCATTAGGATGTCCGTTGCATACCACACTGCGCCACCGGAAACCATCCACAGCTCCGCGCTGTTTTATCTTGGTACCTTTGGCTCCTGGACTTTAAAATTCATTGTGGATAAGGTTTGAACACACAACCTCAGGAGACCCAGCCAGTCTCCTTATCCTTTGAGCCATGTGGACACTCAGAAGAATTCAGTTTTTTTACTATTTCACTGTCCTTTCTAGACACTAGACTTTAAAATTCACCTTGACCTAGGTAAGGTGAGGCTCCAACCCACAACCTCAGGAGTCAAAGTCAGTCTTCTTATGCTCTGAGCCACATGGAGACACAGGAGGGTTCCATTTTTTTCCTATTTCACTGTCATTTCTAGACACTAGACTTTAAAACTCACATTGACCTGGGTAAAGATTAAACTCGTGACCTCTGGATTCCCTGATTAAAAGAGAGACACACTGTCACAGTGTGTTTGTGATTTATATTGTTTTGTACTTGTCCCTTTTCTCTTCATATGATACACTTGCTAACGATGCCTCTGTTATTGTATTGTACATGCTCTAGTTAAAGAAGTCGTAACAAAAGTAAAATCCTACTCCAGTTGTTTCTTCAGTTATTTTGCAATTGGCGTTGCAGTTTATCAAGTTTCCCAAATCTGTGAGCAGGTATGTCTTATTCTCAGACCAACCAAATTATAGGCTATCACTTCAGCACTTTAAACTTGCCTATAAACTCAGGTTACATTTCCAAAATTCTCTATGCCAACAAAAAAATCCAGCTACTCTTAAAGGGATATTCTAGTGTAAAATTCATTTAGGGTCAAACACACAGTAATACCGAGTTAGGACACCACTGACTGCTGTGTATTGCTATCATGCGGTCGTTACCAAAGTTGGTATAACTAGAGAAGCAAGCGTTCAACAACATTAATCTCTCGAGGGGATGTCTAACTCGGTGATCTGGTGTGTTTGACCCTAAATTAATTTTACACCGGAATATCCCTTTAAATGACACAATCTTGTCAGACAGAAAAGGAATTTGAATTCAGGTTGAGGACTTTAATTAAAAGCACTCAAACAAATTTCTGATGAAGTTTTGGGCATTTTGTTTGATTGGATTTGTTAAAATTGATTTGACAAATTAAAAACAATTATAAAAAAGGGAAAACAGTTTTTTTCTGTGTGTGTGTTTACCCAATTCAAAACATGTTATATTTCCTACACTCCACTAGGCGGCGTGTTTGCATCGTTTTTTGTAACTGTCTTTTTATCTCTAACTCATAGAAATACACTTTAGAGGAATAAACACAGCATTAAATAACAGTATCAGACTTTTATTTGAGGCAGCATTGTTGCCCATCATCATATGTCTTGTTTTTTATTGACAGTGGGTCTGTGAGGGGGTGATGGTGACAGTGCGCCTCCTCCTCTCTCTGAAGCTCTGCTCTTTTGAACCCAAAAAAGTTCCCTCATGTGATTTCACTGAGTCGCAACTGTTGCAACAGAGTTGGCATTCAGTCCTGCATGCTGCCTGACCTGCAGGCACCAATATGACTTCATCTAATCTGCAGGTTTCATTCACCAGAGCCACTCGGGATTTATTTGGGATTGCTCCGTTTTTGTCACTCGAGTAAAACACTTGGGAAGTAATGGGACTACTTTCTGTCCGGAGCCGCTCTTTGAGGGAAAGTTGACGGACTTTACGGATGAGCCAGAGGAGCGAGGACGCGCTGAGACACCGCCGCTCATTATCATGGTGGGTATGGAGGGCGGACAAACTGTCCCTTATCATAACGCTCGAGGGGTTTTCACGTCCAGTAATAAGACATTGGGAAGTAGCTGCAATGAAGTCAGTTTAAAAGATCAAGATATTACAGCCTACTTACATTGTTTTAGTAGCTGCTTTTCTTAAATTTTTACTGTTTGTCCTGATGACCTTTTAACTTTGCTTTTGCTTTGCAGAGGCCCTGACTATTTGGTTATTTAACTTTACCAACTAGGCTACTGACTTTCCCCAAACATAAGATTCAATTCAACTTTGACAAATTTATGAATTAGCAGCAAGTCTCTTTCATGCACTCAAACCATTATCACACATGCCTTCATTTTCTGACAATAAATATGCACTATGAGCACTTCATGTACACCTAAAAGTGCAAAATCACCACACTGTCCATACACGTACTAAAACCAGCGTGATTTTCGCCTCCACCCTGATCTTAATTAAGCTTGTGGTGCCTGCATGCCTCTCTCCTGTTCTCCACCCCTTCCCTGATTGATAAACTGTGACTACTAATAACATTGAAAATATATTCTGTCCCTGTGGATATGCTGTAGTGGAAAAAGTTGACTCCAACAACCAAGAAAATAAAGTCTAAGTATGTCAACAGAAACTTTTTAAAAGTCTACAACACAGACCTGACCACAGTTTCCTTTCCAGGTGCACTCATTACATTTCCTGTAACTCAAGTGCAATATACTTCAGCTTGGTGTCATAAGTCAGTGACTGTCACCAAAATAGAACAAACTGATTGCACTGCGGAAAACAAAAATCTCCATGTATACAAATGGACCGTGATTATATTGTGCTGGGGCCTTTCTTCTGGTAAAGTACGTACGCTATTAAGAGAGAACTAAATAACAGAATTTATACCGCTCAGGGATGATTATGGATTATTTCTTTAGAGCTCAGCATTAGGCTGAAATGGTGACATGTCACAAAAATGAGGAATCAAGTCACCACTGATAACCTGTTTCAAATTTAGCGAAAAAGTAACAACTAAGAGGCTGTGTCAAGGTTGATCAAATAATCTACAAATCATTTAAACTGGTTACTTGATTTTTCAGTTTCTAAAAGGTTAACTTAAATGTTAAAGTTGCTGAATTCCCTAATCCAAAGGAAACTGCATGAGTTAGACTGTCCACCAAACCTCCAGACTTTATATTTCAGCATAAAAGACAAAAGAAAATCAGCAAATCCCTAAATTTACGAGGACCATAACACCAAATATGTTACATTTTTGCTCTAAAGTGAGGAGAATATTTTCAATTAAAAACAAATTGCTGAAAGTTTGATGTTTTTCCAGGTTCCTCATCAATGCAGTATTGTTTTGTGTCATGATTTTGAACTATTCACGTAACAAAAACATGAAGTCCTTTACAGACATTTGTCTAAAATTCTGATTTTAACACTAATATTTCTTAGTAGTTACCTATAAAACTTGTGTAGTCCAGACTACAGCAATATATAACATTTTATACCTTAATGCTTTCCTTTTTGTGTAACCTCTTACATTTTTTTGGCATAATCTTAAATAGTATTTTGCACTAATTTATATTTTATTTCAATATTCAATAGAATAAAATGCCATGATGTAATATACATGCTTACATAATGCGTTGAAAGGATCCTAAAGAGTCCCCTTATCACTGCTGGTTACATATTAACACAGCACAGTGCCGTTAAAAAGAGTATACATGTTAATACAGTAGCACATGGTTGCATTACATCAGTAAAAGTCGGTCTGTTTGTCTTCCCAACATATTTACTTAGAATACAAGGCAGCCATTGAAAGCATTAGTAACAAGATGATAAATGGTGGGATGGTGGTTTTGTCATGAACAGATGATCCAAAGTGTCATATGCCTCAGTGGTTTGTGAATATTCAAGAATCTCCGCTCATGTGTGTGGGTTTGCTTTTTTTTCCCCCCTTCACACAGCAGATGTAATAAGCTGAGATAATTAGAGTACATCTAATTTACCACAGAAATGACAAAACCTTAGAGCACTTGTTTTCTTTGAAGAGTTATTGATGGAGGCTTTTTCAGACATATTTAAATCACATATGGAAGGGAAATGTGAAGACTTGGTTTTTAATGATGTAAAATAAACTTATTTTATGTGTTATCAGACCAGTGAAATTGATTTTGGTGTTTGTCTCAATGTGTTCAGGAACAAAGTGACTATCTCCCTGCTCGGACATGACTTGTTACATTCAGGGTGGTTAAGTCGTTGACCCCGTGACGTGTGAATGACCTGGCAGTTTACGCTCCACAATCCCAGCCCAGAAGACGGTTTGGAGTCCCTCCTGTGCAAAGAGACCTTTGTGGTTGTGGCATGCGGCAGGATGGTGCAAGACAGAGCAGAGTTTTTTCCCCCTCAGTGAAAACGTGCCTCAGTACACAGGCCGTTCACCTTTTCATTACATGCCGATCCACGTCAACACTGCTCCATCTGAGCTGTAAACTTCCCTCCTCTCAGAGAGAATTTCACAGACGGTATACAACCATCTCTTTTGTTTAGACTGCATGCTTTCTTGGACTGGCTTCAGTGCTCCAAACTGACCTTGGACAGAGGTCGCAAAAGGATGTGAGAACTCGACCTCCAGACGCGGTCATGTATTGGGCTTCGAGACTTCCTGCACAGTGCTGCTTGTTTCTTGTCGAACACCTGACTGCTGTGCTGTAGCAGGTGAAAGCTTAGTCTGTTGCTTGTGACTCTGCTGATTAATAGCAGCAGTTTTGCTAATGGGTTGGCCCCTGAGGCTAGACCTGCCATCATTTCCCAGACACACTCAAGACTGTGTGTAACTCCTGACAGATCTGACAAACAAATGTTCTCTCAAACCCAGACGTGAGACTTGGGATGTAAAAAGAGTCACTGTACAAACTGTGTGCATACCTGAATACTTATAAACCTCTAATTCTCTATAATTTCTGTGGACATAAATCAAAACTACACTTTGGAAATTTCCTCAGAGTGTCTTATTTACTTTTAAAGCTTTTGACAACTCTATGAAAGACAAGATAAAGTTGAATTAGGCTTAAATCCAAAGGTGATCCAAGGATTTGCGCTGAGTTACCATTATCCTAAAAGTAGACTAATGCCAGTTTTTCAGGATGCACAAGAAATTCCCAAAGAGGCATCATTAAATCCTTACTTAGCTTAATATAACCCCCTACTGTTACCATCTACAGATCACCAGAAGTAGTGAATGGCCTGCAGGCTCACAGCACTACAATTTACGACTCCATGACAGGCAGGCTTTCCCCTTCAATTTCAGCACCGTGCAGTTTTACCTCTCAGCGTTTGGACATGCGTCCCCCTCAGTCTCAGCCAGTGTTTCAGACAGCACAAAAGGCATATTATAAGGAAGCAGCAGGCATTAGCCCACCACCAGATGGTTTACTGCAGAGCTAGCCCATGTCACCAAAGGCCTCCTCTGTTGAAAAGATCTCCTCCCAGTGTTGACATGAAGAAGCAGCTGGCAGTTTGGACCACAGGCTGCACTACTAAATATCAGTGGGAGGTTGGATTATCACCCTAACCTGGAGAGCCCTAGAGCTTCTTTGCACACTGTTTGGCTGTCGTAGAGTTACAGTTTAATGACAAAATTGTTCTTGATTATGCCCTCAAAGTTGTTTTTCTGCTCATTTTTTAAAATCACTCCTGCAAAGACTGAGTCATAAATGGCAACAAGCCTGCAGTCTCGCATGGTGGGTGGGCATGTTTCTGAAACGCACTGCTGCACTTAGAGATAACAAGGACTTCCTCATGGGAAGAACTGGCCAACACACTCAACTATGTTCTATTCTTACCTACTTCAGATATGGTATTTTTGTCTCTGAGTCAATGCCTCCAACACTGGTCTGGTGCAGGATACAGTAAAGCAGCATGAGGATGGCAAATAAACAGAGGAAGACAAGAGTCATGGGAAGGAGAAGTGCTCGTCTCTGACTTGGCATAATGATTTCGGTTTTAGATACGCAACAACAGACTGCCAATTTCCTCATTTCTATGAACAAAGCACCTCATAGAGTTTCGACACCAAGAATTGAGAAGTACTTACTTTGTTTGAATGTGCAAAATGTGTAACTGACAGGTCGATGCTCATTTCATTTACAGGATGAAACATTGCCTACGATGGGGAATACAAATAACTGGAAGGCTCTCTAAGAAGGCGGCTGGAGACTTGCGAGATTGGCAGAACCTATTAAGAAGAAGTCTGTAAAAGCATATCCAGGCATCCAAGAATGAGGATCAAATACACAATATCCGTCGTCTTTTTTGTGACACTTGTTATCATTGAGAAGGAAAACAACATTATATCGAGGTAAGTCCATTTCAGTGACAGATGGACTGCTTTTTTGTGATTCCCAGCAGGATTTCGTGTTTTATCTCTTCCATATATTTAAAATGTACAGTAAAATCATGTTCCTTTTTGATTCTCAGGGTGTCAGATAAGCTCACTCCAAGACAGACCCCTCAGACCCCTCTACAGCCCAGTGGTTCCTCCCATGAACTGCTGAAGAACAATGGCTCCTTTTCCCAACTGAACAAGATGGACTCTGCCTTCACTTTGATGAAACGGCGCCTGGAGAACTACAGCGAGTACCAAAGTCTGGTGACACGGGGCAGGAAACACATCCTCCTGTTGGCGACCACCAGGACGGGTTCATCGTTTGTGGGCGAGTTCTTCAACCAGCAGGGCGACAACATGTTCTACCTGTTTGAGCCACTGTGGCACGTGGAGAAGATGTTGACCCTGGAGACTGGGGGCACCAATGCCACGGCGTCTGCAAAGGCGTACCGCGATGTGATCCAAAAGCTTTTCCTGTGTGACTTCTCCTTGTTGGAGAGCTTTATCGAACCCTTACCTGTGGACCACATCACACCAAATCTCTTCCGCAGGGAGTCCAGCAGCTCTCTGTGTGAGGAGTCGGTCTGCAGTCCTGTGGTGAAAGGGGTCTTTGAGCGTTATCGCTGCAAGACGAGACGCTGTGGGCCCCTGAATTTGACAATGGCTTCACAGTCTTGTCTTCAGAAGGAGCACAGGGCCATCAAGTCAGTAAGGGTGCGCCAATTGGAGACCCTTCGTCCCCTCGCTGAGGACCCACGACTTGATGTGAGGTTTATCCAGCTGGTTCGGGATCCTCGGGCTGTTCTGGCCTCACGCATGGTGGCCTTCGCCGCCAAATACAAGAACTGGAAGCAGTGGGCTCTGGATGGGGATGTACCCATCGATGATGACGAGGTGAGGAAGCTGAAAGGGAACTGCGACAACATCAGGATGTCTGCAGAGATCGGCCTCAGGCAGCCGCCGTGGCTACGAAGGAGGTACATGCTAGTGCGGTACGAGGACATAGCTCGGTTCCCCATGAGGAAGGCAACCGAGATGTACAGGTTTGCTGGAATCCCATTCACTCCACAAGTGAAGTCCTGGATCCTGAAAAACACCCAGGCCTCCAAAGAGGCCAGCGGTGTTTACTCTACTCAGAAAAACTCCTCTGAGCAAGTAGAGAAATGGAGGTTCAGTTTGCCGTTTAAAATAGCCCAGGTAGTTCAGAGGGTTTGTGGACCGACGCTGAAGCTTTTTGGGTATAAATTTGTAAGCAGTGAAGAAATGCTTATGAATAAGTCCATCAGTCTAATCGAGGATAAGATGTTCAACTTTTTATAGACTTTTGAAGATGGAACTTTGAACCATGATGCAGGAAAAAAACACACGGGAAGCTTTCGGAAAACTCTGGAATGACTGATATTTATTTGGGTCGTGATACAGAGAGCTTTATATTTTCTGGTACTGTATTATTTAAGTTTTTTTTTTTTTGACTATTTAAAATAGTGTGATGAAGAAAATGTATTACTGAGCAGGAAATGAGTAAAGCTTTCAGCTAAGGTGTTGGAGAAAACTTTGAAACTTTACATGGGGGTATAGCCTGATGGAAATAGAAAGCTATCTTTATTTTGCACTATTTTCTCTGTCCAAAGCAAACTGTATCACCAGCTTCAAACACTGTCCCAAACACTTCTAGGAACCTCGGCTAGCTAATCGTATCAAGAAACATCCGATAAAGCGAGGAGCGCTGCTTTTACACCAAAGAAACTTGAAAAGAGAAATGCATGTGCACAGCCAAAGATGATGTTCCTGTTATGGGTGCTAATAGCAGGAAGATGAAATACCAGTGTTTTACCAGGTGATTCTATGCATGAGATTTATAAGTCATAGTCAATGCATAATTTATTTGTTGCCTTACTTTGCTAAAAGTCCCAATGACTCCAGCTCTGAATGTGCTCCACAGGTGTCCCCCCGCCTTCTATAGGGGTACTTTTTCTTGCACAAGTATTCTGTATTTTACTGTACATGCATGTTTATAATTGGCCAAAAGCTGTTTGAAGTTGTCCTCGGGACTGTAAGGACACATTCTGTCAAAACAGATGTTTACACTGCCACTGTATGCGAGCATTCCAACTGCAGCTGGTTTGCAGGATTGTGCGAGGTTTGTCGGCAGCTCTCTGTCTGTTGACACAAGTCTGTTGGCTGGTGATAAAAAGAGGCCCGGATACTCTGACCTGCCAGGCTGTTTGCTGATGTTCCAGTCTGTTCCTTTTTTCCTTTCTGTTTGTTGCAATAAACCTTCTTTTTACAAAAACATCTCACAAAGCATGAAAGTGATCTAAAACAGCTCTATATTTGACTGACATGAGCCCCGCTTGAATCTCATATTTGTCTTATCATTTTAAATAATCAGTCTAGGCAACATTGTCACTAATCTGCAATTTCCACCGCATCAGAAACGGCAACGAAAAAGCTGATTCTAAAAGTCTAGAAGTAGATTTCCTCCTCTGGAAGGACACAATCTACTGCTTATATGGTTAGCCTAAAGACAACTTTTTATTGCGTGATTGCACGTGAATCCGCGGGGTTGTTGTGAGTTATCGCAATTCCTGCTGTCCATAATGCGCCACGAAATTCGCCTCACAAAAGGATCCAGTTGAAAGTGGCGTACGGTGAAAATCGCCGCCTCAGAGCCGTTCCGGATGTGGTGGAAATCCCGGGTAAGAGTGTGAATGTGCCAGATTCACGTTAAGTCACAGTTTTCCATAAACAAATCAAAGAGCTTCAAAGCTTCCCCTTCAATCCCTGCGAGCATTATCAGCCATCTTTGTTCATCATTAGCAGAGAGATGGTTGCTTCATGATGCTATAAACTCTGGCATCAGATATGACCAAGATTAAGTAACACATTCATGACACTGCTAAACGATCTAGTAGTCTGGACTCACACACACTGATGGCTCGAGGTTTATTCTCATCGGGGCATGCACTGTCAAGGTTTCAACAGATGAAAAGTCACAAAAGGAAACAGAATTAAAAAACCTAAAGGTACTTCCTCAAGTTTTTAAAACATTTTTGAGACCTGGACCAAAGCGGTGCACTAACCAAACAACACTCTGCTAAAATTGGTTTGAAGAAAAAGAGAGAGCAAGAAAAGAATATGATAAAGTTATCAAAGGTAGCAGTTATAGGCTTTGGAGGCTGGGTCTTACTAGGAAAAAAATCAGCCTCTTTCACATAATTTGCTCTCGCTATTTTCTAGAAATTTCCAGGAGCTCTGTGTTCTTGAGTGGCATTCAGTGTTCCCTGTAGGGGGAGGGGTTGGTGTCGAAGGTAAGCAAAGCAACAGGGACATGCTTTGATTATAGGTGTCTGTAAATTTACCTCAATTAACCTTTTACATTTCAAACTGAGATATCTAGTCTCCTTTGTTGCATCTCGTTTAGAGTCTAAGGAATGGAGATGTGATGGGGCAAAGTTGTTCCACTTGTCCCAGAGGTGTAATGGGGAAAGAAGGTGGCGATATGTAGCATTTGAGCTAAAAGGGCGGAACAGCTCTGTGTGTGTGTGTGTGCATGTGGTGCTTACATGAAGTTCTTGTATTATTGTATTGTGTGTTTCCACTTTCACAACCCCACACTGGCAAACCAATATCAGCTGTTTTCGGGGGCTAACCCCTACTTTATGTGGAGATCTTCATTGCGGGGCTAGCATAGGCAAGTTTGGATAAAGTCTGAAATTTTTGTCAGTTTCGCTTTATATGTGAAGCTCATCCTGAAAAAAAAAAATCAGCGTTTTTACAGTTTCTGTTGGGAGGAGGTAATGAACACAGTAAGAGATAACACTGGCACTAGCACAATAAGTACTTCCTTTGATTGTTTACATTTACTTATCTGAATGTAAGTTTTCCAAAAACAGATCAGAAAAAGAAACATTCACAGCATATTTTAGGGTTAGAGTTATGAAACAAAACCTCTCAGTGATTTAAGAACCTGTTTGCTGTCCATCTGACGGGATAATTGAAGTGTCCATACCGTTTCTTTGGTCACCCTAAACTAAATGTTGAAGTTTCTGCACACTGACTCGTTTGTCTCTTAGCAGGCAAGAGGCTAAGATACTGCGGAGGCGTCCTGACTTCCAGTGTGTTTACCACTGCGGGCCCAGCTATTTGAGTCTCCAAACCTAGTAATTACCCAAACTTTACATATAATGTGGTCCAAGTCATTTTGGTCCACCTGACCCCACCCGCTTCCAGAAATGCAGGCAGGCTGTCGTTTACACAATCTCTCTCTTTCTGCCTCATTTCTCTTTTACACTAGAGAGTTTTGGGTTTAAATATTTAGTCATTCACACATCTGAGCTCTCACACACTGCTTCGCGAAAAACCACTTCAGTGCACTTAAAGTAAGTCCTCTCATATCAACAGATCATTATCTGGTTAGTTTGGGCTGGTTGTTCTATTTTAATAGAGAGTGTTCCCAGGTTTGCAGCGTCTGGGTCTAATGAGGAGAGCTTCGCATTCATAAACTCTTATATTGGAGTGGCTTTATGTGGCAAGTGTGGAGGGTGGAGTCACTGTACGGTCAGAGCAAATATAGAATAACCACTTTCCACTGGATTAAAACCCTTTCACCCCCCCTCTGCAGTAAAATGAGGGTATTTAGGTAGCCCCACCCGCCTGCTCTGTTATATGGTGCCCTGCCACATCAGCCATGAGGGGTTTGAAATATGCAAAACAGTCTGAGCGGAGGATCCGAAATGATGCTGTGCTGTAAGATCTGTGATAAACAGACAAAATTGAGTTAATTCAGACGTGTCTCAGCGCTAAGCACATAAAACGGGTTCTTTCGCAGGCGATTATGACGGCTGAGGAGGAGGCATAAATCTAAATACACAGTAAATTATCATGCACGGAGGAATGCAATTCATAAAAATCAGGTTGTTGCATGTGATAATGAGCAACTCTGGGAGGAATTTTTATGCACGGGACTGGGATGAGTGATGAGGAGACGAATTAAGCAGTTTTCATCTCTCATATAAAAGGGGTGTGCAGGAACTGTCACTGTTGTCAAGGTTTCTCACGTCTCTGAGCATTTTTCACCCATGCATTAAATCCATACGGGCAGTTTTCTAGTGTATCAGCAGCTCTGTGACAAACTTTGCATATAGGGAGCACTCCCTGCTCTATACCACGCTGCTTCACATAAAATGCTGGCAGTAAAACTTGTTTTGGAGGCATTTATTGACATGAGATCAAATGTCACATCAGCTGTCTCGACAGATTTTCTTTTCTAAATCTGAGCTCGAGCAGGAAACGGCAACCTGGAGATTTTACGAGTGCTGTTATAGTCTTTTTTTTTCTTTACATACAACCATAGTCTGACATGAGAGTTCTGATGTGGTTAGGTTTTTCTGCCAGAGCTACAACGATGTGTTTGCAGTAAACATCGTTTTAAAAAGCAGGGTAGAGATGGCTTTTGACGTTTGTTTTCTTTCCCCTTAAAACGACGATTAAAGCACACGTTTGCTCAAAAGCTTTACTCTCTTTTTACCTCTGTGACTATCTTTAAGCTGAAGTTTGACAACTGTTTTATCATGCTGTTATCACGGCTCTAGAAACCATAATCAGCTCACTTTGCGCGAATTTATCTCTGAATTCTATGACTAAATTGTCAAATCCTTCGCTACAAGACACCTAATGCAGCTTTTCCCTTTTTTTTTTTTTTTTTGAATGCCCCATTGTGGCTGACCACACTGTAAAAGCCTCGGACAGAGAGGAAATGGATGCCCATTTTCTCTGGATTTAAATTCAGCAAAACATGTGAAAAGTTCCCCTGAGATGTGGGCAGTTGCTGAAACGGTCTGACCATTACAGCCACCGAAATGTATAAGGAAACAAAATAACAATGATTGTGATGACTGCGGTGACTTCTGAAAAAACCCTGTAACCGATTTACAACTTTACAGTAAAGTCTAAATGTTTTTTAAAGCATTTTTAAGGGGAGAAAAGTGCATGTTTTGACTGCTTTTTGTTGAATTTTTGCAATTCTTTGGGCTTTTATTATACCTCAAACGAAAAAGAGGCTTGTGAGCGAACAAGAGGGCACACACCATGATGAAAAACAGGAACTTTCTACCCAAACAGTCTTATTTTTGACTTCCTTACATGGTTGGCTTTACGTTGGAATGTGTTTTGACTGCAGCACCCTTTATCATTTGATTGTGAGCTCAGAGTTCACGCACAGCTCTGCCAGCTCTCCAATCTGTCCCAATAGGAAACATAAAACATTACACCCACTCTAAATTTAGATATCCAGTTTGAGACAACATAGAAGTTTCATGGTTGTAGTCATTCAGCATGCCAGCAGGATAAACAATGGCCCTGTGGGTGAGGGGAGAGTTTAAGTAAATAGCTGGGGTTAGGTCAACGCATGGCACAAAGAAAAGGAGATGACAAATCACTGCTCTTATCCTCGGTGAATTGGTGTCGTTCCTGTATTTACTCAACCTTTTGTTGTTTGCTCTCGTTTTGTTCCTAGACTCACATTCCTGACAGAGACAGCAGGTAAATCCGCAAAACCTGTTTCATTTTACGCCACAAAAGCACAGAAAATTCATGATTTCCTGTGCTGGTGAGCTTCTGGTTTCTTTTCTGCGTTGATTTAGGCCTGTCGGACAATCGGAGAGTACAATCCAGCATGTGCGAAAAAGATGGCCGTTTTTTTTGTCTTATCCTTTAAATTTTGTTTTAAAACCAATGCAATGTCCAAAAAAGAGCATCGTTTCTTAGACTTCTGCCTTGCATGCTTGTAGAGCACAGCATAAATGGTCTTACTGTAGCTTTTTCGAGTACAAGATGTGCCCCCATTTGCATTTTGAATTAGGGTCTGTGAAAGGACTGTTTCCTTCGCCAGTTCTCGTGAGTGAAACACAAAGCGTCAGTCTTCCCGTACATCAATACCTCCTTTTGTGTCAGAACCAAGAGGTCTTTAAAAAAATTTAGAACTACTGAATGGGTCGCTCCATTTGTCCCACTCCGCTGGCTTTATTCCAAAACCGGAGTAAGTGCCTTTCTACCGCCCGCGATAAAACAGGCATTAAAGTCACGGGCTAAGAGGAGCAGCAGGAGCGTTTTACCAAACGGGATCCTGGTGCATTTACCAATTATAGATTAAACCCCAGCTTGGACAGTGTAATGACAGGCCTCTTTCTTTTGCCATGTGAGGACCAGCCATGTGATGCTGCTGCAGATTAAAGGATCCAATAAAGACGCTGAGAAAAAGTGCTGCGAAAACCACTTTGACCACCGGAAGCAGA